GGTGGGTGGGGTGGGGGGGGGGGGGGGAGCGAGCCACACCACGGTTCGAAGCGTGGCACTTTTTTCTGGCAGGCTTCAAACAAACATCCGACAAGCATCCAGCCAACTGCTCGCGGACGAGTAAGAGTGCTATCGACGCGGACGACTTCGGGATGTATTACCTTTGCTGAAATTGGATTCAAAAGAAATGTCGAATATCACAGTATTCCTCTTCTGTTCCGTCTAAACTTGAGCGAATTGACTTTCACATGATTTTAAAAATGTCGGAACTATATAGCAAACGTACTAGCCACAATAAATAAGCTCGCTACAACACGAAATCGCACCCTAAAGCCCTGTCACCATGAACTCCGTAGGCTTCTATTCCACTGGAGAGTCCTCGGTTCTTCACATCGACGAGAACGTACCTTTGCCAAGCGTCAATGGAACCGAGGTCTTTATCAAAGTGGCTTATACTGGACTAAACTTCGTCGACATATATAAGCGGATCGGGCGCAATCCGAATATGGTACCCGCAGCTGCAGGTCGAGAACCATAGATGAGATAGGTGCGGATGTTCCGGCATCTTGCGGTCTTACCGTGGGCGACAACACCGCAATCCCCGCTCAAGGGGCACTGGCCGAGTACGTGGCTGCTCTTGTAAGGTCTGTAATGAAACTACCCAATAACAACTCAAAACGCCTGCATGCTGCAATCATGTGAGAATAGCTCATTGAAAGGTTGCATATCTCTGAAGGAACTTCTGAAGTAATTTCGTTTTCGTAATCTAGAACAGTCCGCTCGTTGCGGATTCACTATCGCAACTGTAAACAAACCCAGATATCTCGATCAGGTGGATAGTATGCTTCATAAGCCATATGTAGACTTATACTTCGTCGCGAAACTAAAGTTACCATTAACATATTAAATCTTATTAATAATATATCGAAAAGGACTTGATAGTCCCTTAAAGTCTATCTTGATAAAGATGAGAAAAATAGATTTTAGAACAACTATAATTTTAGATTTTTCATTCGTCGTTACCCGTCATCCCGGGCGATACCTCACTTACTGCATAATCGCGAAGCGTAGCGAGCGGTAAGATGAATGATATATCGACCTATAGTTGATTTGGTAGATTCGAAACATTTTGAACCAGAGTTACCCTCTTAATGCGCTTCAACTGCATTGGAAAAGGTGAAGCCCGGATAGCCAGACTCGATCTCCTTTTCGCAATATTCGATATAAGTTGGAACCCCACCAAAATACCAATAGCAGCGGACAGGCTTGCCCTCCACGTTCCCACCTACGTGCCACGCTCCGGTGGCTCTTGCACCTTGCCCTAACAGCGTACCCCAAAACTGCTTGTCAACCTCCTCCTTCCATTTCTCCGTAAGTTCACTCTTCGTTTCTATGCGTTTGTGGCCACTTCCGCGCATATGAGATATTGTTCTGCCAATCCAGTCGACGGTGTTGTCGATGACAACGGGAAGATTAGCCCACACTGTCTGAGGGCCAAGAACCATGAAAAGATTGGGAAATCCAGCAGTGGTAATGCCGTAGGCGGTGGCAAGATTGGTCTCTAGATGCGTTTTCAATGGCTTACCATTGGTCCCACGGATGTCGATGGAGTCAAGTGTGCCAGTCACCGCGTCAAAGCCTGGTTTATGCTTGAGCATGTGTATGAAAGAAAAGCAGCGATGGAAGACTTCTTACCTATTGCAAAAATGATTATGTCCAAGTCAAACTCTCTTGCTAGAGTTCGTACACCGTTGGGGGTGATTTCAACGACTGGCTCCTTCTTGATATCCACCAGCTCGACGTTGGCCCTATTGAACGTCTCGTAGTAGAAGTGTCCAAGAGGTGGCCGCTTCGACATGAGCGGGTAATACGGGCACAGCATCTCGGCCGTTGCAGGGTCATGGACAAGCGCTCGAATCTTTTTCCGGAGAAATTCGCTGGCTGCCTCGTTACAGTCCATGTTAGTAAGCATGTCATTGACAGTCTCAAAGATATATCGAAATCCTCCTTGCTCCCAACCGTAGTCGAAAGCTTGGTTAAGGGCTTCTTTGTCCTTCACATTCAGGAAAGTTCGAGTTGTTGATCCTATATCTCCACCAAATGGCTGTGCCCTCACCCGCTTAGCTATCCCCTTGAAATCTTGCTTGAGCTCCCGTTCTTGATCCTCTGAGAAGACGAAGTTTCTCCCAGGAAGCACATAGTTAGGCGTGCGTTGAAAGACAGTCAGCTTTTTGGCGGCGTGTGCAATCACTGGAACTAGTTGCACACCCTACAGACAGTCATTAGCCGCTTCCCAACACTGACAGACCACTAAGGCCTAGGGTGCTGGTAGCATCCTTTTGCCGAGTTACATGTAGACTCACTGTCGCTCCTGTTCCGAAGATGCCAACCCGCTTACCAGCAAAATCCACCTTTTGGTCTGGCCATAGTGCTGTTTGGTAATAGTCTCCCTTGAAGTTCTCAAGACCTCGGAATGGTGGCTTCAATGGCGTCGACAAAGGACCAGTTGCAGCGACAAGGAAGTCACAAGTATAAATTTGACCTTGAGAGGTTGTTACATGCCAGATGTTTCTCGAGTCGTCAAAATGTGCCGAGTCAATGCGGGTATTGAGGACGAAGTTGTTTCGAAGTCCGAGATGGTCTACAACTTCATTGAGCTGTGAACCATGGTTAAATTTGTATAGAAATCGATGCAACATAACCAAGACCACGCACAATGGTACTTGCAATATTGTTCCATAGGAGAAAGGAAGTAGAACTTACATAACGCTCGAGCTCCGGCTGACTGGGGAACCGTTCTTTCCACTTGTAGTCCACACCAATTTCCTCCAGGAATGTGAGTACGTACACCCAACTCTCGCTATCTGCTCTAGCTCCTGGGTAACGATTCCAGTACCACGTCTAGGTACACAACATCTGGTAGTTAGCACAGCCTGCGACAGATCAATGGTTGTTAACCTACTCCGCCAATACCTGCACCGGCCTCGAAACATATACCTTCGATGCCTCTTTTTTTGAGATCATACAACATCCTTATGCCACCCATGCCAGCACCGATCACAATAGTGTTGTGATGTGACATCGATACGCAATTGGCATGCTGGTGCGATTCAGAGGAAGCCATTTTGCATAGAACACCGATGTTCAGGAACGGGTCAAGTAAAGTCGTCAAATGTGGTAGCTTTGCTCTTGCTCTTTGTCTATTTGTACCCAGGGAATTTATAAGTCAATATAGAGGCAGCCGCGGTTCTACCTTCTTCACGTCTTGAGGTAGAATAGATGCCCATCCTTATTGTATTATTCCTTGCCGATTGCCAGTGCCTGCCGGCATTCTAACGATACCCCACATTTCTGGGTTATGCTCCATGTGAATGGGGCATTCTTCAGATGATCTCTCCATTGCGGGGCATGCCACAGCCCTCGATGAGGACCTGGCGACCTCGTCAAAGTAGTTGTGCCGTACTACAATGAATTACCGCGGGTGGGTGTCAAAAGGAGCTCAATACGCGGCTAATATCCGTGGTAAAATGCTCGAAATGGTGCTAGTGCACATTCTTTGACGCTCCGTCAGAATTAAGCGAGTCTGACCATGCATAGCTCCCGCCTCGAAACATCCAGTGTCATACCTGCTAGAGGGTCACGGGCCAAACTCCTCAAGTTGTCTGCTTGGCCATGATACCTCCATTTGCGGGGTGCGTCGCGAGCGAGCGAGAACAGATATGCCTGTCGGCCTTCGCTACAGTGTTGTCTAATGTTCTCTTCGACCACTCATTTCATGAGATTCCCTTCAAATGCAGGACCCTAAGAAAACAATTCGCAGATACCCATGAATAACGACGCTGGAGACTTGCTTAGGAGAGGAGGGAGCGATTTGGCTCGATCGAAGCAAACGAGAGCATCGCAAGCATGCTGTGCTTGCCGGAAACGTAAGGTGAAATGTGACCTGATCATGCTCGGTACGCCATGCCACAATTGCAAGATTGATGGTATTGAATGTGTGACAAGCGTATCTCGACGAAGCAGAAAATACCGATTGCACAAAAGCCGTGATGGTGCGAGTCGCCCTGACCTTGAACTGGCTGACTTCCGTCAAGGTCCAAGCACTCCCACTGTGCGCACGCAAGATGGAGCTTTGCTTTCCTGCTTTCCTGTCCGAATGAACACAAAGCTCAGTCAGCCGAGTTCTGAGATTATGACGAATGATCTAGCGTTCGAAGTACCATGCCCACAGGTATCCCCAGATCCGGTGTCACCGATGGCAGTTGCATCTACCCAACGCTTGCTTGATGAGACGACTATCCAGGCGAACGCCGTCAGTAATGGTCGAGAGGAGTTTTCCTTTCAGGATGTCGCAGAAACAGCCCGTTATGTTTCTACGGATACTGTAAAGCTTCCTGCGTATATCCTTCCTCCACAACGGAAATTCAGTGGGGACGACTTGCAGTATCTGGGGCAAAAAGGCGCACTGTCCATTCCCGAAACTGAGCTGCGTGATCAGCTTCTCCGTTCTTTCATACTCTACAGTTACCCATTCCTGCCAGTCGTCTGCCTGGAGGATTTACTTCAAGCCCTTGAAGGCGATGGCCAATATCAAATAAGCCTCATGCTGTTCCAGGCGGTGATGTTTGCGGGATCCGCATTCGTGGATGAACTATACCTACATCAAGCTGGATTCGACGATCGCCGGAGTGCAAGAGCATCTTTCTACCACAAAATCAAGGAAAGATATTTTCGTCCTACCTTCCAACCCTCACTGACTGTTTGCAGCTTCTCTACGATTTTGATTGGGAGCCTGATCGAATCACTCTTGTCCAGACTATGTTACTTCATACCTATTGGTATGTTTCAGAGAGCGATCAAAAAGATCCATGGCACTGGATAGGCGTGTGCATGTCGATAGGCATAACATTGGGACTGAGTGAGAGAATAACATACGCACACGAGGACTTCAAGACCAGGAAGCTTTGGCGTCGGCTGTTATGGTGCTGTTATCTCCGAGACCGGATCCTGTCAACGTCCGCTCGCAGACCCCAGCGCTTTAGGGATATAGATATCCATATTCCTATGCTGATCTTGGATGATTTCGATCTTCACGCATTGGTGACTACTATTCCCGCGGTCAAAGACGCATTGTCCGCCTTGACATACGATTGCAAGGTTGCCTTAGCACAAATGTGTATCTCTCAGTTACGACTTGCCTCAATAAACGGCCGGGTCGTGGAGAGTCTTTATGTCCTCCAGGTGTTCGGCGGTTCCACGAGTGGTCCGAAGATATTATACAGCCCAAAGACTACAGAGATTGGACCAAGAGTAATTGAAAATCTTGAGTGCGAACTTGAAAGGTGGAGAAATCAAGTAGCCCAACAATATCTGATGCCTCAGTCCCAGAGACCAGAGGCAACAACTGGAGAGGTTATCTATTTCCATCAATCTTATCTCAAAATGCTGCACCTATTGGTTACGGAAGCGCTGCACAGACCACTGAGTCTGTCCCGAGGTGAATCAACAATTTCGAGAAGCCTTCTTCAGCAAAAGTCCAGACCTGTTGTCAAGACGTGCGCGATTGGCACTGCAGAGCTTGTGAAATGTCTACGAGAAAGAGATCTTTTTCGCTTCTTACCTCCGGTTGCCAATACGTGCATTGGAGCAGCAGTTGCATACTTCCTTCTTGAGATGAATACCGCCCAAAAGTCATCCGAGAATCTTGCAGGGCAGTCAGGTCCCCATCTCCGACAATGTATGCGAGGACTCTGGAGTCTAAGAGAGGTCTGGCAGATTGCAGATTCCACATGCCAGATAGTTGGACACATGATACGTACAACTGAGGTGGAAACAGCGAGGGTCATTGGTCTACAAGCGTCGCCGATCGTACCAAACGTCACACTCGCTGCCACAACTGAGTCGCCGAGTAGTTCTTCCACTGCTGCGACCCCTAACGACACACGACGTGGCGGATCTCAAGGCGTGGGAAACGAGACATTCATGGAAAATACCACAGGTGTCTTTGAACATGATCCGGTGCTGTTCAGTTGTGAAAGCAGCACTTTCGATCAAATAGACGATCAGGAGTTTTGGTCCTTGTCGAGCCAAATGCCTTGGAGTTTGACCGAATTTGGGTTGTCAGAGAACCAATTTCAGGATGGAAGAGCAACAGGCGATGTTTTTGATCGTAGCTGCCTGGTGTGACGCAGATAAATGGTCGCACCAGATGTAGAATGTAAGATCGGTCGTCAGCTAAGTTTTCAGTCTACAGTTTGCTGCCCAATGTAGAGTGAAGCAGGGGTCTCGGAGTTGTACAAAGATTTAATACGAAGCACTAGAATACATGGCAATGTGGCTCTTTCGACGCCTTTAGCCGATTAGCGTCTGGAAATTGATTTCGTTCAATTATCGCTGTACCATGGAAACCAGCCGTATATGTCCTGAAGATACCTTACACCAGCGGGTTCCACTGGTGATGCTCCACCGCATGCCGACTTGGAGAGCTCCTGATGTCTTGCTCTTTCGAGCCGATAACCACGGTAAAGCCATCTGCAGGTTTGCAGGAGACTAGATTGTTCTCGCTGTCTCTGACCGAACCCCAGGATCCGGAGCTACCCCATGGGGAGTGATGGCTCTAAGCTAGCTGGATGTCAACTCAAGATACCTAACATCGTAAACTATATAGCGCAGCTTCCATCGCAGACAACTTCGTTCCTCGAATTGGCCTCAAGTTGTTCAGGCACATCACTTGGGCAGCGATTTCGATACAATATGGCTCCTACCAGCCTCTACAACGCCTGGATCTACACTGTCATATCATTCGCAGGCTTCTCTTATGGCTTCGGATTCTCGGTATTTGTCACGGCTCAGGGTCAGCCAGGTTTCTATCAATACTTTGGATTGGATCCCACCAGCACTTATACCGCTCACATTCTCGATGCCGTCAACGCTTTGTTCACCGCTGGTGCAGCGTTTGGCGCTTTGACGCAATCCCCTCTTGCCGACGTATATGGCCGGAGGATTGCACTCGCCGTGGCAGGAACAACCTCCCTCATCGGAACTGCACTAGCGGCAGCCTCGGTTCGTGTGGCTATGTTGATAATGGTACGTCTATTCCAAGGCTTTGGACTAGGAATGATCTTAGCCCTGGTCCCGCTCTACCTCAACGAGGTGGCTCCTCCACATCAGCGAGGCTTGATATCTGGCTTGACTGTCGTAAGCTTTGGGACCGGCTATTTTGTGTAAGGAAATCCCGAAATTTATTGAAGGGAGTAGACTGATCAACCCTTGCCCACAGATGCTCTTGGATTGCAGTCGGTACCTATTACGCCAATACAACCGTACAATGGCGCGTGCCACTTGCCCTCGCTTGTATCTCACCTCTTCTTCTGCTCCTCAGCTTGCCTACTATTCCTGGTAAGTGATCCAATCCGAGCGGACATGACAGGCGTTCCTGAAAAAGAACTCTAGAAACTCCCCGATATCTGATCTGGAGCGGTAAAAAGGAGCAGGCGTATAATGTGTTGCGACGCCTACACTTAAAGCCTGGCGATACAGATGACCGCATGGCTCACGCCGAGTACACACAGATTGTGCTTCAAGTGGAGCACGACAAAGAAATGAAAGTTGGCTGGATACAGATTTTTAAGAAACCCTCGCTTCGACGTAGAGCTATCCTTGGGATGTTTCTGTTGTAAGTCCTGAGATCAATTTGTGGTGAAATCTTCATACTAACCTGCACACAAGGTTTGCAACCCCATCAACGGGGGTCAGTTTCTCCGCCTCATGCTTGGTGTCTTCTGTGTCTGACTTAGCCATAGATTATTGGTATATCGAATTACCTTCCCCCTATATTTGCAGGCCTCGGTCTTAGTGGTGTTCTCCCACTAGTCATGTATGGTAAGTCATGTTCTACGTAAAATCCGGACAACAAGTCCTCACAGTGGCTATAGGAATCTGGACGACACTCGGGACTGGCATGGCAATTGTGAGCATTTTTATTGTTGACAAAGTTGGAAGACGAACTTTGCTGCGTAAGTTTTACCGCGTTCGAAGATATTCCGACCGACCTTCAGCTACTGACAACGCCATTTTACCATTATAGTGTATGGCTACCCGGCGCTGGCACTGTTGTTAATGATTCAAGCAGTGCTGCAAAGTCAGTTCATTGGCACCGACAAGCAAGGCGGCCTCGCAGCTTGTCTTGTCTTCCTTTTCCTCTATATTCTCACATTTCAACTCGTTGATGCACCTGCCTTCATCTGGGCATCAGAGATCTGGCCGACAGCATACCGAGCCAAAGGCATCAGCCTGTCTTTGTTCTCCTTTTTTGTCGGGTCTTTGACCTACACCACTCCAAGTGCTTTGGCATTCAAGACCATGTAAGTGCCCCATTGAACGATATATACGGGCGTAGCTGACAAAACACTGAAGTGCTTGGCGGATGTACATTCTTTATACGTGCCTCTGCCTGATCTGCGGTGTCATTATCTATCTCTTCATCAAGGAGACCAGAAACCTCCCGATGGAAGAACTCGCTGCCTTATTTGGGGACGAAGTTGTTGTCCATCTCTCGAAGGATATGACAGGCATCATTGAAGACAACAGCCTAGAAAAGTTGACTGCAGTTGTTGGACATGGCCATATTGAATCTCTTGAGCTGGCAGTGCCAAAATCCACTGGCCACGCTAGGCACTCGAGCACTCCAGTTGCTGCTGCAACTTGAGTCAAAAAGATAGGAAAGAGGTAGGCCGAGAGATAGGCCAAGCGGTTGTAAACGCAAGCGGTCGTTGTTAATCACGGCTACAAATCCGACCTTGCGCGTCACTAGATTCGTATGAATCCAGGGAGCTGGTCGCTCCAAGTTGTGGCCAACTTGCTCAACAGTGCATTGGTTCGATATGGATTTTGACATCAATTGTGACTCTAGCTAACCTCTAAAATGCACAAGCCTACCAAAGTGCCTATCATATTAATTACACTATGAGTCAGATATCGACTTCTGTTAGCAGCAGGACGTCCTTTGATCAATGGTATGCGGGTCTTGGACGGAAGCAATACAGTAATACGTCCGTTAATCTTATCGCCTGCCCTCTTCGTCACTGTCCGATTCCTTAGATGGCAGTAGATCGGAAGTTATTTAATAGAATTTCACTTGCAAAGCGTCTGATCGCGGGCGATCGGATGCCCAAGGTCTATGATCGGTGGAGAAGGCTTCACAAACAAGCGATCAGATTAGGCAGTATTGAAATGTATGCTCTGCGGACTTCCCACATACAACTGTCATGACAAGAGTCGTGTGCCTGTCATAACCCAAATGACGAAGTCAGAGATGGAGGAAACAGAATCAAATCTCCCAAGATATGCATTCAGATATGAGACAGAAACCTTATAATGAACATTAGGTTATACAGAACGTTCGACAAAACTGCAGGGCTCAAGGATTAGCAAAAATCCATGTCCAGCCAGAGTCTTGAATGGATCTTGTTATGGCACATAGTATCACACAGCAGCAGCTGTATAGTATCTGAAAGTTGGACATAGCAGAATCGATCCATACGGCCTCATTCGTATTCACGGCATAAACTTTCATACATTGTCTGTATGCCCAAGTAAGGTATGCATCGATGTCTTCATGAACTCTACCAGCCGTGTTGGGTTCTGCTCGTCGAGAAACATTTCACCACTGAAATTACTTCTTCGAATCAGGTCTTCTGCCCAGACGAACATTTGCTGCTCATATGCTTCCACAGTCTGCTTCGAGATCCCGTGCTCCTGTAACAACTTCGCCAGGACCAGCGAATCCCGCATCGCACAATTGACGCCATCTCCTACCCATGGCGTCGTTGCATGTGCCGCATCCCCAATCAACGTGACATCAGCCTGTGACTTCCAGTTGAAGCAGTCCGAGGGCATGATGTAAAGTTTCCATGGCCTCCAGTCACCTTCGCTGTGCTTGATGACTTCTTGAATCTCCGGGTCAAAGGATCCAAAATATTTGTCCTGGAGGAAAAATTTCTTGTTGTCCTCCGCGTTGCTCAGATCTCTTTCGAAATCTTCAGGGACTGGAATACAGAGGTCCCAGCGAAAAATCCCTGCCCCTTGAGGAGCGCTCCAAATAAGATTTGAATTGCCGCATATTGCCATGTTAGATCTAGTAAAAGTCTCTTCGGTACGTTTGTAATGTGGATTGCCCGGGCTGACCTGTGTGGTGAAAATTGTATGTCCTGTGTATCTTAGTTTAGCTGGTGTGACCTAAGGGAACAGTCAGTTCTGAGAGTCGCAGCTCGCAATATCGACTAACAAGATGTCTAATCTGACTATAGGCGCCATCAGCTCCGATGATCAACTTGAAGCCTGATACGCTCCTTCCATTCGTGAGTTTGAGCACAATTTGTCCATTCTCATCCCTTTTCGAGCTCTCCACACCGCACCGCCAACGGACTTTCTCGTCTGGGATCACACCCAGCAAAATACGCCTCATATCGTACCTATCGACCTCAGGGGCGTCACGTCCTTCACCAAACTCGAATAATCGATCTAACTTGGTGTTGCAGATATAATGGATCGTTTCTTCGCCCCAGCGGCCTACTTCCCTCAGCTCGTCGAAAGCTCCGACCTCCTTGAACACCTTTTGTCCACTTCCAGGATGCAAGTCGAGGCATGCTCCACGTGGTTTTGTTTCTCGATCGCTCCGCTCATACACAACGTAGTCTTTGACACCATACGCCTCTAACAATGCAGCGAGGCCCAGGCCTGATGGGCCCCCACCAATAATGGCGATGGAGGGGACGACCTCCTTTGCAATCTCGACGACCATAATAGTTAATATTCAGTGGAAAGAGAAGTCAGGTCTGGTGGCATCAGATCGAAGTTGGAAGAGTGCCTTAGGCAACTTTATACTTCAGCACATGAACTTATCTATGCTCCACAACTGCTAGTTAGCATGAGCCGGGGGAGGCGGACTGACGCGCGCGGGGCAACAAAATCGACTGGGGTTGCCAGGATATTCGCTGCCGCCTTTCCGACACACCGAAATGCAACCGGATGTGAAAGGAACGGAAGCGGCTTAGAAATGCGGGTGTCAACACAATAAGTTCCTCACCTTGATTAGCATTCCACAGTCACAAGTTATCGCACTCGTAGAGTTGGGCAGGTCAAAGCCACTCCACGAAATCCGGGCTACATCTACAGATGGGCGACGAACATCGCTGTTACGGGTGAAACACAAAGGACACGAAATACCAATCGTGGACACCGATCTATGAACGGTCTCTCGTCTAGGTAGAACAGGCAAATTCTTGTTGAATAGTTCTTCGCAATCTACCAAGTACTATTCTTTGCTATCTACCAAGTACTACAGCTAGAATTGCGAACGGCCCTGGAATGCCTCGCGCATCATTCCTATGTAAAACCGTAGGATCAAATCCTACGCTACTTCTTATGCCAACATAGCATCTTCATTTTCTGGTCGCACTCATGAATACTTGCCACGAATGCAAGACCTTATCATGGATGTGCTCCGCGCCAAGCTCCTGAATGAATGTACGCCGACCAGTACTCGCAGAACTCTCATCATGGACAAGGTGAGAGTCGTCCTTCTCACCATCGATTTGTGCCGAGTAGATCATCGAGGTAGGACGTTCGCCGGCCCGGTACTCTCCCCATACATCCTCGCCGTTCACGAAACGAATGAAATCTTTACCAAATCTTCCTGCACATTGTCGCTGGCCAACGGACAGCTGCTCGTTGTAGTTTTGCAAAGCAAAAGCAATGTCGAGAATGTGGTTGGCCTCGCCTTTCCATGGACCGTCCCAAGGGTTTGGGCAGTTGAAGTGATACAAAAACGCTTTGGCGCTGGGCACAGTTGTCTTCGACCAGATCTTTGCCAGTGCTAAGGCAGGAAGTGCAAAGTGGATGTCATTTCCCAGATCCAGAATTGCCCGTCTTGTTGTTTCCGTGGAATTGGGACTTGCTGACTGTCCTAGACCATACCTCGACAGGATGGCTGGGACAAACCTCGCATCTGTGGAATCAAGTGATTCCTTGAGACTCGCTATGAGTGCTTGAGGTAGGGTGTCGGTCTGGCTAGGCAGACGAGACTCGAAAGCCGTTCCCTGGAATCCCATTTAGACTTTGTCAGCGTCTCAGAGCTGGGTAGAAATGCCTCACATCAAATTGGCAGTCGCCCACCAATATTCTTCTGCAGTGACGAAGCCCGGGAAAAGTCTTCAGAGCTGATTCTGGCTCGACCTGATTCCGAAATACTAGTGCTTCTGGTACGATATCGCCATCGACCGTAGGACCCAGGTTATACCTGCGAGCCTGATCTCCCATGTTCTCCACTTCACTTAACAATTTTCGTGCCTGCTCATATGGTGATGCTTCGGCAACTCCCAGCCCTTTGACTAGGCTGTCGTAGGCCTTTTGACCCACCTCTGGGCGTCGTGGCCGGGAGAACGCCGTGCCAGACATGGAAATATACTGCTCAAACAGGGGCTCGTTCGACTGCAAATGAATGTTTCCGGCGACTACTTAGGTTAGAATGGCACATATACATTAACACCTACATCAACTCGATTGGATATTACCTGAACCTGCACTTTGGCCAAGAAAAGTTATTCTTTCGGGATCTCCACCAAAGCCGCGGATGTGGTGCTTGATCCAACGCAGACCAAGACGTTGGTCGTCAAGACCATTGTTTGCTTTGTATCCCAGTTCTTTCATTTCTTTGGAGATGAGAAAGCCTGCAATCCCGACGCGATAGCTGTTGTAAACGATCAGTTGTGCCGGAGCAAACCAGGGAGAACATGAAAAGAAAAAACTGGAGTAGCAGGAGAGTTGCGTTCCTACTTCAAACCAACCGCGATGATGGGAATACCATCCTTCGCACTTATCTCTACAATTCTTGTCAAGTTGTACTGAGGGTGGTTGGCACTGCCACTCGCAAATCCACCGCCATGGACGAAGACCAACACGGGTAGACCGCTATCCGCTGGGACGTTGGTAGGAACGCTAATATTGAGCGTGAGGCTTTCTGTGGCGGACTGCTTGGACTGGGTGCAATGCAAGCGTGCTTGGATCAATTCTTGCTCTCGTTCACAGATATTCGCCGGGTTGATGACCGTTGGCCTGGAACAGAGGTCAGATAGTCCATGATTGAAGTTATTCTGCCATACCCATGGGTTATCGCAACGATCGTACTTCCACTCCCAGCATAATGCCCAATGCTTCCACGTGCAAAAGCATTTGACAACGTGGCATACTGAATTCCCAAGTACTCAACCACGTTTGGCGAGCTCTTCACTCCTTGGATGCGGCCTATCGTCGGGTGGTCAAATATCTCAAGGTTGATATTGGTGGTAGATGAAGGCATTGTAAGTAATGCTTGACTCCTTCTTGCTCGAGTTCCCAAAAGGATGGTGTTGCCTCACTGTTTAAGATCCGTCCAAGGACATATGATCCTCGTCAGCCATTTCCAATCAAGATAGGGCTTGAAATTCTGACTATACTGGTATGATCATGCTTTCTCGGCCTAACAAATCATGGTGAGGTTGGTGGAACAACCGCCCCCTTTCCGCAACGATGCACCTAACTCCGGACTTGCGGACTGTCGGTGGCAGTAGTCGAAGAGTCCACGAAAAAGCGGTGCATCCGGAATCAGAATCTGTCAGTTGTACTAACTCTGGCACTTGCGAAGTAGCATGCACTTGTTATTCACAATTATGGGGCCAGAGATGGAGGTTATGATGCCCTACTATGGCAGGATCCAGTAACATGGGAGTTGAATCCGAGGCACCAACAGCACCGGAAGTACGACAACTCGAAGAGCAACGATAGCCATACTTAAGCCCCCACAAACTGCCTGCTAGCTGTCTAGGCACTAGATTCCGCAAAGCTCTCTTCTCTTCATCCAACTTGAACCACTGAAGCGCCTACAACCACTGAAGCGCCTACAACCACTGAAGCGCCTACAACCACTGAAGCGCCTACAACCACTGCTAAAATCTCCAGCCTACACTGGACCCCCATATTGGGTGTAAGGCTGTGCATCCTCGGCCGAAATATTCGAATCAGGATCCGTTGGCTTGAAGTAGAGAGAATTTTCGAATCTTGATCTGCGCTTGCCGATGACGGGTCGTCTCTTGAGCTCTTCCTCGTCAATACCGCTTCGTAACTTCTCAATCCAATCTTCAGGCTTGAGATCCACACCGATGGGATTTTGCTCGAACTCTGCACTTTTCATGAACTCGACCACGTCCTCTGTGGTTTTGAAGTTTTCAACTTGCAGCTCAAACTCGTTGCCGTCTGGGTCGTGGTAGTACATGCTAGTTGTCATGCCGTGGTTAACGGGCCAATGTGGGGTGATACCGCGGGCTTTTTTCTGCTCATAGCTCTTAGCCAGGTCGGCCAATGATGACAGAGTGAATGCGATGTGGTAGATCCCTGCGGCTTGCCTCTTCTTTTCGATGAGTCTGTGGCTCGGGTCTGAAACGATGACAAGACGGTGATGTTCGTGGTCGTACGATAACATCGTAGCCCGTGGAGTCGAGAGTCTGACTTGGGCGCCGAAGAAGTCAGTATGCCATTTGACCATAGCTTCGTAGTGCTCAGGAATGGTCCGAACGCCGAAGTGGCCTATCTCCACCGGGCTGATGAGTTTCTCTTCATTTGAAGCCATGATGAAGAGGCAGAAATTTGCTGAGGTGAAAGCACACAAAGATCAGGGTAGATTCGAGATAGTCAGGACCCAGTACAATCTTAAGATGGTACGGAGCTCTCTCAGTCTGCAGAGTTCATTCCGCGAGCATTCCCGCTTGGCTCTTATCTCCCCATCTGTTCAAAAGACTGAGCCTGACGGATGATGTCCGGCTAGTGAAAGATCGTATGGTAGTCTTCAGCCTGTACAACCCATGCCATCGGAGACTTGCATCTGGAGGGGCGGCAGTACGGCTACCCCGACGGATCTGTCTTGAGCGAATTCCCTAGATATCGACAGCTGATAGTCATGCTTCCGCCCTAGTGGCTTGCCACAGAAAAGCGGATAATGTACCGGTTATTGCGACAAATTGCGCATTCTTGAAGTCAGTTAGTCATAACAGCTTTCCTGCGACTTACTTCGTTGATGCAGAAATCTGTGTGAGATGACTTGCCGCATGGCTGTCCTCACTTTCCCTGTCCGCTTGCCTGCCCTGGAAGGTGACAGCAAAGTGTTTACTCTGGGTGATCACAACAAACTCGGCCTCGAATCCACTGAAAAGGATGGACTCGCCATCGCCGTAAGGTCATGGAGGAGTCGAAAAACACCCTACCCTGTCTTCATTTACTCAATGGTCAGTTGATCGTGCTGAATATTAGATGAAAGCCTGTTCATCACTGCCTCTCGCCTTCATTTACATTTGTATTGTTTTATTCCTTTCTTCTTGCGAGCACAGACATATATAAACCACTTGTGCGAGTCGATTCTCGTCTTTGGAGGAGCTCATGAGGATGTGCCTAGATCAGTAACATCAATATGTAGATGACAGGCACTCGACTCACAGCGAGAACCAGATGAACACGCGAGGGAAAGGAACAATTGAACAATGATAGGCACGGGGTAAACACTCTGCTCTCTCATTCTCTATCTGACCGGGGCTTTTGATGCCACCGGGGCCCATACCACCGGGCACTCTCTACCACAGCAAAACCGACCGACAACGACAACACAACCACCACCACCACCACCACCTATTGCTGCATCTTTGGCAACAACATCCTCTGACCACCCTTAACATTGGTGGGCGCCACCCCACCACCAACACCGACAGAAGAACCCCCCACTCCAGCGTTCCCACCCGCCGAAGCGGCAGCAGCGTTCCTCGACACCTTGATCGTACTGTTGATGAACGTCATTGGTATCTTTGTCTGCTGTCCGATCGGCACAGCGCCCGCTGCAGTGCCAGTGGGGCCGTATTGGGCCGTCGGAGAGGGACCAGGGGCAGCCTGGTGCTGGAGGGGTTGCTGGGGTGGTTGGAAAATGAATTGTTGGGGTCCATTCCCCGCTGTTGGCCGCGTGCTTTGCGACCCCAGGCGCGCAGCTCGGAGAGAGGAGGAGGGAGGAGGAGGCGGCAGAGAGGCGGAGGAGACCGACGACGACCTCGTTACTGGCTTGGGTGGTGCTGGTGCAATTGCTTGTCCAGGACCACTGGCCGAGAGCAGGCGAGTGGTTGGTGGTGGAGGGGGGGCGAGAGGAGGGAGAGAGAGAGGAGGAGGGGCGGAGATACCACCGGGCCTGGGGGAGAAATCCAGACCCTGACGTGGGTAGATATCACCGGGCGCAAGCGGCATATGAATGTAGTGGTGCTCAGGATACCGCTGAGCGGTCCACTCGGCGACATCTGCGAGGGCCGACAAGGAGTATGAGTTGCTGTCCATCATTTCAAACGGTCTTGGGATGAGATATCCCTTGATGGTTTCCAGCTCCTTGGCCGCTTCCTCCGAGAGGGTATCCATGTTCATTGTCTTTCTGCGGAACGCCTCTTCTCTCCACTCGTTGTTGCGCTCCTCGATCTGCCTCAAGAGAGGGTTGATGACGTCTTGTTCCAAGACCTGTTGCACGGCTTGGTCGTCGTAGGAGGTTTCAAGGGCGCTCATGAATGGCTTTTCATCCATGATTTTGTTAGAGACGTATCCACGGGGGCGAGCATTAGGTTCGGGACATTCGTGATAATGTGGGAAATAATCCATGTCAGATCCTGTCTCTGTGTGCGTGTCGTCATGAGCTGCACGATAAGCGCGTTCAAACAAGATGATATCTCCTTGTGCGCCAGCAAGATGTTCTTTCTTGGTTTCATTTACACGTGTGCGATATTGTTGCTCAATGACTTCCCTCTCAGCTTCCATACGCACTTTCTCAGCGTTCACTTCAATCTCACGTTTCTTACGGAAATTTTCTTGTTGTTCAGCCATCAGTACCGCGAGTTCCTCAGTGACTTCATCATACTCTGGAAGGTGTTTGTGTGCTTTTGGTTTGTTGGCAAGCTTGGTCAAATCCTTGGTGGCAAGCTTGTCAAGAATGTCAAGTTGTTGATTTCCAACTGCAGAGAAAAACTTTTTGAGTTCGTGCTGTCTTGCTTTGAGCATGGAGATTTCAACACGTTCATCCTGAGTCAAAGGAGCCTTGCGAAAAGGTGGATCTGGACTGTCGCGACCACCACCGGCACCGCCGTTCTTGGGCTTTTGTTTGTTGTTCTTTCTTCCACCACCATTTCCAGAATTACCACCGCGGCCTTTGCTGGCACCACCACGGGTAGATTTCTTGGGAGACTGGGTTTCAGAGTTTGATTGATGATCAGCATCGACAAGTTCAGTGGCAGACTTGGACTTGGGAGGAGCAGGATCATTGTGACGAAGAAAAACTACCTTGGCACCGTTAGGAAGTGGTCCAGAAGGAGTTATACCGTCAGCTTGGTAATAAGTGGGTGCAGCTTGATTGTGCTCTGGCCAAACAACACGACTTTTGAATGATTGAAAATCTTCATCCTTGCGCATCTGGAGTTGAGCTTGCTTTTTTGGTGGTGGTCGTGAAGTTTCAGCATCATCAGAGCTTGAAGCTTTGCGCTTACGCAGGTTGTATGGAGATTGTTCAACTGCTGGTGGAGAGGTGCTTGACACTTTGTCAGGGGAAGAAATTGCTGCTGCAGAGACACTGGCTTCTGGTTCCAAGGCAGTGGCACCCGGTGGAGAAGAAGTGAGAGATGATTCATCAAAGACAGTATCCTCAATCACAGGAGAAGTATCTGCAGGTGGTGCAACAATGGAAGCTGATGGAGAAGAAGTGGCAGCCAATTCAGCAGAGCCAATAGCTTCAATCACAGGGGAAGTAGTACTGGACGGACCAACAATACCATCTGATGAAGAGGGAGTTTCTGATTTGGGTGAAGAAGTGATTTTTGGTGAAGTGACAAGATCTGCTGCCAGTGGTGGGGCAGTCAATTCTCTGAAAGGAGAAGGCATTGGTGTTTCCGGGATAGTAGCTCCTGGAGAAAATACTTTTCCTGCTGCTGGTGGAGGGGTGGTGTTCTTTGGTGATGAAGATTGATCTGAAGATCCATTCGTAGAGCTCGAGTCTGAAGAGGACTTGGCAGTACGGCTTCTGGTCTGCATAAGAATTTCGGGGCGGGGAGCCTTGGGCTTTTGGACTTTTGCCATTTTTCTGAGATTGGTTGTTAAATGAGATGGTCGAGAACATGGATTTAGAAGTCGAAGGAATGAGTATTGGGTGGAAGGGGCATGGGATTTGCTTGACTAGAAGGGCCATTGAAAGACCTCAGGAGACAAAGCATTTGGGGCTAAGCGTATTTGGTGGAGTAGCAAAACTTACCTTCGTTTGTCAACACTGTCAGGAAGAAATCGATGGCTCCGGGCAGTTCGATATCTGGATTTACAGTTTGACAAGGATGAGTGAGAAGTTGTCGGGATTGAAGTGGCAGTCCTCTTCAGGCTTAGAATTGCACAAGGGGAATGTGAGGGTGCTGAAGAAGAAAATGACGGTGCTGGATCTCTGAGGGTTTGGGAGAGGACAGCAGAGAAATACTGAAGCCACAGAGGAGAAGTCTTTCGAGATAACCAGTATCTGGAAGGAATCACTGTGGTGTTTCGATAGAGGTGGAAGTACTCGGTGGAGGGAGAAGATGAGGTATTTCTGGTCTTAGTAGTACTTCTGGTAGGAGGAGCATATTGGGGCGGATGAATAGAAAATTGTGAATAGGCATTGTTGCCATTGTAGCCCGCAGGCCGGGAAGTGAAGCAGTCGACCATGGTTGATTCAGGTTGCTGCCTATTGATGGAGAGTGAATTCATGAATGGGATGGGTGAAGTAGTGAATGTGTCCATCCAAGATGGTGCTGACCTTTTTCGAGGGTGAAGCAAAGCATTTTCAGACACTGGCAGCCCGAGGGTCGAGGCTAAGAAGCTCCCGTTCGCCGCCCTTGCCGCTTTCTCATCTGGGCAGCCGCCAAGTCCAGTGCCATTCCTTTTTAGGATTAGCTCGCCGGCGCGTGCCTTCCGTCGTAGGCTCGGCCGCTTTCAATGCTCAGGCTAGTCACGTGGCTGGCGAAGGCAGGATTTACCTACCTAAGTAGTATAAAAGTTTTCAACACATACCCACGCTTGGAAGAATCTAAGGCGCAGTCAGATCATAGAAGACATTACAATAATCGACCATGTACGTAGACTGTCAAAAAAGCTATAAGGGTATGGCTCGTTCACGCATACAATGGGAGGTATCTGTAGGCCCAAAATCCCATATCATCACAAGTCAAGACATGATTCCCACCCAATGACAACCCATCAACTCCTCGCTAAGAACCCAACATCTGATCACACGTCATGCAACCAATGAGCCACCATGAATTAGATATAAAAACATACTCGCGGTACCAGAAGCCGCGGTAGAGAAATTCCTTGGGGATGCCCACGCTCAAAGAAGCATCTCGCTCAGCCGGCTACCCACCGACAAGTGAGACTTCGGCCTGTCCTTGGTGCTTTTCCGTTTTCCATATTCCACCAGACTGCTCCTTGAGCCTGCCGATAACACAAATCCTGGTAGAATAGGAGGTAGTTCCAAGTCGTCCACGATCGATGGACCGGGACTTCCCAGCCCATCGCTCCCCAAGGTAGGACTATCAGGGACAGAGCCGACTGAAGTCACCGTCTCCGATCGCTCTCTACTTGGCTGCGGCAAGCTTGGAGGGGGAGATCCGATGTTCGAGTTGCTTCGCAGACGCGCCAGGGTCTTGGGCGTGATCAGCTGGTCGGCCATGGGAGAGGCGGTTACCATGGTCCCCATCGTGGCAATTGGTGGTGGATGAGGGCTATTAGGTCGGAATAAAGGGTGGATGAGGTCGTCCATGGAAGGATCGAATTTTTGGAACTTTGGTGGCGGTTTGTTGTCCTTGTGGGATGATGTGGGACGAGAGAAGTTTGGAGGTGGACTTGATGGAGGTGAAGACTTGAGCTGCCGTGGTGATGAGCTAGACCAACCTAGGGCGGTAGCTGTGTCAGATGTGGTAGCATGGGGTGGCGAACTGCTTATGGGAGAGTCTGGGAGATACGGGCCATCTAAAGCATTGGCTGGTGATTCCGGTCGACTGCCTGGTATTGTTGCGAGACCTCCACGAGTTGTTGGTGGTGAGGAGCCAATGGCACTCCGCATTTCGTAATGTACCGAAGACGTATCCCAATCGTCAAAGGCACTGTCGATCGAGACAGCTTCCGCCGCGGGAAATGGCATGATCTCGAGGGATGATTTTGCAGAAGGTCGCATAAGCTTTGTCCTAGACGATCCAGGCCTAACTCTTGTAGATGACGATCGTCGTGTGTCTGACCCTCCCCGAGATACTGGTGTCCTTGGAGGTGAGTTTAGTGTGATATCCTGTGACCCAAAAGAACGCCCTGTACGGTGCGTATTCGTTCTTGAGATATCATGCATGGACGCTCTGCCAAAATCCATATCCAGTCGGCTAGCCCTTTGGTTCTTGAGAACAACCCGTGTCCACATGCCCAAGAAGCAGAACAGCAAGATCTGCAATCCTGCAGAGACTCCCCAAACTCCGAACCATGCCGCAATCAAGGTCATCGGGGTCACGCCCAGCACCTTGTTGATGATCTCGCTTTGCTTGATGGTGATGTACACCAAAGTGACACCAGAGATGGCAATACTGATGAACGCCGCGGCGCCGCCGCCACTATAGATACACCATGTTTTCGATTTGGATCCCAGCGAATGAGTGCTGAGACTCTTGACATACAACGTACAGAAACAGACGATGCTGGCCAAGTTCAACAGGCTGATGGCAAAGGCGACGAAGAGTAGCACTCGAAGGGCTGAAAGTACTGGATATTCTGAAAGATGATAAGCAAAGACCACATTCAGAACACTGCTCCCAATGCTGAAGGCCGCTGCGATGGATCCTATGATCCATATCTTGACACGTCTGTCCATAGAGATTTGACAGTTGGTGCGTGCTGAGTGATGCTGTCGTTCACCCACTCCAGAGGGTTCCTTACTGAAGCGCGGACTATACTACCAGCCAACTCCCAGAATTCCCAAACTACAAGCTGACATTCATGTGAGTTTTTGATGTCGAGAGTTTGGGGTGAAATTCAACGGTCGTGGGGTGGAAGGAGGAGAGTAGATGAAGAAATGCCTGGACACAAGCAACGGAGTAGATCCGACTTTTGGAAGACTGGCAGTGTTGAGCCTTGACCTTTGACGCGCCTCCAAAAAATCTTGAAAGAGAGAGGGGCCAGGGTTCAACACCAGGGTAGTCCTTGTTCTCGACCTAGTCAGACAAGGCTGATCTTACTGGACACGAGGGACGCCCGCTCGAACGCCTTGAAAGCGCCCGCAACTTTGAGCGGGAGGATTTATTCTGCCGTGGGCAAATGTCCAAAAGAGTCGAGACAGGTCGAATGTCGAACCAACCAAGGGAGGGGCTGATGACAGAGTTTGTGGAGAAGCCGAGATTGTCAATGCATGAATATGCATGAATATGCACAATGAGGCAAGAAAATGGAAAAATGTCAACAGAGAAATGTAAACATTGAGCAAGAGAAAACAGACAAGACACAGGTGGCTATGGTCATTGAATATTGCATCAAGGTTACTTCCTACCTGGCATGTTACCATGCATTCATTCACTCCGTACACCGAACCAGGCATGGACATTCGACCGCTGTGGTACTACGCAAAGAGCGAGGTAACGCGTTCGAATTGTTTTTGCATGATACAAAAGCCCACTAGCTCGCACCACGGCAAAGGTTTTGGCGTGTCATGTTCGCGCGGATGTGTCTAGGATGTTGGTTCGCGGGAACGGAGACGGGGATAGTGGAAGCGAGTCGACCGGCGAGAAGGGAAGAAGTTTCCAAAATTTCAACAGCCACGAGTCCAAGCGAAGAGACCAGAGGCGCGGGTTTGGCGCACAGAAGCCGGACAAGGCGTTGGGCTCAGATGGAAGTTGTTGGTGTTGTTGGGTGTCGGTGGATGTTGATGGCGGGCGGTGCAATCTCGTTATCAAACCTTAAATCCATGTCGTGCAAAGGGCAATTTGCCGCCTTGGCCGAGCCTCAATTTCCATCCGCAAACAAATAAACGCGTTGGGTTAAACGGGCTCCATCAAGAAGCCGGGTCTAGGATCGTCCTTCTTCGGTGCTCGCCGTTGGTCATCCTTGGACCTGGATGATGTTGCTGTTGCAAATGTCGCTCGCGAATTCCTGCTCGGAATTGTTCAAGCTTGGGTAAGATTGGCCAACCCCATGAGATGATTCAAGTCTAGCCATGAGGCTACACGTGGATGGAAGACATCTCAGCCGAGAGCCACTAGAGCACATATACTCTCAAGTTTCAAAACAATGTCGCAATCTCACCTTACGATATCTCCATTGCACGAAACTTGACGGTCGAAGGTGAAGTTGGAGGTGGATCAGGCTGGAAATTATCCGAAAAGGGTCGAAAACATCTTGGCACAAACATACGCCATGATTGGGCGGCCTCGTCTACGACCAAATGCAAGATCCGATATTGACCATTTACGTACTGACCATTCATCTGCACAACATCGTCTGTTCGATCAATCGAAGGATCTGGATCAATATGTCGCGGCTGTTGAAGGCGATCCAAACGTAGCTGATACCCTAACACAGCGACATTGGTGATCTCGGTCTAGTGGTACGAGAAGTCTGAAAATGCAATCGTAAACCTATAAGCTGTCACTCCTGACAGGCACTGCCACTTTGTGATACATCTAAAAGAAACTTCCATTTCGGGATACTGCCCCAGGATTTTTGTACGCCACCATCGCAATATCGATGGCCCTGAGTCGTGCTATTTGTACACCAAAATGCAGATCTCGCACGGCTTGCGCAAAAAGCCAACCCAACCAAAGCCTCCGCCGACGCCATGCTAATAACAGATATCATGTCTCGTTCATTCAATGTCCCAAAAAGATCGGATGCATCAAAAGCAGTGATTGTCATGTCCGACTCAGGGCGACTTCTTGCTCCATCTGCCAGATGTCAGATCTAAGTTCGCTGACGCCAGCCTGTTCGTGCGATTGTATGGCTTCCACACTGCCCTCGATGTCCTTGACAGCCGTGTTCAACCCTTTCAATAGTCGCTCGATTTCAGCTCGTTGTTGATCAATCGTGGTCATCATTTGTGCATTCTCTTGTTGCGTTCGCTGTAATTTGGAATTGAGGTCATCTGTCACTTGCTGAAAATACGGTGTGAGATGCGCGGTGTATAGCTCATCGGCTGAGAGCGTGTGCAGTCTGTTCCGCGGTCAGCTTCATCCAGGTGCAAAACGGTCTGCGTCACACACGCCCTCGCGGGTTCCTCGCCCTCGACTCCGCGATTCTTTCTCCCTCGTGCTTCCTCAATCATGCTATCCCATTGATTTAGACCCTCCACGATCTGTCTCTCCTCGAGAATCTTTTCAAAATCGCGCCTGCATTCTTCCTCAAGTCTCGTGTTCAATTGCTTCCACACTCCTTCCATCGCAGTAGGACAGTACCTTGCAGGCGTTGGAAAACATGAACTGAAATTGGCATATGAGTTTGCCTTGATTGAGGAGGATAGCGCGCCATTGAAGACCTTTTGTAGTGCAGCTGCTCGTGGTCCTGGGGCGGTTGCTGTGGGTGCTTTTGGTGGAGGGGAAGGCGAAGCAGAGCCACGGTCGGCCATTCTTCAGTTATCGCAGCGGACGTCCTGGTGGAGGTTGCTCCCAAACTCACTTAGCGATCTAGGCGAGTGCAATAAGTGAATTCATCAGACATGACTTGAGAAATTCTATGGCGCGATGGATGGAATCCCGCATCGAGGATGAATATAAACACGCCAAGCCGGATAAAACTTGCGTCTCTTTGGCGTAGTGCCGCTTTAAGTTTGCCTCGGCTCTTTGTGGGCAGCCTCAGGCTCTGGTCAATATTGGGTGTGAAGGACAACCCAATTCCGATTTGCTTGAGGTACTAAGAAGATAGCAGTACCTAGATAGACAGGTACCTGTGTGTGTTCAGCACCTCTCGAGGCCGTCACGGTGCAATTATGAGTTATGATTTTGGAGACAACGGAAAGTTGTTGAACACGTAGAATCCAGTAATCCCTGGAATATATATTCGAAATCCTGTAGATGTACATGATGCAACGTTTCTGAACAGCCTTTGCCCGAGAAGAGCTATAAAACATTCATAATTTTGGTTTCGAAGCCTGCTGTTTCCGAATATACGCCAGCACAGCATCGACACCGGCCTGCGACACCTCCGTATCCTGCGCTGGGGTGCCTGTACTGCACCCAATAGCACCAATGACCTCGCCGTCCACAACAATCGGAATGCCACCGGCGACATACATGAAGCGACCGTTATTGCTGGCATTGAGTCCGAAAGCAGCGCCGCCAGGCCAGACGTTCTCCTTGTAGACGGACGTTGGGGCGCGGTGACCAGCGGCTGTGAATGCTTTGTTCATGGCAATGTCGATGGATGTCAATTTGGCGCCCGGCATGCGCTCAAAGTGTAGAAGGTACAGTGATGCGTCGACGATGGCGATGTTCATCGGTACTCCTATCTCCTTGGACTTCTCGAATGCTGCTGCCGAGGCGACTTTTGCTGCATGGTGGGTGATGTGAGCTGGTCGATGGATGGCCGCCATGACGACACGGGTTCTTGTCGATGTATGATATTGATGTATTAGATGGAGGTGCCCTTCTTGCGGTAGAACTTAGTATAGTGATTGGACTAAGATAGGTTGCTAGTTCTAATGATATGATATTCTCTATTACACCAATGATCTAACTACAGTCCGAAGTTCACATTGTAGTAGAAGCACTCGAAGTATCACAGAGGGTGAGGAGGTTTGCATAACCGGCGACGTCAGCGACGGAGTGCTCGCCGTACACTCAGCCCTGTCTCAAGTGCCGATAGGCTTGAGCGTCCAGGGGCCAGGGCTGCTTCAGTAGCCCACTGAGCCTTAGGCCGTCAGAATTAGTTAAAGCTTCTGGGGATGGACAAGGAAGCAACTCTCTAATTGCGGGGAACCCATTGGGTGGATTATCACGGCCATTGATAAGTACCTATATGTTTATGTCGAATATCATGAACGTAAACGAGCATATTGGTGATTGTTTCAATCAATCATGTACACTTCTGACTCCCTGACAAGCCTCACGTCCATAACTTGGGTTCTAGATATGTCTACACAATGAGCTCATCGCGGCAGATGCAATGGACGGCTGCGTTGATAAATCAAGTCGATGACTGTCTCCGACTCCTTATCCAAGTACTCGGGAGCTTTCTTCTTTACTGGACCCTGTTTCTTCCAATTAGGTCCAATTTCAAATATCTCGCCAGATGTATCGTTGGTCCCCAGGAGCTTCTCAAATGCATCCACCACACCCTCAATTGGAGTCAACAATCCCTTGTCCTCTAGGCTGTCATAGAAGGACGCTGTTGAGATATTGGTCCGGATGACATTTGGATTGACAGAGTTGAGAGTGATCTTTTCTTCTGGAAGATATTTCCCATAGCTACGCACAAAGCCAGTCACCCCATGTTTGGCCGCCGTATATATCGGGACTGTGATTGTCAAGTTCTGACCTCAGAATTGGGTAGGGTGTGCTTGTTACCTGTAGGAGCACAGTAGAACCCACAAACACTTGCAACACAACCAACTAGACAAGTCAGAGACTGGCAGATCTCTTGCTGGAATCATCACGTCTCCAAGACTCTGGAAAGAACACTTACTCTTCCCCCGGAAACCATTCTTTCCGGGTTCCTGTCTTCTGAATTGCTGCACTGCTAAACCCACAGTGTAAAGCACGCCGGTTAAATCAATGTCAATAGCACTGAGATTAGGCATAACAAAGCCACTGGAGCTTGGGTCGTTGGGAATCCATGGTTTCTCGCCAATGCCTGCAATGGGATAAACATAATCGATGCGACCAAAGTCTGCCACAGCCTGACTGAAAGCTTTGGCTTGAGAGTTCCAATCAGCAACGTCAACATGGGACACACAGACAGCATGGTCAGAAGCCTTGTTGAGTTCGTCTGCCAGCTTCTGAGCACCTTCCTGGTCTCGATCCGCGACAAAGACTCTGATGCTATTGAAGCGTTCAGCCACGATATATTTATTTATTCACCTGGATCATGAACACACTTATTCTTCACGAGCATTCGAACCACCTCCTTTCCAATACCGGAGGCGCCACCAGTCACGTACGCTGATTCCTGAGACATTTTGGTGTCCTGTAGTAGATGAAGAGATGTCTTCAAAGAGCTTACCAGAGAACTCTGAACGACAAAATGAACAGCGTCACATTTACCTCCTATCAGCACTTGAGGCATTCATGCCATAGTGAGGGGTTTGCCGGTTGTCCAGGCCGAGCTTGACCATTCAGATTCATGTTATGTCATTGCAAGCAACAGCAAATGACCGAGGAAGATGAACGGATGAGGAGAAACAATGCAGAAGAAGTTGCCCAGTGGAGAGGTTGCCATTCAAGCTGATCCCTGTCAAGCCTGGAAGTGGTTGGTTTTCACCTAAATTGAGGCTCCTGCTCCTTAGGTGGGTGTTAGGCTTCACTGGCCTGCTGCTCAGGCTCCTCAGGCGTGAACCTGAATGCGGGGTGCATGAACATTTGCAACAGCAGGAGCTATCCGCATTGGAAGCTCCGCTCCTACCAAAAGTTCCTTGTCCACTTGAGGGGCATCGTATCGCAGGCTGAACTCCATCTTTAAACCACTCACCGTCAACGACCAGACCACTGGCAGCAGAACATCACTGCCTCACGTCATATTCGAAACCCACTCTTCAGCTGGTCGCCAACTCCCAATCGAGCTTCTTCAGATAACCAACAGTGGCAGTCTTTCGAGGCCCATCATGGCTGCTGAGGTTCCGGCTGCGCTCAAGGCCGCCGACATTACACGGTTCGCCCATCGAGCATCGCAGCTGGAGAAGCCAAAACCTATACTTGCTTACTGGTGTATGTATCTCAATGTATTCGACACTGAAAAGCCCTAACTTACCGAACAGGTGAATACTGGATTGTCAACCAAATCCTCTCGAAAGGCCTTCACAATGCCGACCAAGAAAGCCTGGTTTATACAACCACTCTTATGGACAAATTAGAGCAATACAAGGCTCAGCATTCCGACGAACCTGCCGTGGTGGATGATGTTGTTGGAAAGGCCTATGTTGAGCAGTTTGGTCTGGAAACCTTTGAAAGAGCCGATAATGCAGTCAAAGCCGACAAGGCCACCAGACAAACTGCAGACACATATCAAGCTGCTGCTACATTCCTCGATCTACTTCAGATATGGGGGCCAGTTGATCCGGAAGCTGCGGCAAAAATAAAATATGCGAAATACCACGCCCTACGCATCGCAAAGGCTTTGAAAGCGGGTGAAGACCCCAATCTGTCCAACCCAAAAATCAGCACTCCTGCAGATGAGCAGTTGCCAGCCCTCGATCCCAATGATGCAGATGTCCAAGCCCTGGGTGGTGCCTCTGGAAAGCCCAGACAAGCTTCCGTCGTTGAAGTGCCAGACGAAGCGCATGGAATACAACAGAGTTTGGCGCAGAAATCCACTCTGGATGAATCTTTGCATCCATCTCGAGAAACCTCCGTCCCACCTACAGCTAAAAAGACCGCGCGCCAGCCATCCGTGGTAGAGGTGAAGGACGAAGCAGACCGGATACAGAGCAGTCTCGCTCCTCAGTCATCCTTGGATGAGTCACTCCATCCATCCAGACAGACTTCACAACCACCAACGCCCACAAATGACGTTTCTCCCATCGCGGCACAGGATGCAGCAGCCTTCTATTCAACACAAACTGACACCAATGATATATCACCGCTGGATACTCCATCCGAGAGAAAGCCATCTGTTGGGGGTAATTACTTTCCACTTGTCCCTGCGGATGTTGCTCCCAATCTTCCCTCTGCCCCAACGAGTGTTGGAGGGCCTCCTCCTGACTTGCCTTCCGCTCCCGTGGATTTCGCCTCAAACCCATCAAACCCACCTCCATCGGCTCCCACCGATCCTGAGCTACCACCGGGTCGAGCTTCACTCACCTCTCTGAACCAAACGGGTCGTCCATCTCCACCACTTCCAGCTCATCGGCATGGTAACTTCCTTCCACAGCCAGCTCCAGGACAACCACCACAGATTCCCTCCAATTTCCAACCCCAAGTGCCTCCTCCGCAAATCCCACAGAATCCTCCTCAGCTTCGACAAACTCACGGTCCGGTGCCTCCTATCCCACAACCTCAGAACCTCGTATCTCCCAGTCCTATACACCCACCTGTCCAAGCGCCTTCCGCTTCACAGCCAGTCAACGTCGTGCTTGATGAAGAAGCCATCATGAAAGCGCAAAAGCATGCACGCTGGGCTATTTCGGCCCTCAACTTTGAGGATGTCCCAACTGCAATTAAGGAGCTCAGAGGTGCTCTAGCGTCGCTGGGGGCTGCGCCGTGAGCACCTCTAGCACGAAAAGTTTCCTATACCCCTCGGGATATATTTTTGAACAGGACTTTTCCCCACCGATATAGGTCGCGAGTTCAAGCTCCGATGTATGGCTCGGATTCCTCGCTATGCATACTACATTTCCATACGCGGGATTGTGCTAGGTTGAAGGCACTGGTTTATTAGCGACCGATTTGATTTCCTTGACGACAGCGCCTGGTTGATCATGAAATGGACAGACGAGTACGTGGATCTGTAGCAAGGCAGTGTTGGAGATACGCCTCACTGGAAGGCAAGGTTGATATGATCGCGTTTAATGCGCAGGTATGGCTTGTAACTAAATACCGCCCAATGACAGTTTGCGCGGCATGTTTGGACACTACCCATTTCACATGGTCACAGGAAGAATTCTGAGCCTTGTAAATGATGATCTACCACAGAATCTATCACGACGTCTGTGTGTTGCACATTTCTCGAGCCATACTTATGCAGGTAGTGATTGAGACTAGATACCTAAGAAAAAACTCTGTTTCAAAGGAGCGATCCCCCAGATTAGGTATGTATTGTGGCAACTTGCAAGAAGCCAAACAATGATGAATCTTGATCAAATAACGTAACTACTATCTATGAACCTCACAGTAATGGTATGTAAGTGGCACGTGAATTGCCATGTCCCATCTAAGGTATCTAAGCTGAAATACCGCCTCGAGTCAGGAGTCAGGAGTCACCCACGGAGGTATTCACATCTCTTTCGGCATTTACTCCATTCCCCCCGGGGGGGGGGGACCCTACTATTCCATTTCCTATTTCCGCCTAGGTATATCTCATGGGGAAATCTAGTATGGATCCATTTTTACTTCTGTGGCCAATCTAGGCCTTTCCAAGCAGATTGCGTTTGTGTTGCGCCAATATCGCATCATAGTCCAGAAAAGCCATGGTTGATGCGCCAGAAGCAAGACGCAAAAAAAGCACAAGGCAAAAAGCAGTATCTACCATGATGCCATGAGAAGTAATACCCAAAAAGAAAAGCATCTCTGGGTTCTGCTTTGTGCCCAAGTCAGAGATAGCAGTCGGTGTTTTCCAAGTCCTTGTTCTCCCTTCCTCACGGAGAATATACATGATGCTTCTGTCCATGTGTGCTCCCTCTCACTCACGGGTTCGGTCTCGATCTTGTGGACTTTCTCCCGCCACACCATTCCGTGCTGGCCCATTGTCTTCTAGGACAGGACCTTAATCGAATAGGTCGCGCGCCTGCCTCCGTTGTCGGCGCTCACGCACCGGCTGATCAAACAGCTCTTTACCCGCATTTCCTCCAGACCGGTCATACTGGCCAGGGAACAGCTCCTTGACGTCCGCGCGGCCTTTGATGCTCAGGCCGCCTGAGCCTTTGATGTTGAAGCCGTTGCCGTTTCCGTTTCCGTTGCTATTCCCATTCCCATTGCCGGCTGAGCCTTTGATGTTCAGTCCTCCACCCCCGCCGCCACCCTCGGATGGGAACAATTCCACTCCACTGTTGGGCAGATTATTGCGCAGCGATTTCGTGCTGTCGAGGGAGATGCTCTTGCGCCCGAACCGCTCCGCGAGGTCTTCGGCGTTCTTCGCGTCCATGGCGTGGCTGCGCCGGTGGTGGCCGCCCCCGCGTGGGCTAGTCTGCGCGGCGTTGAGGAGGTCTGCTTTCAGGCGTTTGGCGGCCGCGGCGTTGGCGCGCACGTTGGCTGGGTCGTTTTGTGGGCGCGACGGGGTTGTCGTCATGGATGTGTCGGTGTCGAGGTGCGTGTTTGTGCTGGCTTTGGAGGGGAAGAGTTCTATGCGATCTGAGTGTAGACCGCCGCTGCCGGGTTGCGATTTGCGAGTCGTGGTGCCGGAGTCGCCGAACAGCTCTTTGCCTGCGTTGTTGCGGGATGAGCGGTCCGTGCGGTCTCGATAGCCGTTGTTGGTGCGTCGCCTTTGGGTGCGGTCGTCTTCGGAGTCGGAGATGTCGATTTCATCGCTGTTCCGGGTTCTGGCCGTAGGGCTGGCACTTCGTCTTCTCCCTTTGCTGACACGAGAGAATAGGTCCCTGCCGCGTGCTGTGGGCTCACCATCGGTGGCTGGAGCGTCATCGTACATGTTTGCCGAAAAATCTTCCCCGCCTGCGTCATGGTCGTTATCTCTCCTTCTCCTGTACTCGCGATCATCGAAGCGTCGACGTCTGTAGTCGCCATTGTCACTTCTCCCCCCTCCTCGACTGTTGGCGAACTCGCGCCGCATCCGGTCGGTGGGGTCTTGATCTGGATGAAGGAGGTAGTATCGGCTGGCGTCTCTTGCATTCTTTGCTTTCCGGTCTTGAGCTTGCGCGACTCGAACCACAAGCATACTGGCCGGTCTGGTGGTGAGAGGTTTGGCGGTGCGAAGTTCGAAGGGGGCGTTGATGAGTTCTTGGGCGGAGATGGGGCGTTGGAGGAACGCAAGATGTGCGTTTTTCGCCGTCTCGCTATCCTTGAAACAGATGTTGGCGGATGTATCGTCAACCCATTGGATGTACACCTCAGGTTTCTCAGCTTGATCCGAGCCAAAGTGATCATGAGCGAATGTTACGATGTCTCGAGTGTGAAGATCATCAACACCTCGAATGTGAACTTTATTCCACTGGGGCTCGAGACCAGGGTCCTCGGTGTAGATGGCAGGTATTAGGTCCGAATTTGCTTGAGCGACTTGCGCGCCTGTTGGTACAAAAGATGGTTCTTCGCCTTCCTGCGGGGCTTGAGTTAGTATGTGGTGTCAGGATTAAGAAGGACGTGTTTTCCCGTACTTCGAGCTGGAACTCTTCGTCAAGGGTTGTGACATGTTCACCGAGATCCATATCGATGTCGATGTCCATCAGATCGGCGTCCTGCGCCGAAGACATGGTGGACTGCATGGCGAGAGCCATAGTTTGGGACGTAGGTATGAAAGTGAGGGGGGATTGATCTGTTTCTTAATTTTGTTTGCAAACTGCCAGATCAGAGCTGTAAAGATTGGTCGGAAGTTGATCAAGGTTGTTGGGACATGTCGAAGAGGTTCAATCTCAGACTTAAGTGGATGAACCTGATGAGTGCATGTAGTGATGCGAAGGGACGTGAAGTGATGTCGCAAAATATGAATTAGATGTGTATTTGAGACTGGATGTGACAATTGGCCAATATCAAGGCTGAAGAAAATCGAATATCGACCGTTGACATGGTTGCCCGAAAAGTACACGAGCAAGGCAGTTTTGAGGCCCTTGTCGTTGGACTGTCAGTGGTGCAGATACTTGGAGGGATGATGTCGAATCGAATTGTGCTGCTCGCAATAGGAACTGATGCCGCGAATGGAAGTTTGCTCAGTTTGCAGAGAATCCAATTTGGGAATGAACAGCTGCTGCTTTTGGAGCGTTTGATCAGACTAAGCCATAAACGGACTATCAAGCATTTCTCCAAATCCGTTACCCCGCATCTACGATTTGATTGCCAGGGTCCCCCATTCGCGTTGGCATCCGCCCCTGCGATTAAGACTTACTTAGGTATGGAAGGCCGAGGAGGAAGTAGCGTAGATGATCGTCATAAGACATTCATCATGATTCAATTGTGCTGTGGCTTGCAAGTCTCGTTGACTCCACCATCATGATTGCTCGTTGTCAGTATCGACCTCTCATTTAGGTAGCGAATCGGATGGCATTCGCAAGACTACTGTTGCGCGCCCGAGGTTGTTCTCAGCCAAGCTGGTCGAGGACATCGGTGACGCATGCAGTACCTCCTGGCAGAAGATATTTCTCAGTTCATCGCATAGCCGGTTCACTGGGAGCAGAGATCCATGATGTGGACATCCATTCCAGCTCGCTGGCCGAGAACCCCGGGATCGTGAAAGAGATCCGGGAGGCATTTCTTGAGCATCAAGTGATCTTCTTCCGAGACAAGCATCTCTCCCCAAAAGAGTATCTTACATTTGCCTCAAGTTTCGGAAAGCCAGTTGAATATCCCTTCGTCAAAGGCATCGAAGGGTTCCCTGAGATCATCCAGGTCCTCAAGCAAGAGCACGAAACGATCAATTTCGGGGGTATCTGGCACAGCGACACCAGTTACTTCGAGGAACCACCCCTGGGATCTGTTCTCATGGCGCAGGAGGTCCCGCCCTTTGGAGGAGACACTTTGTTCGCCAACCAGTATGCTGCATATGATGCGCTCTCAAAGGGGCTGAAGGTGACGCTCGATGGGCTGAAGGCAGTCAACACTTCTGCAAAAGCGGATGCAAGCAAAACCCGTGAAGACCGGATCCGCGACAGTGGCAATAGCAATTCGAAAGACACACTCGAGGCTACTCATCCGGTAGTGCGTACTCATCCCGAGACAAAACGGAAGGCACTGTACGTCAATGTGGCGCACACCTCACATTTAGATGGTTGGACTGTGGAGGAGTCGGCCCCTCTTCTGAATTATTTGTTCGCCCATCAGATCAAGCCCGAGTTCACCTGCAGGTTTGTGTGGAAGGAAGGGAGTATTGCGTTCTGGGACAATCGGTGCGTTCAGCATAATCCGATCAATGATTACCATGGCTTTAGGAGACAGATGTTGAGGATTACTCTGGCAGGTGATATACCGAGATGATTGATCTGCATCTACTGGTAGGGGAAGAATGTATAAGCAATGCAATGAAGCTAGTATGTATTCATCCCAGTCAAGACACTGTGATATCCGGGGTTTCCTTAAAGGCTAGCTACATTTTCTGATGATCATGCTTGGGTACATTTCTTTCCAAACATCACCCACAAGATGTGTTTCAACTTGATCACCAATACCTTTTCCCAATAACGCATGTCTAATTCCTTGAATGACATCCTTTTCTGGCCCCCGTGACTGCACCTTTTCCCCCCACTTCCCTTCTGTTCCTCATGACTGGACCTGCCAGGTCATGCTTAGAGAAACCCTCACTTGTCTCAACTCTTTCCTGAAAGTGAGACCTGTGGTATGGTATTGGGAAAAAGATTGATTTAGAATCTTGTAGCTCTAAATGAAAGTATGTGATCTTAAATGAAAGTATGTGATTGTGAATGAAAGTGAGTGGAAAAAGTATTTCCGTCATAGAGGTTGGCAAAAAGTGTTGAAAACCTGTATGTGGCCCTTGCAAAGAAAAGCAAGACGAGTGAAGCACAGTGAATGGAAGACCGCCGATGATTGGGTTGGAGATGGGTCTAATATCCAGTTCGAGCCTGCTTTCGTGGCCTCACGCCCTTGGCAATTGCATTCAGAATATCATCATCCGGCTCCCAAAGGGCTTGTTCTTGTTGCTGTTCAAGTTGTGATTCCCAGTCAGATTCAGAGTCGCTATCAAGGATAGATCTTCTAGTACGTTTGCCAGGAGTTGTTGGAGGGCTGACTGTGGTATCAGGTGAGACGAGATCTTGTTCATCATACGAATCTGAATCCGAGTCTGATTCCTGCTTTGAAGAACGGCTTCTGTGCATAGTGGGAGTCTTTCGTTGACTCTGCGATGGTTTGGGCACTGATAATTTGGCTGATTTGCCTTGCTGCGACGTTGCCAAAGGTGCATTTCTGTTCTTCCGCTCATCAATTCCAGAACGCGCACGACCAACGCGGTTCCAAAAGTTCTTGATCGCGGTTGACTTTGTTCTCTCGAAACCATCGATCTCTTTCATTCGTCTTCCTGCCTCCCGAAAACGTGCTTCGCCCGTAATGATGCCTTCTTTCACAACTGCGCTCATATGTTCGATGCAGGACGATTCCTCTTCGGGAGACCACTTCCTGCTTTGCTTCTTAGGGCCATTGGCTGTCGTTGAGTGTGACTGAGGCAAAGAAGAAGATGTGGTAGGAGGAAGTGTCTTGCCAGTCTTAGGACGGGTCGTGCCAGCTATAGAGAGAGCCTTGCCACTGACAGGAAAAGTCTTCTCACTTGCAGATGGAGTCTTGCGACTTGCAGGAATGGTGTTGCTGCCTGTAGATGGAACAGAGTTGGTTGCTGGACGTGAAGGCAGGGTGAAGACTTTCGAGATGGTCTTGGTAGGTTTGGCTGGGAGAGAATCGGTGGCCGTCGCTGCTGCAGTTGAAGGGGAGGCGGGGACGGCCCAGGGAGAGACAGGTGGGGAGGGAAAGGAGTCAGGGAAGAGATCAAATGTCGGAGTCCAGATGGTGCTGAAATCTGGGACCTCCCACAGAGCTGGGTCCAGCCCGTGCTCTGAGAAGCTTCCTTCGTCTGCATTGATCTCTTCATCGACAGTCGCTGACTCCGCAATGACAACAGTCTTCGAGAAGGACAATTGCTGCTTGCATGGTGCCCCGAATCCACAGAGCACACATTGATCACCAGTGGCGGGCTTGTTGAACGACTTCAAGAGTCCTTGACGCTCTTCAAAGTACTTTTGAAGGACTTTTGGATGTGCATCGAGATATTGAAACACATCAGTGTCGGTCAGTGGGACAATCTCGACAATTGGGCGGATGGTTGAAGCCAGAGCTTCCATGAAAAAGGACTCTTTTGCATTGTAAAAAGACATTTTGAGAAGTGATATTGTAAGAAGACATAAGGAGGCCGGCCTGCGGCTTTTGGAAGGGATATGAAGAAGAATATGGCTTTGAGAAGGGAGATCAGTATGGGGAAACCTTTGTGGGAGAAATTGCAAAGACTGTCAGCATTGTGTAGAAATAACGAGGGCATTGTGGTTGAGATGGCCCCGCTAGCAATCCCATAGAGAATGTCAGTGAAGTAGATGAATAGCATTGTTGACAGGGGTAGCATCGATCCTATTGTGTGCAGTGAATGTTGTCAATAAATCAACATATGAAGATTCACTGTAGGTGAGGTGAGATGTCTTCTTCGGCCAATAGCGCCACAAAAAGTTTGACAGTGAATGTGGAATTTGAGCAACAATAAGACATCGATTTCTGCATTGAAGCAACCTGATAGCTCTTCATTACCAGCAAGGCTCACATGTTGATGGAAAAAATTGAAGACAGAGCCTTGAGCACCCAAATTGCGTCGCTCCAACGGGGCAAATCAGCAGCTAGACTCTGGTCACGTTGCTCGCGATATCCCTAATTCATACGTGAGACTCGTCATGTTGTCTGTTCCTTCGTTAATGACATGCCATGGCCTTCTGATAAGACATTCATCAATGAATGGAAGGCGTTCAACTGTATGAATTTAGGGTGACAAGAAGTTTGGTGAAGTTGGGTGAAGCGGCAGAATTACTGCTTGTTTTTCCGGAGTTCTTTGGATTTCCCCGAGGTTCATCCGAAAGGGCGCGCTTTTATGTTCATCATCCATCGTCATCACGGTTTCTGAATGACCAGTGCGCTCCCTTTCTTCATTTCACCATGGCACTAGATACTGGCCTCCAAGGCGTTCATGTCCTAATCACAGGAGCATCTGGGGGCATCGGAATCGAGGTAACACGCAGCTTTCTCCAGCTTGGTGCCAAAGTCTCTGCCCATTACAACAGCTCTCAACGAGAACTCTCCGAGATCAGTTCATCCAGCTTGAAAGCAATACAAGCAGAACTGACTCGCGAGGACGATATCGTCAAGCTTTTCGACGCAGCCGAGGAAGCGTATGGCACTCCAGTTCAGATCCTAATTGTCAATCATGGTGTGTGGCCGACACAATCAGTCGAGCTCGCAGATATGACGCTCTCTCAGTGGCGAAATACCCATGCTGTCAACCTTGATGGCTCCTTTCTCTTGTGTCGCGACTTTCTGCGTCGTCTGCGTGGGAAATCTGCACAAATATTAGAGCCTGTCAGCATCTGCTTCATTGGAAGCACTGCAGGCAAGTTTGGTGAAGCAGACCATGCCGACTATTCAAGCACAAAATCAGCATTGATGTATGGTCTCACGAGAAGTCTGAAGAACGAAATTATCAGAATAGCACCAAAAGGGAGAGTCAACAGCGTTGATCCCGGTTATGTCAAGACACCTTTGGTGGAGGAAGTTACGAAGAATGAAAAGCTCATGGCAGTAGCACTGGCCAGCACTCCTTTACGGAAAACCGCACTGCCAATTGATATTGCGAACCAAGTTGTGGTTGTCAGCAGTCCAACTTTAAGCGGACATCTAACAGGCGTAAATGTTTCTGTTGATGGAGGGATGGAGGGGCGGTGTCTGTTTCCACCTCAGGCTTAAATGGCGGGTACTCCCTCTCTCATATTCAATGCCATCGAATGATGATTTTTTGAACCCAACAACGCTTTGAAGTGGGAATTTCAAGGGGACCAAAATCAGCGACAGGAATTGATGCTATCATACTCCGCAGCATTCTGTACGTCTAGCCATGATATATCGTCCTCAAACCAAATCGATGGAATCAATGTGACTTGGCTTGACAGATAGATACCTCAACCATAACGAAAATATCGCATCGATCGTTTTATAATGCTGAGACAACGTGGCCACTGTGACCAAGGGCAAAAAAATTGAATGTCAGTCTTCCAAATCAACTGGGATGCGGGCGCTTGCTTTGGCCGTTTAGAGACGCCTCTAGATCCCCATATTTGGAGACTCTGGAGGGATATTACTCTCTACAGGCTTCATTGACTGATTGAGTCGGCCCCACCAATTAACCAGGTAGCTAGGAGGATTGACTATAAGGGGCCCGTCTTAGCGGCTTCACTCCCAGCTGCGCGCACCAGATCCCGGAAGAGCGTCCGACAAGCTGTACCGAATTGGTCCTCATACCAGCACACTTTGCGCAGGAGATTTTCTACCTGGTTGAAATAGGAAATGCACTGAGAGCGCAGGAACTCTCTCACACGGCGGAAATACCATTGCTGGGTCGCCTTGGTCTGTATCGTTATGGCCCCATTGAAAAGCAGCCAGCATAACACTTCCGGTGACCAATACAATGAATCACCATTCTGTGGGCTGGGCTGCTCTAAGGACAGTCGCAGTGCTTCAGCAATAGATCGGCTGTAGACACCCGATACCGACATTGCAGGAGAGATGGTGTACATAAAAAGTATCTGACCCAAACGAATAGACCGCAGCACGATTGTTTCTGCCGTGTTGACAGCCAGGACTTGCGGTAGTGATCTTGATGTTCGGCGCAAGCAGCGGGAGACAAACTTATGATATGCGAAATTTCTCTCCCGACGCTTCTCACGAGGTTCGGGCTCCGAACAAAACTCCTCTCTCAAGGCCACCAGCTTGCGAATATCTTCGAATATATCCGTTGCGAATGGAGTGTAGCCCCATTGTCTGACATGGAGTTCAACGTGTGAGTTGGTAGCATCTAATGGCCTTGGACTTGGTGCAGACGGTACAGTCAGAGGGGGGTTGATGTCGCACCTGCAAGAGCTCGGTCAGCTGCAAACTTCTCAGGCGACCGAGGATGTGGGACTTGGATTTACCAAATTGACAATCTGAGAAGCATGCCGTATAGCTCCACGCTGAGATTACCGCCTCTGAGCTCGAGAAACTTGTCCAATGCAGCGATGTGCATACTTGCCGAATGATATCGTAGGTCCGGTATTCGACTCTAGAGAGACTCGTCAACTGCGTCACACGGTATTCATCCGTCTCGACACCCCAGATCATACCTCGACGTACGCCAGCATTCCTACTGCACAAAACATCGCATCTGTGATCAGCGACTCGGCACCTAAAAGGTCCTTGTTCAACGATGCGATTGCTCCTCCTCTGTGGTACCAAAAACAATTATCTGCGGGCCGACCCTGAGCTCGCTGTACTTGCAATACAGTCGCCATGAGTACATGAAAGCACGCTGCACTACTCAGCGCAATGGGAATGAAATCTCTATTGGGATTCTTTGCAAGATTCTTGTTGTTCAAATCATTCAAATCTGTGTTCATTAGCATCGGCTGTGAGCCTTTGACTTTGGAATACCAACAAAATGCGAATAATGACTGGACCAAATCATTGTCCTCTACGGGGAACACCGTGAAGTGATCTCGTCGGTATGTACTTGTGGCATCGAGAAGGGAGATGTGCGGCTGCGAGTGTCTTTCTAACGGAAGAGTGGAAGCACTATTGGGCTCAGAGGCACCTGTCGAGTGATCGCTAGATTCTACCACGGCATCGTGAGAAATTGAAAGGACATGGGTGCAGATGTCAGGGTACTTACTGGACACCAATGGCCTCCTTTTCCGGGCATACCGATCACTTCTCTCGAGTCTGAAGCGACTGAGACGTTGTCCTATGTCATTTCGCTGCACCGACGTAAACGGTTTAGCCCAGTTTGACAAAGGCATATCTGGCAGTCTTTCGAGTGCGGCATGCTTCTGACTCGTCGGCCGTATGGACGGAGACAGAGGCAGAGACGTGCTAGGCTGCGATTCGATGGGGACGAAGACAAGTTTTCCCTCATGGCTTGCTGTCTTGCCAGTGGAAATTACGCGAGTGCCTCTCGTCGCGGCTTTTCCAGTGGATTTGGCCATGGTGGTGTGTCGGCTATCTCGATACTGATGCTGCGTCGAAGACGATATTGCTTTATCTTGTGAAATGATACTTCTGGTGGCTTACCCAAGCTGAGCCGTCAAATGCCTCGATGTGTTCGAGTCGACCCCGCTCTTCGACTGACGAGATAGTCCCTGGGTGTGATCTTCACAGGGGCGAGCCAAATATGTTGATGGAGAACCAAGTGTTCGATGGTGGGAGGTTGTCGTGCTCGATTACAGTGTGAAGTGAACTGTGGAACTGGAATAATAAGGAACCCCGCATCCAGCCGCGAGGCTCCCCAGCTAACCAAATACGGGAATTTTCTGACGAATCATTGATACTCAATCCCAAACGCGGGATCAACGAGCCGCAGTGCTGTCATCGTGGATCTAGTACTGAGCATGTGTCGAGTATGGAGGTCTATATCAGAGCACTAAATGCAGAACCTACAGGTAATCTAGATTCTGATGCGGAGATTACTCAGGAATATATGCAACACCTTTAGGTAATCGCCAGCAACTGTAGGCAGTGGGTCATAGTTGCGCACGAAACGAAGTAATCACCACAGGGTGTCCATATGAAGAGCTTGGAGTGATACCGGCAGAACTCCTACTTAGTCAAGTCGCGATCACGGTATGGCAAGGCTTGTTAATCCGAGGGTCGATTGTACCTCATGGGTCGATGAGAGTCTTCCTTTACAATTCCACTACCTGACGGGGAACACTCGGTGGATCCGTGCTTGCGTCGGTCTTGGAGTTCTTGTAGCCGAACACCGTGTTGGAAGTCCTAATAATGCCGCTGTATTCCTCTCCTCCAGGGCCATGGAGATGCTCCTCCAAGTATCAGGAAATTGCTGACATTAGCATACGTCGGAAATGGCTCTGTCGCCCTCACCAAGATCTGATGATGTAGACTGCAACGAGCACCAGGACTTGGTCGGTCTGATACATACGTCTTCTGATAAGAGCTCAGAGATAAAACGCGACCACGAAAAGGTCCGGTCAAATCGAAATACGCGACTGAGCAAGGCTGTATTCCGGCGGCACCGTCCGGTTCGTATCCAACCTGCTGGACAAATCTCAACTTCGGCCGTACAGATATCGCCTCTAGAAAAAGTACGCTCTTTGTATAAGAATGACAGGCCAGTTAATCTCCTGACAGTTCTTGGGCAAGGAAGGAAAGATCCCTTCGCAACCCTGCCGGTCGGTACCATATCACCTATCGTGCATGAGGTTATCGATCACGGTACGTTACAGTGACGCTTTATGCTTTGAGAAGCCCCAGCTTTCGAAAGCTTACATTCAGTGAGCGTGATCTCTGTCGCGTTTGAGAAGTTTTTTGGTGAAAGATGAACAAGGACGACTCGACTTTAGATTCTGAGGCTAACGGCCAACCGCAAAGGGTTCCGGTATTTCTGGCATGCGATGATCCCCAGACCAGGAGGTAGTGCTTTAAATCCTATCAACCGTGTGAAGCTCCATGCAATGTATAGTTCCAAACTTGCATACTACGCCTATACGATGGCCGTGGTGGGCAATTATTGGCTCCTTCTTGGCCCTGAGGGAGTCACCGAGGCCCACAAAGAGCTCCTCCTTACACACCGAGTGGCTACATTGCGCCTGATCAACCAAGAGCTCGCTAAAATGAAGGGGTTCCCATCGGAAGAATTGATTGGTGCTATTGTTGTGATGGCAGCTGGGGATCCAGACCATTTCCTGAAGCAGGCCCACTCCAGACAGTCCAAGTTTCAATCACCTCTCGCAAAGGCACAGCTTCTGCATATCCTTGGACATGAATCACTGACATCTGCACACCATCTGGCGCTCTGGAGGTTGCTTCATCTGAAAGGTGCACCTTGGGAAAATTATCAAGATTTTGGATTAGCCGAGATCTGTGAACTGTAAGTACACCATCCACCAACATGTCTCGCAGATCCACAGGCGAACTCTTCCAGGCTAATACGTCGAATTCAGCTTGTGTATCATCCATGCCTCGATAATTGGGGAAAAGCCAGGCTTTCCTGCCATCAATCGTTCTCAACAGGCATTTTTCTCTGGAAAGTATGACACTGGCGATGCCACAAAGGATCTTCGGTTAGAAATAACTAGAGCTCTTCCGTCAAAGGTAGCCATGTCATTGTTGGAGCTCTCTTTTCTCCCGTCTAAGCCGGCCATGATGGACGTCATTGCCCTCATGAGACGTCTCAACCTCGCACTCGACCAATTCCATCGTGGCGGGAGAGATACTCCAGATTTTGCGGACATCATTCAGGCCCGAAATGGAATTCAACATAGGATACTCTCACTCCCACAGGATCCAAAAGGCATATCGCCAGCAGGCACGTATCTGTACAAATTATGCCGACTTTGTCTTCTGATCTACAGCAACATGATAGTATTCCCACTTCCACCATCTAGCGGTGTTGGGAGCCGATACGTCACTGCCCTCAAAACTTTGGTGGTTGAAGAGAGTCAAAAGCATCTCTTCCCGAGAAAATCAAGTGACTTCAGACTCTTGCTGTGGGCAGTGGTGCTCGGTGGCATCAGTGACGGCAGCGATGTTCATCGCTCATGGTTCCTCCGTCAATACTGCTGGGTGGCTTCCGACATTGGGGTAGTGTCCTGGCAACAGCTTGAGACACATCTAACTTCTTTTCTATGGCTGGATTTTGTGCTCAATAAGGAAGCGGTGGGTTTTTGGGCGGAGTCTCGCATGCGTAGTGCTCCAATTATTCTGCCATGAAAATTTAGCTACAAACAGCAGATTCTCTGTGCCTATAAGCGCGGTGGGAACAAATAAGATGAGTTTGTGGTCACATGGAAAAACGAAAATTGTGGAAAAATTGCTTGAAAGGGCATGTACTTGATTCAAACTATTCTTACTACTGGCTAATCCAGGATTCGCATTTGGTCCAGTTGTGTATCAAGTTGGGAACATTTTCCTAGTCAGCCAGGCCATGGTAATTTGAGGTCAAAGCCATCGATCTTGAAACAACTCAGAGAACACCAACACCGTGGAATGGTCTTCCAGCGAGCGCACAGTTTCTATGTTACTTTCCCCTCCTTAATCCACTCAGACGATCCATATCAGTTCTATCTACCATGGCGGATTCGTCCCGTCATAAGACACGAAAGTCCCCGACACCTCACGATCAGCCGAGTCGATCTGTAGAGACTCAGTCAGTTTCCATGCAGACTGCCATATTGTATGTTAAATCCACTTACCTTGGAAGTTATCGCGGCTACACTATCAGCAACAGTCACCGGAGCCCCTTCAAAGCCGAACTTCACGGCACCCTCATTGCCCATATCCGTCTGGACCAATCTGTGCAGATATTAGCCTTGGTGTATCGAACAAGTTCTTGGATCAGCCTTAGACAAACCCTGGATGAATCGGGAACGCCACCACCTCTGGGTGTTCAAAATGGATTTTGCGGACGAGATAATTGACGGCAGCCTTGGAGACTCCGTATGCGCTCGCTGGGACAGGGAGCTCTTTCAGACTTGCAATACTGCCTATGATGGATGAGACCACGATGAATTTCGGCCCGGGAGAGGCTCTCAGCAATGGCAGCATTGCCTGAAACAGAATGATAGGCCCGATCGTGTTCACTTGAAGATGCTCTCGAAGCTCTGCAACGGGCGTGCTGATTATCGGACCGTAGTAATTGGCAATCCCGGAGTTGGCGATTATCACGTCAATCTTGACGATGCCGTGTTCAGTGCCCAGGGATGCAGCCACATCCTTTGGATCTGTTTCGGAGGTACTCTCAATCTTCACAAGAATGATTTTGCTCCCCTGAGCGTTAGGAAGAGCGAGCAATTCTTTCGCCTTTGCCGTTCCGACGTCCCGAACTGCTGCAATCACTGTATGATTTGGGCGGCTTAAGTATGCCTTCGTGAGACCTCGTCCAATGCCTGAGGACTGTTTAGAAGCTATCTCCAGGCACGTATTGCCCAAGTGACCTACCACGAGCTGCACCGGTGATCAGGTAGACTGTGTTTGTCGACATTCTTGATCAAGTATGATCGAATTGTGGGATAATCTGTGAAAGTGCCTTGAAATCTTTGATGCTTCGGAGGCACTATACTTTCCGTGGACTGGACATGACGCTTTTATGTCGGTGAAGGAAACTCGACTTGTTAGTCACACAGAAAGATTACAAAACATAAGTTTCTCGTACAACGGGAATCTTGCACCAAGACGTGTTCTCCCTTGATGCCTGTGTGTAAAGTTAACGCCCGTCCTTCAGGTAAATTGCGACGTTCGCATTGGTAAAATGGATTACTGATGTCGTTGCTTGCTGACTTACCATCCGGTAAGTACTCATCATTGGATAATTCGAGAAAGTACTACCACTCCCACAGGCCTCCTCGGGTGACAAAGCCAGCACCAGTATCGATGTCGCGTTAAGGACATAGATTGGGACGTCCAGGTGGGAACTGGGAGGACTTATTGGCTCTTGATTACGTCGGTAGCCAAAATAGAGCCCGCTAGGCTGGGAAAGGAAATTTCCTGGCCAACCATAACAGAGCTCGGCCATCGGGACAACCCACCCGGTCCGGTAGTGGACCCATGATGAACTACTTGCAAAACTGCATTATGTAGGAGCAGGGCATGCCTGGAACTCCTAAGAGTGCGAAGATAGCGATATATAAGTAATTGGGATGGTAAGTACTGCCAATGCATCATATCTTTGCATTTTGTTCGACATTAAGACCTGCTTGACTTTCTTTGTGTATGTGTAGTTGTTGATCGGATGATGATGATGAAAGAGACAGCAATCAAAAGTGTTGTTCGGGATTCGCCTCTTGGACGACTGGTCCGGTTTGTGAGCAGCAATCGAGCATTCCCTTATCCAGAGGAAGACCCCGGTTTTGTAATTCCCTTCCAGTCACCGGATACCCAAGACCCAGAGAAAGAAAAAACGGGTGACCGTGGTCCGACTTCAGGTCTGAACCTAACCCATGATTCCCTGGAAAATAACGCCAATGGCGCAAGCCTCCATGATCTGCGCACAATTGCAACGGCTCAGTCGCACACATCCCACGGTACACTGGCACGAACAAGTACCGTCAGTCGTCCTCGAACTCGAGAACAGACGGCTCCCTTCTCCCGCGAACGTTTCGATATCGAACAAACAGAAGCCATCGAGCGCAGGCAATCCTCGATCGTCGAACCACAGCGCACTTCTGATGGGCTCATTGTGGTAGATTGGTACACAACGGATGATCCTGAAAATCCCCAAAATTGGCCCTCCTGGAAAAAGGCATACGCCAGCTTCATCATTGGGGCGTATACATTCATCGTTTATGCTGGCAGCGCGATATACACAAATGCCGAACTGCCTCTCATGGATAAATTCGGTATTGGGAACAGTAAAGCAGCACTGGGACTGAGTGTTTATGTACTTGGATACGGGACTGGGCCAATGGTACGTCTTGTACAGCTTCTGTGTTGTTGCTGTCTAACTTTGGTACTTCTTGCTTGGGTGTCTGAACTAAATTCGTAACTACAGATCTTTTCACCACTGTCGGAAATACCTGCTCTTGGCCGCAACACGCCCTATATCATCAGCTTCTTTCTATTTGTGATACTATGCATTCCAACCGCATTGGCGAATTCCTATGCTTCTCTCCTAGTCTTGCGATTCTTGACAGGTTTCATGGGTTCTCCCTGTTTAGCCACTGGTGGTGCTTCTATGGGCGACATGTATGGCCTTCTCAAATTACCTTACGCACTCACCGTATGGGTTGCGGCATCTTTCTGTGCACCGGCACTTGGACCGGTGTTGTCGGGCTTTTCGGTCAGCGCCGAAAGCTGGCGTTGGGCATTGTGGGAGGTGCTGTGGGGTGCTGCGCCAATCCTACTCCTGATGTTCACCAGTCTTCCTGAAACTTCCGCCTCAAACATCTTGCTCCGTCGCGCTCAGAGATTGCGGAAGCTTACAGGTAGCTCAATGTACCGATCGCAAGGCGAGCTGGATCAAGAACACATGAGCGTCAATCAGGTGGCTTTGGAAGCATTATGGCGACCAATAGAAATTGCGATCAAAGACCCAGCCGTGTTTTTTACGAATGCTTACACGGCTCTGATATATGGTAAGGCGCTCAAGGGCTTCATACAGGCCCTTTCCCTCAAATATGTTTCTAGACACTGATATAAATGGTCTCTAGGTATCTACTATTCATTTTTCGAGTGTTTTCCACTTGTATATATCGGCAAATACGGGTTCAATCCCGGAGAACTGGGCCTTACATTCATTTGTATTATAGTTGGTTGTATGCTTGGCATGATAACTTGTGAGTTATACATATTATCTGAAGCAGACGAAAGATGACGTGATATTAACGCCTCTCATCTCCAGACTCCTGCTATGTTTATTTCTACCTCGAACCAGACATCAAGAAACGTGGACTACGTCAACAGGAACATCGGCTAGTGCCTGCTCTGTTTGCCGTATTTCTGCTACCCATCTCCATGTTCTGGTTCGGCTGGACTGCGCGGCACGATATTCATTGGATCGTCAGCGTTATCGGAAACATGTTCTATGCCATGGGTGCCTTCATTTTGTAGGTTCATACCTTGCCTCTCAACGTTCTCGATGTTGGATGAACGTATTTGGCTGATCCCACGTTAATCATCGGTGCTGATCTGGAAACAGGTTTCAATGTATATTCATGTATCTACCTTTAACTTACCCACAATATGCTGCATCCCTATTTGCAGCAAATGATATGTGTCGCAGTGCACTGGCAGCCGGCGCTATCATCTTTGCGCGGCCACTATACATCAATCTGGGGATTGGGCGAGGAATTTCTGTCCTGGGAGGTCTACTTTGTGGAGGTGTAATTGGTATATGGGTCTTGTGGCTTGTCGGCGCGAAACTCAGGGCCAGAAGTAAGTTTGCTGTCAAGTGAAGTGTAACACAAGAGTAGCCAGTCCTCAAAGCCCTTCAAAGTCTCAACCATGATTCTGGTCTCCGTGCCCTACAGATGGTGCTTCTGAAGTGGCTTGCATGGGCTATTCCCCAGGGAAGTGTTTAGAGCAATGAAGTAGCTTGTTCGCAATACTGGGGTCGTCATGGTGGGAGCATACGGCAATGGATATTGTTACCATGGATCCTGTGCTCATATTGCACTTTCCACCTGAGATAGAATAATTCTGGACTGGTCGAGAGTGGTTATGATACTACACCGTTGTAGGTATTTTCCAAGTACAACGTCAGAAAACGAGGGTTGGTCACTTCTGGAGTCGCCACATCTCTATCTAGAGGAGTGGTTGAGATCTCCGGTTTGTTGTCGCACTCAGGTAACCGGCCTTTGTTAAAGCACCATCTAGTAGAACTGTAGAAATCGTCAGACCTGGATGGGTTTTGCTCCACCGCAGCTTTCCTACGGCTGAGTATTGATCAGTAGCCGCACTTCCAGGAGAACACCGTGACCACCACACCACGCGTCTTGAATCTGCGTCTGGAGAACTTTGATTTCGACAAGTAGCACAAGTGCCATGAGTCTCTAGAACTGAGTACGCCCTACGGCAACAGGCCTTGTCGCAGGATATATAATACGCAATCATGACCATCCTCTCCTTTCTCCGCGAGTTATATTCTCTCGAAACGCTCGACACGCGATTCACGAATTCCGCATCCACGTCCATAAAATCTGCAAGTGCGAAAGAGGATGAACCCAAGCCTGACAGCCAAAGAGGAGGGAAACCACTGCCTGCAGATGCTACTGGCAGATTGCCGAGATGGGAGTTCTGGTTCTACATCGTGGTCGTCTTTACGTCTGTGCCTCAGATGTACTGGTCGGTAGTGAGCATCTCACAGCGTAAGCCACACCCCATATCGTACTTGGACATGTGAGATGGAAAAGCATGAGGTCTGACAGGGTGTATATGTGATTAGCCGACTCCCCGAACTATTCGAAATATGAGCATCTTCTATCTCCGGGCTGGATGTTCGGTCGGAAAGTGGTATGTCTTGATCATGTACATTGTTCGGCTGTCTTTATGCGAGGCTTATACATAGAGAATAGGACAATTCTGATGCCCAATATGCCGGCTTCCGGGACAATATCCCTTACTTGGCTCTTCTTGTTATCTTTCATCCACTGCTCAGGCGAACGTGTGAGAAATTCGCTGTTTCTGGCAAACCCTCTTCGAATGAAACGGCCAAACCAACATCCAGGAGCAATCAAGCCGAGATCAGGCCCCGCCATCGCCTGACCTATGACTTTTATTCAGCCTTGGTCTTTGTTGTGGCTCTGACAGGGTTCTCCTCTTTAAAAGTGCTTCTCATCTTGTTCATCAACTACAAGATTGGCACGTCACTCCCACGAAATGCGATCCCAGCAACAACTTGGATCTTCAACATTGGGATTCTCTTCGCCAACGAACTAGGTCAAGGCTACCGATACTCGAGCATAGCTAACTCAATGATACCCTTTTACCCTGCAGCGCCAGCCCTGGGCAAATTCTTGGACTTCTATGGAGGTCTCATGCCGCGGTGGGAGGTACTTTTCAAAGTTACCGTCTTGAGGATGATTTCCTTCAATTTTGATCATTACTGGTCTTTGGATCGGTCTCGGGCTGGAAGTCCCCTTGAGGTACGTGACATGATTACCCTTGACTCTTTGTGTTCTTTATAGTTGAGCAGTATTCACTGACTTGGTCAAGAAGAAACAATTGGATCCCTCAGCACTCTCGGATAAAGAGAGAGTCTCTATGCCTGCCACTCCAGCTGCATTTTCCTCATACCGGACATACGTGGCCTACATCCTTTATCCACCGTTGTACATCGCTGGGCCAATCATGACTTTCAACGACTACATTTCTCAGTGCACTTACAGATCATCGTCCGTGACCACCCGCCGAACAGCACTATATGGAATACGGTTCTTGGCTACGTTACTTTGCATGGAGTTGATGCAACATACTGCATACGCTGTGGCCATATCAAAGGCATCTCCGGACTGGTCAACCTATACTCCTTTCCAGCTCAGCATGCTTGCTTATTTCAACCTGCACATCATCTGGCTAAAACTGATGATCCCATGGCGCTTTTTCAGATTATGGGCACTTGTGGACGGTATTGACCCTCCTGAAAACATGATTCGATGCATGAGCGACAACTACTCGGCTCTCGGTTTCTGGCGGTCTTGGCACCGTAGCTACAACCGCTGGCTTACTCGTTATGTATACATACCACTCGGTGGCGGCCCTGGAAGAGGCGTCGGTGTCGTTCGTGGAACTATCAATTTACTCCTCGTCTTCACCTTCGTTGCCTTATGGCACGATATCAACCTCCAACTCCTAACCTGGGGTTGGCTTGCAACTTTCTTCATCCTGCCTGAAGTCTTTGGAACGATGGCATTCCCGGCCTCGAAGTGGAAAACGCGCCCCGCTGCTTATCGATATATTTGTGGTGTGGGAGCGACATTCAACATTCTTTTGATGATGGCAAGCAGTTTGGTTGGCTTTGCTGTTGGACTAGATGGACTGATGGGGCTTGTGCATGGCATCATCGGAAGCTGGCATGGCGCTTTGTATATGCTTACCGCATGCTTTATTCTCTTCACTGGTGTTCAAGTGATGTTTGAACATCGTGAGGATGAGAAAAGGAAGGGGATTAAGTTGAAGTGCTAATGAGAGATATTGATTTTCTCATTTCACCTCTCCATGGTTAATATTGGCAAAGCTTCGAGACTCATATCATCCAATCTCTCATCGTGCTGCACAAGCTTCACGAATGCAGCCTTTCCTAGCGGCCTTGACGAGCGCAAAGGATCTAAGACCAGACCGCCTGAGTTTCACAGTGCCTCAATGTTATCATACGCTGCCTTACGGTATAGGCACTTTGCATGTGCGCTTGAGCGGTTTCTAAGAATTTGTATCAACACCAAAACATCATAAAATAGATTTAAGTATCTCTCAAGAACTCCCATTCCTCCCTCTTGAGGTCTACGCCTTTTGAGTTTTCCCCTTCAACCTTGAGATCCATGACACGTGACTTCTCGACCGAGTGCGAGAAAGTTTACCAATCAGATGGTGGCGCTCTTCACAAACTCCCTTCCAGGATGCACAACTTTTGTCGATATTTTGATCCGTCATCAGTCAGCAGCTTTGGGACCTAAAGGTAGGTCTTTGTCAGAACATAGTAAACATCAGTGAATGTTGGGGTGTAGAGTTGCGTCTGCATCCACAAGCCTCGTGCAGATGCTGCCGTAAGATCCACCACCGGTATTGATTTTCCGCGCAGTCACTGCGTGGCGGCGAAAAACATTGGTGAGTAGAGTTGCATCAGTTCCACAATCCTCGTGTCAGACACCATTGGGAGATCCACCATCGCTATTGGTTTTCCGCGCAGTAACTCTGAGGCAAAGTTGTTAATTGCATGACTACTGCGAACGTAGAGATATTGTTTCCTTATTCAAAAAATTTTCAGAAATAATACAGCATTGTTAGCACGAAGAGAGCTCCGTAGGCCCTTTGAACCTTTAAGCAAAGTCGACAAAGAGGCCGAGGTGGAACCAAGTCTAATATCAGATCATGGCCATCCAGGTAAGCGATCAAACAGAATTAGATATGATATGCTCCGCAATTCTATCACCTCTGCAGCATGATGGGAATTAGGAAGACACCGACGATGGGCTAACAACTTCGAAGACTTTTCAGAAAACCAACCCGTTAGGGCCTGAGCTCTGGAACGCCAAAGGAGAACTGGTCCGACCGCCGACCGTTTTTCGCAACTTCATCTCCCGTGAACCTGGTGCGAGATTCCCACCGGAGAAAGGACGGTACCATCTCTACGTGTCATATGCTTGTCCCTGGGGTAAGTTAGGGTTATGGACGAGCGACTGGCCTCCATGAACGCCAGAGTCGCCCGCCAAAACTCCCTACTCTGATCCTTCGACTAACCGGGCAACGCCCTCTTCCTAGCACACCGAACACTTATCGCACGCAAGCTCAAAGGTCTAGAAGACATCATCTCTGTCACATCAGTGCACTACCACATGTCCCTGACCGACAGCTGGAGATTTGCACGTGAAGGCGAAGATGTCGAGTGGCCCGAACTCACGACACCCGACCCTTTGCATAAGGGCTTCTATGGCACCAAGGCGTTGTATTTCCACGCCGACCCAGATTATAAAGCTCGTTTCTCGGTGCCGATTCTCTGGGACAAGAAGCTCGATACCATTGTCAACAACGAGAGTAGTGAGATCATTCGCATGTTTTATACTGAGTTCGATGATCTTCTTCCTCCCGAGAAGCGGAATGTGGACTTGTACCCCGAGGCATTGAGGGCGCAGATCGATGAAACAAATGTTTACACTTATGATAATGTAAACAATGGAGTCTAGTAAGTTCACACATCCTGCTTGCTGCCTGTGTTGGAGAGCCATCGTCCTTCCCGGAGCTCCACATCTGACGATATTCAGCAAATGTGGCCTCGCGAAAACCCAGGAAGCATATCACTCAGCCGTGAACAATCTGTTCGCCTCTTTGGACCGCATCGAAGCCCATCTCAAGTCTTCACAAACCGACAAGAATGGTCCATATTACTTCGGTTCCGAGATCACCGAAGCCGATATCCGACTATACGTGACAATCGTGCGCTTCGACACCGTCTACGTTTCGCTCTTCAAGACTAACCGGGGCATGATTCGCCACGACTACCCGTATATCGATAGGTGGGCGCGCAATTTGTACTGGAAGGTCCCGGCTTTCAGAGAGACCACCAGCTTCGAGCATATCAAGGGCCATTATTTCCGAAGCTTGACCATGTTGAACCCTGAGGGTATTGTGCCGGAGGGGCCCGTGCCGCATATTTTGCCGGTGGATTGAGGTGAATCAGAACTGGGTTGTATCGCTGGAGGGTTGGGAGATTATCTTGGTCAAGCACTACCTTCCATCCAATGTCCATATGCATCTCAAACCCCTTGATGTCGCCTACGCATCCTGAGGACGATCAATTCGATCAATTTATCTCTTGCTTGAATCAATAAGGTTGAATTACCACTAATGTAGGCGCCGAGATGTGCAGATCCCGCTCATGCAAGCGGGTGTCTCATCCCGTTGGCCCGAACCTTCAAGACCGCGACGTGTAACGCAACCTGATCTTTGCGTTCCTCGCCGCTCTACCTTCTTTGTCATCTTGCTTCAACAACAGCTTTGTGCTTTCTCCTTTTCCCTCTTCCTCTTACCCTACCACCGTCGTGGACGCTTTGTCCCCAGAGGCTAACTCAGAGCAAAACGCCTCGGCGACTTTGACACAGATATCGCTATGCGTGTCCCATAGCTTGGCGATGACGTGGCTAAATCCTATGAGAAGGAATGCCCCTGCGGGATGAATGGTTTCATCCCCCATTCGTTGTGCTGTCGTCGCCGCCGTCGAGCATGCTGATAGATATATAAGGCTCGGGCCCAGCGCGTGGCTCCACGGCGTCAGGAATGCGATGGCTCGTACTGATAGTGGATCAACAATCAATGCCACATTTGTCGTCGCTGTCGATTCCGCCGGTCTACTCAGAGCGAGGTTAAGAACTGGAGAGGTCACGGGCATCGGTATAGTCGTGACACGCAAAGTGGACGGCTTTTGCTTGAATGATATGGTCCAGCATTACATCTGCGGGAGGATTTTCGTGGACTTCGACACCGAGAGCGCCCTTGCGTGTGGACTTAATCACACCAGCTTCCTCGTTTACGCCAGGGAGACCTGCGATGGGCATTCGAGGGCCAATGACCCCACCAGCGGACCTCTTTGATCCGAACCCCACAACATCGGCTGAGATTCTCACCACCGAGATGTCCTCTCTCGGGTTCACTTTTTCCGACAAGGATTCGTCCACACTTAAGGCCCTGCTCACACAGTATGCATCGTCCTGGCTGTTGCTCAGCTTGAGTACAACTATGAATTTGTCGGCCGTGTCAGTCAAAGAGTACAGTTGCGAACCAGAGGCAGTATTTCGACACTATATACGTCTCGGACCTAACGGGAAAAATGGCTCGAGAAGACGATTGAGTATGGCGAAAAACCCTATCTCATTACTGGCTTTCGCACGTTTTTCGACATGAGCATTGATAAAGGTGCCACTCGCGGCCGAGAAGTCAGGGGGGAGATCTCGACGCCGCTTGAAGGACTGGCTTCCGTTCCGGTGCCATTGGGGCTGGACGTCGGTCTGGAGAGTAGCGTCCAGAAAACGCGTGGGATGAAGCGAAAGTACCAGTCAGCAGGCGAGATGATGTTCGCTGTTCAGGTGAGGAAGGTCAAGTTCAAGTGGTTTTCGAGCAAAGCAGACGGCGCCAAAATGGATCATCAGACAAGGTGGAAGGTCCTGTAGGCAGTCAAGGGTAGTGAGGGCGCTGATGAGGATGATGACACCATAGAAGCCTTCCTTGGTAGGTTAATGGCTGACGACGACGAGGATGAGAACAGCTATACAGGCGAGGCAGTGAATGTAACATCAGTTGACGGAGAGATGGAGAAACTCATCTTTATTTCAGGATGAGCTATACGTCACAGGAGTTCAGAGGCTCCTAAAGCGCTGCTCTGATCAGAGCACAAATATCCCATCTTTGTGATTCACGAAGGGGTAAGTCATGAACTAGGGATGCTCGATGGGATTCGAGAGAGCACCAGCGTTCAATCTCCTGGCACCGCCGGCCGAAGGAGTGAGGACCCAGATTGAAGGACCCGTTTCCCGTCAGCGCTGCTTGCACGAATCGTTCAGTTGAGTCGATCAACGGTCTTGAGCAAGCCCGCAAGTACACCCATGGCCGTTACTTCCCCACCAGCACCAGCTCCTTTTATGATGAGAGGTCTGTCACCGTATCGTTTGGTGTAGAAGCTGAAAATGTTGTCAGAGGATACAAGCTGCGCGGCTGGGTGCATCTTCGGCAATTGCCGTAGACCAACGCTGAGTGCTCCAGACTGGACATCCACGGATCCCACAAATCTCAGCACATTATTGTGCTGCTCAGCGGTGGCTCTCAGTTCGTCCATCTCATGATCATATGCTGGGAGCTTCTCGAGATATTCAGTAGCAGATGGAACAGTCTCGAGAGCTTGCGGCACAAGGCTTTTCACTGGAAATGAAGTCGCAGACTCGGTTTTCAATCCTGCTATCCGAGCTAAGATTGTCAATTTTCGAGCAACGTCCATTCCATTCAAGTCGTCTCGTGGATCGGGCTCAGTATAGCCAAGTTCGCGAGCCTTCTTGACAACATCAGACCACCTGGCTGTGGAGGCCGGACCATCAACTGGTGAAAACGTGCTGAACAAATATGTCATGGTGCCACTGAAGACACCCTCGATCCGATGAATGTCATCACCGGCAGCTATCAGAGTCCTCAAGGTTGAAAGCACCGGCAGTGCGGCTCCGACCGTACATTCATGCTCTATTAACGAGCCGCCTGACCTAGCAGCCTCAAATGCCTCCTTCCATAGGTCGTATGTGCCTGAGAACGCTTTTTTATTGGGAGTAACGATGCTGATTCCTGAGCCTAGAATCCGGGGGTAGAGGTCCGCTATACTCTGGACGCTCGTGTTGTCAATCAGAATCACCTTAGATGGCGCCTTTGCCAGATAGTCGATCGTTTGCTCGAGAGATATCGGATCCTGCCCCTTTTCAGCGAGTATGTCGAGAGCATTTGCCAGGTCAATGGCAGAATAGTCTGACGTCCAGTAGACTCGATCAATGATACCCAAGTAACATAAGCTGACATTAAGTGCTGGAGTTTGGTTCACCAACGTCGCCAACTGTGTCAGAAAATGCCCTCCAACCCCACCAGCACCTGTAAAAACAAATCAGACTTGATGACTCAAAGGTGCGATTCGCCCAGGACCCACCAATGATTGCCACCAAGATCTCCTTCGCCTGTTTCGTCATGCTCGCGAAGTTGATAGCTCTATTGCAATCGCACGAACCAAACACCCGGTAGCCAGACTGTAATGTCCTCAGTCACGATTCGGGATGCCTATCCATCTGCACCGCTGACGGGTAAAAACTGATACCTACCCATACTTAAAGCCTCGGTCGAAAGGCGGGGCCGGGCGAGGTTCCGGGGCACCTGTTCAGCAGACACACGCTCAGTTTCATTGATCACCACTAGGGCATTCTCTCTACCCAGGTACTGCCAGTTAGAAAGCATGCGAAGCACGAAGCATTCACACAGACGTGTTGCCGGGCCCGTTGGAGTGACCACAAACCGCCGGGCCGGGAAACCGGTCCGACCAATTGCTCACAAACATGTCGGTCTGAATCTCAGGCTACAGTTTTAGGCAACACGCTCATCAGACTAGTAGCACCTGCGAGCGCCGCTCAAGAAAGCATCCCTTTCACTTACGCAGGATTTCTCAGTACGCATCTGTGTTTCACCGGAGATAGGCGCGGATAACAGACTTCAGCCACCTAATAGTGCAATAACAAACTCACCATCGCAGTCCAGATGCACACGCAACATAATACGTACAGAAGGTATGGTAATCGCGATGGCTGTCTGCGATAGCGCTTGATTCGATGGCACAGGAGTCATGAAGGGGTTCAGTAATCGAGTTAAAGACTTCAGGATGCCCTGTTAAAATGGCACAGGATATTATGCCAGCCACGCTAACAGCCTAATTATACTGCACGCCAAAGCACTAGTATCAGCTAAAGCGAATCTTGCACCCCGGAATAATATTCTTCCGGCGCTCGATGGGTTGGATCTCGCACCATATCCCTTGCCTTTAGGATCCTGACGCCCCTTCGTCTTGTGTTCATCTTCAGAACATGTAGACTCAATAGACACTTTCTCTAGCTTGAACTCTGTACAGCAGTGCTGTCCACAGACTGATGCTATTCCTAAAACAGGGGTTGAGTCTGGGTATATACAACTGCTAATAGGTACCCAAGGGTACCTACTTAGGTAAGTACGTTAATTAAGTAGTTACCTAGTAGGCACTAGTAGATGAGTTTCTTGGCAAATCGTCGGCTTGGCGTTCGCTCTAGCTTTGCCAGTTTTCGTGGGATCTGCCTTCGACGATACGCTCCTGCATCCCAATATCTACAGCCTCTCGGTGTGCTCTCGGAGCAGCAAGGACCTTCGATCGCTTTTTGTACGGCCGCGCTGCGCTGTTGAATCGCCTCCAATGAAGCACAATTGAGGGTCGGAAGTCCCAGACACACGGATGCCGATGTCTGACTCGGCCATGTTTCAACCTTCTGATCAGCAGCGAGCCAGTTCGTGCGCTAATATGCAACCTTCCACTACGACTGGACCAACAGTTTCAGCCAACACAGAGAGGCAGAGAGCCGTCAGAGCGTTAGCAACCTCGGTTTTGAAGCAACCAATGCACCTACTAATGAACACTGATGTGCAGATGCGACAGCTGTCGGAAAGCCAAAGAGAAATGTATCGGTGCTCCTTGCAGACGATGCATGCGTCTTCAGCGTCGCTGTGAGTTCACGAGTGGTGGAGCTGCAAGGGCATCAGCCGTCACAAGCCATAGCATGTCAGTATCCTCAACAGAGCAAATGCATGTTGAGTCCGGCTAATCGGCTTCAACACAGCCATACCCTGGAAGATGAGCTTCTCAGTGAAGCTCGGAGACGCGCTTTCTACATGGGGCGAATCCTCAACTACTATCTCCCGGATCTTGACCTTAGTACCAAGGGGCTCTACGAGAAGGTGAAGAGTCTCGACTCGGAGCAGAAAGCCGTTGATCAATCTGCTGCTGCCAGTCCAGAGAGTGAATCTGACGTCAATGATACCCTACAAGGCGAAGAATGCACGATCAATGCCGTCAATGATGATGTTGCACGTAAGATGATCACTGGGAGCTCTCACTTACCTCACTGACCGTCCTCAGATTATTCGGGAGAGTTATCGTACTGGAACTTCTCTATGCGCCTCAACAAGCATGTGAAAGATTTGATGGTAGGTTGCCACTGTAACATGTGCACTTAATTACTCAACCCAATCGTTTAGGACACTGAAGATCAGCAAGATATCCCGCACTATTGGCGCGTAGAGCAACTCAACTCAAGTCCGATAGCTGTGTCGAAGGCAGCCTCAACACTTCCGCCGCTGCAGATTGCAGAATTCTTGATCTCGGTTTATCTGAAGCACGCAGCAGTCAGTTATTTCTGTTTCGAACCGCATTGGATAGTGGAGAAGATGGGTCTAATCTATAATAAAACTCCTCACCTGACTCCCAAGGATGCGGGTGCATTGGTGACTCTGCTCGGTGTCTTGGCTATTGGAAGCCAGCATGCACATCTGGAGTCGCCTAAAAATGCTCGGACGCAGAGAGAAACCGACTCCCATGACAACGAGCTCGGCGCTGTGTTTTATCAACAAGCAGCAAGGCTACTGCCTGAAGTGATCCACCTCGGCTCTTTGGAAAGCGTTCAAGGGTGCTTGCTTCTTGGCTTGTACGCCCTGCCCGTCGATGCCTCTGGTTTGGGATACATCTACTTGAACCTAGCGATGAAGATGGCGATGCAGAATGGAATGCATCGTCAAGCACCTGATACCGTTTTCGCGCCCGAAGCTATCTCAAGGCGGAGCAAGATATGGTGGACAGTCTATTGTCTTGAGAGGTATGTCTGCTATCTGCCGCTCCAGCTGTATTTCTGGCTGACTCCATGACAGGAAGATCAGCATCTACCATGGGAGACCCATCTCCGTTCGGCCAATGGATATTGACGTGGGTTTGCCTCATGACGAATTTGAGCCTCTTGGACAAGATTCGATTTCCTCAACATCGAGCCTGCGGACGCTGATTAAGTTGGTTGATAATTTGGGACAAGCTGCCGATGACATGTAAGCGATCAGAAATCTATACACCGTTATATGCCAACTAACCGGGCAGTCTACTGCTTCGAAACCGAAATAAATTGCAGACTTCCGGTGTCCTTACCCGACTAATTTCTAAACGAGATGAGATCAAAAGGTGGTGGACAGATTTGGCCTTGCACAAGCAACCGTTCTCGCGACCAAAGATACACCTGCAGCTCGAGTATTGCCTGCTTCGAATGTTCCTAGGACGCCCTTTCCTGGTCAACCGTGAGGTTCCCGGACTCAGCCCGGACTCAACGTCAGAAGATGCCCTAGCTCAGCAGAACCCCACACGCAGTACCGCTTCTCAGTCACAACGGCAGTCATCACGCGCATCGCGTGCTACATCTTTGGTGGATGATTGCGTTTCAGCTGCGACCGAAGCCATCGATCTGTGCCAGGCATTACGAGACAACGATTGTGGCCTGGCGGCTGTCTCGTATGTCGAGTATAGTTCTTGTAGGGCTTCACTTCTGGTGCTCATTGCGTTCTGTATTCGTACCCAGACTATTCAGTGCTTTGATCATCAAAAACGGGGGCTGGAAATGATTCGAGAAATGGCGGCTACAGGAGAGTCAGCAAGGCACGAGATTCTTCTGATTGAGGCCCTCGGCCGAGCGTTGAAACGTCTTCATCTGTGGAACCAAAATACATCGCCTGATAGTAGGGCGTCTCCTAAGCGACCTCAGGCCAGCTATCACGATTTCAAGCAGTGGAGGACCCTGTGGAGAGCAGACAAATCAGTTCCTCGGTCCGCGGAGCCAGAGGAGCAAATTTTGTCGTCGGCATCTCGATCACAGCGAACCGAGGACACGGTGCGACAAGTACATAGGTCCGATCTTGGTTTCGTTAACACTGAGGCAAATGGGTCCGACCAACAACACGATACTGCAACCTTCGGAAACATCGTGTCAGGCGTTTCTGCTAGCAACGCAGCTCCAAGAACCTTCGACCCCAGTCTCTTTGGCTCGAACAGTATGTTCCCCGTGCCAAACGATTTTTACAATCATTCCGAGTGGCAGCTGCTGGAGAGATTCTTGGCCATCCCTGACAATCAATTCCCACATGCTGCAGGAATGCTGGCTGATTCGCATTCTTTGACAACCTCAAATTTGAGAGATACAAATAGCCAGGACTTTGGAGGTATGACATTTTGAAGTGTGAAGCAGATTTGCCACGAAAAGATAAGGCTAATGCGAACTCTCAAATTTTTGCGCCCGAATGCAGAGTCAGCGTTCCTGTTTTAGCGATCAGATACTCCTCAATGGCAACATCCTTTCCTGCTTCTTTCCCGTATCCCGATTCCTTGATCCCCCCGAAAGGGGACTCGGCGCAGGAGCTGTTGCCTTCGCAGTAAGGTCAGCGATGTTACATGAACAGCCCTTTTTGGGCAGCAGCTGAGGAGGGGATGAACATACCTGAGTTCATTCCGATCATACCGGCCTCTAGACTCTCCAGTAATCGCCAGGCACGATCGACATTTTTTGTGAAGAAGTATGATGCTAGACCCATCGTGGTGTCGTTTGCAAGCCGAACTGCTTCCTCTTCCGTGTCGAACGGATACAGCGCGAGAAGAGGACCGAATATCTCTTCTCTGTACGATAGCATCTTTGGAGTCATATCGGACATGATTGTAGGCTCAAAGAAATAGCCTTGCACTCCTTCCGGCTGCTTTCCACCAAGAACGATTCGCGCACCATTCTCCCTTGCGTCTGTAACATGCTGTTGTAATTTCTCCAGAGCTCTTGGGCTTGTCAGAGCACCCATCGTGGTCTCAGCCGCACTCCCGTGACCTACCCGGATCCGCCGCGCCGCTTCGATAAGCATGGCCTCAAACCTTTTATATACGCCTCTCTGAACGAAGATCCTATTCGCATGGGTACATGCTTGCCCACACGTCCTCCACTTCAGCACTTGCAATGCGTCGAGCGCGGCGTCGAGGTCGGCATCATCGAAAACAATGAATGGACAATTACCACCTAGCTCCATAGTAACCTTTTTTAGACCTTCACTACAGTGATGGGAGATAAGTCGGCCGACAGCGGTACTGCCAGTAAAGGAAACCTTTCGCACATCGGGGTGTTTACACAAGCCTTCGCTAAGCTCAGGTGTTTGCTGAAGATCCGTAGGGAGCACGTTAAAAATACCTTCAGTAAAGCCCGCCCGCGCTGCTAGGTCAGCTAATGCGAGCACACTGAGCGGCGTCTCTGGCGATGGCTTGACGATTATGGTGCATCCAGCAGCTAATGCAGCTGTAACTTTCCTTAAGATCATGGCGACAGGAAAGTTCCACGGCACCAGTGCCACACAAACGCCGATTGGCTGTTTGATCACAAATGTTCGTCTGTTCGACACCGCTGGGATCGCTGTGCTGCCTCGAATCCTTTCGGCCTCGCCCATAAACCACCACACAAAGCTTAGCCCATAGTCAACCTCGAGCAGAGCTTCGGCCATAGGCTTGCCAGTCTCGTAGACCACGATCTTGGCAATGTCATCTCGGGCTTGTACAATAAGATCGTGCCATGCAAGAAGCCATTTTGCTATTTGCCGTGGGTTGACATGCCGGTATATTTGAAAAGCCCCCTGTGACGCCTTTACGCAATCGTCTACGTCCAAGGCGGACGCAGCTGCACACGACGCGAACTTCTGCCCAGTACCAGGATCTGTTTCCGCAAGAGTCAGTGGTTATCATTCTACCAACGGATTGTCCGATCAGAGGCCCTTAGCGCATTCGACTTCCGTGGCTTCTCAACAATCTTCAGTACACACCTATGACATCGAATCGCTTCCCTGATTTGGACTCTATCCATCGTCCGTTGACGTAGGCTTGCCCGTGCAAAAGGCTTTGGTCCCGAAGCTAAAAGACATTGTCAGCTCATGTACGCTTCACCATTTTCTCGGAGACTGCGTTAACAGCCAGCGGAGAGATTCCATGAACTCACGGTGAAGGGAAGCTGAGTCATCTGGGTCAATTGAAACTTGTTCCGAAGGAGAATGCTTGGCCAAAACCACGACTCCTTTTCTCGAGGATCTATTGGAGCTTGCTGAAAGATCAACGTCAGGGTTGCCGAGAGCGTAGGCTGTTCTGCCGTCTGCTACCTTATATGCCATCTCGTAACCCTTCGATATTCTACAGCGCGCTATAGCCCGGGGGGAAGGTGCACACCAAGGACGACGTGCCCGTAGCATAAGTTGCTCATTCTATTGAAACAAGGTCTAATCCGAACAACCACAGATGTGCACTACCGGGCCGGCGCTTTTCTTATTAGCAATGACTATCAATAGAGAGCCCTGGCGCGGTGCGCTGCCTGCTGGTTTGCCTGTCGATGCTCTGTCCACAAGTTGCCGGCACGGAGTGCAAAGCATATGGTTCTGACGAAGCGGCCCCGATAGTTTCTCCACCGGGACCGGCTTCTCTACCTATCTATGGGGCGGGGACCTTCAATATTGTCGGATGCGGAGCAAAACATTGTTACGCTGTAAGATATCGCTGGATAACGTTCTTGGGCGGTCTTGTCACGGAGTTGTCTCGGGCTCCTTGGCTGAACGGTCTACTGCCCCTTTCCTCACACTCCGAGACCGCCATGAATATTCTGGTCGGCTGTTTCAACTCCAACAACGGATCTTATCACTGAATGTCTCTGTGGACTTACTTTTGCAGCAAGTCTTGATAGACTAATGACTACGACTCAAAGCTGTATCAGGCCGATGGACGCCTGGGGTGCCGTAGTACTGTAACGCTCCGATAACTCTAATGTGCTTTTTGCTGGGCTAAATAGAGGAACATACTAGCACAACAAAGTATTGGCTCTCTAGTTCAAATATCTTCAGGCGCGGCGTATGACGCTATCTGAGGAAAAATAGGCACGCCGATATTGCTCCGCAAATAAGTACCGAGCTTTCCAGGCATCCACTAATCCCCTAGGCACCATTTCTCATATCACCTTGTCCCGCATTGACATGCTATTCTAGTCCTCCGAAACCCATCGATGCTTCTCCTATTCCCAAAGGAAGTTCAATTTCTTCAGCCCGCGCTTCGGCTCGGGTAGAGGTTCCGGAGTTGCCTCAGCCAGCTGCAAGAAGTCACGAATTGGTGCTTCTGTCAGAGGTACCAGCTTGGTCTTCTTTACGTACTTATAAATGAAGTACAACGCAACAATGACGGGTGGATTCAAGTAAGACGAAACGAATGTCTCCTCATCCCAGTGGCCATGAATGAAGATCTTGTAACCATTTGTCAGATAGATGACGATGAAAAAGACAAGCGAGATCCAAGTACTCCAGGGTTGGAATGGTGCAGCCCATGGGAGTTGTGTATGGCGGTCGATGCCCTGGGCTTTGCATGCGTATTGAAAGCGCAGGTATGTGATGCAAATCGTGGTCCAGTTCGTTAGCGTACTGATGGCGACCAGGTCCTGCAGCCAGCCGAAGACGATATTCGCGCTCGTTGACAGTGTCATGTATGCCAGGCACATGAAGAGTCCGAACAGTGAGATGGCGACGTAAGGCACGCCGAAACGGTTGATACGGGTGAAGAGTTTGGGTGCGTGGCCATGCTTAGCGAGTGCGAATAGGATACGTGGGCCGCCTAGGATGTTGGCATTGCCAGATGACCATGCGGATGTCAAGACGATTGCGTTGATAATGCTGGGGACGACTTTGATGCCGGCGTCTTTGGCAGCAATGACGAAAGGAGATTGAGCAGCGGTTCCGGTTGATCTGGAGATCAATCAGTATCAGTATAAACACACCAGGCTCCCAGATCATCGGCCACTGACCTGAGTAATAGCGGGTTGCTGGATGGTACGACCAAACCAACCATAAAGATCGTAATGACGTAGAACATTAAGATACGCCAGAATATTCGCTTGGTGGCCATTGGAATAGCGCGACGAGGGTTCTTCGTCTCCGCTGCTGGGAGTGTAATGTTTTCGATTCCGGAGAAAGCATACAGCGCGTTGGATAAGACAGTCCAGAAGCCTGTAGTCGGCAATTGGGTCAGCTAACTGAACGAAGACTGGAAGTGAGAGGCTTCATGTGCACATATGCGCAAGCTCGGCCTGTGAGAGGACTTATCTCACCTAGAAATTCACCCAAGGAACCACTGATACCTAGGTACTGGACAAAGGGCCCTGGGTTCTTCCAATATCGGAACCCAATGGTTTCGTGGCTGGGACCACCGCCACAGGTAATGACCAATGCCATAATGTTGACACCAATGATCAACATAATCTTTAGTGTGGAAAAGGTGAACTCGATTTCTCCATAAATGCCGACAAAGAGAAGTGCGGTGCTCAGCATAATCAAGCCGAAGATGGTAATCCATACGCCACTGCTGATTGAGGTGTTCCAGAATTCGACCAAGACAGCGACCGCTGCAAGTTCCGCAGGTATCGCAGTCAGGAAACCATAAACCAAGTTCCAGCCGTTGGCAAATGCCAGGGCTGGGTCGACGAAGTATTCTGAATAACGCACAATGCCACCGCTAATGGGGACCAGCGTACCCATCTCACCAACACCATAGACCACAGGCATGACTGTCAACCCAAGGATGGTGTAGCCAAGGAATGCCCCCAGAGGCCCTCCACGGGCGATGGCTCGTCCAGACCCTAGGAACAGACCAGTCCCGATGGTGCCTGCGAGGGCAATCATCTGGATATGGCGCTGCTTCAGACCTTGTCGAACCTCCTTAATCTCTGCTAGGGCATCTTGCACCTTGTCTGGGAGATCCTCGACATTGCCCATGCCAGTTGTCTGGATTGTGTGCAAAGTCATCTCCACATCTCCTTCAGTCTTTCCTGGTAAGGTCTCTGATTTGTGAGACATGATGCTGTAGAGTAAAATAGTCTGCTCGAACGCTGCGAGACAAAAGAACAGATGATGTGGAGAATAACGACCACTATTTGTAGCCCACACAGTCGCACCTGTCGAGAATGCGATCTACGTCTCCAGCCCAGTAGCGCTATCTGTGAGTCTGGAGACCCTTTAGCCCCAGCATTCTAGCTTTACGCCCACTGCATATCAGCAACATGCGGTGATAACGAAAGATAAGCGCGATTGTGTCAGTTTCACTCCGTAAGGTCGGATTCGCTGCACGATTGTGTTCCAATGCCGCCAGCAATCTCTCAGAATTCTGGCTGCGCACTCTCCATCCGAAAATGAGAAAAATTGGGAGTCCCCTCTTACGGCATATACCGGTCCCTCGGCCCGGCAGCCGGTCCCGGTTAAGCTTTGTTCAAGGTTCCATAGTAGAAACCTTAGTGAGCAAGTAACAACACCTCGACGGGTGGGACGGATAGGAGTTCTGACCTACCTAGGTATTATTCGGCAGGGTCAATTTGTCTTGGTGAAACTACATCGAAATTGCTACTTTGGCGCTTTGGTCACTGCTATGCTGTCGCACGTGGTTCGAGCAACAAAAATGGGTCTAAAATTCCCCTCAGAAATAGAGTGTTCCAAATTCCGCTATTGATCAGGTGTAAATACTCCATACTCTGCAGAGATTGGGATGAAGTCTTGTGAGAGGCACGATGGAGACTGGGAGTGCAGTCTGGGCATTTTAATGACTCACTCGCAGTTCTCAAGCTTTGAGAACACGAAATTACCATAGTGAAATTTCAGCCAGCCTTGAGATTACCCTGCCTGCTGCAGTAGAGTCAAGCTCTATTCATCAGCAGCATCACTGTGGCAATCTGTTCGCCCAACTCCGATTCACCAAGTCGGTCAAGACTGGTCTGCAGATTGAGCATCTTTGCTTGTGAAATCCTTTATACTGCTCTTCCAACGTCGGTACATTTCGCATGTGTTTGTCCCAACGTCTAGGCCAGTATGCCGTAGCATTCTGCCCTCCAACAGCATTTGGATAAACTCATTGCGTAACCTGACCTAAAACCGTGCTCTCCGTCACTGTAACTAAGATGTCTCTCACAAGCAGGAATTTTTATGATTGTCTGCATGATGCATGATACCTATCTGGTGCACTTCCGACCATCTCAGTCACGCGGGTGTGTGCCGATGCTAGGTGAAGAGCAGCACTACGAAGCCTGTGCGTATGGTGTGACGCTCTTTTGGAGATCCACAACCAACGTAGGGTTGGTCGATTTTGGCAGAAAGATCTGCCCATTGCCCAGGATATCCCCATCTTCTTCCTTATTGTTGTTGGCACGATCGATGCGAGCTTGGGTAGCTTCGAAGATTAGAGGAATGCCGCTCTCCCCGAAGGATATTTGCTCCCCTTTGAAATCAGCGGAGACCAATCGCGCCAGACCCTTGGATCCAAGCCAGATCAGGGGCATGCCATGCCCATTAAATCCGGCATTGATGAATTGGCCCTTATGGCCAGGGACTGTGCCAATGTGTGGATGCGAGTCAAATGAGTAGCCCATTACCCCAGTCCAGATATCAGTAATGCATGCGGTAGAACGCTCCCAATCACGATATGTACGTTGCATGAAGCCTGCGTAGAAGTCTTTTGCAGCGTCGATCAGTATACTGTCATCCACGTTTCGGTACCATTGCTCTCTGAAAGGAGCAAACTTGGCTGCACCACCGCCTACAATAATGCTGCCATTCGTCCTTGGAATGAGGTAGGATAGGACTCTTTCTTCATCACGGATGATGTATGTGTTGTTTAATAATGGTGCGGGAGATTCAGACCCGGTCGGCACCGCAATCTCGCAACATATGCCTTTGCATGGGATAATGTTGCGTTGATACTGAGGTAGAAGACTTGATACATAACCGTTCGTGGCATGAATTACTCGGGAGGCAAGTATAATTCCTCGAGTAGTGTGAATTTTATGGCCCTGTCCAGAGTCTTCCTCGATTTGCATGACAGGAGTATTTGTTTGTAGGTTGACATTTCCAGATGCGAGGCAAATCCTTAACAAGCCTTGAATAAATTTGGCTGGCCACATGCTGCCAGCTGTAAAGGATGCCGCAGCTTTGGCACCTTTAACACCGGAATACTAATGGATATCACGCTGTGTTAGCTAGATGATCTATGCCGACATAAGAAGCAGTACAATAAGACTGGGAAAGCTTACCCCTTCCGCTGTCTTGGGATCCCTAGTGAAGAAGACGTCCTTCATGTAGCTAAGGTTGTAAGCACGCATCTTCTGGTACGTCTCGCTGGCCTTGTTGGCCGCATCTTCGTTGCACCAAACGTCGATTGATCTCTGTAAGACAAGATCGCAGTCGATCTTCTCCTGCTCGATGGTGTCCTTGATAGCCCACATATTTGCGATCTCAAATTCCGCAATCTCGGTTGCGAGCTTGACTCCATAACGATCGACATAGGTCGGAATGTGGCCATAGAGATCTGGTCGTAGATGTCCTCCGTTTCGCCCCGTAGCCCCAGAACAAGTTTCTCTTGCTTCAAGAACTGCTATTGATGATATGTTCGGACAGTCCTTCACTAGGTGGTAAGCAGTAGCCGCACCAGCGTATCCAGCGCCGATAATCACTACATCGCAACGCTCAGGAAGCGTCTCGGTCGTCCGGTGGTTGTCGAGATCTTGGCGATCACGAATCCAGGCCGATTTCAGCGTATTTCCTACAGGCAAATATTGAGACATTGTTGAGATCTCTGCAAATTAGCTGTCTTCACACCTGCGATGGTGTTTTGTTGCTCACACGATGCAGCTCGGCTTTTGCCTTGAGTTTGTTCTTCACGGGAAATGGATAAGGAATGCTTTTGCGTCTCGTTCGGTTTGCCCTAGTTAGCGTTCTCCCCATGTCACCTGTAGAAGTCGTTGTGGGTGGCCGGATCTTGGCCGGGGGCGGGTAGTGATAACAGTGATCCACCCTTTGCCGGCTCCGGCAAGTGGATGCGAGCACCACTGGCCAGTCGCCCTTTCTTCTGCTGGCGATTATTATTTGCCTTCACGCTGTTCAACGTAACGTTGCATTCATCACGCCCTAAATTGATAGTCCGCGTGAATACATCAACAATTTGGAACGTGTCTAGGTAGAAACAACGAGAGATACGTACAACCGTTCCAGGTCTTGTCTGTAGCTTCATAAATCTGGTTGTGGATCTTCACGAGAAACTGCTGTCCGAAAACACGATCAGACTCTGCGACACGGAATCCTACGACGACTCCAGCAACAATGCCACAACAACAATCGAAGCACGTCGTCTTTGACGTAGTAGGCACTTGCGTATCGTTCGACGCCTACTACGAATGTATCGACAAAGTCATAGGCAACAAACTTCGAAAGGAGACAATAACACCCAAGCACTTCGGATTCACATGGCAAACAGTAGCGGAGCTAGAATTCACTTTCTTCTCCATATCTGGGCGCTACTGCCAATATAAAGAAGTTATGCGGGCTATGTTTTATCGATCGCTGTTCCTGGCCGGCGTAAGCGATCCGCGCACTTTCGCGACAGATGCCGAACGCGATCAATGCATCGAGGGCTATACCAGCTTGCGTCTACGACCAGGGTGTCAGGAGTGCTTCCAGATCTTACGCGAAGGTGGATTCACGGTGTGGTGCTTTACGACAGGCGACATCCAGCGAGTGCGAGGTTATTTCCAGCGTGAGAACGTTGACATACCATTGGAGAACTTCGTCACATGCGACACTGCGGGTGTTGCCAAGCCAGCCATGGCTGCGTATAAATCTGTACTTGGCAAGCTTGGGCAAGACTCGGAGAATTGGTTTGCGGCTGCACATATGTGGGACGTGTCGGCCGCGGTCAAGGCAGGATTTAAGGGTGCTTACTGCACAGTCTATGAAAAGGAGCCCTGTGAGGAGATATTTGGTGACAAGATGACGGTTACTGAGGATACGTTACCTGAAATGGCTAGAGCTATTGTGTCTTCTTCACGATCGTGAAGTTATGAAGAAGGGACAGATGCCGGCTCTGTCGTAGCGAGACGGGATGTGGAGAACTGGGACCTTTTCCCAACATAGCTGATCAGTACTACATTCGTTGCGATCGAGTGATTGCACCGACACATTTACTACTCCTAGAATCCGTTCTCGATAAATGCGTAGCAAGTCTATGAACCGGTCTGTGGAACTGGTAGTTGGTGATGCCGGTCTGATTCTGTCATGGCGGTAGCTGAGCCACACATTTGTTGTGTTTAAGTGTCTGCACTAACATGTCAGAGACACGGGAACTTCTGATCTCATTTGTTGCGTAGCAAGTCTATAGTCTGGCTCGCAGAATTGGTGCTACAAAATCCCCTGCGTGATCCTTCTCCTTCAAATTCCAAACACCTGAGAACTCATTCTCAAGCTCGCTTTCGGACGACGACAGCCTTTCCTTGGTGGATTCAAACATGGCAGGCAGCTCTGTTTGCTCATAGTCGATACCTTCCACAATCATCCGTGACAAGGCTTTGCTGGCTAGCAATATGTATGCCATTCCACGTCCTGTAAATCCAGCAATGATGTATTGTCCGGGCATGTCCGGCACTTCTCCGATATGTGGCATGTAGTCAGAAGTATAGCCCATGACTGTGTTTGTAAGTGTCAGATTAACATCGTGGCTGTGATATGTGAGGAAAGGAATCAAGCCAAGACTTACCTCCTGTCCAAACTCGTTTGGTGGTCGCTTTGCTGTCTTCCCAGCCTCTGAAGTGTTGCTGCATGTAATTTTGGAAATACTTGTCAGCTGCCATCGACATCCTCTGATCATCGCGAACAGTGTTAAACCATAGGTCCCGATCGTGCAGGAATGTTTGACGCGCGCCGCCAACAACGATACTCCCATCCGGTCGTGGAACTAAGTAATCATAATTAGCGCCTCCAAATCTCAAGCTGTAGGTATTGGGTAGGTGAGGTGAATTCTGGCCTCTAGGTGTCGTTATATGACTGCAAACACCACGGACTGGGACGATTTTTCGACTGTACTGCGGTAGCAGGGCCGCTGTGTAGCCATTAGTTGCGTACACGATCTTACGAGCTCGCAGATTGCCTCGCGAAGTGAAAATCGTCCAGAACCCAGCACTATCTCGAGACTTCGAGACCTTCGCAACTGGGGTCTGTGCATAGGCCTTTACATCGTGCTGCTGGATCAGACGCTGGAGAAGACCCAGTACCATCTTTCTAGGCCAAAGATATGCTGCGGTGAAGCTGAAAAGAGACTGGGCTCCTTTAACTCCCGATATCTGAATGGGTGGAAGTGTCAGGTGAGACAGCTGAGCAATGGTGCAGGATGATACCACTTACCCGTTCAGCACTGCTGCTGTCCGTATATGCGACGTCCTTGAGGTCAAAAAACCCGCTGTCTCGGAGTTTCACATATGCAGCGTAAGTCTGACGGGCGTGGTCAGGATCCATGTACACATCGACAGCTCGTGTCACATGAAAGTCACAATCCAGGCCCTCAGACTCTACCAACTCCTTCACAGCCAGGACTTGGGAGCTCTCGAACTTTTGTAACTTCGATGCTTGCTCGGAACCGTAGATCCTTTCATACTTTGTCGTGCTATAGTAGGTGTCGGGTTTAATATGACCTCCATTCCTTCCAGTAGCACCCGAGCAGTGGGAACGTGCCTCGAGCAGCACCACTGCAGGTGCAGTGCTGCTGATTTTCAGAATGTGGTATGCCGTGGAGACGCCAGAGAACCCCGAACCGATGATGGCGATATCAAATTCTCCCGATAACGTCTCTGCTGATCTGTAGTCATCCAGTACGTGGGGTTCTTCCGTCCACACAGAGGGCAGCGGTTTAGCGACTGGGAAACCTGATGCACTCATCTTTGCGACTTATCTACTACCTGAAGCCATGCTGCGAGAATGCCCCAGATCTTATCGCACGTCTCGACCCTTGGGGGCTGATGGTCAGTTGAGTTTGCCGGACTCCTCATCAGATGAGAGTTATTGCGGGTCTTCCTGGGCCACCTGGCAACCGGGCCGGAAGGCTGCAGCGCGTACAGGAAACCTTCGAATCAACCTTCAAAATTGTCACCTATGCAGCTGAGTTTGCCTCCATCACCAGAGCAAACCAGTGTCAACACATTCTGAGGGTCATCAAATAGCACGAGCGAAAGTGTACGTGAAACTATCATGTTTACACTCTGCTATCTGTCTACGTCACGTCGCTAGGTGTTGCCATACTTTCTTATCTCTTCTACCCTTTTTTCACTGTCAGTCATGCATTCGACAGTCGTAAGCTATGAATTTTTGGAAGTTTCGGTGTAGACCCCCCTCTTAATTGGGTAGAGTTCCGGGCGAAAACCAGGATCGTTGGTACAGTAGTTTTATGCTGTACAATCTCCCGCGCAAAGCACGAATCGCGGGATTCGCAAATAGATTACAGACCAGCACAGGGCGGCATCACGCTCGTCCCGAAGAGGGTGAGTCGGGGTAGGACTTGCAGATCTTGGCGTTGACGCAGACGAGGCTGCCCATTCTTGTGGATCTCGACTGCACTGTTCGTGGGGTTAGAAGATGCCCCCGGAAGAGAAGTCCGGGCGCTCAAGTTGTGGTCCTGGATGACGTCAAAAATGCATTGTCAACGGGAGTCAATTGATGAAGGCGAAGATGTACATCGCAGGGGCTTCTGACACATTAGACCGTCTAAAGCTTTTCACCTCTTCGCCTTCTGTTTCTACAGGTCAAGCAGATAGATATTTGATCATCTCCAGACCACTGCCATCCATCAATCCACGATATAACATACTTAGTATTGCATCAATGGCTTCCCCAATACTTGTACGACTTCCCTGTCGTCTAATGCAAATCCCAATGCATGTTCGAACCCGTCCCTCATCATTCCTCCGACCACAAAAGACAAATCTACGTCCTCTGTCCACCAGCCCCACCCTTCGTCTAGCTAGCAGCCAAGATCCCGAGACGAACAAACATCCACAGCGAAAAGCACAAGAAGACCGCGAGAAACTCGACCCTCAGGCCAACGAGTACGCCAAGTCAGGGTCAGATGACAGTGCCGCAAAACAAGACGAGGCAGCTTTCGATCCCAATATCACGGATCCGCAGGAGGCGAAAAAGAAGGCTGGGGAGGGGAATGAGGTCAATCCATTAGATGCGAGCCCTGCGAATCCAGACATCAGCTCGGGCACCGCAGAGGAAGAGGGCGGTGTCGCCAAGAAGATGTCTGAGGGAGGTGGTGGAAGGAAAGGCGGTGGTGAGGCCGGCAAAGGAGAGCAGAGTGTTTGAGTCTGAGGGAGCCGGCCATTGTATATAAGTAGTTGAAGCGGAAATAAATATCTGTTAGGAGGGGAAGAAGTGTTCATAAATAATTTGCATTGCTCAAGGTGACATGGGGCATTCTTGGGGTATCATTCTCGCTGTAACAGAAAAACCATGTCAACCGTGGTTCCATTCCTTCTCCGTTGATAAAGTTTGGTAACAATTGTTCAGGTGAGTTTCGCTCAAGAGGATTTAGGCCACTCCTTCTTGCCTAGACGAATGATGTCGTGCTGTCCGACAATAACGACTTTGTCTTTGATCTCACCACTCCCCACTCTGACCGCAGCCAAGATAGCCGCCTTCGCGATGACATCGGCGTCTTGAGCCCAAGGGTCCTTGAGTCCACTGTACAGATGGCCCAGACCAGTGGCGATTGATCTGTATAGGGCTTCCATCGGACGGCTTTCTTGTCGATCACCCACAATCAATCCAGGCCGGACGATGATGGTATGGTCGAAATCAATCTCTTTGATATGCTCCTCGATCTCGCCTTTCATTCTCACGTATGCAAAGCTGGACTTGGAATTGGAACCGGCAGCTGAAATCAAGACATAGGTTTTGGTACCCGCTGCTTTGGCTGCCTTGGCTAACTCCATGTTGAGATCATGCTCCAGCTTGTATTGAGTCTCGAAACCGCCGGCTGCGCCTTTCGTAGTGGCAAGGGCCGAGAACAGAGTGTTCGGTGGAGGAGACAGGGAAGCGACATGGGGTACCCATTTGGTGGTGTCCTTTTCAACAAATTCTTTGACTTCAACTTTGGCATCGGCGGAAGAGGGCACAGGGCGTCTGCCGACCACTTCGATGCTGGAGAAAGTCGAGGGGCCGCCCGCTCGAAGGAGTTGGACAATGTGCGAGCCCTAAGAAATCGATCGTGGTTAGACCAAGGAACGTATAAAATCAGCGTGAGCAAGAACATACCACAAGTCCTGTCGCCCCGAAAATTAGTGTCGATGCCATCGTGGTTGGTCTGTAGTCTGTGAGATATCTTGGGTTGACGGATGAGTTGACGTGGATGGAGTTGGATTGGTACAGAAGTAGAGATAGAAACAAACCTGGGAAGCTGCGGAGGTGATGAGCTATATATCCAATGACGAAGAGACAGGCTTGTCCAAGTCTACTAAACATGAAATGCAAGACAAGTACGCACGTAGGATTGAGAGCTTGACATGTAGTGTGCCTGGCTGGAACTCCAGGATTAATCAACGGTTATTCGCAACAATATATCCGTATTCTCCGCAAATGCATGAGCCAGACGCCATTATGTCAGCGAATCTCGACTTTACATGAGCTTTTTACGAATTACCTAACTGCCTTTGACAGTTGGTGGAGGCTTGGAATCGGCGGAAGACGGACGGATGAATCAGCCTCAGGCCGACTTCATGTCCCAACTCCTTGTCGTGCGTAGTGAGTCGCGACCGACGAAATTGCTAGTAGTTTTAGCGCTCGGGATACATTCCTATCCAAACTCGTTCAGCCTTGTGTCATGATTGCACGTGATGGAACTAGCAACAAGGCTGTTCTCTAGCCTCGATTGCGTGATCGATCATTTCTACCATACTCCTCAGACTTTTTCTGCTAGTGATATCCGGGACAAAATGTAGGTGCCGATCAAAGTCCGGTTGTCAGTATGGAGTGGCTGGCCAGATGCAGGTGGGCCATGTGCTCTCGACCTTTTTTCTAGGTGAGCGTCTTCTTCTTTCCATCTCGCCTCCATCCCTTTGCTTTGCGAGTGTGTACCTTTCGATCCTCTCTCTTGTCTAGCAATATCGCAGCAAGACTCAAGAGATGGCTCCCATTCACTCCAGCAGTCTTCCTTTCGGGCAGACTCCGCCACTGGCTTCAGTCGCCGGTCCTACCTACGTGACGGCTCAGACCTTAGTTCAGCAAGTAGCATATACTCTGTCGGACAAGATCTTCTCCTATTCACCAGAATCCTTGGATCTCGATGTTGCCGCCAGAGCTTGGTCGGATGCTCAAGAGACGAATGCAAATGGCTACAAAACCGCGGTCCAGTCCATGCAAATTCGCAATGGCGCAGGCTCCATTGCTCTAGGATATATCTTTTCCAAGGATTTTGATTTGAAGAAGAGACACATCCCTCAGGGTCTGCTTGCCTCGTCAGCTGCCCTGAACTTCCTGAGACCTGCCCTGGATCAGCTTTCACTTCTGTACTCCGTCAGCAATCCTTTCGTTGCGCATGTCGCAGCTTTGGATTATGATGGATCAAAGAATGGGGGACTGGTCTCCGATTATGCCTCCGCACTGTCCACTGCAGAAGATCTCGGTCTCGGCCTGGTTTCCACACTATCTGCCTATGAGGCTCAGCATATGTCGCTGTTTGCAACCTTATTGGCTCAGGATCTACCCACATTACATGTCTATGACGGACTGAGAACTGGCCGGGACACCACCCGTGTCATTGACATTCTGGACAAATCTGGCCTTGCCGCTGCATATGAAAATGTCCTCAAGTCGACAGCAGACGAGGAGCGCAAGCATTTGAGCATCGAGGGCAAGGCCTTGAGGACACTCCGTGCCCTCAATGATGAGCTCGGTACCGAGTACAAGCCCTTTGAATACTCTGGACATGCGACCCCCGAGACTGTTTTGGTCACTTTCGGTTCCGTCGAAGGATCGCTCGCATCCCAGGCCGTTAAAGTTCTTGCCCAGTCTGGTAGTAAAGTTGGAGCGATCAACGTTCGCCTTTATAGACCATTTGCCGAGGAACAATTCCTCAAACTCTTGCCACAGAGTGTAAGGGTGGTTGGGGTTCTGGGACAAGTTGTTGATATTCAGGCTGTGCAAGAAGTTGGAATTCACTCTCGACTCTACGACGATGTACTCGCTGCAATTGCCTATGGATCTTCCTCCCATAGCAGCGTCAAAGTTCAAGATCTAAAGTATCCACGTAACAAGACTTGGACACCTTCATCCATCGCCAGTGCTTTCCAAAAACTCACTGGTAAACCCACCGAAGAAGCGACAATCAAAACATTCTTGGACAAGAATGTTCAACAGTATACCTTTTGGAACACTGATGATGCGTTGTCTGCACCGGCAGCCAATCTTCTCGCTCAGGCCCTGGCCACGGATTCATCCCACAATGTCACCGTGAACACAACCCACGACAATCTTCTACAGGGTGGTGTTCACAGGATTGACATTCGGAAATCGCCCACGAGTCTCGACGCATCATATCCAGTGACTTTGGCGAATGTCATTGTGGTCACAGAGGTCAAGATACTTTCTGAAATTGATGTTCTCAAGTCACTTGAGGCAGGTGGCAAGGTGATCTTGATTCTTCCCGGGGTGAAGGATGAAGACGTCGAGAAGAAGCTGCCTGTCCCATTCAAGAAAGCTGTTGTTGAATTGGGCGTTGGTCTATATCTCATTAATCCAGCAAGCACTACTTTGACTGTTGACAATCACGAAATTGAATCTCTCCGGCTACAGACAGCTTTCATCAGGGTAGCACTTCGCAATAGCGAAGAAGTCGGCCTGCAGAAGGTTGCCAAAGTGAATGGTTATTTCTCTCTGGACTCAATTGTCACTGATTTAGAAAAAACTCTGCGGGAAATCGAGGTACCCAAAGAATGGGCTGAGCTCGAACTCGACAGTCAGATTCAGCCATTGCCCGTTGATATCTCTGCTAACAGCTTCGCCAATTTCGATAAGACAGAGGAAGAGCCACCTTCCATTCTTCGCAACTGGCAGAAAGCAGCAAAGGGTCTATTGTTCAAAGAAGCGTATAACACCAGCAACAGTCTGCGTCCCGATTTGACTACCAAGACATTTACGGTTCATGTCAAGGAAAATCGCCGACTGACACCATTGACCTACGACCGTAACATCTTCCACATTGAGTTTGACCTTGGTACGTCTGGTCTGAAGTATGATATTGGCGAGGCTTTGGGCATCCACGCAGAGAACAACCACGATCAGGTCATGGACTTCATCAAATGGTATGGCCTGAACGCCGACGAGGTTGTCGAAGTAGCCTCCCGTGAGAGCGATGCTGTGTTTGAAAACCGTACGGTTTACCAATCATTGATGCAAAACGTGGACATTTTCGGACGCCCACCGAAGAAGTTCTACGAAGCTCTGGCAGATTTTGCAGATGATGCGACTGAGAAACGTACTCTATTGACATTGGCTGGACCTGAAGGCTTCAAGGAATTCCAACGTCGTGCCGAAGTAGACACCATAACTTTCGCGGACGTCCTGCTGGAATTCCCCTCGGCACATCCATCAGTTCATGACATCGTACGAATTGTATCCCCAATGAAACGCCGCGAGTATTCGATCGCGTCCTGTCAAGCCGTCACACCGACATCTGTCGCTCTTATGGTGGTCGTTGTCAACTGGGTTGACCCTGCTGGACGTGACCGGTTCGGACAAGCCACAAAATATCTCAGTGAACTCAAAGTTGGCGCTCCTATCACCGTTAGCGTGAAGCCGTCCGTGATGAAACTCCCACCAAAGTCTACTCAACCGATCATTATGGCGGGTCTAGGTACAGGCCTTGCACCTTTCCGAGCCTTCGTGCAACAGCGTGCACTGGAGAAGTCCCAAGGCAAAGAGATTGGGGCAGTCCTCTTGTACATGGGTTCGCGACATCAACGGGAGGAATACTGCTATGGCGAGGAATGGGAAGCTTATCAGGCAGCAGGCGTCATCACACTCCTTGGCCGTGCATTTTCTCGTGACCAACCTCAGAAAATCTACATTCAGGACCGCATGCGCCAAACCCTTGAGCAGATCACCCAGTCTTATATCAAGGACCAGGGCGCTTTCTACCTTTGCGGTCCTACCTGGCCCGTTCCGGATGTTACGCAGGTCCTCGAAGAGGCCATCGCATTGGATGCCAAAGCCTCTGGTGCAAAGAAGGTCGATCCTTCGCGTGAGATCATGCGCCTAAAGGATGAGGGTCGCTATGTTCTTGAAGTCTATTAGTCTATACTGTTGGTTAGCTGCATCGGTGCTTGTTTATTCTATAGAACATAGGCAGGGGCTACTTGTCATAGCGAACATATGTTTCTAAACAGTTTCTAGATTTACATACATAGATCTCCCCGTACTTTGCCAACCCACTTTGAGAAACAATTCTATACATCTACGTATGCTTGTTCAGATTACACTACGCGTCGGTATCGTGCCAGACCCTAGAAATGGGTTGCGGCCCGTATGGACTCTGGAAGCTCGGCTGCACCTGTGGATTCAGGTCCAGACTCTTGATGGACATCGATTTCAGCTTGGATATCCCAATTGAAAGCCACTTGTGGCGTCAGCATTGTGGCTGTGTCTGCAGAGCTCGACGGATCAACAGTTTATCCTCTAGAGCAGCCAGTTGGAGGAGTCCATCTCCAAAACCTGCCAATTCCCACCCGCCGGCTTGTCGTATCCCAGCCTCAAGCAATCAGCCATCGACAACTCATAAGGAGTCCCTCATCCTCTGACGATGCGCCTTTAATTGGTGACGATGCCACACCCTTTGCCGCCCTGCTTTTACGCCTGATATTTCCTCAGTTTCAGTTTTCGAGTCATTGAAACGGTACCTTCTGATCTGATGTTCTTTGTTCTTCCAAACATACAATCTGCCTCTTTGTTGACCGCTGGATTGATCCTTCTAGCCATGCTATTTTGAGTACACGCGGCTAGTCCACTTGTCGGACTCCTTCAAGAAGTCTCAACTACCTTCTTGCCTCAAGCTCTTTCCTCGACTTGACCACTTTCCAATCCTAATATACTCAATTCATCATGGCAGCCATTCATCAAACGATAGCCATTGTCGACCGATCCAACAAGGTTGTGAGCACGAGCAAACAACTCAAAAATGTATTCAAAGAGGCTAAGCTAGCATACCTCGAACGCAAGGCGGAGATTGTTGCCGATCGAAAAGCCCGGGAAGACAGGGAATTACGGAAGGCAATCAAAGCCGTAACTATTGCAGAAGAGGATGCTCGTTCAGATACACGGTCGGATACATCGAGAAGGTCTCGGAGACCACATGGTCACAGACATGACTCGGATAGACGAAGACCATCTGAGCGTGACCAACACCACTCCTCTGAGTCTCGAAGGAGAAGACGATCTCATGATGATACCCGCAGTGTCGATTCTGCTTCCCCCACCGGACAACCACCCGCATACAACGGACTTGCTCAGTTTAACGAAGACCTCTATGGAACTCATCGGTCCGCCCCTACATCTCCGTCTGCACCTCGAGGCCATGAGTTGATCCGACGCAGGACCGATCTGCCTCTGGATAGATATGGATCACAACGACCTACTCCGGTCCGTGCCCACTCTACTTCGGATATGGATGGCCACATCGACATGGATCTTGCTTATGGCGAATTTCACCCCGAGTCTTTGCAATTAAGCCCCAAAGTCGAGCAGCAGCTACAGAAGCAGGAGATGGCATCTCTCGTTGAGAGGTGTAAAATGCTGATGGATGAAGCCAACTGTGCACAACACAGTGTGCGAGCCATCGTCGCACACTTGCAGAAGAACCCCGATGCAATGGCTGCTGTGGCATTGACACTGGCTGAAATCAGTAATTTGGCGACCAAGATGGCACCAGCTGCACTGATGTCGTTCAAGACGGCAGCGCCAGCTGTCTTTGCTGTCCTCGCTGCTCCTGAATTTCTCATTGCCGTGGGTGTTGGTGTTGGCCTGACGGTTGTCATGTTCGGTGGTTACAAGATTATCAAAAAGATCCAAGCCGGTACCAACGGTAACAAAGAGGAAGCTATGGACGAGATGTTGGATGTGAATGAGCTCAGTCGGATCGAACACTGGCGACGAGGTATTTCTGATACTTCGGATACAGCAAGTGTCGCTACAAGCGTCGAAGGAGAGTTTATTACTCCAATGGCTGCTGCCAGCATGGGCCATCTACCCCTTCCCCGTGACAGAAATGGAGACTCGCAGGGAGAAAGAAAGAAGGAAGGCAAGGAGAAGAAGAAGAAGCATCGTCATCGAAGCGTGGATGATGGTGACACTACAGTGATAGGAAGTGAGACTTCAACACGATCGAAGAAGAGCAGCAAATCGGAGAAGCGGGAAAAAGCATTGGTGAAGGTCAAGAAACCTAGCCCTTTGCGCAGGATGTTTACGAGCAGGAATTCAGACACGTCCTCAACGCGGAATTGAGACTGTAACCTATCTTTCGAATTTGGGAACGGGGAAATGGTGTTTGGAACGGAGACTTACTTTCACGATTAATGACTTTATGAGTGGTTGCAACAATCTTTAGATATCAAGCTTACGAGAGCAAATGCACTGTATAGAGGCACGTACAAGAGTCAACAAATACCACCAGGTTCATGAACCCTACCACATTATTTGTTCAGCCCTCATGAATCTCCTAGCCTCTAGCACCTTTCACATATTTGGTCCCATGCCTCGCCGTAGTGACACGTGACTCTTTGAGAAATTTCCATGCGGCCGGACTTGCGAAGATTGTCTGCGGATAACTGAATTGCCTTCAACTTTCGTCAATCATCAACCATTAATTCCACCTCACCCTGTTGTTATCTTTCTTTTGGGGTGTGAGACTGCCTCTTTCAACGTCACTTGTCATCTCAAAGGATCTCAACTTCACGATCTGGTATCCAGGTCCGTGAAAGCAGCCTATTCCAGAACATCAATCCCAGCACCGCAGTCTGAATCCATAGTCAACTCGGATCTCTGTCCATTTCACACACCTTGCCATCATGGATCACTCAAGAGATCCGTGTCCCTGGGTTGCCCTGTCCGATTTTGGCGGAGCATTTTCCATGGGCGCTCTAGGAGGTAATTCACCTGTCCCTCAGACAAAAGCATCGACAGTGGCTAAGTCATCTTCCAGGCACGTTATGGCACGGCATCAAAGGATTCAGAAACTCTCCATACGGTGAACGACGGATAGGCATGATCACCGCCATCAAAGCTCGAGCGCCCGTGACTGGCGGCAACTTCGGCGTCTGGGGTGGCATGTTCAGCACGTTCGATTGCGCCGTCAAGGGTATCCGGAAGAAGGAAGATCCATATAACTCCATCATTGCTGGGTTCTTCACCGGAGGTGCTCTTGCTGTGAGAGGAGGATATAAGGCCGCGAGAAACGGTGCCATCATGTGTGCTATTTTTTTGGCTGTTATCGAAGGTGTCGGCATTGGTATTCAAAGGTTGATGGCGGAAAATACGAGGTTAGATGTGAGTTGATACTACCGCTTCGATTGCTTTGGACGTGGCCTTAACTAATGAACAACAGCTTCCTCCTCCTCCTTCACCGTCAGAATCGGGACGCGTCGCAGCGTGACTGGAAATGGCTACGACTCCGCATTTTATTTAGGAGTGATTCTTCTCTCCATCCTACTGGATTCATCAACCTGCCTATGGCCACTTGTTATTCATGGGCCCCAAAAATACTCAGTTTCTCTACTCTACTCTCCTCGACAAAGGTGTCCGGCCTCTTCTGATGGTTGACGGCAGTTTTATGTGCATAGCGGGCGTATGGTGAAAATGAGCTTACATGCTGGGTTGGTCCTCTGGTTAAGGTCAGGGAAGTGGATTGAGTTTTGCTGAAGTGCCAGCGGTCCGCTTCAGGGTGAATATTTTCTGGCACAAAAAGGTGTAAAACAGTGTATGATGATGAGAGCCGTTAATATATATCCTACCGACATGATAATCTGATTACATGGTTGACCACGGGGTACCTCTGCTCTATATGAAAAGGTGACTCTGTGATATGTTCTATGAATCAATGTCACTTGCTCGAGTTGAGGAGCTCTCCTCTGATTTCCATCAGAGTCGGGTCTGGTGACCATAATCCACAAGGCTGATAGGTGACCCGGATGACTCAGCAAGGCTGTCAATGCCGCCTGAATCTCAACTCCGCATTTCACTTCAAGTTCGCCCGCGAAAGAAAGACTGCAAGACTCATGTCCTATCCGTCAATGTCCCCATTCTTCACAGGCTCTTGTTTCATTCTCGCCATTAGCTGTATTTGATTTCCACCTTCCTTGAATCCCAGCGCGCGCTAATCTGAATTTCCCTATCGCCCAATCTCACCTTTATAACTCCATTCTCTTCAACTGCCATGCATTATGCGACATCCAGTTCTAGAAGCCCCAGCGTCGACGAATCCACTCCAGAATCTTGTGATAAGCCGCCCCGTGTCAAGCCATCAGACTTGGGGTTCCACATTCCTGAACATGTTCTTCCCGACATCATTCCTGTCCCGGACTCCCGTCTACTCTTCTCGAATTATCATGCACAGCGAGATCGTCGACTGCGCCAGCTGATCCGCCGCTACACGAATCAAATCCAACATGGTTGTAGAAATGTCAATTGCAATACTTTGACTTGTTTGAGTTACAGGAAGCGGAATGGCACTCTGCCGCTGAGGAGACATACGGATCTCTCTGCACGGACATTGGCATGTCAATTAGTAGAAGATTACACAAGAGCGTCAAAAGATCCGACAGTTGGCCTGTGTCAGAATGAGCCGGTCGTACCATGGTATGAGGATCCTGCTGCCATTGAGAAGAGGAGGAACAATATGGAGAAGTTGGGCCAATCTCACCATCAGAATCATCACCGACCTCATGAGAATGGGCATGCTACACGCAATTCGAGTTCCCATCAGGGCACGAGAGATCTTGCCCGACATGCACCGGTGGTCGAACAGCCTGTAAGAAGAAATAAGCAACAAGATGCCATCATTGCGGCAGGCAGGCTGGTTGTCAACGAAGATGGGGAGTCGGAAGTTACTCGGCAAACAAGTGAGCAAGTTATTGGGATCCTTAATTCTGCTCTGGGTCGAGACAACCACCATACCAAATCAGATCAAACAGGCTCGCCACCAGTATTGCCCCGTGCCCAGAAGAAAGATCCGGCTTCCTTTACGCAGACACTCTTCGACCTTCTACCACTTCGAGTCCTGAATTGGTTCCCTGCTTCGGACAAAGCTGATGGACAAGAGGTGCCACCAAAGAATACAATTGAACCAGAGGTCGAGGGGCCATTGAAAGATCACAGTCCTGAAGGAGGTCATGCTTTGAAGCATGAGCCTCCCCTGTCCTCGGATTCAGAAGCGCATGATTCGCAGGAGCAGGAGAAATCTCCACCAAGCAAATGCCCCGATGCTTCCAGATTTACTCTTCGTACACTCAGCTGGGATAGCACAGTTTGGTTGCGTGCCACTGAACGAGTTTTGCCAGTCAGAGATGCAGAAAACTACGAGAACAACTTCGTGCCTTTCCTGAAACAGAGCTTATATTATTGCATGAGCGACCCTGAGCGAATGGTTGCGACTGCCAGGGATCTCCAAGGAACCTATGGCGACCTAAGAACAAAACTGGAAGGGGCGGATGATGGAACACTGGATGAGGTTGCAGCTGAGCATCATCAGCGATTGGCGAGCCATTCTACTCGAAAGGTGAAGAGAATCCCGAGCTCGATCCCTAAGGCATGGCCAGCTGTTCAAACACAAACAAAGTTCGACTTGGAAGGCCTTCTGATGTCACTTTCTTTTCTTGACAGCTTTGGGCAAAGGTCTTTGATATTCAACAGTATCTTTCACGCTCTGCAGCACTCCTATGTCTTACCTCCGTGGCTACAAAAGAGGAGCTCAGGCACGCGAAGTAGATCTGCCAGTGGTGATGGTGATCTGCCTTCTCAATCTCGTGGTATCCACAATCACAGCAATCAGCATCTTTTCTTGGATGACAATGATTCATTCACGATGTCTACCACAAACGCTACCACAAGAGTGTACCTGAAAGACGCCCAGGCGTCTGAAGTATGTCTGGTTGCAATGCTTTCTTTGGCTGCAATCATATTTGACGGCGGCAACCTACAATACTGGGGTCATGGCTTGACTTTTGCACGTTTCAGGACTCTCAGAAATAGTGGGCTTGCTCATTCGCACTGGCCCCCTTTCACCGACCCCCGTGAGGCCGAAGATAATAAGAGGGCTCTCAAATTTGTCAGCATCATGATCCAAGCTATCGATGTATCTGAGGATTGGTCTGTCATTCGATTGATTAATGGGGTCATGGACATCATCAGTCATCGCTTGGCAGTTGCTAAATGGTCAACTACGTTAAAGACTTCAAAGACACTCAAGGAGAACAAAAAGACGATTGTCGACCTCCTTATCAAGCGCTTCGACCGCAACTCAATGCAGCTACGGACTGAGGATGAGCTCAATCCAAGCTGGATAGGAACAGCCGTCATAGAACTCATCCGAACAGTCATGCTCAAGACCTGGGATCGTAGTCCTGTTGTACAACGTGCTGGCCCTGTGGGAGGTGCATTGGAACTGTTGGCTGGAATTTACCGAGAAAGAAAGGACCTGAATCTGGAATCTGACCTGTTCATGATGCCATTTATCGCCGATACGTTCGATGATATCTCGATGCCTTCTGAATGGTTGAGCTTCCGTGCAGACAATCGACAGATGCATCTATTGTCATTCTCTTTCCTGTTCGAAAACGCCACACTGGTGCGATACTTCCGAGCCATCAACATCGAAATCATGCGCAAATCCCACGAAGGCGCCGCTCTTGTGTTCAACGATGCTCGACATTTCACCTGGATGCCAATGATTCCTATCTATGGTGCTAAAGAGGTCTTAGCCCGTTTACGTCCGCATATGGCCAAATACTTTATTCTCACTATCCGCAGAGACAACCTACTGAATGATGCGATCAATCAAATCTGGAGACGTGAACGTCAAGAGCTGATGAGACCTCTACGTGTACGCCTCGGAAAAGATGAAGGTGAAGACGGCCTTGATCATGGTGGTGTTCAACAGGAGTTTTTCCGAGTCGTTTTCGCAGAGGCGTTAAAACCAGACTATGGTATGTTCACTGTGGATGGGACGACGAGAATGACATGGTTTCAGCCTGGTTCTTTCGAACCTCTCTACCGATTTGAAGCCCTAGGAATTCTAATGTCTCTTGCTGTCTTCAATGGCCTTACCTTACCAGTCACCTTTCCACTTGCTTTCTACAGAAAATTGCTGGACTTGAAAGTGAAGAAACTTGATCATATCGAGGATGGCTGGCCAGACTTGGCCAAAGGTCTGGAAAATTTACTTGAATGGTCAGATGGGGATGTTGGAGATGTGATTGCCAGAACATACGAGTTCAGCTACGAGCTCTGTGGTAGCGTTGTCACCATCGACATGGACAAAGTTGGTCGCCATGATCCCTGGCCGCAGACCAGACCCAAAATCGGCAGAAAAGGAAAAGAGCGAGCAAAGTCCACTACGTTTGAGCTTCCTCTCGATAATGCCGAGCTTACACCACCTATTCAGCCTTCACCAGAACTTCAACCAACCCTTACATCCTCGAGCCTCTTTCCAGCCATAAGTCGAACATCCTCCATCAGCCTCAAAGGGATCACCACTCCGATCAGCATGTCAGACTCCGACATGTTACTCGAATCTTCCGCAATCGAAGCCCCACTCGTCACCAATGCCAACCGTGCTCAATACGTCAAAGACTACGTCCTTTGGTTGACACATAAATCCGTCGCCGAACAGTATGAGGCCTTCGCCCGCGGCTTCTACACTTGCCTGGATCGCACAGCCCTCTCAATCTTCACGCCAGAATCTCTGAAATACGTGATCGAAGGACACCCGGAAATCGACATTGATGAGCTCGAACGCGCCACTACCTACGACGACTACGCGCGGCATTCACGCACAATCGACGACTTCTGGCACGTCGTCCGCAACATGAGTCCGGACCAGCACCGCCAACTACTTGAGTTCGTCACGGCCAGTGACCGGGTACCTGTCAATGGCATGAGTAGTGTTGTCTTCATCGTGCAGAAGAACGGAGATGACGATTCCCGGCTACCTAGCAGCAGTACTTGCTATGGCAGGCTGTTGTTGCCGCAGTATTCGTCCCGTGAGGTGCTGGAGGAAAAATTGACCAAAGCTATTGAGAATTGTGTGGGTTTTGGAACCCTTTGATAGATTCTGATAGCTGTTCACATGAGAAGATGTGCATTTCCCAATGATTCCGAACCCCATTCTGTCCGCGATGGGCAGCCTCTCCTACGCAATATTCAAACACCGAGATGTGTAGAATCTACCTCTCGACTCTGCCTCCTTCCGGGACGAACGGGAGATCGCCTGAGCGGAGGGTATCCTTGCCTCTTATCTCGGATAAATTTTTTCCGCTAGCTACAATACCTACTCGAACCACTCCGTGCCGAGTTATATGTTTGATCGGTTGATCAAGTGATTATTCACATACCTAGCCAGCTCAAAGCCATGAGGGTCAAAGCCTGTTACTGGCGAACCAAGTAATACAACACAACCAAAAGTCCATACCTGCCACTAGCCTTGATCAAGCCTAGAAACTCAGGGAGCAGGATTACAATTGGTGGAAGCTTTTAAACATGGCCGAGATATTGACGTCTGCGAACTGGCTCCAGGAGCTAACTGAAACGCCGTCTGGGATCAATCTGACGCTACGTAGGCGAGTGTATAGCTTGGATACGGGGGAGCTTTCGCCCCCATTGTTAAAAGACATCGCAAAAGACTGTCTAAAATGGGGTCAGTAGCGCTCTACAAAAATGTGGTTTCACTTAAGCGACAGACATTGTCGAATTCTAGATTCGAGATGGCCTGATGCTACCTTGGTAAGAAGCCCCCGTCAACCATTATATAACCTCCGGCTTGTCTCCTCTCCTTGAAGAGGAGCATTCTTCAGTCCTGCGGGCACAAAGAAATTACTCTAGACCCGCTCTAGACAATGTGAAGAAGTTTCCTTGGGTAGCTCCAATTGCTTGCAATCATCCCAAAGCCACATGGCAGTAAATATGAACATCCGCGCCCATGCGCAAGGCTCCAACCCTATCTTGAGATCGCCATGGGGTTGGTCTTGGGAATTTATAAGCTTCCTTGTTGCACTTGGGTCCTTTGGCGGAATCATTGGCCTGCTGGTGGCGGTGCAGAGTCAACCGGTCCCTGAATGGCCATCGGGGATATCAGTAAACACGGTTCTCTCAATTCTTGATGCCGTCATACAGGGCGCAATGGGTGCCATGGTCGCCGAAAGTCTGTCTCAGTTGAAGTGGACGTGGTTCAAGCGAGAACGGGTGCTGAAAGATCTGTAAATAAGGGAAGCTGTGGACTGTTTCTTGCTCTTGGGCATGACGCATATCAGAAGAGCTGAGAAGAGTATGAATCAGTATGATTATACGTTGTATGGTGTAGGAGGCCGCCTGTCCCATCACTATCTGAGCGAAGAGATAATTTGACACTCCCAGAAATGTCAATTCACTCTCGCCATATACCTTTTCCATTGACAAAGTTGATGTGGCCATCATTTCTGACAGATTAAAGTTGCTGCCTAGCGTTTCTCATAAGCCTGCACTCCAAGATGTTTTCAACCTCTCCACACAGACGAACCGCCCGGACGTAGGTGAGGCACCAAAAATCTTACAGGAGGACCAGTCTACTTGACTTGCTCGTTAGTGATTGGGAGGACGCTGTAAGCAATACTAGTTATTACTACAGCGTCTAACTTCAAGAAAGGATACTCCATCGCAATGATTCAGCACTGCTCGCATGACGAAACCCAGGATAACTTTCAGCACACAGCGGAGCTCGTGTCCCCAGCGAGAAAAAAGTCCTGACGTAAGTCGATAAGAGGAGATTGCAAAGATGCAAGGACAAGCCCTCAATACTCTCGTGGCTGAGCTTCTTGCAAATGATGCCCGATATCAAGTTCTAAGTGACAAGAAGGAAATCAATAACCAGCAGCGTCGTACAAGAAAGCACGCACTGAACATCCGCGGGGAGAAGACTCATGCTCACCCCCAAAGTAGATGAACGCGGGATTAATGGTGTCGAAGGGAGGCTAGAGCCCAACAAGCACTTTCTGAATTCTGTCACTCGCCTACCAGAGTAACTTCCAGAAGAGCCGCTCTCTCAGAAGGAGATCTCGACGTGGATAGCGGTCCTACCAGCAGCAATGTAATTCCACTATAACCTGAACCTGTCGCGCGTCTTCGATAATCCTGATAGGATGCTGCTGACCTGGAAGAGAACGCATGGTCAGATACTACTATTAATAGTGCCGTGTTCGACGAAGACATGAACAAGGACTTGTTGGAGAGAATCCTTCCTGGACTTCCTTCGAGGACCTCACTTGTGCCGCAATCCAGCTCATTCTTGAGACTAAAGACAAGGAAAACCGCAATGCGAGCAGGAATGGAGTGGTATGCACCTTATGTATGGAGGACGAGACCTTGCCAGAGGAAACTGGCAATAAGCTCTGGTGGCCGGATCTACTCAGAAGCCATCAGGAAAGGTCAGCATTCCATACACCATACAATACTTACCACCAGCACATGGGAAAACCAGCCAGAAAGGAGTACGATGGCAGCTCCTGATGTTCACACTGTATTGAGACTCCGCTGAGGATTGAGGGCTCTGTGGATCCAGAGAGGTCTGGTTATCTGAGCTTATCAAATCACCTCCGTACAGAAGAGATTTAAGGGATAGAGTTCTAAGGTCCAAGGCTTGGATGAAGTGTACATATCAACTTACAAGACCGTTGTATCTTCAGGGGTGCAGGATGATTAGTACAAAAATTATTGGGACCTCTTTATGACATTAAGAGTTAGGAGGCCGCCATGTACATCTCCTCGAACCTAAGGTATATATATCAGGAGGCCGCTATGTCTATCCTCTCCAATTTCAGCTATACATAACAGGAGGCCGCCATAAATATCCTCTCAAATCTAGGCTATAGATCGCAGGGTGCCGCCTTGTACCTGAAGCAGGGAGGTTGGACACCCCTTAAATGGATAATTGTCCCTTTCATCTCCCTCGAGTTTACCGGTGGAGTCAGCGTCTGTTGGGCTACCGCCTGACTTCTTAATGCTGCCCGAACTTTTCCCTCGAGACTGCGAGCGTTCGCGAAGCTCTCCGGGCTGATCAACAGACGTTAGTGCCCTCGCCATAGTTTCTGCAAGCACCACTTCGTTTTGGTAGTTGATGTACTCTCCGATGGGCAAGTCAGAGGGATTGACGGATGCAGGAAGCCTCTTGTCTGTGTGGGAAATTCTTTTGAGTTCGGGACCACTTCGTTGCGACGCTGTGGTGCGTCTTCGCTGGTCATCGCAATTATTTTCTCAGCCTGGTTATTGATGAACCTGAGATTGCCGTTCATGATGAGTTGGCCGGGGGTGAGCATTGCTTCGTTGATGGGCTGTATCATTCGTCGTCGAGTTGTCGGAGCGTCGGCTGCGTTCTCGCCATCTTGATCGTGGACCTCCGCCTCACTTGAGGGAGGTGTGGCTTCTAATCAAGAGGTCAGTACTGGACTCTTAGTCCTTTTATGTGCTCAGAACTCACTGTCTTGGTATTCTTCGTCGGACATTGTAGTCGATTTGACCGGAGAGTTGCTGACAAGGACCTGGAGCCATCAGCTTGTTAGCAGATAGCTGAGAAGACAGTTGAAATAACTTACAAGTTGAGTGGGTCCGGATGAAATCAGATGCCTCTTCAACAACTTGAAGAGGAGCAGGAGTGGTGAGGCGTGAGGCTTGAAGTTTGAGAAGTCGTGGTTAACACGCAAGAAGAGGAGTAGGCGTTTGATTGAAAAAGACAAGGTCAACGCATCGACAAGCGGCGGAGGGGTGAGGTCTCATTAAGAAAGTTACAAAAAACAAGAGCAGCAGGTGAGTAGGTATAGGTGCTAGTGCGGAACTCAAGAAATACGGACAAGTACGAACGAAAGCCAGATCATATCACTTTGACACTCACCTTCAACAGCATTTGACTTACGTCTCTGGTCTCGGCCTTCGTCCTTCCGCCTTCTCGAGCGATGCTAGGAAGTACACCCGCCTTGTTGCTCTTCCGCCTTTCATTGGACGGGCAGCGTGACTCTCGTTTCAATCTCGAACTGTCGTTCTTCTGTCTTCGCTATCGACGTATTCCATGATTTGACCTAGGAATGGCCATTTACTACCCAAGACGGAGATACCGAAGACTGAGTAGCTCGTAGATACAGAAATCCTGCTAAAAGCAGCACTGTACAATCTCAATCCTTGGCGGGTCTGGTTCCAAACATCCACTTTGAGAGGTTCTGTAGTAGTAAGGCAACCAACCCCCTTGATACAACTGATTTGATATTTTATGCAAAAATGAAATACAGGGTCGGGATGATCGCGCCTCAGGAAATATATGTAGAATCTGGGGGTGACATCAACTGGACAAGGCAATCCCCTTGGAACCACTGATTTGGTATGATAGGCAAAAATGAAAACGGGGGTCGGGATGATCGCGTCTCAGGCCAGCCCTTACAAGATTCGGGTGCGACATCAACTGGGCAAGGCAATCCCCTTGAACTCACTGATTTGGGATTATATGCAAAAATGAAAAACGGGGTCGGGATGATCGCGTCTCAGGCAACATTCGTAAAATCTGGGTTGCGACATCAATTGGACAAGGCAATCCCCTTGGAACAGCCGATTTTGAATGTTGTGTAAAAAATGGCCACGGGGTAGGCTGGATCCCGTCCCAGACAGCACTTTGTATGTCTGGGTAGAATTTTGACTCGGCAAGGCAATCCCCATGGAGTAGCTGAGTCTGAATCTTGTGCAATAACAGGCCACGGGGTAGGCAGGATCCCGTCCCAGACAGCACCTTGGTGTCTGAGTAGAATTTTTGGGTGAACCTACCACAGCAAGGCAATCCCCTTGGATCAGCGGATTCTGAATTCTGTGCAAAAATAGGCCACGGGGTAGGCAGGATCCCTTCCCGGGTGTGTATGTACGACTCAACAAGATGACACGGGGTAGGGAAAATCTGGTGCCTGCGACCTCCGAATATCAGTAGCTAGTGTTTTGCACACTAATGTACTTAGCGCGTACGCTAAACTTGCTAGTGGCTCTACGATACTACCTGTGTCTACTGCAAGTACTCTATGAAGATCTCAAGTTTTGTTTCTCCTGTCCAACTCCCTTCCCTTTCTGTCGCTGTCATATTGAAGCTGGCGGGGAAAAAATGACATATCCTACACCCTCCTCCTCCCCTGCGGGAGTGAAAAGCTCCAATATCACGAGACGGCAAGACAGTTAGACGATGCGGCTTTCTCACAGCCTGGCTGAGCCGGCTCTCTAAGGACATAAGCGTACATCTCCCGTGAGTCTCAGCAGCTGTCTGTAGGTCCTGCACCTTTGGACTGGTATGGAAGCAGAAACTAGTACCTTGAGTAGGAGGACGGGAATACAGTACTAAGTATCTAGCAAGGCTTCATTTGCGATGAAGAAGAACTTTGGGGATCCTCTATAGTCAAATTATAGTATTGCAGTGGACGTCCGTATATCGAAGATCTTCTCATAGAAGCCATGATGCTTGTATCTTCTACTCAAAGAGGTAACCACAGATGGCAATATTCTATAGTTAAACATCCCTCCGTTTGAAACCAGGGAGGACGCCATAGTAATATGATCAACTCGACTTTAGATAGATCCTTCTTCACTTAAGTAGTCACTTTAGTCATCATCGATCTTTCATCTTTGAAACCTACCCCGACTTCAGGTGAGAAGTTGCTTTACCACTTATCTCTCCTTCGTTAAAACCTTGTCATTCCCGCCTTCAGCAATCCTTAAAATTTCAGGTCTTCGACACTTGCTTGCTGCCGAGACTCACAGACAATTTCTCAGAGCAGTTTTGACAAGATGGAATCTCAAGACGATTGTGTATCATCTTTGGCGAACACAATATCCAGTCCTCAGACATCTACAAGTCATCTAAGTCTGGTCGATGAGGAACTTAGTCATGTCGCGGTGACCAATATCAAGTCTGAGGAGGGCATGGTCGAAATTCAACGTAAAAGAATGCCTTCCAGTCCGCAAAGTGGCCCGTATCTCTCAGATGGGAAACTCAAATGGTGGTTAGGCCAGAACTTCTTTTCGTCTGCTGCTCAATACAACAAAATCGTGGAAATGTTACTGGTTTGGACTTGCCGATGTTATGCAGACTACCCCCACTACGAGGACGTTTGGCTGCACTCCTTGCGTGATATGGTGAATAGCATCGGGCTATATTGGATCGATGTTCGCGAATGGTCAGTGCAGCTTCTCGAAAACCCGGAAGCAGAAAGAGAGGAGAACCATCGGGTGCCGGAAGGCCGAGAGGAGTTGGTGTCATGTGTTCAGAAGTTCAACGCTGTTTACGAAAGCTATGTCATCAGAGATTGCCTAAAGCCACCACCAAAACAAGTTGGACGAAAGAAGCGACCGAGAACCGAATCACAGGATACCGACGAGTCTGGTGCACACCAATCGAGCGATCTGCCATCCCAGAAGGTCCAGGAAACCGGCACTTCCGGTTTTAACGCAAGCCGAAGCTCGACCCGTGTCAAGGCTGCAAAGACCAATAGAGAACTTGCTGCATTGTACACCAAGACCAGGAAGCAACGCTTTGAGCAAGGAGAAGGAAAATTTACCGCAGAAGGCTTCGTGAAGAGACCCTACATTCAAGACATTATCTTTGCGAAGGACAAGGAGGGCAGCTATATAATCCCGGAAGAGAGAAGACCAAAGCTCATCGACCATTACGACGCATGGAAGAAGCAACAAGAGCCCGGTGGTGCTGCTACATACAACTGGAAAGGGGAAGCCAGAAAGCGTCAAGCACTCACATTGAGGAGAGATGACACCGGAGCATTCAGTTCAAATCGCACAGCCCCTCTCCAGCAATCAGAGCTTGGGTTCTGGGCGGCAGTCAAGGCCGGGTTGTTCAAATTGAATTCTGATGTTGTGAGTGAGCCTGACAAGATTTTGGGCATGCGCATCAAGGAGGCACACAAAACTGTTGCGACCGGTATTGCGTCCATTGCTACTGTCCGCCATGAGAAAGCTGTCTCGGATGAGCAGCGACGTTTAGGTGCAGTGAGGATTGAACAGCTTGAAGCGAAACTCGCCGATATGGAGGATGAACTCGAAAACACTCGGTTGATGGCCAGGCAGTACCGAGAAGAGATTCAAAAGCTTGAAGCCAAACTCGCAAGATATGAAGACTGAACTCGATAATACTCTGTGTATGGCACAGCAACACCCAGAAGGAATTTAGATGCTTCAATCAGTTCTTCTGGATCTGCAGTCCAACACTAGGGAATCTGAGCCAAACCAGGTGGGCAGTGACAGAAATGGAAGCCAAATTTGGCATGAAAGTTGATTTACGCAGACGTAAACAATCCGACCAGTATCGCGATCATTGATGACTAAACTCTCCTTTTCCATCATGATGAGCCAAAGACCCGCCCTGGCACTCAGCTTAGCAAATTTCGTCTAGAGCTACCATAGTGCTGGTTCGTGGTAGTGGGACACCCCACATGGCTGTGGCGGAGAGAGGTTGAACCAGAATTGGGACGCAAAAAGTCGTCGGCCTTCCTACCCACGAACCAATGTTGAGAAGAGCAAAGCAATGTAGTATTTAACCTAGTTGGTCGATATATCGAGGCCATGTGCAAAAAGTGGACGTTTCAATCCAGGAATAAAACCTGAACCAACATTTATGTGCGTCTTGGGATGGGTGGTTGTTACGTGCTGTTAGACAAGGCTGCATGCCAAGGGGTAACGGGTAGAGCCGGACTAATCTCTTGGCACACAACTCATCTACTTTCACAACTTTTGGGTAAATCTAGACATCCCTCCGTATACAAAAATGTATTTCTCCACCACCACTGTTCAGTGCTCTTCCAAAAAAGATAAAGAGATAGTCACACGGACTACGGCTGATGACTAAGGCAGGTTTCGAACCTGCGACCTTCTCGGCTTGGTTTTTGGACCAATGGATTCAACTATGTGAACGAGATGTGATAACCACTACACCACTCAGCCCAAGGAGCACGCGAAAGTGTGTCCAAGATTTGTCATGGATTTACGGACTGATAATATATAAATTCTTGATCTGCTGCCTCGGAAATAGGCGGGAGATGTACCTGACGCTGCTGGAAGAGGGGCAAATTCGGGTGGATGAGGAGCATGTTGGGGGGACGGTACCCCTCCCCCACGGAAATATATGAGCCTTGCATTTGTGAAGACGTAGCTCTCGAGTCTTTCTCTAGACATTCAACGATCAGTTGCCAGCTTACTCAAGGTTACTTGGGTACCAGATCACTTATAAATATACAAAAGGGGGACATAGGACTTCACTTCTAAAATCGCAACTATGTCGGATATCGATATCTCAACTCTTTCAACCCCGGCCAAAGCTACAGCTGATTTTTGTTTGATCCCTATCGGCACACCAACAGCATCGGTATCAGCACAAATAGCGGATGTGCAAAGGCTAATGAAGAAGTCTGGGCTGAAGTACAGTATGCATTCTGCAGGGACAACTGTCGGTACGTGATCAACTGGGCTTTGTTGCTGCGATGTTTGCCCCTGCATGTAAGGGAGAGTAAACAGGGCGTGAGGAGAACAATATATGGGCTACCAAGACTGGGAGCTCTTATGAGGGAACAAGCACACGCCATTGAGTACCTTGCACCACTACGCTACCGCGTAGGTTACACAGCACTGGAGCCCTACATATCCCTATCACGTAGACCGGCTGCTAACAATATCACAAACAGAAGGATCATGGGATGAAGTGACTCGTGTGATCGGCCAGGCGCATGCACTGCTGCACGGTAACGGTGTTGTACGCATCCAGTCTGATATTCGGATCGGAAGTCGCATTGATAAGTCGCAAACAATGGAAGACAAAGTTTCAGCCGTCGAGAAGCTACTTGCAAGTGACGAGTGAGTGGTGCGAGACCGACAAAGCAAATTACGACAACAATTGTCGCAAAGTGCAAGAAATTCTGTGTCACAAGCATTCTTCAACTACAATAGTGCACTGTCTCGAATTCCATTGATCCGCCTGAGGGAAGCAGGGAGAGACATGCGGTTGTCGTACTTCACAAATATCTCACTAATTCAAGCGAACTATTCAATCTTCATGTGGCGCTACCTAGAGGGTTTCAGATAAACAAGCCTTGTGCAAACTTGATTCTCGTACGGCGGGCGTCCTCCTATGTGAGAGAATATATGCTGGTGATTCCGGAGGTCCGCAATATATGATCCTGTCTTTTGAATTCGAAGTAAACGAATACTAGTGTATAATAGGGGATACAAGAGATCGCCAGGGTAGTTCGACTGAAGTCAAGTCAAGTGCCAAGTTCGAAGTGGGTGAATCGTCAAATAGGTGCTTAATTACCTACCTAGGTAGAGGCACCGTACCCGTGGCATAGAGCCTTGCCCGACGGAATAGTGACTGACAAAGCACGACATTAAACTACTAGAGCTTCTACGGAATTCATAAAACTAAACCTCATTCTCGTAGAAATACTCGATTTTCGCCAGGACGTCCAATCCAGTATCATTTTCCTTTTCTCTTTTAAGTAAGTGCTCCGCTTGACATAGCCTAAGTACGATACCAAGGATACAGTCAGCCTTACGGTCCAAGCGAGAGAGTAAATACCCAGGTACATGGCAAGCGAGGCAACCAAGCCAAACTTAGATTGGTTGGAGGGTCCCTTATCAGAAATTATGTCGCAACGTTTAAGGTGCCCGATCTAGACATCACATTATTCGTATGTTGGATCTTTCTCGGCAGGAGTTTTTCCGACAGACTAAGTCGCTAGACTGGCTTTGCAGGACCGTGTCAGACTTTCGGTTGGGTCGTGGCCTGACCGTTTTGACGTGCCGCACCGAGGTATCGATCTTGTGGCGCCGTTGAGAGTCTAGAGGGAATGCGGCATCACTCGACATCAACCACTGATAATTGATTATCAAGATGTTCCTGAACCCATGGCGTGCATAAGGCGTAGAGAAGATGCAGCCACTCAGCCCTACCTAGACTGGGGAACCTGGCTCCCTGCTGCAGCGAGGCCTCACGAGAAGGAGCCGATCCTTTCCAAGTGACGATCGTACGAAAATTCGATCTTGAGGAAGAGCGAAATTCCTCGGCCCTCGCAAATTTGACGGTGAGAACTTGAGCTGCATCTCAGTTTATCAGCAACCCCCACACCGGCTGCGAAGCAAATGGCTTTTTCAGGGTTAGTATGATACGTGTTTTCCTCTCGACCCCGGTACTCATGCTGTTTTTAGGAATACTTGAAGGATTGTCATGCTTGCAGTGGATCCCCGGGTTCATGGATCTTGAAATATCCATGGGGGGAAACGATGTTCATTAGGCAGGAAGCCCGACTTGCCGAGCTTAGCCAATGGTCAGGATTTGGATCATAATATAAGCAAATAGCTGAGCAGTAAGTCGGGGATATCTTCAATATTCTCCGTAGACTCGTGCTTATTGGCGGCCGCTTTGTTCTAAGCAAGATTTCGAACCTTTGGAAATCCTTGTTCCGGGAAAGTTTGCGACTTTCGAGGCGCATAGACTATTCTGACTGCAGGACGTCGTCTTCGCTATCGTTCTCGAAGTTTATGTCCACAGCCTGCTGGCTCAGTCTTGCAAGTCAATACCTCTTTGGGCGGTTACCCTACATCTGCTTTCGCCCCATGAAAGGCGTAGGGCATTGAGTTGAACTGTTTAATTCTCCTCTCAGCAAGGCTTTGGACTTAGTGGCCAGGTCCACGCCATGTATTCCCCCAAGGTTTCAGGGATTTCTGGTTCAGACGAATGATGAAGCCGCCATAACAATCCAACAAGAGCCGATTACCGGAGCTGCAATAGCTCTCTCACTCTATACTTCCATAGTAAGGAGAAATATATCCATGTAGAAGTCACAGACCGGTTCTGTTTAGTTCATGAACGAAATAAATGAAAAAATGACCAAAAATGATAGTTTTCATTCATAGAAATATTTCCCACTTCAGGAGAAAACCATACTTCTCCATTAGCCCCAGTAGAGCAATCGATCACATTGAGAATGCCAATTCGTCACTGACTCAGGTCATCCAAAAAGGAGCTTATTCAGATTCCGGCAATAGACCATTCTGTTTCGCAATGTGCACGACATCAGTACCCAGGGCCAACATCGAGCTTCATGGTCCACTGGCGTTTCCGGCCTCTGAACCTTGGGCGTTCGTAACATTCGCTTGAGTCTGGAAAAAACGATACAAGTACCAAGTAAGAGATTCAAATGTCTGCCCGGTCGCAGAATCGGCGGCTGTAAAGCGCCGAAATCGTTAGTAGACATCTGAGGCGCACGAGTGGCCGTGGCCACGGCCACATCATCGGGTGGCCTCGAATCTCCAGGCCCAGGGGTCTGGAAAATGGAGTATCAGTATCGGAAACTTTACGGTTCGAGCGGCCGTCAGGCCATGCATGCGGACCCGCTGAATAGTGACAGCATAAGTACAAAGTGTAAATTACTGAAAGCTGAGTCTTGTTGTCAGCGAACGAGCATATGCATGTACGAGACTGATAGCTGCTCAGATCGTATGTTCTTGCCTTGGTAACTCGCCGCCGACTACCGACTTGGTAGGCGTGATGTATTCAGCGAACCAGGTGGGCATGAATATTGGAACGGGATCTATTCGTCATCCATGTTATATCCCGAGATGTTGTGGGGCAAAGTCATGATGTGAATGAAAAAAGGTGGTGAAATCACGACTTTAGCGACTCCAACAGCTACCACATGCAATACACAAGGAGACACATACACAAATTGAGCGCTATTCATGATCCCTGCTTGCGGGTTCGCACTAGATGTCCACCTGAATAATGCAATGCTATGAGATATGCAGGTCATGGCATTCCTTCAACACAGATGATACCCTGATACCCGCATGGCAATTTGCCCAGCGGAAATGGTATCCTGATATCCTGATATAATGTAAATAATGTATGAATCATCGAGAACGGCGCATTTGACGAATATTGTGCAAGGATGGCTCCTGATTGAAGTGCTGTGTATGCTCGAATGTCCACAGATCCATGCCAGTGAGCGCGTGGGTCGAGCATCTGAGATATAACTCCGCAATCGTATGATTCAAGTCTCTCCACATGTATTGCAGGGAGTCCCTTCTGAGACAGATCTCAAGATCGCATGATTTCCTATTTCCGCATTCATATCGGATCATGTTTCCGTAAATGATCCAGACCAAGCAAGATCTTGATACTTTATCCGTTGTGGATGTTGGATATCAAGATGCGGCAGGGATCAGATTGCAGATTCTCACCAATATTATCAGGATTTTTCGTTGTTAGCTCTTGTGGACTATTAACCATTTCCGCTGCCGGTACTTTCACCCGTGAATGGATAACAACTTAAGAGAGAACGTTAGAGGAACTGCTTAGGCTTGATGCGCAGAATGCAGAAAAACGCAATCGTGAATGAATTACCATGGAGAGAAATGTCGTAAACAGCCTATGCCTTCACGCCCCAGCGATATCTGAACCTTCTCAGCATGGCTTTAGATGCCAAGGAAGAGGATTCAACGGCCTGTATAAACTGCCGGACTTCTTTCTGATGTCCTCGGTCCTGGACATTGCACAACAGAGATTCAATCAGCCGAATTTCTCCCAGGATAACCAGTTAACGGTGAAAAGTATTTTGTGTCACCAGAGAATCGTATCTGTCGGGCCTGCCGAGGATCATCGTCACACAGCTCGATTCAAATTTTTCGGGATTTGAACAATCAGCTCGGATTTCCGGACGATTGCCGATTTGACCGTTCGATTTAAGACATTTCTGCTCGCTACCAACGATAGAGCCACATGACTAGCATAGACATAGAGTTGATAATCTGCCGTGCGAGTGCGAGGGAAATCTGCTGTGATATATGTTAAGCGAAAACCCGGCCACTAGGAATGCACAGGTCCGATTTTTCAAACTTCAGACGGTTGACCAGTGCGACCTGTGTATCAGATTCGGTACCAAATGGCAAAGCTGGGGACCTACCTCCCGTACAGCGGGCCACATGGAATTTGGTCGACGTACTGGCACTGGTTTACCTCGAGCAAATCACACTTACACTAGAGGACGGAGTATGAAACCTACTCTAGCGTACCTGTCATCGGTGTAAAGATAAGAGTTTACCACCAACAAGAACGATATTAAGCGATAGTCGCATTTGGTTGTTGTGTCGGCATTGTTGTCCACACTGTCCCAGTGGTTCCTCGGCGAATATTCGCACTCTCGATAGGCGGTGATCTTTGACATAATGATGACCCCAAAGTTGAGGTGCATTCTGCACAATTGAGTGACTCGTGTACCCTGAATTGTGACACTGCAACGAAAGTCTGATGTCGGTTTCGTGTCAGAGACGTATGAATCCCATTTTTGGAAGTTGCACAACCAAGCACGACCAGAAATCATCGCTTGCGTCAAGTCGCACGTATGCGTGTCTTCAGTCAAGACCGCTGGTTGTCGATCGTAGTAGCAACGGATACTAGCGATTAGTTTGATCAATAGTCGGTCTCACCACGTGCTCCGCACTATCAGGCATGGAGGACGTTACCCATTTCTGGGGCGAGCAGCACAAAGTCCGGTGGGAAACTATTATCATGTGATATCATTAACGAGCATCTTAACTATATCCTTGTTCTTAACAAACCTGCGAGAGAGCCGTCATCCTAGTTATCGAAAGGCTCCGCAGACAAAGTATACTCCTTGTTCGTTGCCATCATGCTGGGTAGATCAATTTTAGTAGATTGAACGGTGATGAGCCGCCGCCATTGTTGTCGTATTCGAGCTGCAGGATTGGACTTGGAGGATTGAGGACGCCTTACATGCGGCTCTTACTGCTTATTTGCATCGATGTTCGTCGGTTGTTCGATACTTCGTTGGGATAGTGTAACGCCCTTTGGTGGATCTCAACCAACTTCCTGAATAGTCAACCGACGGGACAACGATTGCTCTGCATGTCAGGCTGGGGGAACGAATTCAGAGTCAAAGTAAAGCACACCGGGCTACAGGGATGACTCATGTCAAGCTACATTGTCTAGTCGCTGGGCGCATTCCACGTCGTCATTAAAACGCTGTCTACCTCGTATGTGAAAATATGGCGTGTTGAATTGTCCGGTTGAGCGTATTCGCAATCGACGCAACGTTGAGTCGGAGTTTACGCCCGAAGTGGATAGCGGACGCATCCTTCAGGGTAAGAAGCCTGGGCCTGATTTTGTGAAGGTCTTCAGCCTGGGACAACCAAGGTTTTCCTGAGTCCCACCACTTGTGGAAGGTGACAGATAAGTGGAACCGACATGAACGAGTAAATGAAAAGCACCAATGAATGACAAGAGGACAACGACTGCTTTTGAATGTCAATTGAAGTTGAAGGCGAATGTCACCTGTCTCTCGGTTGACTGCAGGGCGGGGTCCCAAAATCGCCGAAGGTCAATTGCCTAGTTTCAACTGGAGAGACAGCCAGCTTTCGCTGATTCACCACTTTGGATGAATCTCCATACCTACCCGTTGAACTCCAGGCCAGTGCACACGGAAGGCGCGAGTCAGATCTCAAGAATTGCTTCTTGTGGAGCTCGGCTTTGATCGCTAAGAGGTGTGAAAAAGTTCGACCTCGGGATCAAAACCGTTGATGAGTTCGAATTCGAAATTGAATCTGCTTACAATGTTCAAGGTGGCAGCGATCTGCAAATCGATAAGGCAATGGGGATGACGATCGCAACGATTTGGGCAACGAGCCAGATCTGATGCCATTTTTGGACCAGCAAGTTGGTCGTAGCTTGGAGCACATCTCCATGGATCTTACCCTTCAATCCCACTGGCAGAAAAAAAGTACGACTACGCAATAAAGGTATCGACCTGGATGCTCCATGTGGGAGAATCAACAGGGGGCTAATGCAGAATGCCAGATGCCGAGCTTCAACAAACTCAATCCACTATTCCGTATGGGGGTGTCGCATGATAAAGTTTTGCTCGAATTCATACCAAAGTGGTTTCGGTACTGTTGTGGGAGTTTGATCGTTTCAAATGACCAGTTGGTGAGCGACTCGCATGTACTCGTTTTTGATTGAAGCACTTGGACATGTGCCTGTGTGCACCCAAATCAGGACATGAATCCAAGAGTAGGCGTTAAAGAACCCGCGAGAGTGCAATGACAAGTTGACAACTCAGCCGTTGTACGTACTCTGTTGCCGAACCACTATCAAAAGCCAATCCTAGACTTGACTTAATAGGCGAAGATGATGTGAAGATGCACTGAATGCGCAGCCTCGCACCCCAATAGATACTGCTGCCTTTGTGATTGACATAGAAGTCGATGAGCTGGCATAAAATATACGAAGTTCGGCCCCAGTAACAACTCACGGCTGAAGGATCAGTGGTTTGACGTCCCTCAGTGGGAGTAGCTGCGTCGGCGCAAAATGGTCAAAAGTGTTTCTGGTCCTCTTGTAAACCTCCACTGATATGAGGTTCGTATGGCTGGCTGAAGGCGGTGACGATCCATTCTCTCCGAAAGGCCGGTAGGATCGGCATCATCGGCGGTCAAGAACAAGCCACTGCTTCGTATCTCTGGCAAAGCTGATACCAGCACGATAACAGCTATCCAGTGAAACCTGGGGATTATGGTCAAGGACAAGGCGCTGAAGCACAGTATCACGACTCGCATTACTCATGATTCCGCGAGAGCTTCCTCTTGGTGAGGAGATTTTGCGGTTGTCCGATCTCGATACGTGAATTTGTGTTTTTGATTTCTCCTCAATTGGGAGATGGGTACTCGTAACGTCCAAGGTCATGGTCCAATCCTGGATGTCGGTGGCTGACTTGACTGTTTTGTTCAAGGGACGAAAAATCACAGCTCATGCGGGTTCTCAGCACAACAGCTGTCATTGACCTCGTGCAACAGTGACCAACGCAAAGGTTGCTGCTTGCGCAGGGACCGGGGAAGCTTGCAACGGATAGAAGGCCAGGGTGGCAAACGGGCGGGAGAACAGCGAGGAAACGATATCGTGCCATTGATTACTACTAGCTGGCTAGGTCGAGGTTGGCAACCTACTGCTACTAGTGACGATCTTTGCACACAGAAATGTAAGACACGGCAGCAGCGAGGGTGAGGGGAGAAGTCAAGACTTTTAAAAACCAAGATCCTTGACGACATTCCGCCCTGTGGTCAAGGTTTGGTGCATGGTAACGGCGTCACTCCATCACCTCGCACTCGAAGCGAAATCTAACAAGGAACTTTAAAAAGATACCAAGCTCAGGATGCCGGTTATGATTATTAGCAGGAAGATCGGGCGTAGAACGAGAGGTGCGTTTAGCTTGCGAGAATGATCTATCCTCTCCGTAAATGCTACCTCATCGTAGTCAGGCGAGTCATCCTCTTTGCTTCGTTTATGATGAGTGTCCGCGGCCTTGGAACACGAGTACGCACTTGTATGTGAACGAGCGGTCAAGTGCGTGTCAATATTTACGAGAGATATACTTCTGAGTTGCCAGAATGGTGCCTCTGATGCCCATCCCATAAAGACCACTGGTGGGTAAGAACAGAGCTGCGGCCGATTCGTCTTTCAGTGATCCATCAGCCTCATGCTTCAATGCCCACAAGGAGGAATCAAGGCGTTTGCACCAGGCTGTTTTGAGTGATTAACACTCTGCTCTGTTCCAGCTTTGGATGCCCAAGACGAGCGGGCGTTGACGAGGGTGGTGTAGGTCTATCAAAACAGACATGTGTTTGCATGTACACCTGTGGCACACTGGCAGACTGGCATTGTAAAAGCCTGTGCCTCTCTGCCTTTGCATCGTTGGCAATTATGCCAGTGCACCCAATAACAACAAAGACAAAAGGCAAAGGCATGTGTCTTGCTCCTATTGTTTGTAAACAATGTGCTTCCCGAGCCCATCCCTTTCAGGCGCCTCGGGCATTGTCCAACCCTGGAGGTCTCAAATTCCTGGGCTGCCATTTGTCCACCGGCAGCTGTGATGACCTCTCCCCCCGCGCCCCCTCTAGCCCTAGAGGGGCACCCACCAACGCCTATTACTCCTTGAATCCCACTGCTTGGCCCGAGAAGCCCCCCCGGCCCCCCTTTGACCCTTTGAAGCCTGTTCCATCATCCTGGCTCCAAGCTGCATCACTATCGTCATCACGAATCTTTCGGCAAGGCACCCCCACTGGGTACGGTATTAATTACAGGGGATACAAACGAGGTCATGACCAAATGATTTCTGGGATACACGAATTGATGGAACATGACTGTTGGCGGCAACTCTCCACCCAAAGATTCTGCCTACAAGATTTGGGTGCATTGTTTTATCCCCATGTCCACGGATCTCATTGCCAGGTATCGTAATGCGAAAGCTCCATCCAGACCGCAGCGTCGATCTCGACTTTTTAGAAAGAGCTGACCCAGTCCTTGATTCCGCTCTCCGCCTCCTTCAACACATACCCGTCTGTACCATACTCTCACTCTTAGTATTACTCTCGCTCACGTTCCTGCCTCGTCTTGAGGAAGCCTTTAGGTTGATCTTTCTTATTAGACCCTCGCTACCACTATTTGTCTCTACCCTACGTACATTCGCTTTGCTCTTTAGATAATGTTAATCTAATCCTGCTCGCCCCACCGCCGCTGCCACTGCCACTGCCAACGCCTCCGGTCTCGAGGTCTCTCCCAGTCCTGCCAGCAATTGTTCCAGATCCCTCTCTTCATATTTGAGCACCTCCTTCGCTTTTGCCTCCCTCCCTAAACCCTCGACAGACTTCAAATGTGCTGATCCCCTCGAGCTGTTTCTCCCCTCCATCTATTCGACGACTGAACAGCTTACCACTCGTTCAACTGTACCATCTTTATGGAGCCACCCCCGAGACAGTTCACCCCTCGTTCAGTGGTCATGGCTGCCATGGATTCACCCAAAGCACACTCCGTAATAGCATGCGTGAGTTGCGCAAAGGCCAAAGCAAAGTGTGACAAGAAGGTTAGTGGGCAAGCACAACTCTCCCCATGGAACGGGCGGCAGGGGTTTGGCGTCTCGTCGGCTCAGATGATCTGTCTGATGATTGAGCCCAACCTGTAGAGCTCCTTCGAGACATCTGTTCTCCTGCTTTCTTTGACGGATCGGTTCTGATTCTCAGCATAGGTGCCATGCTCCAGATGTAATATCAAACAGATTGTGTGTGCGGCAAGGATAACACGGCGGTCTGCTCAGAACCAGACTCGACGGAGTCAGTCTTCAAGGCCGAAACCAGAAAGATCCATCCATGCGTCAGGGACCTTTCAGGTCACTCAAATACCTCCAGGGCACCAGCACCTTGTCCATAGCCCTGGGATGAGCGGAAGTCCCACCAGTAAGCTCGCCACGATTGTCGTTTCGGTCGCTGCTAACCGCCAGACAGACACCTTTGCCCATCATACCCTTCTACCGCACGACCAGAGCTTGCCAGAAACCCACCGGCACGTACCGACACCTATAATGCCTGCCCGTCTCGCACCAGTTCAGCCCAGCCCCGCTCCACCTGTAATGATTAGCCAGAGGATGGGTTCGAATGTACTTCCAAATGGCTTCACGCATACTCCACCCGAGATGGCCATGGCCATGGGTATGCCCATGACCCCTCTTGTGCCGGACATGCCTCATATGGAGCATTTCCTGCCAATGCACGGGACTCCCTATGATTCTCAGCCTGATCACTTCTTAAATTTCAATAGTGGCCATGGAAGCATGCTGGATTTTGACCAGACCAACTTCATGACCGACCTGATGACGCCGCCTGCTGAACCGTTGCATGATCATGGTGAGCAATTCCAAAGACTCAGCGACCAGTTCCAGATGAGCAATCACCTTGGCATGGCGACCCCAAATCATATTCCTCTCCCTATGCAGATCCAACATGGCTCAGCTCCGTATGGTCTAGGTCTGGATTTGGACAGTCCCAAAACCAAAGACTACCGAGTTACCACCGGCTTCTCATCATCGAGCTCGTCTGCCACCAGCCCCGTCCCAGAAGTCGAGTCAGTGATGGCTGCTCGTCACGCTGGTATCCTTGCTCTACACTCTGAGATTGCTGCTCAACATACAGGATCCCTGTTGCAGTGCAACCATGTATGTATGGTTTGTTGGACCTCCATGCAAAACCAACAATATTAGAAGCCCCCCACCGCCTCTGACCAGAACCACCTGGGAGTGGTGACGAAGTAGGCATATACAGGGATTATCGTCTAGCGATGCATTTCAAGCGTTGATGGATTCCATGAAACTTGTCGTGGAAGTTCGATCATGGCGTTGGTGGTAACGATGACTTGAGGCGTTCGTGGGATACCGGCTCTTCTTTTACAGTGTTATTGTTGAAAACCAAGGACTCTCCCACAGAGGTGTGGACACCTCGACGAAGGACGAGGGCGGGACGGAGTGGCCTTGAATTACTGAGTCCATGTCGGGAACCCCTGGTCGACTGTTGCACTATGTTAATAGGTCTCTGAAATGACTTACATAATGAGTAATGCTTGTATCTCAATCCTGGTCTGGATTCATTCAACGAACAGTGCACCATAATTCGGGCGTCGTCCAAGTTACAGAATGAAAAGAAGTCCCGGTATGGGCTCTGGGGAGGCGGCCTTTCATATACATCTGGCTCATGAGAAGTGAAACACTCTAGCAACGCATTGATGGGGCAGAAAGTTGGTATAAGGTTGGGTCATGGCCCATTGTCTATGCGCTATCATCTAGTTTGTTCCGTAGTTACCATGTGAACCCCGTCCTGCACCAGAAGCTAGGACGCCCGGGGATTTATTTCAGGAGATCAAGCTTTATTTCTTCCCTCTTTTGTCAGGAATCGCTGCATTTGAGACGGAGCTCAAGCTCCAAAGGCATGATGCATCGACGTTTTCGCTTCGTCGGTGACGTTTGTTTGCGTGCAGATTTGAGCTCCGTAGTGGGCATCGTTACAGGTTCAGTTGGAGTTGCCAAAATGTCGGGCAATCGGAGGCCTTGGGACGCCGATCTTCAACCAACTCCGTCACAGTTTCGTGGATAGTTGGCCATAGTTTCACCCCATCGGTGGATAGTCGATGCAGAAGTCTATGAAACTAGTGAATTCGCGAGTGAACTAGGATTCCGGACAATATGCACGTTGAAGATCGTTTGGGAGTCTTTTCAGGGACGCTTCAGACGACGGACTACTAAGTCGAGCTTGGTGGGTGAGGCACCTGCAGTGGCATGGGATAGAGAATGTCCGTAGAATCCTGGTTGACGGACAACTAATTATCAATGATGTTAAGAGCATTCGGGGTCTCTACAGATCGGCCCTGCAATCTACCTGGCAGTTGCCGTACAAAATGTTTCGGTAGCAGAGGTGAATGACATGGTGGTTGAATAGCTTCAGCACTGGCCGTCAATGGCATGACACTTGTGGCATGCGGGGTGGACTAGCTATTGTATCGGACTTTGGTTAAGCCGATAGACTTGGACTATGGAGGGAATTCGTAGTGTATTTGAAGGGACGTCTATTGCGGAGTGCTTGCACTGGAGCTCGAACCCGAGGATACCTGCGATAAACGTGCAGCCTTGCTCTGCAGTGGGTGAGCATCTCATCATTGTGGTGTGAACGGAAAGAATGCCAGAAAGAGACTGCTCGTTCCTTCCCACTCGGAAAAAATAAAACAAATAATGATGACATCATCCACCCACCCTCCAAAAAATATCTTTAGCTTTAAGCTCAAGAAGCAACACGAGCTTTCAGGGGGGGCCAAGGAAGGTCCGATTACCCCTCTCTTCCCAAATGTTCAAGTTCTTCAGGGAAGGTATGCCGGGGACTAAAGATAGACCGGACGAGTACGAGTACCTAAGTAGTTCCTGCCGTCTGCCCGCTCCTGGACTGCTGCACTGCTGCCCTGCCCGTGCTGCCCATGCTTGCAGAGACAATGAGATCCCTGCTAGCCTTCGGAGGACAGGCAAGTGCTCGCTGTGAAATGATAATGCTGATTCATGGTCATGCCTTCCTCAACCGACCTCAAGCATTCGTCGTATCTTGGATACCCACCAATACGAATATTACGACACGAGAGTTGCAGGCTAAGATGAGACATTGCTCTCCCTCGTTCAACAATAATAATCTGAGATATGAGCGCGAACATATCCATCAGTGAGGGGTAGATTGGATGTCTTCGTAGAATGTTCCATCCCTCAATAGCACCATTAAAGGAATGGCAGATGAAGATGAATACACTCGAGGTCAGATCTCACGGAGCTGAGGCTGCCGTCTTGACCTTTCCATCACCTCTCACCAATAATCAACGGACACAATTCGTCGGCCTCAATGCCAAGCACTGTCTATCAGTGCCGTTGAATTGATTCAGTACTTGAGTAAAGTTTCTAGATCAGTACCTGAGTACCTTGTGAGTAAGTACCAAATGTCGGTCAACTTTCGTTGAATCCGATTGAGACGAGCTGAGATAAACAAAGCATTGGCACCCACATTCGGACCCCGCCAGTTTGTTGAACTAAAAATCTTAGGGAATTTTGTTTATTTGTTTATCGGTACCCAAAAGGCGAATCGCCGTTTCTTCTGCTCTGCCACCATAACTGGCATGATGAATAGGAGAGCAAGAACAAGCACCTGACCGCTAGCATTGTTCAAGTAACACAAAGAGCAATAGAGCCCAGTTGTAAGATAGATTTGTTGGCATCTTGGAGCATTCTGCCCGTTGGCCCCTCTTGATCAAGCCCCGCAGTAGCCTCTCAACATGGCCACTCATCTCACCGCCAGAGTGAGAATGGAACTCGATTGGGCTGGACATCTCAGCAGCTGCAGTCTGGATGGTGATTTCGCCCTCCGAATCTCTGCCCTACAGACATAGTACGACACGCGAGGCGTGCCAGTAGTGGTCGCACCTAACCTCGCTCACCGACTCACCGATAATGGCCACCGTGACCGTGATCGTGATGTGCCAGTGGTCGTGCCTGACTCTCCCCGCCGAGCGCGCGAGACGAGAATGGATCACACCGAGCTAGTGGCGGGGGCTCTATCGGGACCTCCATTTCCACGCACACACAACAACTCAAACTTGAAGGCCACGCATCGCATCGGACTTTACCCCTATCCTTTTCTTTTATTCACTTACCATTCTACTTTCTGCTTTGGCGTGCTCAGTCCACTACCAAGTATCATCATCTTCCATCCTTGTGTGTATTGCTCGTGCAGTCACCAATCCAATCATTCCCATTCCACTTTGCTCTCAAACCACAGAGCATTTGTTCATTACCCCTCCATTCCACCCTTTTGCCTGTTATAAACTCATATATCAACCATGGCCTCCAAACCTGATATCCGCCTCGACGGCAAAGTGGCCTTGATCACCGGTGCTGGCCGTGGTCTTGGTGCTGGCCTCGCCAAAACCCTCGCTGAGCGTGGTGCCGCCGTCGTCATCAACTATGCCAGTTCCGCAAAGCCCGCTCTTGCCACCGTGGCTGAGATCGAAAAGGCCGGCGGCAAGGCTGTTGCCATTCAGGCCAACATCTCAAAGGTCTCCGAAGTCACCAAACTTTTCGAAGAGGCCATCAAGGCTTTCGGCAAGCTCAACATCGTCATCAACAACGCCGGTATGGAGGCTTTCTCCAAGCCCGAGGATGTCACCGAGGAACTCTATGATCAAGTCTTCGGCCTCAACACTCGTGCCCAATTCTTCGTTGGCCAACATGCCTTGAAGTACTTGAGCGGTAAGCACTACTTTTGTTGATGTCCAATTGCACGTGCCCTTCATCTTGCTGACATAATACCACAAAGAGGGTGGCCGTATCATCTTCATGTCTTCCATCGCTGCTGGCATGTCCGTCCCCAACCACGCTCTGTATGCTGGATCAAAGTCGGCCGTCGAAGGCTTCACCAGGTCCTTCGCTGCCGATGGTGGTCCGAAGCGCATCACTGCCAATGCCATCGCCCCCGGTGGTATCAAGACCGACATGTTCCACCAGAACGCATGGCATTACGCCCCAGGTGCCACCAAGGACACTCCCATCGAGCACATTGAGGCTGGTATTGCCAAACTCATTCCCCTTGGTCGATGCGCTGTCCCTGCCGATATCGCCAGAGTTGTCATGTTCTTGTGCCATGATGACAGCGAGTGGCTCAATGGTAAGTCATGCTACCGAGGAATCCACCCTCATCCCAGAGCTAACACACCAACCTACAGGTCAAATCATCCGCCTCAGCGGTGGTGGCGCTGCCTAAATTAGTCTTGGAACTCCTAGACTTGGTGCTGGCGAGATATATCTTTACTCTTCATCAGCAACGACATGAGCTCCACGAGCGATGGGCTTTTCCTTTCTGGTAAAAAGTTTTCTTGGATTAGCGAATGACCATTGCAAATAGTCATCCTGTATCGAGTGACTGCTCTGCTGGTGCAGGACTTTGAACATGCTTAGGAGCACATCAGGTAGACATCAGAACAATTGGAGATAGAAACCCAGTGCCGGCTCTATCGTTGCACGTGATATTAGTCCTAGGGACACTAAACACAATTAACAAACTCGAAGCCGCCCTAGTCGTAAAGTCGTTACAAGGCTCTCAGTACCACTATCGAAGAACTTGCACAAGCGATCGGACATGGTTGTGAGAGAAACTGTTGACGCGTGAAAGATCGACTTTTAACCGAACTTGATCTGTCGACCGGGCCTTCATAGCTGCCGACACGCCGATACACAAAACGAACAGCTACCTCATCCCTGCTTAGTGTCCACGCAACTTAGCTTCATGAACATTCCCTGCGAACCTGCCTATCCGTATGTTAGCATTGCACGTTGAATCTACGCAAGATAAGACCCACCAACGTGAATCCTAATCCACAGTCCAAAGACTTACACATATCAATGCGACTGCCTCGATCGGTAAGGCTCCCATTGGGGTTCGACAACGACCATGAGGCAGACAATGCCGTTAAACGCACATCAAATAGCAGGGCCGTCTGGGAACTGGATGTCGAGGACCGGAGACTGGACCTGCAGATTCTAAAAAGACATGCGCCGCGGACAGACCCTGTATCAGCTTCGCGTTCTCTGAGCGAGTTCCGAAATTCTTGTCCTGTTGGATCAAGATATCTCGTATTCGTACACGGCCTTCAAAGTCCCATGCTACATATCTCTGTAGCGAGCCATCGCTGAGTCACGTTCTTGCTCCTCGATGGGCCATCGAACCGAGTCCTCCTACTGGGAGTTGGAGTTGGTCAATTTGAAGTTGGAAACGCGTGGCTGGCTACCAAGTAGCTACTGCAGGATTTGAGGAATACCTTTGCCCCGCAAAATGTCTGTCTGGCACCTTTCTCTTACAGCCCGAAAAAGCAGCTTGCCGGATGATACCTTTTGGCGTCCTGTGCTTTGAGGAAAGTCACAGGCGTACCGTACCTACTGCCAATGATGTGCCCGGTTACTCCTCAGGCTTGCTATCTATACACGTCTGCGGAGGTTACTCGATTCTTGGGCCATGTCCTTGAAATCTAGCTCCATATTTCTCATTGCCTCCAATCTGTCCGTCCCTGAGGAGACCGAGATACTCAGGGCGTTATCATCAATATCTGGAGCAATACGGGCCTCGTGGACTGCGACGAGAGGGGCCAAAATTGGTCCACGGGCTATATGACTCTGCTCGGCTCTGCGCTGCAGGTTGTTCCGTAGTTCAAAAGCGCTCTCCAATCTGACAGGACCTTTCACAAGTCTGTCGCCGGCTTTACCAGCAATAGCAACCCTACAGCAATGACTATGATGACCTCGATCACTTTTGTGGCCCAAACTTCGCCCAGTGACTAGTTAAGCAATCCTCTTGGAGCACTTATGCCATTATCTGTTCGTCTCATGAACGAGTCAACCATGAGACGCCAGCAACCGCTTCTGTGTTCAAAGGCATGATCATTGAGGTTGCATCGTACAAAAGTACTGAACAAGGGCGCATTTGGCATGACCTTCGCAAGGGCGTATTTTAGCCTCGCCCATGACATTACTTGGTCGAGCTGGGCAGCTTCCTGATTGGTAGATCACATATCTCACGGTATCGAGTCTGTTGTTATATGAAGAGGCTACACCTTCAGATCCGCATCATTGCCTACTCGTGGTCCATCAGAACTCATCGTGATATCAGATCATCTCTACAGCCAAATCCCCGCAGTCAAGGCCAGACCTTCACGCCGTGTCTGAAAAATACTCGCAAACATACCTAGGTCACGCAGATATGGGGCAACTCATCCTCCACGAAGATCCCCTTTCCGCGAACTGCTACAAGATCAAACTGACCGCTGCTCTCTTGTCCATCCCACTAGAGCGGCGAAGATATTCAATCCTGGCCGGCGAGACCAAGACACCGGAGTTTCTGCAGAACATCTCGGCCTTCGGACGGATTCCAGTACTCCAGATTGACGCCACGACGCTCCTCCCGGAGAGCAATGCGGCATGCTTCTACCTGGCCGAAAACGCAGCGTCGCTGTCCTCCTCAACATCTACAGCATCATCACCACTACTCAACCTGATTCCGACGTCGGCCTTGCAGCGTGCAGATATGTTGAGATGGATGTTCTTCGAGCAGAACAACCACGAGCCCACCGTCGCCACGTTGCGCTACTGGCTGTACGTCCTGGGCGAAGAGACTCTAGCCGAGGACCGTATCGTGCAGCTTCCTGGTAAGAGAGTGGCCGCGCGCCAGGCAATCGATTACGTGGAGGATCGGCTGTCCAAGAGCGAGTCTGGGTGGCTCGTGGGCGATGGCATCACGCTTGCTGATATCTGTTTGTTTGCGTACACGCATCTTGCCCACAATTCGGGATTTGATCTGAAGGATTGGCCGGCTGTAGTGGCTTGGTGCGAGAGGATCAAGGCGGTGGACGGATTCATCGAGTACGACGAGTCGAATTGACAGTATGGATATGTCGGACCCGGTTTCCTTTCTCAGGGGCAATGCATCCTCATTACGCATGACAGCCTTGGTTGAGCTCGCCAGGATACTAGTTTGATCCTGTTGACAGTAATAGCCAGCCCTTTGTTTGCTTTGTGTGTTGCCTTGGAAAAAGCCTTTTTGTTGAGGAACAAGTCTGGATATTCCAAGGGCTTTCAGTCCCATAGTTTCTTTATCTGCTGACAATGCCTACACATGTGTGCCGATCTTGAAGCACAATGGCCACCATCTGGCGATTCAGGATAGCTTAGCATAGAATATAAGCAAAATCCTAGTAAATCGCGCCTCAACTGAAGGCCTGTACCCTTCTTTTTTGGACCCGAGCTGAAACCGAACAGTCTCATCTCAGTCCACTAGTTCCTCAAACTCTCCACAAGACTTTGTTTGAATCACGTCAAACTCGACCTGCTAGTATTCCCAACTGCTGAGACCCCCATTCTCTGATCATCATGGCTTACAAACTTGGTGAGCAGGTTGGTGAGGCTAGTAGCCATGCAAACCATGGAGTGGGATCAAATGCTTTGCCTCGAACGTACAGCTTTATCGTTGGCGACGATCAAAAGTTTTCAGGTCTCCGTCGTGGTGAACTCTCGTTGCCCTCGACCTACCCACCCCCGGTGGCGGGAGGAGCAAGCAGAGATACCCCTTTCGTCAGAATCGCTGCAGCATACACCGATGATGGCAACGACGATTCCGGAACCCGAAATCGAGAGACGAAATTTGTCGCATATAATAATTGCTCTGCATCAGAAGCATTTCCGTTGCATGCTGCTGGTGTGGAACTCCCGGCTTTCCCAGTGTATCGGCCTGAGTCGAAGGGAGGAGACACGCACAAGATTGCGATGGACAACGACGAGATTCTTCAAGACATCACAATTCTCACTTCTCCTATCGCTTCAGAAGGCATTCCAGCTCAAGGCAGTGGTGGAAATCGTGGAGTCGCCTCCTTTCCAAACTTCTTGTCGCGCCTTGCACCAATCTCACTCGCTGCGAAACAAGATCAGGTGGAAATTCCAAGAAATTTGCAAGCTGGTGTGAAGGGTCAGGAGGAACAATATACCAAATCCAGTGGACAAATTAAGCAGTGTAAGTCGTACATTCCAACATTTTTGAAACCAGGTCTTCAAGCTCAATCTACTGACGTCCAACCTAGGTCGGCAGTAAAGCCAGCGAAAGGGACGATTCCGACGTTCTTGAAGCCTGGCTGGGGTGAGGCTCCCAGAAAGGCTCCTGTTCCTGGTCCTGGCAAGAAAGTTACTCCAGTCAAACGTGTGCTCGGTGGTGGACACCATGTCAACGAGCTCCATCTCGTTCCATCGGCAAGCAAGACCAAACAACCACAAACAGGACATTCAACTCCGGACAAATCAGTGGGCTGTCGTGGCGTGCTTCATTGGAAGAAGCGAGGTCCAGTCGTTCAAGGGCCGTCAGAGTCAACAAACGTCAATTCCGACGCTCGCGTTTTGCTGGCACAATCAGGACCCGCCTCCATGGTCACAGGGTCGGTCTTTCCACCAGAAATCGTCGTCACACCAGACCCATGCCAAACAGCAGCATCTGTCGGAAATTCAAAGGTGAGCGTCAATGACCTACCTTCGACCCTACGCCTCAGACACACCCGCAATGCAATTGGTGAGAAACAGGACACAAATTCTCCCGCGTACAAATGGCCACTTGTGGACATGACCAATGAGTTGTTCCTCAACTTCGATCCAAAGCAGCATGTTGGACCCAGCTCCGCTGCACGAGGTTTAAAACATCAAGAACCGCGCATCGTGGGTGAGGGATTCCTCGGAAATGACCTACATGACGAGGTGTTGCGGGAATTGGCCAGCCGAGAGCGGAAGAGACAAACACCCAACTCCAGACCAGTATCTCAGGCTGGACTTGAGGTGGTTGTCGCCACGGCGCCATCAGTTTCCCATGTAATTGTTTCAAGAGAAGGTCTGCCACCACGGGAGAGCAACGAGGCACATGGATCTTCAGTGATCGTTTCCGCGGCCCAGAGCTCGCTGAGCAAGGTAGCAGTTTCAAAGCAAGATACGGATCAAGCGGATTTCAGCTGGTTTCGATTCAGTCGAGTGGACCTTGAAGATCCAGCAGATGAGCATTGCAGAAACTATCGAACTCGAAGACGCGAAATGCGTAAAGCCAAAGAGGACGCATGGCTTGCACGCGATACCAGAGACCATGGTTTCGGCGGCAGCAATGGCAATGCGTCCACGGGGCATCTTCGATGAGCTTGTCTGCTTCGTGAGTCATGCCTCATGAGCGGATATCTGGATCGGGAAAACACGGAGATATACTCTTTCCAGCCTCTCATGGAGTTGTTTTAGAACTAGAAGTAGATGTTTCTGAATAGTCTTGCATTGACTTGTCATGGATTATTGTTTCCCTCTTTTGCCAGACTTGTCAGTTACTCATGATGGTCTTTTCGAACAAGACCACAATCAATAGCTGAACTAGGCCAATCCATTCCTTGTAATCACATGTTCGCTCATGATAGCAGAACACGGCCAAAACACTTACTCATTAACCTGTGCTACTACTAAACCTCATCATTGCAGACTATCGGGTAGTGTCGGAAATTCATGGGTTCAACCAAGAAGAGCCCACGGTTGGCCGGAACCACCAAATGAGGTGATACCGACATGGCGGATGGTGATCACATGGCGGTGAAGAAATAGGCGAAGATCTTGACTGTATTCTCACAGCACTAGCACATGCGCCCGTATGATCCGTGTTGAATCTCTCGATCGACTTACTCGCACAATCGAGCTTATGGAGACGAAAACCTGCCAATTTTCGTCGTTGTGAGCAATGTTGTAGGTGGCTAAAAGTACATGACGAGGCATGGCGGGGACAGACGCGTTTATGTTTCGGGCATTTTCATGTGAAATTGAAACATCATTGCCAGAGCAGGAAGGGGAAGGGGGACCTGAGCAGGAAGGTGGGCCCGCCTATGATGACCTTTCTTGGGTGTCTCGGGGCGTTCATGCCGAGGTAGGGATGAAGAACCCAGGGGGCTCCGCATGGCGAGAGTTCCCGAGTTTGGGTGGCTGGTCCTCAACTTGACGACTAAGGGTCACTATAACAAGAGGGGCAATATTTGGAGAGTTACAGGGGAAGAGGGAAGGGGGCTTGAACCATTGTGGTGGTGGATGTGCTATCTAGCTAGGTACATTAGGTGCCTACGTAGCTTAGATAGGTACGAGTAGGTATGCTCATAGAGCCTACGAAGTATCCGTATGTTGGCCTGCAAAGGCTTTGTCTCTTGGCTATTCACCAGGGGACCTGGGAAGAGTCGAGAGCTTTTAGGCAGAAAGAAGCCAACCGCCGTGTATTTGGATCATCCTCGATGCTTACCCAGGTATGCAAATCATCCAGAAACCATGAATTACCATTGACCTCTTAAGCGAAACTGGAAAATACTGTTCTAGGTGCTCAGGTCATTGAATATCATTACCATATTGACAACCTGGAGAGTGATCCTCGATCACATTGCGGGATTGGACCTGGAGATCCGTGTAACCCCCCCACGTTCGCTGGGGCTTGCCAGGCGGTGGAGAGGAACTTCTACGTTGGCATCCTGGCCTTTATAACAAACGAAGCTCTTTTCTACTCCATCAAAAACAAAAGCAAGTACACTAGATGGTTCAAGAATGGATACTATCTAGGGAGTGTAAAGGTTTCTGACACGGACCTTTGACCACGGATTGTAGGACGAGTTACCTCGGGACGATTACCTCCAGCCCTAAATTATATAGAGAACACAGGCCCAGAAACCGACTTGCCAAAAGTTGGAAACAAAGCGCCCGCTCCTAACATGTTCGCTCTCCTACAGCTCCGCCGGGCCCTCCTCTGATGAGTTTGACTCCCATCTACCGTGGAGGAAAGAAAGGTATCTACCAGCTGGTCTTTTGCCATTCTCTTGACTCGCTTCCACTTTCCTGCTTCCCTTCATCCCACCTTGGAGGCGTCGCCTGCTTATCCCTAGCCGGTCGCTTAGGCCTTGGTCATCCTTTTGGCTATTCCGGGTTCAAGTACTTAACGGAATCACCTCAGGTAGTACTATAAGGACACCAAGCACAAGCAACATTTTGACCACCCCCAACTTTTTGCCGAAACAATGGTGGAGTATAAACTTTTCTAAGACCTTCAACACCCACGGGCCACATTTCTTGCATCATCCCGCAAGCTCGGATCTTACCCAGAACTGCGTTTGTCCGAGTTGTACCAAAGCAAAAGGGAACAAGTACCCAGACCAACCCGCCTGCGTCTGTGTTGTGAAACAGACAAAGCCACAGTCGATAGACAAAGATGCGCTACGCAAGGCCGCGAAAAATTCAATCCCACTAATCCAACAACTACGGAGTATTCCTGGTGCCACAGTTATAACCTTTAAGAGGAGTGCTCACTCAGCCACGGTGTAACTCTCTGGCTCACTAATAAGAACCTTCTTCAAGCATTTACTGATAGCGATACCCCCGAGCATTTATTCCAGGGTGGCCGTCGACTTCTTATACAACCCCGCTACTTTTCAGAGTACTTAATTAGTACCGTAACATCCAAAGTCGTTCTTTGTCGCCGCTACCGACAAGTCCAGCGCCAATAACAACCGATTTGACTTTTGCTCCAGGAGACTTTTAATCGTCATCGCCTCTTTTATCCCTGTCGGCAAATTTGGTTCACTTGCGAGAGTGACCGAATCCAGTATTCCGTGCTCCTCCCTCGAGACGCGTATCTGACCGCTAGAACAACACGATCGGTTCTTGGTTCATCTTTTTCTTCCTCCTGGGTCGACTCTTTCACACAAGCTGGAAATACTCATGTCGCTCGCTTGCAACTCTCCACTCATCTTTCCCTCGTAAAAGACACCAATGTACAACTTCTCTCCTCATCGGTGACCAATATCGCTGAACCACCAGCACCAGTGGAGAACCATTCAAAACGACACAGCCATACGTAGGAGGGCGAAACCCCGCCAGTTCTGGGCCCAGGGTACGAGTTCTAAAAATCCTCGACACACCCCGCCGATCAAATATGTATCGCAATTCCGCACACATCAACTACCTATCTAAACCCTCGCTCCCCTCACCCGAGCACACAGGCGACTCGGACTCAGAACTGCTCGATGCACTCGAAAGGAAAAGGAAGCAGCTAGACGACGAAATTTCAAAGTTCAAAGCAATCAAGGAGAAAGAGTTCCGCGATTTCGAGAATGATTTGAGGACGAGGTGTAAAAGAAAGAGGTCGCGCGGTTCAAGTACATCGTCGGAACCATCGCCACCAGGTAAACACACAAGCACAGCAGCATCACATACTTCGGTGTTATATTTGCTTGCATCCGCACACAACGGATCGGCAAATGGCAAGATTACTCCAAAGATAAAGAAGGGGGCTGAATATGTCGTGGGAGACAAAATCACACGGCCTGCACCTCTCAGCAAGCCCACCTTGTCGCTCGATAGGCTCAATATTAGTGGTGAGACAACACCGCCCACAAATACTTTGGGAACTCCTCCCACGCCAACGGGGCTTCCCCGCGCCACTGTATGCCGGTCGCCATCTTCATCGACGACGAGATTGACGACACCACCACGCTCAAATAGCGAGACTCCAGCTCTTACGACACCCACGCTTGACCGCTTTGACTCTTTCGCAGGGGTTTTCACCCCCGCATATCTACCACTCTTAGAGTCCCGTGACCATACGCCTGTCACACGAACCCCACAACCACTATCTTCACCTGAGGAAGCCGATGCGAAACAATTACAATCAATCAATGCAGATTCGAAACGTACCGCCGAGCAACAGCCCGTTAAGTCACAATCGCTGCCGAGGCAGCCGGTATCGCCTACAGTAGTAGCAACAAAACGGACGCATTCGTCCCCACTATTACCGAGCACGAGCCTTCCAAGTGCACTTAGAAATAGCAACGGAAAAATCAGAAACGGCTCTGATAGTGGTCAGAGCGCGATTCGCAAGCGGAAACAAGTCACATTCCAGCTTGCTGATTCGGCCATTGTCATCCCTAGCAGTTCCTACCAGGAACTCCCAAGTCCGGAGCCGAAAAGTGCTGGAACACCCGCCAGGGAGGTTATCATTCTGAAGAACGGCGAGGAGGATGACGGCGTTGAAGGTTCGAATTCCTTTGCAATTGGGAGTCACGGAAGTCCCAACCGACAGGCTGTGGAAAATAAAAGCAATGACGACAATACCCTTAGTCCGAATATTTCTGGTCAGCGCAAGAATCGCTTACGTTCACCCGCCATATCGCCTCTGCCCTCGCCATCACCATCACCGACGATCAATGGGATCGTTGCATCAGCTGATGAGTCTGGATTCTCCGGTGGCCTTGCTGCGTCCGTCGACGGTGGCAGTGGTGTGGGCTTCTTTGAGCTCGATGAAGAGCTAGCCAGTCCTGCATTTGCGGAGGATCGCTCTTTCGAATTTTCAAAGGTTGAAGGACAAGATGAAGCCAAGGTCGACGAGGACTTTTTCCTCGACGAGAAGAAAGCCGAGGTCGCTCTTACCGGTGACGAAGTTCAAGTTGGGAGCTTTGCGGCAGGCAGCGTGCCAATTAATATCAACCGACACCCAACAGGAAGTTGGATTGGTAGTTATGGCCACTGAGAGAGTGATGAGGAGATCGGCGCCATATGTGGCACTGGGAAAAATTGGCGAAAGGGGGGATGAGGGCTGATCAGACCGTCCCTGAAGAAGTACGATATCTCTTGTCAGGATCAGTTCGACCTCTTGTTTTTGCCTTCACAAGCTTGAATAAGATATGGTTTTGGAATCTGGACACACAGGCAATATCTAGCCTTTGATGCGCACGGGTGGATTTATGAGCGGCATTTGTGTCTGGTTTAAAACGTGGGAGGAAAAGTCAATTATTGGTCAAGTCATGTCCTGGTCTACCTCATATCCAGGTAGGTATGTATACATATGAACATTGCATACTCAGCCCAGGGCGAACCAGTCCTGCATCTGGAATGATACATTGTTTCAATTGCGCCGAATGTTCCAACGTTTGTCTCATTCCTCCAATTAACTAAGACACAGGGTGCGAGAGATCCTGTTGAATTTTACCAAATCCAGATTCGTTCTGACCGGCATGGATGGGATGCTGGATTCTACGTCGTGAATAGGGACAGTGATAAGCGACATCACCAAGTTCGGTGCCCTTGATAACTCGCCACATGACAAAACCAGGTGCCACCAACTCTGATATGTCGTGCAGGATCGATAAAATGTCCTCAGAATTCCTACAGTCATATTCGGCACCGAAACGATCGAGTTGCAACATCACTTATCTTCTTGACCGAGACTCCAGTTACACTAGTTGACTAACAGCAGGGAGACACTTGGCTACTCGAATTGTTCCAACCCATCCAATGTCCGCCCAGCTATATAACTCCCCGCAAGAGTATCCCCACGGGGAGACCTTCATTTGATTATACTGCCGAAAGCTATATGTTTCTTAGCACTTCTATCCCGCTACGCCAAAGATGGACGTCGGAACAACGAAAATCACCAACCCGAAGCATATCGAGGACAGCTTCATAGCAGATCTCGCTGTGAAAGATGCTGTGGCTGTTCAAGAGGTCGAGATCGATCCTGCCCTGGAGAGAAAGCTGCGATGGAAGATCGATCTGTACTTGATGCCGGCACTGTGGATACTGCTCGTATTCAGCTACATTGTACCTCTAAACCCACTGGAAGATTCGACACGCATGCTGATCATCTGTAGGACCGTTCCAACCTTGGGAATGCCAGGGTAGCCGGCATGTACACCGACCTAAAGCTGAAAGATAAGGACTATTACCACGCAGTGGTAACTTTCCAGGTTGGGTATCTCATTGCAGGGACACCTTCAAAGTAATGATTCTCTCCTATATTCTGCGTGAAGCCCAACGCTCACTGATTGTGAAGCATGGTTTTGGTCCGAGCCAGGCCATCGCTATATATCCCAGCACTCATGTTCTTGTGGGGTACTTGTGCAACGTGTCTAGGGGCTGTGCAGAACAAACATCAGTTGCTTGCTGTTCGATTCTTGCTGGGCATAACGGAAGCTGGCTTTGCGGTACGACCCCTATCCCTGTCAAATATTTCTTGATGGCACTACGTCCTGACTTCTTGCCAGCCCGGGGTATTCTTCCTTATCAGCTCATGGTATAAGCGTGAAGAACAGTCTGTATCCACCTCCATGATTAATGCTTACAGAAGCTTATCCTCGTCCTTTAGGTCGAAACGATTCATTTTCTTTTTGAGTGCATCTATCCTGTCAGGTGCCTTTGGCGGTATCATTGCTGGATTGATCGCAAGGCATCTCAACGGAGCACAGGGGCTTCCTGGGTGGAGATGGCTGTTCATCGTTGAAGGCACTTTAACCGCTGGAATATCTTTCATTGTCCCATTCTTTCTGCTCGACTTCCCAGCCACGTCAAAGAGACTGTCTCCTGAAGAGAAGAAAATGGCCATCGCACGGCTGGCGAAGGAAGACATTACATCGAGAAACGCGAACGTTGCTACCAGACTTACCCATTGGCGAGCTTTTATTTCGGCTATTACGAATTGGAGGCTGTACTTCCTCGCCTTGCCCTACATGCAGCTTGTTGGCTCAAGCGCATTGGCATACTTTTACCCATATCTCATTCAGGGACTGGGCTATACTGCCATCAATGCCCAGTGAGTGTCCACACAACATGACACTGTCTTTTGTACTGACTATATCAAGGTTTATGACTGCCCCTCTTTATGTCGTGGCTTTAGCAATTGCCATTCCAACATCAATCCTGGCTGATAAATTCTCCACCAAACGAAGTCTGTTTGTTGCTACGATCATGCTGATCGGCTCGGTCTTCTGTGGCCTGGCAACAGGAATCCGTGCCTATATCCCTCGATATGTTTTTCTCTGCTTTATCAATTCTGCAATCTGGACCGGAAGCCCGATCGCATTATCATACGCTACCAGCCAACTAGGTCCGGTGGATACCGAGACACGCGCAATCAGCTTGGGGATTGTTAATGGATTGTCTCAGTTAGCACAAGTTTACGGCTCCGCCCTGTTCCCCAGCAGAGACGCGCCCGATTATTTGGTGGGTTTTGGTACTTATACTGGTTTGTTCGCTGTGGGATCAATCATTGCGTTCGCCGGACACTTTCTACTGAGGAAATATCCATATCGGGCGGATTTCGAGTAAGGAATATCCAAGGCCTTGGAACCTCGTGGTCTCAATGTTAAGTTTGACGTCTTTTCATGGCACCGTCCTCAATTCAAGTGTTTGATAAGTAGCAGTTGACAGATAATCAATAGTGGTACAGCGACCAGCCTCCATCCACTGGCAGCTCGATCCCAGTGATGCTGGAGGCAGCTTCACTCAGGAGAAAGACTACTGCATGAGCCACATCCTCTGGAGCTATATGTCGGTCGTTGGGCGCCCTGGGAAACGCATCTGCCTGGGAATGAACATCGTGGCCAGGTGCTCCCGGGGTACCCGCACAGACACAATTGATACGAATACCTTTCTTGACGTAATCCATAGCGGTCGCCCTTGACATTCCCACAATTCCATGTGCTGCAGCGCAGTGGCTTGGAAGTCCTGCGTCGCTTGCTAAACCTTGTGCTGCCGTAATATTCACTATACTGCCAATAGCTGAAGGATTCTTTTCCTGTTGCTTGAGGAAATGCCGTACTTCAGCTCGCATGGCCAGCCATGTCTACTCAGGTGATTTCAGTGTCAAAACATTGAGTGTACTATCCCAACATAGAAACAAGGGATCATCAGAGTAACTCACCCCTTTCTGCCATCTATCGCTAGCCTGAGTGAATTCCTCCAGTGTGATGTCCGTGGTCTGGCCCTTGGAAGCGTTGAAACTTTCACAATTGGCACAATAGTCGATGGCCCCGAACTCCGCGACTCCAAATTCAATGATCCTGTCGATGTCCTCTGCGTTGTTGACATCGCATGTCTTGGACACTACTCGAGCCCTTGCACAATCTGAGCCTTGGAAGCATGCCTGTAGCCTCAAGAGTTCCTCCTCGTTGGCGTCGCCGAGGATAATCTTCTGGCACCCATTTTCTATCAGCAGGCTGGTGACGGCTCGCCCATAGCCTGGAGAAATGAGTATAGATCTTTCGGGTCATGGACGAGAATAATGCTGATAGAAGTGCTCATCTGAATACGACTTACTTGATCCGGCGCCGATCACGAGGGCGACTCCCACGAGATGGGGCATGACTTTGTCCTAGACTTTCATATATAAAGCCTGGTGGATCCGGTTTACTCGAGGAGGATAATGATAGAATGCTTCCTCAGATTGATAAGTATAAACATGCTTGGTCAAGGTTAGTGGATGTACCGAGCTGGACTAAGATTGAGATGTTCATCTGACCGAGCCGAAGAAGACTCTCGGTGCCCTCAGGGATGGGATAAGGTCGCCGTGCGGGGTTCACCATAGGCTCGGCCAGGCTGAGGATGAATCCTTCAGTTGAGTATGGTATCACTCAAACCGCGCATCAGTTGGCTCACGATCTTGAACCATATACCATTCGAACCTGAGTGATCTGCTAATTCGGAGCAATTGTAAGACCCTCCAGGTCATCGAGATGACATTCAAACTCCCTGGAGTCTGCCTGATCACTGGTGCTGCCTCAGGTAGAACATCACTCCCTTGGAAGATGTCGCTAGTCGTGAATCTGACGCTAGTGGTCTAGGAATTGGCAGGGGAGCTGCTATTACTCTTGCGCAAGAAGGGTGCTCTAGGCTTTTTCTTGTCGATATTGATCTTGAAGGTCTACAGGAGTCAAAAAATCAACTCCAACATGTCAGCAGCACAGCTAGAGTGGAGGTTCTGAAGGTTGATATCGCGAGTGAATCATCCGTCAAACGTATGATTGACGAGTGTGTATCAAAATTCGGGCGACTAGACTACGCTCTGAATATCGCAGGCGTTGTTCCACAACGAACTCCTATTGCTGATGTCAAGATTGAAACATATGATAAGGTCATCGCGATCAACCAGTACGGAGTACGTTCTATGTCACTTCGATTTCGATCTCTCATTCTACTATTCGCTCTCCGGGTCATGTCTATTCACTTACCCTCTCTTCTTATGTAGACATGGCTGTGCCATCAAGCCGAGATCAAACAAATGATGAAACAGGAGCCTTTGGAAGGATATGGTGACACACGAGGAAGCATTGTTACAGTATCTTCACTCTCAGGGATCAATGCTTCGAGCGGAATGTCAACCTATTGTGCATCGAAGCATTCGATAGTTGGTTTCGCAAAGACGGATGCGCAGGACTATGGCCCACATGGCATCCGTGTGAACGTCATATGTCCTGGAATGATTGATACAGATCTTTTTCGAGCCACGAGTCCCCCAGATGCCCCTGCTGCATTAGCAGCAATAACACCTGTACGGCGTCTGGGGAAGCCATCTGATGTCGCATGGCTGGCTGCATTCTTGTGCAGTGCGGAGTCGAGTTTCATCCACGGAGCCGTGATACCATGTGATGGAGGGCTTTCGCTCCGAAGAGGTGTCATATAGTCAAAACTTGCTAATACTACTTCCAAAGGAGAACAGCATTCAAGATATATGTCCGTTGCCAATCAATACATTGTATAGCGCTCGATGGAACCCCTTTCCCAATGCCATCAACGCAAAATGTTATGCTTATAGTTGCCATCTTTGTCCAACTGGTCCTGCGCTTCACGCCATTCTGCTCTTGCAACATCCACATGTTTTTGACTACGTGGGACAATTTCACACCTATTCGACAGCTCTTAGCTTACAAACAGGTATTGCAGGATCTCACTCACCGAAATGGGATTGGACGTGCAGCAATCGACTGCGTGACTTCATCCCTGTCGACCTCAATCTCTTCGCCATTTGCATCTCGGGCCTTGCGGATATTGAATGTCCATAACAAGCGTGCAGCAGCAAGAAAAAGAGTCCTTTCTGCAACATGAATCCCCGGACATATTCGTCTTCCAGCACCAAAGGTCCAATTGTCGCGATCGCGATAGTCGGGTGCAGCTGCTGCCTCAGAGAACGAAAGCTCCGCTTTATGTCGACTAGGATCGAACACGCGGGGGTTTGGGAAGAGCTCAGGGTCGTTATTAGCAGCCCAAACGGCGAGAACAACTGTCGCTCCTGCTGGAATGCGATATCCATCTACTACATCATCCTCAAGTGCAGCATGCGGAATGGCGCCATTGATCGCGGTTGGAAACCCTGGTAAAAGTCGTGATGTTACCATTTTGGAAAGCCCTTACGATTTTGCAAGAAATTGGTTTACCTACATCGGAGGGCCTCCTTGATGAGTTGTCGCATGTATGGAAGAGACTCAGAATCCTCAATGGTAGGTAGTCGATTTGGACCAATCGCTGTGTCCAGTTCGGTTTGTGCCGTTTGCTGGACACTTGGAAACAACATCATGGCCTGTAGACGATTGTTAGTCTATCTGATACGGTCTGGAGAGTGAGAATTATCCTCTGCGAAATGCTTCTTCATACCTTGATCAAACCTGCTAAAGTATTACTAGTAGTATCTGCGGCACCCTCCATTGCAATTCCTGCAATATATGATGCTGCATGATCTGTGAGAAGTTCACCATTCTCAGTCCCTTTCCAGGTTTCCTTAGCTTTGCTGATGTCTGCGGAAAAACCTAGAGCGGAAGATAAGTCAAGATATCATGCAAAAGCCGTATGCTGAACCATACTTGGCAGTGAGTCATCTCGAAGAGAATTTACTTTTGCATCCTCAAACAGCTGACGAAACTGTGCTCTTTCTCGATAGTAGATTTCTTTTGCTCTTTTGGCCAGTGGGTACAGCCACATAGGGAAGGTCTTCACAATGGGGCGAAGCTGCGGGTACCAATCCAGAAGCTTACTGCTGCTAACCATGACGAAGAAACCATGAGTATTTCTGAACATTTCCTGGAAGACGTCACTTTTCGGGTCCAAAACTCGAAACCCGTATGCCATGCTTGTCGCGACGCTCAAGGTCGTTCTTGTAATTAGATCTTCAAAGTTGTTTGGATTGTTTAACAAATCCACAAGGAGCTGTTTCGTCTCCAGATCCTGGTAGGGAACATAACGACCCGCCTTGTTGATGTTCAAGAATTGATGATACAATTTGCGTTCAACCTTCCATAGTGCATCGTAGCCTCTCATGATAATCCTCGATCCTTCCCATATATCTTGCATGTAGAGTTTAGGTCGATCTGAATAGTTACCACTCCTCTTGTCAACCAACCGTTTGATGAGTTCACCACTTGTGAGGACGACAACACTCTGTGACCCTAGCTTCAAGGAGAAGATGGGTCCGTCTAGTCAGATATTAGCAGTTGGTAAATCCTTCGAGCTGATCTCGATCACTGCTGGCATCTCACTGACATTGGCGTCCCCATTTCTGATATTGTAAGTGAAGATCGCGTTTAGGCAATTGATGTAGGTTTCCAAGAATGGGTAAAGTGAGTGGACCTGCAATTCATGTTAGCAATCGGAAGATCCTCGTGAATGAATGAGTTCCATTAAATCACCTGGCGGCGCGTTTCTCCATCTTGTTGTCAACAGTGTCACCTTGGTCAGGAAAGCCAGAGCTATCACGACAATCGCAATAAGCACGACCTTCGAATCTTGGGTCATGAATGGCAACATGCTCGTTTCGTTCACTCAACTCTATCTGCGAACCTGCAAATAATGCTCTGATAGCAGGAGTGTAACTCCTAGGTGAGGAGCAGCTTAATGACGGGACGACTCTGGACGCTCAAGAAAAGCGCCTAGCCGGAAGATCCTATGGCAAACCTTCTGTATCTCGTTTTACCTTGCAATACTCACTATGTTCTCTGGCTGTCCGCACCATCCAGGCCACGGTAGGCGCCTCACTTCGAGACTTTCTTCATTTCATGGCAAAGAGAAGGCCCCGAACGTTACGCCTTCCTGTTGCAGGCCTCTACTGCTCGGCGCGTCGGCATCTCTGCGCACAAGGTTTCTTGCTGACATGGATGTCAATTCCAATATCTCGGGCCTCAAGCATACTCGGTCAGTGTTGCAGTGATCGAAACAAAAAATACTTCGGCACCGAGCTGTCTGATAGCTCGACCCCGCATAAGCTGCCAAGCACAAACTCAAGAAGCCGAGGCACTATCCCCCAGGCTCATCCCTGGTGAAAGACTTCATGGAAATGCTGTTTGGTTACCCAACAGGCTCAGTAGTTAGTTGATGTATTTGATGTGTCCTTACCTAGGTACCTTGAAAGAGCATGCCGGACAGGAGCTTAAACCTATTCAAGGGGTTGCCCCGCGTTTGCATAGCAGCAGCAAGCCTGGGAGCCACCAACAGAATCCCCACAAGAGGTCCTCTGACGATCTAAGCTCAAATGCAGGCAGTCTGTGGACTTATGCCCTCAGCTTCTGCCGTTACCAGATGACAAGAGTAGTCAGGAATCGACTCCCCGTATCCTTATCACGTAAGGCACGAATGTAGCATGTCAAAATCTAGCAATCTGATATGGATACGGCCGCAATAAATCTCGAACCTCAAGTTAGTCTAGATCAACGTCCTGCAAAGAAATCACGGGCTTGCATCCACTGCCATATTCGAAAGGTAAGATGCAATGCGTGGGAGGTTGGCGTACCTTGCACACGATGTAAGCGTCGCAATCAAACAAGCACTTGTGTCCTCGTTGGTCCTCCGCAGAGAACTATCCATGCGTTAGTATTCTTAATATCTCAGCATCGTTGAGACTGAGAGTCTACAGACCTTCAGTGCGACGTCCGCGAAAGCATACGAATCTAAAGCTTCCAACTCAAGCTTCTTTGCCGCCGGACAATGGAGAGACAAGTGAGGATACTGTAGTACATGCCCTTTCTCATGTACCACCCGCAGTGTTCAAGTTGACCAGAGTCATAGCTCCAAAACTCAGGCCAGCAAGCTGGAGTTGAACAAGAGAATGCACAGCGCAATGAGACCCCAAACGCCAGCTCGCAGAACCCAAGTTCGTCACTACTTGTTGACCAGCACCCTATTGCTTTCGAAGGAGAGCGCGTTGAAGGAGTAGGCTGCGGGAGTGACCCTCCGATCAGGGAAGAAGATGTACACATTCGGATCTGGCAAGAACTATCGCGTCGAAGACCAATGGTAATGTCTCCAACATCCCCTTTGCAGAATCCAAATCGACGCGAGGTGTTCGAGTATCATGACGGCGTAAATTCTATGACAATCCTCGGTGAAGCTCTGGGTCAACCACGAGCGACCAAGCTAGTGCGGCTCCTCGTTCTGGAGGACGGATCCAAAGTCGATCCACAAGAAGCCTTCCCAGGTCTCGACGAGGTGGACGTTGAATATCTACAGAAGAAGGGAGCACTGAACTTTCCCCCACGTCATGTTTGGTAAGAGAAGTTGTGATAAATTTATGGCTCCCTTTGTCTCCAGTGCTGACCGTTCGCTAGCCGTGAGCTTCTTCGCTTATACTTTGCTTGCATTTATCCATATGCGCCTATACTGGACCGTGTCAAGTTTGTGCAGGATTATGAGACCGGTCAGCATTCTACTTTCCTCTTGCAATCAATTCTAGCAAACGCAGTCCCGTATGCTCCTCGCAAATTGCTTCATGAAGCAGGCTACCAGGACCGAATCACAGCTCAAAAATCACTGTTCTCAAAAGCTCGGCTGCTCTACGATCTAGGATGTGAGACCAGCCAGCTCCATCTTCTTCAGGGCTCAATCATGTTGAGCTCTCTGTCATTTACCTACGCCATGGACAAGGATTACAGATACTGGCTGAGCAATGCAGGTAGGATTGCCACTCGAATGGGCTTGCATAGAAATTACATGTCGGAGACGCTTGATAAGCATTCCACCCGTTTATTTCGCCGTATCTGGTGGGTTTTGTATAACCGAGATACACTCATGGCAGTTTCTGGGATCGATAACCTCAGGAGATTTGATGATCGCTACTGTGACACTGAACCGCTGACAGAGTCTGATTGTGAGGAGGAAGTTGAAATACCACCAACGTACAGCGATATCCTCCAGCCTATGCCCAGGCTGCAAAAAGTATTCATGGTGGAGTACAGCAAATTGTCAACTATAAGTACGTATGAGAGTTGGAAAATGTCTTGTAAAAACGCTGACAGACATGCACAGGTGGACGATTCATCCATGACTTCAAGAGTCCAGGTGTGATACCAACTCCGAATGAAATTAACCGATTCAGTGAGCAGCTGGCTTCCTGGAGAAGACAACTTCCCGGGGAGATGCAAATCGGGGCACTCCAAGAGTGGTCGTCAGATAATATATGGGTCTTAGTATTGCTAGCCATGGGCTTCCGCCTAGAGGCCATATTCTGTCGTGCCGTCAAACAATATCATCACACAAGGAACGACTTTTCCTCTATGCAGAAATTCGCTCAACGGCAAGAGAGCGCTATGTTCGAGCTTTCTACAATCATTCAGCGTGCTTCGATGCATCAGGTGCTCCACTTATGCCCCTTATCGTTGTAAGCTTTGCTATCCAATGACCATCTGGCAATCTCTTGATGATATGCACAATTGTCCTAACCATGATGTGATTAGCATGACCTGTGCGTCAACTATTCTAGCTATGCGCATTGAGATCGCCCTCGACTCAACCACCACCCCTCGAAAGCAGCTCGCCATCAAGACCCAGATCTTTGCGGAGCTCGAGTATCTGAGGGAGAGTTGTGAATACTGGAGCAGTTTGATATGGACAGTGCGCATGTTTGAGGCTGTTATCAGCAGGACAGGTCTTGGGCTTGTGCCTGCCTCGGCGAATGGGTCCCCAGAAGAGGATGATGATGTGACTCCAGCCAATCAAAGCAGTGACCCGAGGGCATTCAATGCGAGTCTACAAAATGCACCTTTGGATTTCCAAGATATCGACGCTCCTCACTCTACTGGCGCAGATGCGATTTCTATGATGCCCATGTCAGACGACATATTTGGCATTTTACCGATCACTGATAACTACGACTGGCTCCAGAGTTTGTTCGGAAGCAAGCTAAATGATGACTTTATGGATGAGTTCAGTAGTATCGTCTAGATATCTATCAAGCGTGCAGACAGACATAATCAGCTCGAAAGTCATATTGAAGTGTTCACATTCGATATAATTGCCCTCAATAGACTGGGTCCGGGAAGGACTCTGGTTGCCGATCCTCGTTGCCCAAGAGGCCATAATACCACGTTATGTCCCGTCCGTCTGATTCCCGGACATCGAATCCATTTCCGAGGAAGTTGAATCGATTCTCTGACAGATAGTCAATGTCGAAGTCTTCAAAACGTGGCTTCTGAAGCATTGAAAGGTAATGCACTCTTGACCCTGGCCAGCAGAGAGGTTTGCGACCAGGAACTCCGTTCTTAAACCATGAACTGCATGGCCCAGACCATGCTGTCCGTTGTAAGTACAGGTCTGCATGTCTGGTAAACGCCTTTCCAACAGATTTGCTGACTCTAATACTCTTGATGTCCTCGATCTGTGCCTTTTCAAGGACTTGTATGATGTAATTGGTGTACGCCTCAACCATAGGAATGACGGAACCATGGCCAAGAGGCCCATAAGCACCAATGAAGACGAAATAGTTGGGAATCTCGGGGACTGAAAGTCCCATGTACCCTTGAGTATCGCCATTCTCGGGCTCGTGTTCATAGTTCTTTCCATCAACTATAAGCGGGAAGGCAGAACGAAAGCTAGTGTCAAAACCAGTAGCACAGATTACCACATCGACGTCGTGAGAAAACCCCTTTCCGTCTATGAAGCCGGTACTAGTTATCTCCTGAATCTCTTCAGTCAGGACAGTGGTTTTGTCAAGAACAAGTGCTTCGAGAAAGCCATTTCCTGGAGTGGGTCGTCTGCATCCAACACCAAAATTACTGGGAATCAAAGTGTCCATCAGCTCGGGTTTCTTGACGAGTTTGTTCCGCATCTCCTGGATGGAATACTCCCTAGCCTCCCTTGCATCGCTAGATCCGTTGATGTAGAACTTAAATCTGACATTCAGTTCTGACTCGATAGCTTTACAGTATGACAGATAGTACTCTGGATCGTCTCGAAACATCTGTTGTGTCTCTTTCGAGTAGTAGAAGTTCTCTCCTCTTTTTCCGGCATATTTGGGTGCGAAACCAGCCGTCACCCAGATAGGTGAACGAGCCACAACGAAGAGTTGGTCGACTTTGTCGATTATGGTAGGCACAACTTGTACACTCGAGCTCCCTGCGCCTATGATAAGCACCTTCTTATTCTTCAGGTCAAGATTATCGTCCCATCGAGCCGTATGTACGAGTGGGCCTCGGAATTCACTTAGCCCCTTAATCTGTGGCCACCGCCAGGCATTGAGAACACCACCTCCATGAAGGAAATAGTCGCCATGGTCGATGAAGGTATCGGAGGGGTCGTTATTACGCATTATGGTAACTTTCCATTGACCATCATCTCCCACCCACTCCGCGTGGATGATCTTGTGGTTGAAATGAGCGAATTTGAGGATATCGCATTCTTTAGCAACGTCTCGAAAGTATTCGTAAATTTGCTTAGAGCCGGAATAGTATCGTTCCCAGTCTGGCTTCAGCTGCCAGCTGTACTGGTAGCAGACGCTGGGGATGTCGCATGCACATCCGGGGTACCTATTCACCAGCCAGGTTCCCCCAAGGTCGGAATTGGCCTCATAGATGGTAAGGTCAATATTGTCCATTCGAGTTTGAACTTGATGGGCAAAATTGATGCCACTGCAGCCCATTCCCATAAAGATGACCTTCAGCTTCCGTTTTCTACCCATGGGTGATTCGCGAATCTGGTATTCGACATGCCCTTCGACAGCAGCATCACCATTTGAAGCAGAATCGGGCTTTTCAGTCCCTCGTAACGATATTGCTGATTTTAGCTCACCGTTGAGTATGATCTCGGACATTTCTCCACTGATGTGGTTGTAGATACTTGTATGGTTAGAATTCTCGATATCAGCGATAGACGGAGCCATTTTAGAGTGCTTTTTTGAGCAGGAGGAAATCTACTTTCACCAAAAATTATCAAGGCAATGCAGCGTGGCTTCAATCACTTCAGGAATAACTCCATCCTGCAAGATTCTCTTCACAAAGCCTGATCGAAGTGCGGAGGCAGCCGCCCACCTGCCAGATGCCCGAAGTGTAAGCCTTCGGTGCCGACTGCAGAACGTCTCCAGTTGTCACAGGTACTACCTGAATGCCACAACTCTCTTGCCCAAACTCACTAGCATGCAACCATACTCTTCACAATCCGTTTGCATTCATTCCTTGACAATCAGGTTCAACAAGCTCGTCTAGTCGAGCAGCCGCAACATAGCCATGATACGGGCAAAAAACGGCCCAGGTCATTGAGAAAACCCCCGCTACATATGATCTTGAGAATAGTGCCCAGATAATTGATGTAAGGTCCCATAAAGATATATACGATTTCTGTCATGTATAGCATGTAGCTTAGATCTAGTTAACATCTACAGCTTCGCAGCTCCATCGACAGAGGCCGTCTTGAGTTTTTGTAGCTCCCGTCTGATCACCTTCCCACTAGGGGTTCGAGGTATTGTATCAATAAAATGAACCCCAGCCGTTAACCACTTGTGTCGAGACATTCTAGTCTCGATATACCTTTCGATTTCTCTTGCAGATACCGCTGTACCAGGTGCTCTAACGACAAATGCCTTGGGATATTCGCCAGCTGGTCTTGAGGTCAAATTAGCCATGATTCCGCCCGTAGCTGCATTGCTCCAGTGAGGCTGATCAATGTCTGCTTACCTTTTCTCTCCTATCACGGCTGCATCCGCAATAGCGTGATGCGTCAGAAGGACTTGCTCAATCTCTGCTGGCGCGACCTGCAAGCCTTTCACCTTTATGAGTTCCTTGGTAATTTCTGTCAGACTATTCCAAACATAGGTTAACATGGTTGAGACTCACCTTCATACGGTCCACAATATAGAAGCATCCCCTTGAGTCGACGTATCCGATATCGCCAGTACGCAGCCACCGCAGTCCGTCCTCGTAGACTATTGTCTCGGACGTTTCTTTAGCCTTCTTGTAGTAGCCCCTCATTATATTAGGGCCAGAAACCCAGATTTCGCCCACGACGTATGGGATCTCAGGGGTTTGCTCGAACCCGTGCTCAGGCATTGGTACAATCTTAGCAGATACATTGGGATTCAACCAGCCAATTGATCTACCGTCGTCTTCATCATCCTGTGCGAATCCTGTTGCTGAGCAGGTGGTCTCGGTCATTCCCCAACCTTGCTTCACCTGAACACCCGGGCGCAGATGGGTCTTCTCCACCAATCGTCCAATCTCAGGATTGAGGGGTGCAGAGCCTGTCACGACGGATTCTATCGATTTGAGATTGAATGATTCGGCCTGAGGGTGTTTTGATAGCGCAACCATGAGCGTTGGAACGCCAGTGAGGAATGTGATTCGGTATATATCGAGGAACAGGAGATATCTCTGAATACTGTACTCCATCATAATAAAGACTTTAACACCCATACGTGCTGCAGTCATACAGTAGTACATTTGGCCCTATTCAACGGTATCAATACGGCTAGATTCTCAGGAACTGGCAAATTATTACACTTACATATGCATGAAACATTGGTAAAGGCGCTAACCATCGTTCTCCTCCTGCTTCGATGCGTTGCTTTCGTTCCTTTGCCCTTGATGTTTCGCCAATCATATTTCGTTTGAATATAACTTGCAAGCAGTTCGAGACAATGTTATAGTGTGATATTTCGACTCCTTTTGGCACACCAGTCGTTCTAGAGAAAGGATCAGAAGGTAAACATCAAACTTCAACATGAAGTATTCGTGCTTAACCATACCCGCTTGAATAATTGACAACAGCGGTGGTCGTTTGAGCCTCATCGACCGTTGAGAATTTTCTCCACTCCCACGCAGCACCGCCCTCCTCTGAAGCCCAGAAATTTGTCCATGGCAGAATATCACCCCTAGTAGGGGTTTTGTCCGGATCAACAAACTCGAAGACTCTGTCCTTCGGGATGCCGACTTGTGATGCCGCTTCAAGAGCCCGAGAGGCACCCGCCGAGCTGGTTATGACCAACGTCGCATTGGAGTCCCGTAATTGATATGAGAGCTCTACAGTCACTATCGTCAAGTCTTTCGCTTGTGGTAATTTGGCCAAAGAACGACTTACCGGTCACAGATGCACTTGGAGAACAGCCAGTGAACACACAGCCCGCAGACACCGTCCCCCAAAAGAGGATTGGGAAGTACAGCGAGTTGCCAGAGTACAAAAGCACCTTATCATCCGGCTTCAGTCTGAGATCAAGTAGCCCTTTCCCAACCCTCTTGACAAGTGCCTTGGCCTGTTGCAGGCTAAAATTCCGTTCCGGTCGGTCCGCATCAAAGTACTGTGGACTTGAATGATCATTCTCTGAATCCGAGGAAAATACAAAGGTCGCAACGTCAATAGGTGGAATATGCACCTTGTAAGGCGAGTCGTACCTCTTCGCCATCTCACTGGAGGTTATTTGAGAAGAAGATGTTTGTCATCGACGATTAATTAATGTGAAACTCTTGACGACGAAACCGCATGGCCTACCCAGACTATGTCAAGCGTGAGCGAGTCATGCAGCCAGCCTTGGTCGGTAAAAGGAGGGTTTGTTATGATTAGCCTCGGCCATTCTTGCTCACCTAGAAAGCGCACGCTTGAGGCCGGTGCCGTTTGGTTTGTGATTAATGGTTGGGTACAACTGCGTCCGATGTCATCATTTCTCCAACGGCAAGTTCGGAGTACGTGAGTACGGCACCTTCAACTCTCGCTTTTGCAACATCCCATCAGCAAGCCTCGAACACCAGGCCGGATTGGAGCTGGAAGAGCTCGCACCAAGAAAATGGGGAAACACGAATCATTAAAGGCACAGCGATATACCACGGATCTCCTGAAGATCCCTGGCATGGCATTCGATGTGACAGTGGCGGACCCGAAGGAACGGATTGAAGCATATCTCAATGAATATCGCAAGGCAGGTCAGACGAAAGATGAGGTATGCTGCCTCAGTGCCTAACACATTCAAAGGCTTCGTAGTATCAGACTAAAATTTGTCTTCCTCTCTCCCTAGGGATTCGACGAGGTATTTATGCGCGAGCATATCTCCATTGTCAGCGCCACAAGCTCTGAGGGAAAGACGACGGCTGTTTTTGAGATGAAAGCTTCGCCAGTCTACACTAACCGGATGGGCAACATGCATGGAGGCGCAATTGCCATGATCCACGACATGTGCACGACCATGGCGGCCGCACCATTGGCGCGGAAGGACTTTTGGTGGTTCGGAGGGGTGTCAAGGACATTACTCATCACATATCTGAGACCAGTAAGGAAGGACATGGACCTCGTGATCGAATGTGAAGTTTTACAGCAGGGTTCGAGGCTAGCGACTATACGTGGACAGATGCGAGATAAAAATACGGGTGCCCTGCTCTCAGTAGCGGAGCATAATAAAGCGAGCATTAACTTTGAAGAAGTCAAGTCAAATTTATAGTCATGAGAATAGGAGAACAGGAGTTCAAGACTCCCGGACTATCATTTATTTCACAATCTCAGTCAATAGATCATCCGGCCACTTGGGTTCATCAATTCCATTCCCACGAGTGCCAACATTGAAGCTAAGCTGTACCGTGTTCGGTGGGAATTGGAGGACCGCCTTCGGTGCCCTGAATACGAGGTCACCCTGCGCTTTAGACACCCTCTTCTCGAAATATTTTAAATCGAGGATTGTTCCTTCTTTCCGCATCATTTCGAAGTAGCGAGGGATCGTATAGTTCATGCTATGGTAGTGGCGGAAAACTTGCCTCCCATTGCGTGCCCAGACATCCTTCCATACTTGAAGAGGATACTCTCCAACTGTCGAAGTCAACCATTGATTGTAATAGTTGAGTGATGTGTCAATGAGATAGGAGCCGCCATGGCGTGCCTGCTCCATGAGAGCTTCCAAAACGCCACATGTACCTGCTATCCCCGTGCAGTAGTCAGAGTTTGGAAAAACAGGGATTACAGCCTCGTCGTTGCCCATGGCTCGACCATATCCCATTGCCACACCAGTGTGGGCGTCACTTATCGGCTGCCAACCACTTCTGTGCGACAATGGACCATCCCATCCAAAGCAATTCTCTCTCACGTAGATAATGCCCCGTTGCCTGTTCTTGACGAGTTCAAAAACCTGATCCTGGCCGAAGCCGTATTTGACGAACACGTCAGGCCTGTAGCCGTTGATAACAACGTCTGCGTCCAGTATCAGATCTTTGAGCTTGAATCTATCACTCTCACCACGTAGATCTAGGTTGCAATTCCACTTGCCCCAATTCAAATCAGGGTGAAGACCTGAGAAATCCGGAAGGTGCGAAGCTGTAACCCTCATCACACTTGCGCCTAGCTCTGCCAGACCTCGCCCTATAGCTGGACCTGCAATTACTCTGGTCAAATCCACGATCTTTAGTCCAGCGAGCGGCCGTCGTGGGCCTGTAAAGGTTGTCGGACGCCACCATCCCGCTGCTTGTGCCGACCCCTCTTGCTTTGTGATTCGATATAAGCCCACTGCAGAATTCGCCTTGCCTTGTGGGCTGTCCCTGTACTCTTGAGGATCGAGACAGATGGTAGCAGCCTGACGGCATTCCTCACCGAGAATATGGTCCCATTCAACTGCGGTCTTTTCACGGATGCGCTTGATGTAGGGTTGCCAAGAATCTTCGAACGTCTTAAGCTCGGGCATGTCAAGTGGTAGTCCTGCTCCTTTCAAGGATGGCTCTGGGTTGAGGCTACCGTGTATGTGAAACCACCGGTCGTCTTTCGTCTTGTAGATGTTGTGAACAGCTCGACGGTAGAGTGATGAAGCCATTCGATGGATGTCGCCACTTGGGAAATAGTTCGCATATTTGTCGGTCAAATCGCGTACCGGCGTCGGTGAGATAGGTGCTGAGAAGTCCGGATTGATTTCGAGAACCAAAGAAGACATAAAGAACAGTTGTGCATGATCCGTGTTAATGACCACTTCCTTCGGTGGTTCGTCATACTTTCGTCCAAGTAAAACGTTAATCAGTGTCGCCTCAAGGCCTTTCAACGACGAGACGCTTTCTGCGAATCTCCAGTTGATTGCAATGCTCGGTGCGGCCGACCCTTCATACTTCACATACTGGGCAAACTCTTTGCACTCTGGCGGTAATGAGCTATGCAACCTGTGGTTCAGAATGCCGTCTCTCAATAAGGTTCTGCTCTCATCTGGAACAGAATATGGCGTCGATTGCTCCCCCATGGTCGCGACTCGTTTATCTCCTGTAGTCACAAAGCCCACAAACAGCCAATAAATGGTATATCAGGCTGCCTTCTCAGAATACCCTGCACACAAAGTCATGCTGGCATCTGATCGTCGTTGACGTATTCGTCGGTGCCGAGGCTATTGACTCCTTCTCCGCACTTCGCCAGGGGCGATCATCCTGGGCAGTGCGAGAGCATGGGTATGCTCTCAGAATCCTCACGAGTACAGCAGGTGCATGTAGCTCAATAGCCCCTAAGCAAGTGACAATGTGGAGAGCAAATGCTCACGAACATGGATTGGAAAGTTAGATGCCTAGTCAGACACAGTGGCATACACGTAGTCAGGTTTTACACCTCATTTGCAAGATCGCATCATACCGTGTAACTAAGTCGTTGTTTTTCAATGGTCGAGGGGATGCTACAGATATTGCAAAGCTTAAGGAATGTCACTTAGTGGAAACGAGATTCAAAATTGCGGAGACTCTGTCACATCAAAGTCGTCTTGCTCACATTCCATTACTCTCCTACAGTATTGCTGCTTTCTCAAGAAACTTCTGCGGCATATCGACATGTCGGGCTCTCAGATATTCTGCTACATTCTGAGCAAGATGCCAGCTATCAGGAGTCGCGTGAGGTGTTGGTTGGGGAGCAGTCAGGCGGTCTTACCTTTCCTAGCGAATCCATCTTGACAGAACTGCTCACACCCGCGCCGAGGATACCATGAATCACAAAATGGACAGCCCGTATATTGAGGAATTCACACCTCTCAATGTATGTGTCAGGGGTTGCCTCGTCTGCCAGTAGTCCTAAAGGTCACACAAGTGTCAGATTTTGATGTGAGATGGAAGAGGGAAATCAGTGACAGACTCACCTCGTAACCTATCGACTGTCATAAAACTTCGAAGCCAGTCATACTTGGATGGCTCGTGGAGTCCTCTAGGAAAGAAGAATCCCACATTCACATTTGCCCCTTTATCGCCGCTGCGTGCGTAGACGGCTAGACCAAGTGGCACTTTAATCGTCGATCCAAAAGAAGACAATGCTACAGGATTGGTAGGCTGGTAATTAGGTTGCAGCGGTAGTTGGTTGGTGGAAGTATATGCTGAATGTCTTGAGACAGGAGTTCCCTGATTGCTTTGTTCCGCTGAGATGAAATGCACAACTTGCTGGACATGTTCTTGATTCACCAAGCCGGGGAAGTATGTACAGAACAATTTCGGCTCTGCCGTGCGGAAATCAAAGTTGGCCGTGAGACCCGGATATCCTGAGAGTTGATTGCTCATGAGAGGCCCGAGGAGACGACCTGGAGCAAGGGTTCTTGGATCCTTAGCCTGCGCAAACACGCGAAGCTGTAGTGTTGATTCATTTTGGTTTCGGGGATTTTCCTTCGGACTTCCGTACAGCTGGAAATCTAGAACCTGAAACTCATTTTCCTTTACCATTCTACGCGACATGGACTCGAAACTTGCCGCCTTTTCTTTGGTGTCAAGTCCCGTCACGTAAACAGAGAACTCGGCTTGGTATCCCCCAACCACCATAATGGCTAGCTTAAGAGTCTCAGGTGCGAGAAGGCCTTGGGACTGGATCAATGGAAGACCGGTGAAAGAGAAATTCATTCTTGAGTGGAAATAACATGCTCACCTTTGACCCCTGAAACTTGCACCATATCCTTGCCGACTGGTTCGAAAACAATTCTCGTGATATCTGCGATGACATCGGGATTGTAGTAGAAGGGACCCTGGATCTCATACAAGAATTGTCCACGGACAGTGTCCGTGGTGACACTATCAGAAGAAAAGGTCAGCATATACTACATTTGGTGGCCTCATGATTCATACACTCCGTTTTGATCCGCATGCTTTTGAATCACACTTGTACCATTCCCTGCAATCGCAGCGATTGGGTACGAGAGGTCGTGATATTGTGGAGCAAGTGCTTGAAATCCGCCAAAGTTGCCTCCGGTCTATTGTAAAAGCTTTCAGCGACTGTTTTACACGTCTCGCGGGTTGGGGAGGGAAGTCATACCACATAAGGACCGCATTCTATTAAATGGCCTGCTAGCAGGGAGCCAGCCAGCTTGTCGACTTCATCCTGGCTCCAACCATGCCACCATGCTGCGACACCCATAACCTAAGATCTTGTTGTTAGCCAACCGTTCTGCGTGTGAAGTTCCGCTTTCATACCGTGCTTGCATCAGTACATCTCCCACAAATGACGATATCGGCTCCTTCTTTAAGAGCGCGCACTATGCCCCAACATCCAATGTACGCATTGGCGAGAATTATTTCAGGATATTTATGTCGCCAACTCTGGAAATCACCAGTCGCTCTAGTCAAAGGCTGGACATCAAGATCTTCCAGCTTTGACAGTAGGTTGTCGCCAACAACATAAGCGACCTTTTTGTTTGATCCTCGAGCACGTAACAGCTTCTGCACCTCTTCGGCCAGACCTTTCGGGTTGAGCCCGCCGGCATTGACGGCTATTCGAAGATGTTGATTCTTGTAATGGAGATACTCATCAAGACCTGCTCGTAGTGAGTACAGAAACCCTGGTTCGTAGCCGCCCTTGCTTCCTGCACGGAGCTGGAGCGCTCGCGATGCCAAGTTGACCTGCCATATGGTCAATGATGCTTTACTCGACAAATGAATCGGCTTGAGTCTGGACCTCTGATAGCCAATCTCCGATTATGGCGTCGACTGTCGTAGACCCCTTCAACATCGACTTTAATGCTAGAACGCGTCAGTATCTGCTACTACATTATATGGAGCCATGAATGCCATACCATCTAGGCGGTCACCCGTGGAGCCAGAGACGTTCCCAATAAGGACTGGCCTTGTTCCCCTTTCTAGCACATCTTGGCCCATCTTCAGTGTCAACGTAGAAATTCTCAGCGCATGAAAGTCGAGGCACTATGAAGTATGCCACAAGGCTGATATCTACTCCACACTGGAGTCACGAGGCTAACATTGTCTGAAAACCAAGATCCGCCGAGGGATGAGAATTAGCAACAACAATGAATCCCGACTCCAAGATGCCAGACGATGTTCCGGCAACGCGTGTCTTCCCCGCACCGGCGCCGAGGTGTACCTCAGCCTTGTCCCCCTATTTATTCGAGCGGGGCAGTGCCGAGGCTCTTGCTCAGATCGGAGGCATCAGTTAAGTCAGTACTGGCCGAATAGCAAAATGATCTTAAATGATCTGAATTGTTCTTATTGAGATCATAATGCTAAACAGTGATCAACAAAGCTCAGGTTCACTACTTGACATGTTGCTTCATCCAGCCGATGATCAAATCATCAGTCTTGGCTCGAATAGCTGGTGCCGTGAATTTGGAACCCACGGCGTAGATATGTAGCTGTCCCCATTCAATAATCAATTTATGCTCGACGTCCGCTTGACCACATTTCTCTGCCCACATTTCTGAATCACGGCGTGCAAATTCGGCACCGCCAGTGAAAATCAGTTGTGGACTGAGGCCGTTGATATCGCCTGACTCGCGATGCAAGGGATTGACTTCCGGAGAATCTCGGGCATAACTTCCAATGAAGAGTGACACAAGCCCTGGGACAGCTTCGTTGGCGAACATGAAGTAGTCGGTCTCAACAGCTGGGTTGCCTCCCTCGTAAGCGCTGAGAGCCATGTCTAGCCATGGCGATATCAGGACTGTTGCTGCTGGCTGTGGTAGATGAAGGCTGTGGAGGTGAATCCCTGAGAGGATACATAGCCCTCCTGGTTACATGGTCTTGTTAGTTGAAGGCTTTCCCTCTGGTGTTCCACTGTCAATGAACTTACCACCAGCTGAGTCGCCCATGAAAATAATGTTTCCTGGTTCGATACCACTATCAAGCAGAAATCGATGGCTCTGGGTGAACGCATTCAGCTGCGCTGGATGGCTCTTTTCAGTGGAAAGTGCTATATCGTTGATGGTCAGCATCAGCAAGTGCACATGCATCTAGAAAGTTGCATTGAGCAAACTCACGATATTCCACAGTCAGGAAGGCGAGGTCTAGACTAGCCTGTGCGGCGACCCGAATCCATCTCTCCATGTAATTCAAATACATTCTCGCCTCACCCCGTGCATACCCTCCACCATGCGCAAACAATGCGACACATCGTCGAGTCTCATGCTTCGGACCTGCGAAATCTGACAACTCTCTAGAGCCTGGGACCAGGTATGCTGGGATGTTCTCCAGTTTTCGAGCTCGCCTAGCGGGCACATTACCTACTGGTAACCTATGCGTCAAGTCTGGAAATGTCAAAGAGGCGGATGAGAGATATGCGCGCTGAATCTGTAGCCGGAGAGACTGATGAGATGGGAAATGTGGCAGCAGAAGCCGCTGGAGTAGTGTGAGTAGAATTTGGGACAGGAAGGAATGCGAGAACAAAATCGCTCGCAAAGGGTGTCTCAATAACAGCAACCAGAGATTGGCCATAACGAACTGTGGTCAGAAGATACGGGTTGATAATTACTCCCGAATAGAGGTTCTTCAAGTTCGTTACTTGTTACCGTCAATCTCTTGGAGTTGAACATGACGGTTTATTACACCCTCGGTGCCGCCCGGAAGGACGACTACCCCACTCGTGGAGTCTGTAGAGATCCGAGCAGCAATTTGTTGCTGCATGCAGTCCTTGGATAGTAGATCAGGATATGAATCTGAACGATTCCAGGATTGAAAATCACAAGTGAGTTCCGTAGTGGACACAGCAATTCCAAGAACAGTCTTCTAAAGGCAGAGGGACAGTCTTCTTTCAAATACTCCCATGCGCCAGTGACATGTCGCCTTGTCTCTCGCGTCAGATCTAGGGTAGTTTACCAATCGAGAAAGACAAGGGATTGACATGGGAACCAGATAAGTCGTCTTTCGTTCCAGAGGCCATAATGTTTTCAAAGATCCTGTCGGAATTCTGTTATGCTAACCAGCTGTCCACGGCGCACAGATGCAATTTTGAGGACAGAAACTAAGCCTGATAGCCTTCCAGATCAGCCAAGATTCTCGCACAAAGTTCCCTCTCGCTCGGCCTTTCCCACTTCGTCATCACTGCTACCAATCATGAGACAACTGAGCACGACATCAGCGTAAGTCTCTCCACATTCCCATCTCAGTTCATCAATAAACTGTCGACAAATCCATCGTCTTCGGTCATAATGATCCTCTACGCTACTACCGCCAGCATCGTAGTTTCGCAGTCCACGCCATGGCCCGACTTCAAGTAGAACAATGCCGAGCGAGTATAAATCATACGCGTGACGATACAGGCGCTTTGGATTTGCGTGCTTTGCGGGATGCTGATAGTAGTCAAGCTTGAAACCACTGAGGTATGTCTCTGTCGGTTGCTCTGGCACATCATTCTTTCGTAGCATGTCACGGCCGTATATGGAGTCAAACCGGGGATGGCCCGGCTTAGGTCCCTCAATCCACAAATTGGTATGCTCAGTGTGTCTTGCTGTTATGTCGGGTCTCAATTCTTGTGAGGTGGCAGCGAGATCCATCCGGGTGATGACGTCGTCTGGCCGTGAAAAGATGTAGCCCATTAGAATAGGTTTCGAGACATCGATCTCAATACTACTCTCATATCGATCCTCCTGGAGTGTATTCACATGCTCTGGAAAGAAAATCACGGAATCTGCGCGAATGTTCTTGTGTAACCAGCCACTGGAAAGAAGCAGGCAGACGGCACGCACTAGCTTTCTAGCCAGATCGAAACGCGCCCCGAGCGTAGATCGGATGCCTTTCTCCCGTTTTTGACCAAGAAGTGACTGCAGCGTCACAGGTGCACGAAGCATCAGGTGTTCTGCGGGCCGATCGCGAGTCTGAACGCCAATCTTACCGGGCAAGGTGTATAGAATGCTGTAATGGCCCTTGTGCTCGCCTTCTTTGTGATCAATCATACCGGCGACGTTCAAACCACAGACACTCTCCTCCACGTTTAAGCCTTGGAAAGTATTGAAGAAGCTTCTGGTCAGTGCGTGGAGCTTAGGATCTGCAGGTCTGACCAACTTGGACTGCTCGATATCTTCCTCGTTCTCCTCGCTGCTGCTGTGTTCCAGAGTCGAATCTAGGACATGGTTGTAAGTTTGCGCGGCCCTGCGTCCCTTTGCTTCTAAGCGTCCCCGCTCTCGACGACGCTTCCTTTGCTGTTTCTGCTTTATGCGCTGTAGCTCATCTGGAGTTGGTTCTAGCGGAGGCCCCCGGTTGTCTCGCATTTCTACGTAAACGGCACGCCCTTCGAAGAGAGCAAGGCCTTTTCACAGATACACCATGTCACGTTGCCCTCGGCCAATGTTGGTAGGTGCTGCTTCACCCGCTTCGTCGGTACCTTTGTTTTGATTAACCGATGCTTTCAAGATGGCTGCCGAAGCGAGCAGCTTGTAACCCTCCCGCATGGACGATCTCCCATCAACATCTGCTTGCTGGCTTGCGAGTCTTGAAGTTGACTTGAGATCTGCGGACGACTCTTGCTTTGCCAAGCATTCCAAAATGAGATAGACATTCATGGACTCAAATGCATTTTCGGGACAGAGGCGATAGAGCGATTCGCTGTGAGATCTCAAGTCTGCGATGAGTTTCTTGAAGTTGTCTCGGTCTTTCAAAGCCCATTTAAACTTATTGAGCACGGAGAGACGGTTCTTCAACTCACTAATCACCGGCTGCACATCTTCGATGGTAGTGTTCGGGAGGGTCGACTGAACGTTGTTGGTCGACTGCGATCTATCCTAGGCGGCCTGTAATAGCCGGAACTGAATGCCGTAGCGCTTCATCAGTTTTTCCTGGTTAGACAGTGTATCAGCAAGAGCAGAGAGAATGTTTAAGACGCCTTCGGCCTTGTATGGATTGCTCAAGAGGTACCCGTGAAGTTTATTCCTTTTTCGTCTGAAGTAATTTGAGTGTGTCGATTCGCTGCTATCTTCGCCTTGGATCTGCCAATGGAAGCCCCAGGCTTTGAGGATTGACTGCTGAATCTCCAATTCGCGCAGGTGGGCCGAAGATTCTGCCTCTGCTGTTTTCATAGTCGTGAAGAAATTATAACAGTCACGACATGTGGTGTAGAGGGCCGCGATACTAATGGCAAGACTGGCAGCATCCATAGTGATGGAAGAGCGATGAAGTTTGTGACCATGGACAGCGTGGTAAAGGTTGAGCTGCAGCGTGCGATTAATAAATGAGATGGAGTTACGGGATTGTGCAAATACTACCAGTGCCAGTATGCCTTCACGTACCTAAGTATACGGCCGCGGAACACTCCGCCTAAATAGTTGTATCAACCGCAGAGCCGCGCCACGACTGAATTAGTCAAGAAGGCGGACACAGTGATTGCGAGGTTATGTGTCCCAAAGCTCTCCCTCACAGTTTCGCAAACCTTAGGTTGCATGCTCACCGGTTTGAGGTCGATCGCTCAGGCTGAACAATGCGAATGTCGATAACGCTCTGAGGCGGAGCGTATGCATTGCAGGTAGCCCAATCACACTTTCTGCACCCTTTACTGGATCATTTCGTGAATGGGTGGCCGCCATTCACATCAGTCATTATTCGTACTGCGACCGTAGACTTAGTCGTGTAGGTACCCAAGCTCTTGGGGCGCCCACAAGCTGAGAACACCTTCATGTTTTCTCTTCTAGTGCTGCTAAAATTTGGGGTGCAGCACATACTTCGCGGAGAGGCTAGACACAGTTCTTATACTCTTTACTGATCATTTCTGATAGAGAATCAGCATTCGGAACTCGTGCATCTCAGTAAGTTACAGCTCACAACCCGAATCAGACTCAAATCGAGTGACACGAAGGGACGGTACCAGACCTTCATACGAACAGTGTGCTAGACTCTCGTAATGGCGAAGATTCAAACTTGTGCGATATGCTCAGCGCTGGAAGCGAAATTGACCTTGGAAAACTCGAGATTGGGCACTCAAAATACCAGCATCTCGACCCCCTCATGTGCATGGTCCTAATTGAACCCTATATTGATGGCAGGTCGACCATACTGCTGTCCATATAATATACATCTAATGTTGGCAAATAATACAAGAGTGATGATTCATCGGCAATTGGGTTTTATATCAACGCCTGGCCTTTGTGCATCGCCTCCCGAACCTCTCTGATTATATCTTTGCGGTCATCACGTCCCATGAGGACGACACCACGGCCACGGCGGTTCAGCCGACCCATACGGCCCAGACGGTGCACAAAATCAACTGTTGTGTGCGGCACATCGTAAAGTACCACATGTCGGACTGCCAATGTGTCGACACCACGAGAGCCTAAGTCTGTCGTTACCAACACTTTGGTATTGGGAAGGTGTCTAGTGGGCCTATCTTTGGTTATTTGTAGTGAATCGTCAAATGGGATGAAACTAGAGAATTTCTTGCTCTTTGGGCGCTCTTTGTCTTCGCCTTCCACTCGATCGGGCGCTGTGAAGGAGGATAAGATCTCGGCCTGCCGTTGTTCCGTAGTGTCGCGTGTCAAGGCCACTGCCTCGATTCCCTTCGTCGCCAGGAATTTTGCCACCTCTTCGGCTTTCTCACGCTGATTAACAAAAACCAAAATGTGCTTGACTGTGTGCGTGGCAAATGAGTCCTCATGTACAGCTTTGCCAAGCTGCCATATTATATCGGCACAGGCCAGATCACGGGAACCACGATATGGGTCTTTATCGATATCAACGGCCCCTAATACGACTCGACGAGGAATAGTGTGCAATTTTGGCGTTACAATACGTTTTGTATCTGGGAAGTGCTTGTCAATGAATCGATCAAGGCTGTTGGGGATGGTTGCACTGCAGAGGATAAGCTGTTTTAATGACGGGGCTGATCGTTCAATGATAGCGATACTGGTCTCGGAGAACGATCGATCAAGGAGAGAATCTGCTTCGTCTAGGACGAGATACTGGACTCGGGAAAGGATGTTCGGCTCCTTCTGAGCAATGGATTTGATTAAATGAGGTGTGGACACAACAATGTCGATGCCATTCGGGTTGAAGAGAGAGTTCCCAATAACAGTCGGAGAATCGTTGGAAGATAGTTTGGCCGACCTATATTTGATGGTGTGGCCGAGTAGCTTGACCACTTTTCCCACTTGGGAGACCAGTTCAGAGGATGGAAGAAGGATCAGCGCTCGTGGGCGACCCATGTTTGGATTAGACTTGAATCTCCCCTCCGTCTCCGAGGGGTCAGCAGCAAAAATGTTGTTCTGTGCTTGTTGTTTCTTTTCCTCAGCCTCGCGCTCTGCACGTTCATCCTCTTCGATGCGATCAAGCTCTTCCTGTCGCTTGACGGCATCAATGACGGGTAATAGATATGCTAGGGTCTTGCCTGAACCGGTCTCCGCAGCAAGAAGAAACTTGTCGAAGCGGGGTTTCCCGTCAACTTTTCTTTTTTGCTCCTTCTCGTAGGCCCCCTTTTTACTGAGCAGCGCCGGGATTGCGAGTTTCTGCACGGGGGTCGGGCTGTATTCGGTCAAGTGAGGAATCACCTGGGTATACACACTGTTGGTGACATGGGGCATTAAGCCAAGCTCTTCAAAAGTGGTGATTCTCTCCAACTTTGCCTTGAGTGCGTCTCTTTGAGTGTAGGACAGGGGTGTTAAGGCTTGTTGCATCTTCAAGGCATGGAATAATGGCCGGTCGTCGACATTCTTCTTCCGCAGAGGTCGCTCGGACGTTGCATCTGCATCAGTATCGGCGGGAGCTGTGGAGTCGGCTGTGGCTTCGACGGAAGTGACTGGTCTAGCAGGTCTGGCTCTGGGACTGACTGCGATCTTTTCGTCTATGGATCGTCTCCCCCTTGAGAGAATTCGCTGGTCTGGTCGCCGGTGCCGAACATGTGCAACCGTCTGGTTCATACCAGCAAAGGGCCCAGCTGTGGGTTTAGATTTCTTGCTTTCCAAGGCCGATCGATCGACGTCTTGAGAAAGGGTCATTCGGGCTGGTGTGCGTCGCTGGCGCATGGCCGAAGCCATTGCCCGCTGGGCGTGCCATTGTGTAATAGTGTTGGTCGGAAGGAGCAGAGATCTAAATCGGCACGCAGGGCACACTACAGCCGAAGAAGACATCTGTTAGAGATACACTGCTAGTAAAACCACGCGCTCGTTGCAGATGTGATGATGATCATTATTTTATTTTTCTATACTCGGCTAGATTTCCATTCTGGCCGAGCTTTGCGCTAAGTATCGAGTAGTGCGCATTGGTCGCACTAGTATCAAACGAAGAAAAGTGGGAAGGTGTGCGATCAAGCAGGGGCCAGTCACGTGGGCCCAACTTCGATCGTGGCTGCCGTGGCAACCACAGCACTAGACCATCTCAAGATAACAATACGTCCACTTTAAAGAGTCCTCGACAGAACCGTTGTGTTGAAGTTCAATCAAGTCCTCAGGTTGGCCTCATTTGCGGTCGCATCTGTGTTGAATTCATCTTCATTTCCTGACAGTCTTTACTACTTAGCTTCAACTTGAACTCAAAGCCATCGTATCACCACTCCCCGCTGCACAACCATCTTTAACGCTGGCGCAGCTGGACTGCCTCATTCCAGGCTCGACCCAATTGACAGTCACTCTCGCTGCCGCTTGGACGCATTCCGATCCATGGTCTGAGCTCGCAGAGACACATACACAAAGCTATTGTTGGAAACCCAGCAGCCATGGCTTCAGAGGTATGAGTTCGCAGTCTGCCTACCGCTTTTGTTGACATTGACTGACGACGCCACACCCAGGTCCCACCTCTACGTATTCAGAAGGGCAGCAATGGTTCCTCTCCATCCAAGCTGCCCCGAGTAACCAACCGTCCACTGTCCGAGCTTAGCCCTATGGCAATTCGCAGAAATTCCCCGAGTTTTCCTCAAGTCAAGGTGCGTTGTTTGCATCTTCTTCCAATCGTACCACCATCTAACATCACACTTCCAGGGTAAGTTGTTCACCAACCTGGAAACTTCGCCTGCAGGATCATCTCCATTTTCCACTGCCTCCCCTCGCCTTTTCTGGCAGGGACGGGATCCCAACTCCCCTGCCAGAGAATCGAGCAGCGTCTTTGATCCCATCCCACAGTCTCCTAACAAACGATCCTCCATCGAAAACCTCAAGAAAGCTTCACGTGTGAAGAACAGCAGCATGTTTGCTATTGAGCAAAGTGCCAACTATGATCCCTCAAAACCTACCATCCTCGATGGGCGCCCTCAAAGTGTGCACTCCTTAACTCAACAATCGCCCCTCCGTCCGTCAGAGACATTGCGCAAGGAGAACATGGCCCCAGTAAAAACTTCGCCAGCGCAACATACTGCAAAGCCTAGCTATGATGATTCTTCAATCACCTCAAACAAGGTGGTATCTCCGTTGTCACCGAGCAGACTGAACCCCTCACCTGCTAAATCTTCACTATCCAAGAAGACTGGTGCAGATTTCAGGCGCAGCGGCTTTGACCCAGAAACGGGCATATGGGAGGATGAGGACGACATCCAGCACAAGCAACTTCCTGCTGGTCGTGGTTTGCATCGTCATCACAAGAGTGTAACTTTTGACCAAGCACCACCACAGATCAATGAGTACGAGGAACCCACTCCAGCTCCGTCCTCAATCGCCTCAGAGTCTCGTGAAGGAAGTTATGAAGACGAAGATGACGAAGATGAGGATCTCAGCTTTGAGCGTGGATCTTCCATGGATCATGATGACAGCTTTGACGCGTCGCTTGAGGATACCGAAAAGACTCCAGTTGTACTGCCTGAGGATTGGCGATTCATGAGCCCTGAGATTGCAAACACCGACCTCGTGCAAGGCGAGGAAGATGTTTTCGATGATGACTGTGGCAGTCCCGCTCCTACAGCTAAACCCGGGGCTTTAGCCTATCGTCCACACCAGACCAGTGCAGGCTCGGTGGATTCAAACGGTCAGAATCGGCCTCTGCCTCCTCTTCCACCGCCGCCGACTCTTGGCCACAACAATTCCCCATCCAAACGCTTGTCGGGTGCTTTTGAGCGAATGAGTATCGGGCAACGATCATTGCCGACGCCCCCAATGGCAGCTGCAATCTCAAAGGCAGACATCCAGAAAATCGGAACGAGCAGTTCGCTTACGGGTGATGATCGTCTGCGACTCATGGCATTACAGGAACAAGACAGAGAACGTCGAATGAGAAGATTAGGTTCTAAGGAGCCCAACCCTGTACGTGCTGAAAGTGTGGAACAATCCGAGCCCGCTCTGGACGAACCTGGCCCGGCGGTCGTGGATTACGGCGATTCAAGGGAATCCAGGGATTTGACTCCTCAGATTTCTCGAGCTTCGGTCCTTCAAGGGCTTCGTGGAGACCTAAGCCGCGACAGTCGTGAGAGCAGCGATGACACTGGTACTCATATGGCGTCAGCTACAAGATTTGACCCGGATGTCGCAATTCCGTCAATGGAGGATCCCACTCAAATCCATATCCGTGACGCCTATGTCAAAGAGGAAGAGCAAGACGAGCCGGACCTCTACTCGATTCCCGACGCCTACAATCGCCGCGTTGTTTCAGACTCGGAGCACAGTGCCAATCAAGACGATGATGATTTGACCAGTCAGTACTCGCAATATTCACAGCCTTCTGTCGCCGCAATGCCTGCCTCAGCCCCGGTCCTAGAAGACGGTCAGGAAACTCCAAAGGCACAAAGCCCGAAAAGTTTAACAAACTCTCGATTCATGGTATCCGAGCGGGTATCATTGCCTGACTTCACCGATTTTGGAGGAGGAAACGATTTCAACATTGGACTCACTCCTTATTTGAGCCAGAAGGAGGAGAAGCCTATGCCACAGATCCCAGCCGTTTCTTCCACGGCACTACCAGACCTCGCTGCGCTCAGGCAATCAATTCAACGCTCGTATACACCTGATGTTCAGCCGAAGGCGCCACAGAGTCCAGTGATGCATAACTTCAAGCAACCCAGTCCCGGAACACCAGAATCTGTTGTCCGCCATTCGGTTGATGTAAAGACTTTCGCGCGTGGGATGGATGCTAGCGAGACGTCCGAGGTATCCAAATTCGAGTCAGACAGTGACCGATCGATCTCACCCTCGGACAGTGGCTCAGTGATCGTGAATACCAAAGAAGGGTCCCCTGTGTCACCCATTTCTACCGACTTCCCTGATGGCAACCACAATACCGGCAGTGGATTACCTGAACCAGAAATCTCTGGGGCAGCGGAGGATAAACAGCCTGCTCATCTCCAACTTCCACGAAGCGCCGGCCTGAGGGTAAGCAGTCTGGTACCGTTGGAAATAGCACATGAAGAGCTCGACGATGGCCTTGGACTGGGCTTGGAAAAGGAATTCGATCGTGTGGTCGAAGCACAAAAGGTAGAGTTTGAACTCTCATTACAGCGCTTGTACTACCCTTTCAATGGACGCTTCCCTTCAAGTGATTTTGTTGAGGTCAAAGACATGAGAACAGTGCACCCATTGGAAAACATCCCCAATCTCCCCAAACCACGTGGTGCAAGAGCTCTCGCAGAGAGCAGTTATGCAAACCGTGCAAACCGTCCCTACGATCTTGATGAAGATTCATTTGCTAATAGAACCCCACAACGACAGCGAGGCTATCTGATGCGACAGAACACCAAAATTGTTGTTGCAAGCGCGCGTATCTCTCAGGACGAATGTCGTTCTCCAACTCTACCGACAGACGAGGAGTCCAATCCCCTCGCCGCGCAGTCACCGAATGCGAATCTCGTTCAGCCGTCACCGCGCAAGATCAGCCAGCCTACGTGGACTGCTGAACCATGGAATGGTAAGGTGAGGAGAAAGAGCATACGCGTGGGTGGTGAGAAGGCCGTCAGCCACAGAAAACCTATCGGCGGTCCTGTTCCACCACTCCCAGGTCAAGCAAGCAACGTGCAAGAAAGTTTAGACGCTGTGGCAGAAGATGAATTAGGTGAAGAGGACGAGTGGGAAGACGGTGCAGAAAGAGGTCGACTTTTTGTCAAAGTTGTTGGTGTCAAGGATTTGCAGATGCCCTTCCCTCAACGTAAGGACTGTTTCAATACGAAGTTTTAGATTGACTAACCTCTTCTAGATGAGAAAACCTATTTCGCCTTGACGTTAGACAACGGACTTCATTGTGTCACGACTGCTTGGTTGGAGCTTGGACGTAGCGCTCCTATTGGGCAAGAGTTCGAACTCGTCGTTCTCAACGATCTCGAGTTTCAGCTTACGCTACAGATGAAGTTGGAAGAGCCAAAGGTTGAGCGTCCGCAATCACCGTCGAAACCGCCAACCTCTCCGAAGAAGCAGGGTGCATTTGGAAGGTTGTTCGGCTCCCCTAAGAAGAGGAAAGAATCAGAATTGAGAGCGCAGCAGGAAGCTCAATCAGTCCGAAGACCAGTCACACCACCATCCGCCTATGAGCTGGTTCAAGGTCTTGTGGCAAAAGATGGATCTTTCGCCCGTGCCTATGTAGCACTCAGCGAGCATGAAAAGCACACATTTGGGCGACCCTACAATGTGGACATTACATGCTTTAACGAGTGGGCTTTGGAACCAGTCCAAGTGGGCAGCTCCAGAAGCAAGAAGGGAATGCCTCAGCTGCAGAGACGGCCTCCTTATGAGATTGGAAAACTCGAGTTGCAGCTCCTCTATGTGCCAAAGCCTCGGGGTGCAAAGGACGAAGACATGCCCAAGAGCATGAATGGTGCTATTCGTGCACTTCGAGAGGCGGAAGAACGAATGCAGCAACAAGCCAATATCAAAGGATTTGAAGGTTATCTAAGTCAGCAAGGTGGAGACTGTCCGGTAAGAAGTGTGCATGAATCATTTGGAATAACACTAACCATGATTAGTACTGGCGACGGCGCTTTTTCAAACTTGCAGGGCCCAAATTGACAGCATATCACGAAACAACCCTTCAACCACGGGCGACAATCAATCTTGCAAAGGCCAGTAGATTGATTGATGATAAGTCTTCCCTAACTCAAAAGGAGACATCTACCAAGGGCGGTGGTCGCCGCAAGAGTGGATTCGCCGAAGAAGAGGAAGGTTACATGTTCGTGGAAGAGGGGTTCCGAATCCGATTTGCCAATGGAGAAGTAATTGACTTTTATGCCGACTCGCCAGCGGCCAAAGACGAATGGATGCAAGCCCTCGCCCAAGTTGTGGGTAAAGGCGTGCAAAGCTCCTCAGCACCAGCCAAAGGATGGATCGAAATGGTTCTCAGGCGTGAGAAGAAGTCGAAAACTGAAGGCTCGTCCAGTGCGCATCCATCTCGTCCTCATGGGCATCAGCGGACAGAAACATATCATGCTGCAGGCGCACTGAGTCAGCATAATAGTCCAGTCAAGACCAAGACCGATCGTGAGGAGAGACACCGGAAGACCAAGAGTCTGCATGCATTCTAGAAACATTAATGAGCATTTCAACGGGGTTGTTGGGTTATTACGGCATGGGATGATTGAATGGAGGTTGGTTTTGTTCGGGTTTCGGTGCGTGAGACGCCAGCAAAGTGGCCCGGAATGGATATGAGCCACGTCCTATGTTTCTGTGGATCAGGATGAATTTACGCAGCACACGAACGATGGAATAGCAGACGTCGGTAGGAGGGTTGTACTCATACTGCTGGTTATGCTAGAACTCGCGTTAATTCGTGACTGATGTGAATACAAAAGAATTGTTATCAAATCATTGATTAACGTTTCAGAATCTCGAAATGATGGAGATATCGGGGAATTTTAATCGTTGTGGATGTAAATCTTTGAAACAGGAAATTCGTTGCGAATTGACACCTCACTCCACTGCAGCCACCGTTGTCTCTTCCGTACCACAGCATCACCAATCGTTATAGTATCTACCGTGCTTGTGCTTGTGCTATACTTTCCCTTGACTAACTCCATCCTAGTACCATGGGGGTAGTCCGGACGATAGCGCTGGTGATTCTCAGCATTTCCTTCGTGGTCTTCGTTGCGCTCTTTGGCCGGCTTCCAGCCTTCAGGTGAGTCGTCATCCCCAGCCAGCAGGCAGAAATATACGCAATAATGCACTATGTACATCCGGCCACACATTTCTCTTCCAGTTGGGCGAGACCAATTATTTACTTTTTTTTTACTCTTTTCATTGCAGACGAACGCCGATCGCTTTCTTGCATCGCTTACTGTGGCATCACATCCCCAATGGAGTTATTTTCGTCGATCAGAAACTCTCGGGCCGGAGGCTTACGCGCGGCTTGTCGAGGTTGGGCAATTATCTGATGAATGAGGCTCATCCGGTTGTTCTTGTGAGTGTGGTTTCTTCGACCCTTACGTGCTTTCGAGAGGCAGGAATAGTTGTGTTTTGTTGGGATTGTGACTTATTTCTCGGTCGTCCTAGATATTCTTCGTCACCTTGCAGGTCGCGGGAGAACTGCTGTTTATACCGTCGGCGTGGAATCGACTTACGACGCTACAGACAATCACGATCCCGGTGCTCGTGGTCGCGCCTTACTGGTGTCTATATCTGTCGGCAACGACGAGTTCCAACATCACTGCGGGAAACCATCGGAAGGCAATGCTGGCTTATCCTTACGACTACTGCCTCTTCCACCCTGGATACTACTGTAGCACGTGTCGGTTTCCGAAACCAGCGCGGTCGAAGCATTGCTCGCTGTGTAAAGCGTGTGTCCAGAAGCAGGACCACCACTGCATCTGGATCAACAATTGCGTCGGCCGCAACAACTACATCTGGTTCAATCTGCTGCTGCTGACGATTGCGGCATTGCTCGCCTATGCCGCCACGCTGGGCCATACGCTGCTCGACGCACAGTTACAGGAAAGATTGGTGCCGTCGGCGCTCACGAGAGGCAGTTTCACGGCGAAGCGCTGGAGCACACGGCTTACGTGGACGCAGTGGGCGAACATGTGGGCGTGGGCGATTGGCGTGGACTGGCAGATCGGGGCGGTCATGATGCTGTGCATGATGAGCTGTCCACTCGCATTGGGGTTTCTCATCTACCACATCTACCTCATGTGGGCGGGCATGACAACCAATGAGAGTGCCAAGTGGGCGGATTGGAAGGAAGACGTCCAGGATGACATCGTCTGGCGCGCCGAGGTGCAGAGGTTGCGCGAGACATATCCCAGGCTGCCGTCGGACGTGGAGCCTGAAGACCGGCTTGTCCAATGGCCCCAGGATGTTCGGGCCAAGTGGTGGATGGTCAGGACGAGGGATGGTGAGCAGCCGACTTTCAAGAAGACGGGCAGTCAGATCCAGGATGATACTGAGGCTTCTGATGTACCGGATGAGCGATGGATGCGGGTGAGGTCGATGAGGGAAGTGGACAATCTCTACGACCAAGGGTTTTGGACGAATTTTGTTGATGGCATGTTCAATAGAGAATAGGTCTAAGGGAAATAGACTTCATTTCTTCAATAATTTTCTTTTTCCCCTGTGTTCATTCCTCGGGCTGTTCACATCGCGGCGCTGCTCGTTGTTGACTACCCCATTGCACGTGATCACGCGTCATCTTCACTCAAAGTGTAGGTGCGACCTTCAAGTTCCCTCATTATCTTGACCGACAATTCACTCTCCACCACGGCCAACGCTCAACGCCTAGCTCATACTTACAGAGGCTCCAGTATGCTCGCCAATGGCGTCTCGTCCTGCCAAACGGCAGCGCCGGTCAACTCTCGTCCTTTCCGACGACGATGAAGATGTGTGGGAGTTACCCTCCTCCACAAAAACCTCCCCAAAGACCACTCGTCTTCAACGTGAAATCACACTCGATGGCCGAACATCACTGGACGTGTCACCTGCAAAACCCACGAAAGGAAAGGGCATCACTGCTCGACGCACTGCTGCGAAAGCCTCTCCCGCGACTTCCCCCGTCAAGACTAGGAAGAACTCCAAGGCTCCGAAGGAACCTGCGAAGTCCAAGTCTCTCCATACCTTCTTCACAAAAGCTACGGACGAACAACGCTGGAGGAAGAGATCTGAGACTCCAGATGTTACTGCGAATCTTGAGAACGGAGAGTTGGGAGATGCCATTGAAGACGACGATCTTTCAGACGATACTCTGCAAGAACTGGGACTGAGAACCGACAATGCAGTTGCATCATTGGTTAGCGGTCGCAAACCTCCTGTGGCTGCGTTGATGAACCGTCAGAATGGCTTGATTGCCAATCCTTTGCCTTCGAGTCAAAGATTTGTCAAGGCCACCGCGACGAAGGATATTGTCAAGATCAAGATGGAGGACCAGGAGAATACCATTGTTGAAAACCATCGACCTTGGGGAGATCGATACGGTCCGTGCAACCTGGAAGAGCTGGTTGTGCATAAGAAGAAGGTTGCGGATGTTCAGGGTTGGCTACAGGGCAAAATCGCTGGACGCCACAATCAGGTGAGTGAATCTATATTTCATGATTTTCCCATGATGTTCTTGCTAACAATGTCCAGAAATTACTAGTCCTTAAAGGCCCTGCTGGAAGTGGCAAGACGACGACTGTTTCCCTGCTAGCCAAATCTATGGGTCTAGATTTAATCTCCTGGCACAACCCTGTGATTGCAGATTCGGGCCCCACCAACTCGATAGCACTTCAGTTCGACGAATTTCTGAACCGAGGCGGTCAATTCGGCGGTCTCACTTTCGAAGGCAAAGATCATGGTAGTTCGTCATCAGGCCGCGTTCTCCTGATCGAAGAGTTCCCGGCGACTATCACAAGGAGTTCCAGTACCTTGCAGTCGTTCAGATCAGTTCTCTCACGATATCTTGCACGGGTCAATCATTCTCATTCGATCCCAATGGGTGGTCAACAAGCTTCAAGCGACATGTCTCCGCCTGTGGTCATCATCATTTCAGAAACTCTGCTCTCATCGTCTACTGCACTGAGTGATAGCTTTACCGCTCATAGGCTGCTTGGACCTGAGATCTTGAACAATGCCTACGTTACTGCCATGGATTTTAATCCGGTAGCTCCCACTTTCGTGACCAAGGCTTTAGATCTGGTGGTGAAGAAAGAAGCGCGCGATTCTGGTAGACGACGAATGCCGGGCCCGGCAATCATGCAGCGTCTTGCAGAAATGAGTGATGTGAGAAGTGCTGTCAATGCTTTGGAGTTCCTATGCGTGAGGTCCGGTGATGGCTCAGAATGGTCGGGGACAATAGCAGCCAAAGCGAAAAAACCATCAAAGGACAAAGTAGGTGTTCAATTGACTGATATGGAGAAGAATTCCCTTGAATTGGTCAGCCACAGAGAAACAACACTCGACATGTTTCATGCGACGGGAAAGATCGTTTATAATAAACGAGAAGACCCTCGTATGCAGGATACCAGAGCTGAGCCTCCACCGAAACCACCGGACCATTTGATGCACCTTTATTCACCAAAGGCTTCAGTGGTGGACATCGAAGTTCTTTTGAACGAAACAGGTACAGATATTCAGACATTCATTTCGACATTACATGAAAATTACATCCTCTCATGCAATGGTGGCACTTTCGAAGAAGTTTTCGATGGATGTTCCGACAGCTTATCAATCAGCGATGTACTCAATCCAGATTCTCGCCCATATCGACGGACTAACAACAGTCTCAATACAGGTATTGCTCAAGCAAACTTCCAAGCAGGAAGCTCCGATACCTTGAGACAGGATGAGATCAGCTTCCACGCTGCGACGCGTGGGTTATTGTTCAATCTGCCATATCCTGTCAATCGAGCAAACGTCCCAGGAGGCAAAAGGGGCGATAATTTCAAAATGTTCTATCCGCAAAGTCTGAGATTGTGGAAACCCACGGAAGAGATAGAGAGTCTGATCGAGATGTTTGCGCATGGTGCGGATGTCAATCACATGGAATCAAGGAAGATGGGCTCCGTCATTCCTGGTTTTGATGGCGGTGTGGCTAGTTGGCAGTCACGAACATTCATGGCATCTAATCGGGAAATGCACAACGATGAAGACGACCGTCAGGATGACAACGGCGAAACATCTTATCAACAAATGCGCTATAATAAAGATGTCCTCACCCTCGAATTCCTTCCCTACTTGACACGCATCAGATCGTCAAGAAGAGAAGACACCAAGCTCCTCGATCGGATCACGCATTTCAAACCAAATGCCTACCTCCCAAATCTGGCCGAAAGTGAAGAAAGCTTCGACAGCGAATTAGACGCCAAGGACGTGCTGTTACAGCCGAAGAAGCCTGGGTCTATGCTTTCCTCACCCTCTAGGAGAGGCACGACCGGCTCGTCCATCAGGCCTGGCACTGCTGCTAGTAGCACCTCAACTGCTGGAGCTGTTCCTGCGCCGCCGATTGAGAAATTGTATCTCGATGACGATGATATTGTGGATGACTGAGGCTGATGGCAGATGTGATGGAAGTGATGTAGCTGGCACTATGGAGCACCGCTCTATTTTCATTTCCATGGAGTGTTCTGTCTCAGATAGGACAGCCTAGCATTGTCGAGGCGTCTCGGTCCGGATGTGCTGCGCGTTTGTGTTCAAAGAGCGACTTAACGTTGAGCCAAGAAAGAAAACAATGATGGCTATATTAGTTACATAAGGACATGCATACATACCTCGGTAGACATGAATACCAAAGCTTCTCTATCTGTGTTTAAGAGGATGACGCCTTTTAGCTGTCTGAGGGAGAGAAGATCATTCTACTCATGTTGAAAAATTATTGACAACCTATTTCTGGCCTAGCACGCCTGCTGGCTTTTAGGGTCCTTGAATAACTGAGGCACTTCAAGTACCCGTGTATTCGAAGACTTGAACGCCTTGGATGTGACGGACTTTTTGGTCGACTTTCTCGTTCCAACTTGGAACATCTTAATTCACTCATGACAAAATGTGAAACATGTCAACGAATCGAAATTCTTTCCCCTTAGAGCGAGTTCGCCTATCCTACGCTTTGTAAAACTATCCTTCGGTAGGGGAATCAAAAAAGAATTCTCGGATTCTGATGCCTCTATTGCATCGATGAGGATAGCGTGGACTGGTAAGGAGTAAAAGAGTGAACCTGTTTCTCTCATGTGCTCTGGTTCGAGGGACATGGACACGCTCAGCAGCATTGACTTGTGCGCTGGCGCATTCCTATTCGCCAGAAACAGGCTACAAACATGCTCGGTTGCCTGATCAGACGCTCAGCCTGATGGAGTCGCTGGCCATTTACCGCACCTCATGAAAATCATCTCAACTCGATGTTGGGCCGCAGGAGCCTGACTTTCAGCATCAGAGTCCCTTCAAGCCATGGCAGATCCCCTGTCGATTGCAGCGAGTGCCGTTGCACTGACCAAATTAAGCCAAACTTGCGTGACACGACTACTGCACCTGATCAAACGCATGCAGACGGCGCCGGCCGACATCAAGGCTTTGTCGAACGAAGTGGCAGATCTCAATGTCTTCTTTGATGCCGTCCAAGTGCTGAGCCAGAACGTAGACGCTGATAGTGGTCAACAATTTAGGTTTCTTGCAACCGTTCCTCTGCTGCTCGAGCGAGCCAGGGCAGCCTTGTCGGAGCTGGAGGGATTATTGGAGGAGTTTACTTCGTATCCGAATGGCGCAAGAGCGAGATTGCAATGGATACGGCGGGGAGATACATTGCTGAGCCTCCGCAAAAGGTTCAAACAGATCAAAACGGAGCTGAACGGGGTGTTGACGTTGTCCACCGCAGCTGCCACGTACGTCCACGGTTCTCGTCTCTCCTTCTTACCCCTTTTGCCGTTGAGTGTCAGTTGGCCAACTCTTAGAAACAGTGCTCGAATTCCCAAAATTGAAATCCTGTTGGAAGGTAATGTAGCAAGTGGAGAGCTGGCGAAAAGTTTACTTCTAACTCAATTCCCAGATTTACACAATGCGCTCAACCTCGACGACAGGGCGGCGGGCACATCACAGAGCGTCGAGAGATTCTCTCCAGAGACTACCATTTTCATTCCAGTCAGCCGCAGTCGCCATTGCAAAGTCGTGTGTAACTGTCTCTGTCACTCTGCTGGAACGCATCGGACGCCTCCTTTCCTCAAGCGATTTATCGGTACGCTGTTCCTGGGCTACACCGGGTCGCCATTGTTTTCCGCTCAGTGCAACGTCAAGACTTGTCAGAACCCCCTCCAAGGATCCCTCGACATCATCTACTGCTTCCCGTTGTGGTATTGTCAACGAGCACTGAACATTTCAGTCTCGTCGTCGGTCTCGCTCGGCACCACGATCCGGTTTCACGTCAAGCGAAGAATCCCTTGGGGCGGAGGCCAGGATACTTTGTTGCGATTTGCACTAACGGGGAATATCGATGGCGCGAAATTGTTGATCGCAAGTCGAAATGCTTTGCTGACTGACGTCGACCCTAACCACGGACGTACAGCCTTACATGTAAGTACAGAATTAGTCAGTGACTAAATTGATTTTCTCTTCGGCTGACAAAAGCCTCGCAAAGTACGCCGTGCTTCGTAACAAAGTTGAAGTGTGTGAGCTCCTTCTCCTGGAGGGAGCCGATCCTCAACTACAAGATGATAGTGGCATGTAAGTATCAAGTCATTGCAACTAGATCCACCATGTTGATTTGCAACATCTTCAAAAAGAGAAGTGAAGCAGATAGACATCTCAACACAATGCATATTTCGAGGCCCAGCTAACATCATTCGGTGTTGGGGAAAAACAGATCTGCCTCGCAAAAAGCCTGGGAGCAGATCCTCTGCCAAAGAGGAAGCACAGCGGAAATCGAGGGGCTGAAGCGCCTGTTTCCCGGAAGCGAAGAGCTAGAAAACTACGGGTTCTCGTACATCCACAATGTCGTTCTGGACATTCTCCCCGCGAAGCTGGAAGCCGAGTTGCAGAACGTGCTCTACCGCAACCAAGTGCACGCAGTGGACCGCCTGAAGCGGACGGCCCTGCACTGGGCTGCAACCAGGGGCGATGAGCAGGCGGTGCGACATCTGGTGGAAGCCGGGTCGGACGTCAATGCTCGCGACGAATTCAACAGCACGGCGCTGACGCTGGCCGCGTCGACGGGCTCGGTGCGGATCCTGGAACTCCTGCTCCTGCACGGAGCCGACGTCCACGCCAGGACCTCGATCGGCAGCCAGGCCATGCACCACGCCTGTCGACACCAGAGCCTCGTGGCGCCCGTCGAGATCCTCTTGCAGGCCGGCGCGTCTCTGGACAGCACCAACAAGAACGGCCACTCGCCGCTGTGCGGCGCCGCCATCTCCAACCGCCATGACATCGGCGCGTTCCTCCTCGCCCGAGGCGTCGACATGCACGTCCGCAGCCTGCACGGCGACACGCCGCTCTTTGAGACCATCTTCCACAACAGCCATGAATTCCTGCAGCTGCTTCTGGCGCAGGGCGCCGACCACGGCGCCGTCAACAACGCAGGATCGACCGTTCTTCACGCGGCTGCGCTGGAGGCCGATACGCGGACCGTGGAAATCCTGCGCGCGGCGGGAATCCAGTGGACCCTTCAGTCTTCCCGTCGAGATCGAAGTGGCGCCACCGCCCTCGAGATTGCCCGCCGTCGAGTCAAACCTCCCCTGGGATTTCTGGACGCTTTTGAGCAGATCTTGGATCCTGTCTGATACGATTGGCTGTGACGCAATCACCATCTTAGAGACTGTCAGGACTGAAAAGGTCAAACGGGCGATTTTCGGTCTACTCAAATGCCAATAGCCCGTCGAGAAACACCAGAGTCGACATGGGCTAGCGGGGACGAGAGACAACCAAGGTGGTAGGTGAAGATAGCGAGACCGGGCAAGGCTGAATTTAATTTTGATGGCCATGGCAATCTTGGATATTTCTGAGGTCTTTCAAAACCGCAGATCACTATATCATTTTGCTACTGTCGAGATACTATTCTGCGTCGTATTGGCAGATTGTTGCCCCAGGTCTTGGTGATGCCTTCCATGCAGGAACCTCTACTTGATAACCAGCACATGTTTTGGCCATTTCCCATGTACCCAGCCAGTCCTAATTATGCACCTCTGCAACGAGATCATCCCAGCATGAGTGTTCATAGCTCAGTAGGTATCGTTTCCGGTTGCACAAACCACCCATCCTCCCTGATGCGAAAGAAAAAACTGACTGCAGTTGCGGCAAATAAACCAGCACACAGACCTGAAGTGCCCCACTTGTCATAATAGCGACTGATGCTTGCCCTCCGTTTCCTAATCATCTGGACTCTCAACCAATATATCACTACACTATAGATCAGGGCGGCACATGCAACGATCGTAAAGCCCCAAGCCGAGTACAAAGAGACACTGTCACCGAAATTGAGCAAGGTTGCTGCGATTGAACCAAGGATGATGCTGAACTCGAGCCAACTGAGGAAGGTGCGCTCCGCGGCGAAGTAGACTTTAGGTTCAACACGGACGGGAACGTGGATACGCTTTCCCTTGGGTGCTTTGAACCTTTTGACTGTGGCAATTGGACCACCTTGTGGATTGACGCCCCCAATACTTCCGTTTTGGGGGAGACGGGTGGTTGTTGGGAGTGAGATCTTGTGTAGAGCATTGAAGAACACCTCTGTACCCTGTTGGACATGATGTTTCAGTACGAGAGGGTAGAATTTCCATGAGCCAGATCGTCGAGCCTCCTCGAGCTCGTCAGTAGATCTGTCATCATCATCGTCTGAATCGTAGATGTATTCATCATCCGCCAGTGGCAAGGCGGAAACGCGTTCTTCCTCATCCAATGAATTTCTGGCTGCAGCCTGCTGATCACGCTCGTCATCCCGTTGTTGAGCGCGACTATGCTCGTCCAAGGCGCGTCGAGCAGCATTCAATCTTCGAGTGGCTTCATCACCACCCCCACCCTCATTCGATCCGTTTGCATGTGGGGTTGTCCTGCCCGTTGATTGACCGCCTTCCAACTCTTCTTCATCATCGTCATCCGAGTCGTCGACATCACTAGTGGAGTAGCTTGCTGTGTTGGCAGGTCTCTCGATACCGAAACGATGAGTAATGGGTTTCCGAATATCCACATCCATCTGGGGCATCCAGAAAGGAAGAAGGTCTATCCTTCTAGGGAACATGGTGGCAGTGCCGTGGATGAACTTTGAAAACTTGGGAACTGCTTCGACCAAATGGCTGGCAGTTAGGTCACGGACCCATTGAGGGGGTTCTTGGCCGGCCTGTGTTTGTAGCTTGACCTCGAGTACAGCGTATGGAAAGAGTTCGACATCCTCGGGAGGTAGTTGCGAAAAGGGCCAATCAATCCCGATATCCATGCGTCTCCAGTTGTCTCCGGCTCTCTTTCTGCCGTCCAGGTTATCTTCTCGAGTCATGGTCAATTCAGTATCGAGAGAGATACGGACGCGAGCATCACCCGGAAGCTGAAAGGCAGTTCTGTGGTAGAATGATCTGGTGACAGGTACCAATCTGCGAGTGATGACTCGATACTGGATCTCTCGAGCGAGTTGTTCGAGATCCTCGATTTCCTTGATGCTTTTCTTTCCTTCCTTTCGCATTTTGGCAAAGGCTTCCTCGACGGTAAATTTACCAGTCATGAAAGCATTGACATTCTTTTCTTTGAGGGTGAATCTTGCTTTGACAGACTTCTCACCCGTCCAATCTTCACGGTGAGTCTTCCTCTCCACGAAAATAGTCTCATTTTCCATGCCTCCATACCAACGTAGACGGATTGCCTCGGCACCTTCGGTCTTCTTCAGACGACCCTCATACAATTCCCAAGTGTCTGTGTTGTCATAGTATATGGAGGAAATGGCCGAATCCTTCTCTTCAAACTCCTTACTAGCGTTAAAAACCAAGACGGGTAAATGCTTGAGAATGATGAGCTTCAACTCGGTGATGTTGTCTGGATGGACCCAGTATTTTGTGGTTTGGCGCACAAAGTTTTGTTGACCACCTCCGGCCGCACTGTCGCCTTTGACGGGGTTGCCTCGGGTACGGACCAGATCGTAGAGCTTGGAGAGAGTGACGATGAATGCGTCGTAGTTATCTTGGAAGAAGGGTTTGGCTTTCAGTCTGGTAGCAAAAGAGGGACGTAGGTAGACATTTGTCTGCTTGTCATGCTTCTTGACGATTTTCTGGAAGCCAGTATAATTCAGCTGAGTATACCTTGCCAAATCATGAACATCGGCGATAATATCGCTCAGATCGATCTCCAAAAGCTCAAAGTCGGACTCGAGGTCATCGTCGGTTTCCGCATCTCTATTGTTTTGTTGAGCCTGGCGCTGGACGACCTGTGTGACCTCTGCCTCACTCGCCCTTATGCGAGAGACTATTTCCTGGCTCTTGAGTTTCTGGAAGGTGAAAACCTTGTCTAGTTCGGCCTCGAGTTGGTGAATGAAGGCGGCTTCATCGTCGTCTGTCCATGGTTCTCGCTCGCCGCTCTTGCCCGAGATGTAGGGCTTTTTTAGGGCATCTTTCAGTTCATCGTAGGATATGTAGTGCCAGTAGTAGTCCTTGATAAGGGACTGGCGAAGTTGTTGACCGAATCTGCGAGGGAAGCAAGAGACCTTGTAAGTAAGGCACCATATGAAGAGTGGGGGATTGTTTTGGTGGAAACGCACTTCATATTGGTGGAAATCGAGTCCGCAATCACAGCATAGCGCGGGTATGCTCGGACGGGCAGGACTTTGGCAGTTCAATGCCACTGGGGAGCTTCAAGAAGGATCACTGTGTTTTAAAAGAAAATACAATGTGTAGGATGTAAAATGAAAAGCCAGAAAAATGAATAACAGTCAGGGTTCAAATTCGTCGAGCTTTGAGCTCATTCCAGTTGGCAGATGCGAGTGCTGCTCTGCTCTTGCTGATAGAGTGTGCTCGTAACTGGGCAGTCGCTCCTGCCCCCCAGCGCCCTCGATTTTTTTGGACTGCTCTTTCCTTGTTGACGATTCATGTCCAATGGGAGCGGTTACTGGGGAACGTGCGCGTGCTCGATATCGTTAGACTCTTGTTAATTGCTCCCTAACAAACTTTAACTGGTGGCACCTGGAAAGTAGCGATGACTAGTAACTGATTGCTGGTTAGTCGATTACTCAGGTACCGAGGGAACCTCTGTGGGCACTGTGGGCACCTCCATTCAGTAACAATAAGAACTTGCAAGTACGGACATGTCAAACATTACCTTGTTCTTTCTTTTTATTCTGTTAATACTACCTACGTATGATTTTGCAGTCATTTGTCAATATCAATGATTTGATGGCAGCGGCCGAGGCCTCTCCCAGGTCGCGTGTGGGGATATCACACCAAAACCTTTAACTGGAAATCACCCCGCTTTTCGCCTGGACATTACATCCTTCCACTGGCACTCACTCATCTCTTCTTTATCCCGGGTCTCGTAAAGTACATACCCATGCCAGGACAGTGCTTGCAGGTGTCTTGTAGAGTCCAATGGGGCCGAGTGCTCATATACACCTCCACACAGGCATTGGTGGTGGTGTGATGGAAATGGACAATCCTCTTGGGATGATACTTTAGGTGCTTGGGTCCGCCATACTGAAGCTCTTATGGGTTGATACATACCCAGGCAGGTACCCAAGTTACAGGTAAGTACCTAGGTTGGTACCTACTTAAGAGGTATCTTTGGTGAGGCTGATTCCGTGGTCATTTCTCTGGCTTGGACGGATAATAAGCAACGTCTTCTCCGATTCCCCGCTTCCACCTCCATCTCAACCTGGAACCACATACACATTATCACATAGGGCGATCCCAAATTGACCTATTACTATCCTCTCCAATGTGAAGTGGTACTGTCACATTATCATCGTCAAATATTAGTCACAGACACCCGCATGCGAAATCTTCAGCATCACTCAGTCCCGTTCTCGGCTTATTACAGGCCATCGTTGTCCTCACCAGGCAACCGCACTAACCTCAAGGCAGCCTGCTACTAACCACTGGCACTACTACGAGTACAGCCCACGTCTATCCCTTACATTCAAGTTCTGTCACCCACCAGACCAGAGAAGGCTGTGCCTCATTATCATTGCCATGCACTCGCCACTTTCGAGTCCTGCCTCTTGAATTCAACAAAAAACTCATCTCATTCCCTTCCCATCTCCATCAACATTGGATGTCCCGTTGACCGCTTCGAACCCTGCAATTGCAATGACTTCATCCAATCCTCACGCTCCAGATCACATTCCAGATCGCCCACCACCTGAACTACCAAACGAGATATTCCTTCAAATCATTCAGAGATGTCCTCGCCCAACTTTGAAGAATGTGCGCCTGACTTCCAAGAATCTGGCCCAAATGGCTGAACCGTACCTTTGGAGCCAAGTGGTCATCGTCCCCAACGAGAGTTGCGTTCTCGGCTTCAGCGAGGGCTTGAAGCACTCAAAAGTCACTCGACATGTCACGAAACTAGTCTACGATGCTCGTTTCGGCGGTTTTTCCACCCATCTCAAATCCTACCCACCCGATCCTGGTTTGATCGGCGTCGACGAGGATAAGGCTCAGATCGAGGCTGTACTCGATCGTGTATCTCAGGGTCGCTTCAATGCCTACGATGACATGTCTTTCGAAGTCGTCATGTTATCCAAGGTTTTGAGACTTCTTCCCAATCTGCAAGAGATCCGAGTTCGTGACTACGACGAGGCCTCAAATGCCACGATTACAAAGGTCCCCCAGTTCTATCGGAAGCTATGTAGACTATCCAAAGTGGATCCCGACACCGTCGATTTCGCAAAGATGAATGGTGGCAGTGGTCGTTCCTATACCAAGGGTATCATGACGGCTGTCTTTTCCACTGATTTACACATTCAGAGCTTCAAGTCCAAAAATCTCGATGCTCGTTGCTTCTTTGGCCAAGGCAATGCTTCGATGAAGTCTTCTGGCGCCAACCAACAACTTCGCATATTCCAGGCTGTCGTGCGTCATCTTCGTGTCCTTGACCTCTCTTTCAGAAATGGAACCCTCATGTCCACGGCGAGCCACATCGAGTGTCTCCAAATCATTTTGAAGTCATGTAGAAAGCTCAAGGAATTAACCCTATCCTTGACCGACTACACCACCACCCGCTATCAGTATCCCGACGATGAGCTCACCTCTGAGTTGTCCATCCTACTGGAAAGTTCCACCGGCTCTTGGATGGCTCAACCATTACTTCCCCGATTGGAAAGTCTCAAAATCGATGCTTGTATCTGTCACTCGGAAGACCTTATTCATTTCCTCAAGATCCATGCTACGACGTTACGGAAACTAGAGATGTCCGATATTACCCTTCTGGGAGGCGACGACCGTCGAGAGTGCTGGGTTTCATTGATCAAATATTTCAAGACTCATTTAAACTTATCACATGTGTCGTTCAACGGTTGGCTCACAAACGGCGGACGTCAACATTGGTTCGTGGCCAAAGACAACATCTGCGAGGATCGCCTCAAAGCCAAGGTCGAGAAATACATCACCGATAAGCGAATCTCAGTCTGTCCACTTGAACCACTTGCGATCCAGGTCAACCAGAGTGATGTCGTGAAACCGGCCAATGGTAAAGAATGGGAAGGAGACATCACATGGACGATGGTCTACAGCAGCCGGTTTGGAGGCGACCCAATGGACTGGCAATTGACTGTTCCTGTCTTTGGAGCCCCGTCCACTGGCGATTCCGACCCGTCAACAGCAGACGAGGACGACATCCATTCAGTGAGCAGTGAACTCTCACCCGAGACTTGGAACGAAGATGCTTCTGGACCATTGCCTAGCACGGAGATAGATATGGCCGAGCTGCTTGGAAAAGTAATTCCAAAGGTGAAGAATGGAGTCCCTCTCGCGGATGCTTTTGCAGAGATTGGAGTAAAATGGCACCCCCACTTGGCCGCGGCTGTGTCCAAATATCTGAAGAAAAAGCAATCATTCGACGCTTGGGACGGTTGGGCTCCTTCACCCCCTACTAACACCATGAACAACGACCATTTCAACCTCTCCTTCGATATACTTGATCCGGGGCCAGCGGAGGTAGTCTCTGTCGTGGATGCCGCCCTCGAATTCGACACGAACGAGCCCCCTGGGGCGGCGAGCATGTTCAAATACTTGAAGAAGAAGAAGAAGAAATCATCATATACCTACGCGCAAAGCCTTCCGCCATCGGGCCCGCCCGCAGCTCCAGCGACTGCATGGAGCTTTCCTCTTGTCGAGCCACCGAAGTTCGTTCCTGTCGAGTCTCAGCAGCCAAAATTTCCGCCCATCATTTAGTGGCTGTTGAAAAAAATTCAGATCACTCTCTTCATTCCGAATGGCGGGAGTACTTAGGTGCCTGAAATCCTCAACAACAAACTCGTCACACCGGCATCAGCACTTTAGAGGAGCAAGAGTACTCTCAACCCAGGACATCGCCCGATCAGCAACTTACGCTTTGGGTGGAGAATGTGAGCCGGTTGACCAGACGCCAAAAAAGGGATTGCCTGATGATCAGCGATCCAGAGTGCAGTTTCAAAAGAATCAACCAGGCCTTCATGAAGGAAGCACGAAGTCACCACGCAATAAGCAAATTGTCACGAGTATACGGACCATGTTGATTCCCAAGATCAACATGAGAATGTGAGGATATATCATGAGCAAAACAAAATGAGATACCATCTTGATGGAAACACATCAACCAAAGAATCGAATTTCAGCAAGCGACAGGGCAGTGTGTTTGGAGTTCAGGGGGAAAAGACGTTTTTTACATACAAGCAAGGCAGAGGAGCGACCATCACGAAATTGTACAAATCGGGGGGAAATGGAAAATGAATCAGACACTTGGGCGTGTGTGGGCGTATTATAATTTCTTCAAATCCAGTAGGCTGCTTAAGCTCATGGCAAGAATCATGGAGAATGTGAATTCTGCGGCTTTGGATGATACTGTTCTCGTTTCTTTTTTTCTCTTTAATGTTTAATCGGTCGTCTTCCTTCTTTACTCGAGGAAGTCGGATCTTTAATATTTACAAGATGCTATAGAAGAGGTATTTGCGTTCCAGGACAACTAACGGTCTAGGACCAATCGACTCTTCTCACCCGCGTCGGTGCCTCCATTTCGACCCAAGATGCCTCGTACAACTCGAGACTCACGGTCTCCACAGGAGATACGCAGCACCCCCACAATTGAAGTCCTTCCGTTAACACGCTCAAATCGCACCATCCGCCCTCAACACATCCTTGATGTGGTACGGCTCCCCGAGTAAGCTGGTCTTGCCCTTCCGCGGCTCGCACGTCTCTCTCTGATGGCCCTCGTAGACCTGGGGACCGGGGCGTGGTAACTTGCCCAAATCATAGCCGCTGACCGTGACACTATCCTTCAGGGCCTGCAACAACTGCACGGTCGTCTCGGGCGTCAAATCCTCATAGTAGTCATCGTTGATCTGCACCATAGGGGCATTGACACAGGCACCCAGGCATTCGACCTCGAGCAAGCTGAAGACCTTGTCGTCGGTCATCTGGCCGCTGTGGATGCCCATGAAGTCCTCGCAGGCCTTCATGATCTTGTCGCTGCCGCAGCCGCCCAGCATGCACGGCGTTGTCGTGCACACCTGCACAAAGTACTTGCCCACCGGCGTTCGATTGTACATGGTGTAGAACGTCGCCACCTCGTACACTCGCATTGGTGGCATTTCCAGCAATCGGCCCACCTCGTTCATCACCGAGATCGACGTGAACCCGTGCTGCCGCTGCCCCAGGTCCAGCAGCGGCATCACCGCTGCTTTCTTGTATTGCGGTGGGTATCGTTTGAGGATCTCGTCGATCAGGCGCAAGTTGGTCTCGTTGAATTTGAAGGGGATCGAGGGGTTGTTGTATGAGGTGTCTCGGTGCTGTTCAAGCTCTTTGTTAGACTCCACGGCGTCGTTTCTCACGTATTGGAACGAGATATTGGACCTACCACTGAGAGAGTTTCGCTCCTTGATACGGGCGTCGAGGAGAACTGTCTGGGGTGGAATAGTTGTCGTTTGGGGGCTTTGGTTGCACTTCGAGATGCGGCGCGCACCAGCTGAGGCACGAGTTTCGAGGCCATGACGGGCTTCAGGGCGAGTTCCTCTCGCAGTTGTCCCAATTCCAAGTCGTCACTTTTGTTTGATGCTGCGAATCATTCAATGCAGTATGTAGACAGCTCCCTCGCCAATCAGCGTGGGTGGAATGTCAGTGGACAGGTTGGGGAAGGTGTGGCGAGTGTATGAGAGGTCCGCCGTAGAAAGTGCATATCGTACCCGCATGATCGACACGAGATCTTTTGGCGCAGACTGAACTCCGCATGTGCACTGTATCTGAGGGCGGTTTCTCCACGCTGGCTTCATTCAATTACAAGTCAAGCACGACCTCTCGTCACCCAAAGCCTCAACGATGAGGCTCTCATCCGTGGTAGGCACGGTCGTCGGCCTATTATCCAGCCTCACAATAGCCGAGTCAAACCTCACCGCCCGAGCGCAGACGGAGCAGAAACTCCTCAACAGCGACTTCAAGCCCGCACCCGTCTTCGAGAACACCAATGTCGTCAGGACGATCAACCTCGAGAAGGGCTATGTGCGGGAAACTGTGAATGTTGTTGTCACAAATGCGGATAAGGCGCCTCAGTCGGATTACTACGTGCCTTTCGAATATGCTCTGATAGGCAAGATCAGTGGCTTTGATGTCCGGGACAAGGCAAAGACTGAACAGGGGCCTTTGGACTCAAGTATAGCCGCTCTGTCCGGCGTGCTTGGTGTCGATGGACAGCCTTCATAGTAAGTGCAGTCTCCGTCTGCCATGGTCCGTTAAAAGTTCTAGGGTGCTAATTCGGAATAGTCCTACTCAATACTATGTCATACATTTCCCCGAACCTCTTGCACCAAAGTCCAAAATCACCCTACAGATATCTTATAACATCCTCGGCGCATTGGCAGCCCTCCCAGCCTCCATCAAGCAAGACGAAAAGCAATATCTTGCTTACGACTTCTCGGCCTATTTGCCTTCCGTCTACAGAACCCTGAAGCAGAAGACCAAGGTCAAATTCCCCTCCTCGGATGTCCCTGAATACACAAAGACCGAAGGTTTGACATCTTGGGCGGATCCTGAAAAGCAAGGCTCGTCGTTCACTTACGGAACCTACGATACCGCAAAGACCCCAGCAGGAACAACTTATCCCATCAGCGTTCGTTACGAGTTCAACAAACCACTTCTGGTTGCCAGTCTGTTGGAAAGAGACGTAGAAGTTTCACACTGGGGCGGCAACTTGGCGACTGAAGAGAGATACTGGCTGAGACACGATGGTGCTGCGCTCGCAAATCACTTCTCCCGCGTAACATGGAGCACGCAGAGCTTCTATATCAATGCTGGACAGGGTTCAACCTCCGCATTGAGAGAATTGAAAGTCCCCTTGAGACCAGGAAGTGTGGATCCATATTTCACAGACGACATCGGCAACGTTTCGACATCCCGATTCAGACCAAACAATGTGCGCGAGGCCAGCCTCGAATTGAAACCAAGATATCCGCTGTTCGGTGGATGGAAATACAGTTTCCGAATTGGCTGGAATAATGCCCTATCATCATCTCTACGCAAACTCAAAACTGGCAGCGATACTTACATTCTGTCAGTGCCTCTCATCGAAGGTCCGAGACTACAAGAAGGCATTCAGTACGAACGCCTGGTATTCTCAGTCATCCTGCCTGAAGGAGCCACGAATGTGAACTACCAAACCCACGGCGGATTTGGAGTACCAACTCTTCACGCCGAGCAAACACTGCACAACACGTTTATGGATACCCTCGGTCGAACAAAATTGACACTGACGGCTAACAATGTCGTCGATGAGGCAAGGGACGTCACCGTGCTGGTCACGTATGATTATCCCTTCGCGGCAGCTTTCAGGAAACCCTTGACGATATTTGCCGGAGCGGCTGTTGTTTTTGTGGTCGTGTGGGCCATCAGTGCTGTTGATACGAGTATCGGGAAGAAGAGGTGATGGTTGGAGAGGGCATGCTCTGGTGAGCAAAGTTCGTGTTACCTTTTACCTCCTTCTCACTGATATGTAGAAATATTCCTGGTAACAAAATTAGTTAGCGGGATAAGAAATGATCGAAAAAGCATTATCATTACTCTTCAAAAGGATAAGATGGATCCCTCCGAGCTGAATTCCTCCCTATGGCTCAATTTTGGCAGGATAGACCTTCAATCGTGGCTTCCTCATCAACGGGGGCGGCCACTTCCTTCTCTGAGTGTATCCTGTACCTGCCTCAGTTAGCACCCAACTTGGATCTTACTCCTCTCAAGTTCTGAGTTTGTCTCTCTTGAGCACTGACACCCTCCCCAACATCAAACTGTTGTCAACCATGTTCAAGTTCTTCTTTGCCCTCAGCACATTCTTGTGTTTCTCCCTCGCCGTTGGTCCAGCTCAAGTCCCCTTGTTCAAGATTCCCGCAGCCTTGAACCCTCAGTTGACCAATATCTTGGATAATGACACCATCACGCTCTACTACAATGGCTCTGGCCCAGTTCCAGGCTATGATGAACTGTCCCCCCTCCCAGAACCTATCACTCCTCTCAATCAGTCCATGATCGAAGATTCATTCTTTGATGAACTGATGGCAATCCTCCCTTCCACGGCCTATCCAGATCCTTGTACAAAGTGTATTGCTGCTGGACAACTGATGCATGTTGTTGCCATCAGCGAGCCTGTGGACACGGTAACCAATCTTCTCGTTCGAGTCTGCAACACGCTCGATTTCTTTAGAGACAGCATTCGATCTTCATCATGTGAAGCACAGTTTGGCAGTCCTGGTCAATTCGGTCCTCACCTCGCACAACTGTTCTCCAAGATGAGTCTTACAACAGGTGATTACCAGGCAATATGTTCGATCAAGAAATTTGGTTTGTGTGAAGAGCAGCCACCGCTCGAGATAGATGAAGACCTCTTTTTTGAGCCAAAACCCAAACACGCCGATACAGCACCAGAGCCCTCCGGAGAGATAATCAATGTCCTACATCTGTCAGACTTTCATCTTGATCCACGCTTCGACATCGGCTCTGAGGGAAACTGCTCACAAAAGCTATGCTGTCGACCCTATTCAAACAATGTCGAGCTGGAAACTGATTGGACAAACCCTTCAATCCCAGCATCACGATTCGGTTCCTACTCTTGTGATTCGCCCCCTGATCTTGCCCTGTCAGCCTTCACTAGCATGTCTGAGTTTTTCGACATAAACAAATTGGCCTTCACCATTTTCACAGGAGACACTGTTTCTCATGATCGTGATGATACACTATCAATGCCCTATGTTTCATATTCGGAAGAAACTGCATACCACATCTTCAAACAATATCTGGGTGACACACCAGTCTATGCCACTCTTGGAAACCATGAGACCATTCACAAAGACTTTGTTCCCCAGCATGTTCTCAATCCAGACCCGACGAACACGAGTACCAATGCTCTTGCATGGAATTATGATCTTCTTTCCTCTCTTTGGGAAAAGAACGAATGGTTGAATACCACCGAAGCCGCGTGGGCAAAAACACATTATGGTGTTTACGCCACGACAACGGCTCAAGGACTACGCGTTATTTCTCTCAACTCGGATTTCTGGTATAGGGTCAATGTTTTCAACTATTGGAATATCAGCAATCCAGACCCTACGGGTATGTTTCGCTGGCTTTCCGACGAACTTACCAGATGCGAAAAACATGGTCAAAGAGCTTGGATCATTGCCCATGCTCTTACGGGCCATGATGGTACCGCAGCGTTGCCAAATCCTAGTGCCTTGTTTCACTCCATTGTGCGACGGTTCTCACCTGGCACTATTGCAGCAATTTTCTTCGGCCACACTCATTTGGACCAATTTCAGATTTTCTACGACTACTTGCCCGACTCAATCGACTTCCTTTCAGGAAAACGAGACACTACCAAGGTTGACTTCTCTCGACCACTTGTAGTTGGTCATGTCGGACCAAGCGTGACGCCGTTGACAGGTTTGAACGCTGGCTACAGAGTCTACCAGGTCGATAACAAGACATTCGAGGTACTTGGAGCGCAAACATACTTCGCCAACATCTCCAATTCACTCAAGTGGACGATGCCCGTCTGGGAGCTCGAGTATGATGCTCGGAGTGCATACTCCATTGTCGATAAGAGCCCATTCGGCCAGAACCCTGGTGTAGCTCGACCAGTGAACCACGGACATAAACCTCGTGGATCATGGTCTATCGATGACGATCTTCCCGGCTACAATCCTCGTGTGCCGTGGCCTATCGACTCACCGCTGAACGCAACATTTTGGCATCGAGTCACCGAGTCCATGCTCGAGGATTCCGATTCTCCTCAATCACTGCTCAAGCTCTATAATCATTACGAAACAAAATCCACTTCATCAGCATTTCATCGCGGATTTGTTGCCGTCTCTGCCGAGCAGAAAGTGTGCTTCTTGAGAGCTGGAACGAGTGCGGATGGAACGCGCTGCCGCAAGTTTTATGGTGGGGACGATGGGGACGATGATGATGGTGATGACGATGACCCTCTCTTCGCTCATTTTGGAACACATCGAACTCTTGTGTAGGAAGTTGCTCCGAGTTAAAGTGAAAGTGAAAGTGAAAGCAGAGAAGCAGACTCAATGCCCACCTATGGGCACATACTTTTATGATGGATGTTAAGCATAGGTAGATACCAGAATTGCGGGTCCTCGCCTATTATCTTATGAAGTAGATACAATACTATGAATACACAAATTCATGGAATTGCTCGCAGTCCAAAATCACCGCTCGCTATAAACTATCAATCGTACACTAAAGTTGTCCGTTGTTGTCGTCGTCAATCAATCAATGTTCACAATTTCTTCCTCTGCATTCATTAGAGCATACCAGTGGAGAGTGACACTTGTGTCTCGGCCATGGCTTGTTGCAAGAGCAGCTCAAACAGTCAGGCATTTTGGTCGAAAACAAGCAAATCAACATAACAGATCATATCAGCATCCTGATGAGCAAACTCTCCCCGTCAGAGCTGTCACCCAGCGTACATCAGAATTCGTGTGATCAACCAACTGTGTCTTTCAGTCAATACATTAGTAGACCCTGTAGTCGTTGAGCACGGCGGGCGTCCAGGGTTAGAGATAGCGTTCGTGATCATGGTTAACATGGATTCCGTTTCCGCTATGCACTGGGCGTGGTGTGCCACTCCCCGCTTCGAAAGCCTCCCCCCTCCTTGCAACAACACCACATGTCAAAAAAAAAACCCCCATCACGGCTTCTTTGCTCTCCGCGCCACGAGCTCCCTCGCCGTCTGCGTCAGACTGATGCTGCCGAACAGCCACTCGTCGCCGTGTCGGCCGTAGCCGCCGGGGCTGGAGCCGCTGCTGTTGCGGGGTTTCTTCTGGATCCAGCTGTCGCGCCTTTGGGCGTCGCTGTTGGATAGGAGAGGTGGTGGTGGGGAGGAGGGTGACGATAGGGGTGGTGAGAGTGATGACGGCGAGGGAGAGTCTGGTGGGAGGTTCGCCGTCGTGAGACTGGGGATTGCGCTTTCGGATTGGTGTCGTCTTTGGTGGCGCTGTGAGGAGGAGGAGGAGGAGGATGGGTGTGGTGGGTGAGAGGGGTTGGGTTGGGTTTGTGTGTGGTGTAAGGGGGTGGTGGATGAGGTGGAGATGGTGCTGTTTCTTGAGAGGGTTGAGATTTCGGATGGGGCTGGAGGAGGGGGTGGTCTTTGAATCTTGGATTTGGATCTGGGTTTTGATTTGGAGGAGAAGAATGGGAAGGAGTGGTGTTGTTCTCGGGTTGTGGTGGGCGACGTGGAGGATTGTGGGCTGAGAGATGATAGTGTCGTGGATGGTGAGAGCATTGGTGGGCTTGAACTGATGCTGTATCCGTATTCGGGATCTGCTGCTGCTGGGGGAGTGGCAGCTGGCGCTGATGATATGGATTGAGGATTCATCTTGTTGGATATAGGTACTGGGGTATCAGGTCGCGACAGGGTTCAAGATTCTTCCGTTGAGGACGTCCAGACAAACTTATATAAAATGGTGTTAATGGTGTTTAATCAATATTAGTCAGAGTCTGTGAAATGGATCGACGTCTGGCTCCACGCGAGATGCAATCTGCGATGCCAGGGAGTTGATATTCTCTTCGCAGAAGATAGCTTATTCTTTCATTTTTGAGAATGAGGTTGAGGTTGAGGTTGATATTCAACTAGTCAGTTGAGCCGCAGAGGGAGCAATGCAGGACCTTGTCAGCTTATCTGCAAGATCCCTCATGCTTATGACCTCAAGCACATCAAGTCTCAACACACCTACTGGGAGGTTCATGGAAAGCGGCGTGCAATTGCCAAGTGTATCCAGGCCATGTATTGGCATTGGCAAAGAATCCGATGTGTTGACTGGTGATAGACAGCGGATGAACAAGAACTTACCTGTAGACAGCAAGCGGGGGTTTTGCAAAAGTCCAGGATCTGGTTCCAGCTGCTTGATCATTGTTTAGAATAGGTCCAATTGAATGATGCCACACTTTGTGCCATTAGACCTGAATTTGTCGAAGGGTCTGACCGGTCGAGGGTCGCAAATACGAGCTTGGAATCAAATGGCTGAGAGGCGTTGGTAAAGATTTCAACTTCGGCACGTTCCACCGAAGCGGCACTCGTGACCTGGAAATGTCCCAGGGGATGGCACCCCCACTGGCACTGGCACCTGACGTTCAGCCTCCATTGCAATCAAAACACTGAGCAGATTCAGCATTGCACTGAGTCTTTGGATGGAAAGGAAGGAAAGCAATAAGGGTCCTAGCCAAGTCCTTCTATTTGTTCGGCTGAAAACCACCTTTGTCCAACGACTCCGGTCTTGAGATTGCACATCATCACATAACTAGAGTTTCCACTGGACCTGCTAGTTGAGCTCCCCATCCCGGATGGTTTTACGAGGTTGGCTCGCAGCTTACCGAGTCCCTCACTGCCTGTCCCAGATCTTAAAGAGAGCCCTGAGGCATCTGATAAGTTAACTGGGCTGACCGGCTCTAGTTAGGTCGTTAGCTGCTTGCCCAGGCGGGAGCTTTAAACCAGGCGTCCAAGATTATCAGCCTAGCAGCCTTGCTCTTGATGTCCACTGATGCCTGAAACACTAAACCAACACCTTGGTTAACTAACTAGCTTACCCAAATTCAGCCTCGATTGTCGTTTTTCAGAGCTTGTCCATGTCGGACAAAGCAACCTGGGAACTATCTCCAGCAGCAATTACCAAGTCATATACTTATTTGAAGAAACAGTCTCGTAATACAGGACCGAGAACCACAACTGCAGTCATGCTTTGATAATGGTGAATGGATCTTGAATCTGTGCAATGCGTGACAGAACGCACACCAGACAGTCTTGTTACGCAACAAAGCTCAGAATCGTCAATCGAACAAGACACTGGGTATCCGGTCCCCACCATCGATCAATCCCACGATGTAGCTTTGGTCACAAAACTTCTCAACCGAACTCGCGACTGTCATGGCGTCTGTAGCGAGAATATCTTGCTCTGGGGCTTACCCGGCTGCGGAAAGCGTCGCATTGCGAGGCAAGCCGCCTTGGAATTCTCAAGGTCCGCGAATTGCAAAGTCCTGTTCATCGACGGTCGCACTCATGAAACTTTCCTGAGAGACTATAGAGATGCTTATATCACCATGACCGGCGACACCCTACCTCAGGGCTTGGCCGTCGAAGCTCTTCTGCTCAAGATCAGAATTGCTCTTGAGTCATGTCGACAGGATTGGCTTATGGTTATATTTGATCTCCAATTCTATCTCGAGGATGGAAATGATCACCTTCCTGGCGGGCCCGATTCCGCACCGACATCGTTCCTTCCAGAAAGGTCGAGGATTATGGTGACGTCCTCGTACGTCGTCGCATCTCTACTCGGAAGCGTCGATCAAGACGTGGCTATGATCTGTGGTTTGAAATTTGCTCGCTGGGCGACTTGTCTCCATGTTGTTGGCGTCGATGAAACCAAAGCCATTCGTTATCTCCAAGATTCTGGTGTTGATGCCAGTGACATTTCGGCCATCGAGCGCCATGGACGCTCCTCCACATTTTCCATACCACCTCTTCGACTTGCCTTGGTGTCCGCTTCAATGAGATTACTAGGAATGAATTCAAGTCAGTTTCGTCGATTATTAGAAAAGAAATCTACAAGGACTCCAACACCTTCATGGCCAGGTTCCAGTGGTATCTTCTCGGCAACCATGTCGGTGCTGTGGAACGCCATTAATGATTACGAGCCCCTGGCTGGTCGTATCCTGGCTATTGTATCCATCGTGGATCGACTACACCTTCCAATCTCTCTGCTGGCAAAGTTTCCTGAATTTCAGACGCTTGACGAAGACGATTTCTCTTGCGCGATCAATACCTTGGTACTCTCTGGACTCGTTGAGATACACCACAAATTTGGTCATCGGACAATCAATATCCCTCTAACAATCTATCGTTGGGTGCAATTGCGATTGAGAGCCGTTGAGGATGACGATGAATATGGTGGCATAATGAGGGCCTGGGAAGTCATATTTACCGAATATCTAACAATACCAGACATGGAACATGCACCAGGAGCATCCTATTTCTCCACTGAAAGATTTTGGCCTCTGATTGGACATGTAACCTCATTATGCAACTTTAAGCCTGCAAATCTCCGCGTGGTTTGCAGTTTCAGTTATATGAGATTTTTGGAACAAGTTTCACTGGTCCTCATCGAGGATGGGATACTTTTTAATCAAGGACTAGTGGCGATTACCCATGCTTTGGATATGTGCGCCTTGCTCATGAGTCAGCTCAGATCCCACAGCGGAAACCTCAGATTACATCGATACTATGTTTCCATGTTGCAGACTCGATCTCTCGCCTTTTCAAAAGCCTTGAAATTCGTCGAGGCAAAAGCCGAACTTAGGGAAGCCGAGAGATATTTGACTCACCATCTCAGCACAGACTCATGCTACGCAGATCAAAGGCGCCGGATCGATGATGCGAAGGCTCATCTTTCCATCATACAACAGGATTTTCCCGAGGCACTGCGACTTCTCAACCCTTTGATTTCATCCTCGGATGAACTAGAAGACTCATTTGTTGCTGCACAAAGACACTTCTGGCTGACTGCTTACAAGATTTCGATCAAGGCAGATGTCGCGGCATTGAGGCATTCACACGAAGCAATGAAATATTGGGTGGCTTTGCCAGAGCATGAGAGATGGGGTCATAAAGACAGCCGGAGGCTGCACTGGGTTGAGAACCACATGATTTGCCTTATGTACCAACACAAATACAAGGGGGCTTTGATATTTGGAAGGCCACTCCTGAAACGTGCGCAAGAACTGACGCCAAACTTTGGGATCTCTCTCTGCCGTATGACTTACAGAGTCGTCATATGCCTCTGTGCCATTGGCAAGCTTGATGAAGCAGAAGAAGCAGTCTGCCATCTGATCGCGCGATCGGACTACAAACGGGTTGAAGATGAAACACTTTCGCATCTACTTGTCATGCTGTATGCTTTGGGTCAACTCTTACACAAGCATGGTCGAGTTGTCGAGGCAGAAGGTGTTTATCGCTACATCCTGAGATCAGCGAAGCTCTGGAATGTCCCTGACATAACGGGCCCGACCAACAGATATAACGTGAAAGGAGCCTGGTCCAAATTGGTGATATGTCTCATTGACCAAGGTAAGTACCTCGAGGCTAAGGCTGTCCGTGAGAGATATACAGAAGCAGAAGATGAAGGGTCGATAGGCGAGCAAACAAGTGAAATAATGAACCGCCTACGGATGTCCTATCAAGACCTTGTGGAGGTGTACTCGAGAAGACTTGAAGCGGAACGATCCGGTACCCTTCTTGAATGGGAAGCTATCGTGGATCTTTATGGTCTAAAGGGAGACCTAGATGATGCAATCACCTTATTTGGTGACCCGACCCAAAGAATTGAACAAGATCGAGATTTCGAAAGCGACATCGACATTCACAACATTCGGCGAGCGAGGAAGAGCAGGATTCTGCGGCTATTGAATTTCCCTTTGGTCTATCAGTCTTTTTGTCACTACAACACTAGGAGGCCTTTACTCGACCACGACTACTCCTCTGAAGAGCTTTGGTGTAACTTAAAGCAGACAATTCTAGGGCAGTATTGGAAATTCTGCGACTGCACCAGGAAAAGACGTAGAAGTGCCAGTTTTGACCTCAACGTTTTGGTCGACAGAGCATTTCACGAGCAACACGATGAGTCGCCGAGACATGCTGACGCAGGACTCAAGCAAAGACTGATCGATGGATGGGTTATACGAACTCCAGCGCCCAAGCAACGGCCAAACGGCTGCTCAGATTTCTGTCCTTGTATTGCTGCAAATCTCGTGGGTGAGAAGGAGACCAAACTCCTGGAGTCGAAACTGTTCACCTGGAAGGAATCTGAGACTGAAGGATCATCCCAGTCCAAACCCACTCCTCGCCATCCCTATCGGCGTCGAAAGGTGAAGAGACAACCAATACCGGATCATGAAATATTTGTATACAAGGATGCCGCCAACACATTCAGATGGCTACAGTCAGAGTTTCGAGATGGAGATGGCGATGATGAGAATTATATCATCCCGAATGCCCTCAATATCCCAGGAATCAGCATAACTCCGCCCGACGGAGAATCCAACCTTGGCCAGTGGTCAGTCGACCATCAAACCAAGATCACGGAGCATTACGAACGCGACTATGCGGCCGAGTTTGCGTTGGAGATGGCGAGGGCGCAGAAAAGACGGTTTGAATGTCATCGGCTGGATGCAATACTGGAAGATGATGACGAAAATGAGGATTAGTGGCCGAATGGACGTGAGAGGTTGGATGCTTGATGGATTGATACGATATACGAAATGGTTATGCTCTCATGTCCGAATGTTATGTATGTGTTTTCTCTTGCGATCTCAGCATAGCGATGAGATGAATAGAAATGTCAATGTTGATAATTGGTCACTGCTATTTGAGTACGAGTTGTGGCGGCGGAATGACGTTCCACATTTCGCCGATCATCAACACTTCACCTTGGACTCGGATTAACCCTTCTATCACAATCTCATTCCGTCCAAATACGAATACGTTCGGCGTCACTTCCAGGCTTGACACGCACTGGCATGGTTTTCGAACTGCTGAAGGTGCTGAGACTCGCTACATGACTACGGAGTATGATGGGTGTTCGATCATGGGATCACTTGGATATGTTCCGTAACTAGGACTCAGCTACAGTATACGACATTATACTCTTGCACTCGAATCACTGGCACTATCCAGTCGACAAAAATTCAGTGAGAATATCACTACTTTATCATGCTAGACGGACATTCTTGACATCGAGCTAACGCCAGTTATCATCTTGTGCATCTGATATGGCCATCACGAACACAAAACCATCACATGGCTTCAGCCTCAAAACTTCGCCACCAATCTTTATACTTCCAACACATCTTCAGGCAGCGGAGCTGCGACAAGCTGAGGACCTTGTCTTTCAACTAGGAGGGAACTTGACTTACGATGCGCAGGATGCGCGCCTCTTCTTAGGGAAAGTCGGCCAGAAGAAACGTGCAGCATTCGATCTTCGCGCGAGGGAGGTTTGGACTGAGGAGACCGGCTTGCCGATACGGAATGCTGTCGGTCATTCTGGACCTGGGAGCAGCAAAGAGCCGGCCCGGAAGAGGCGCCGGATCAGTCCTGGCTTTGAGACGAAGAGGACTCTGAGGAGGTTGAACTCTACGTCTAGCTCGACGGCTACGGAGGGCGGAGTGTCAGATGTCAAGGACGACGATGCCGCTGAGAGTTTGGGCGTCGATTGGCCGGACCTCACCAACTCGATTATTGTTCTCAAACTTTCCTGGCTGGACGAATGTGTCAGACAGAGCACGCTCGTCCCCTTCACTCCATATACTGTGTACACGGCGAAGATCATCCCCAAACCTCTGCTCGAGACAAACCCTCAAACACTTCCTCGGGAAGGCATCACATACATCAAAGCCACACCAGAACACTCGTCCCCAGTCGCCTCAACATCATCCAGCCCAGTGATGTCCAGACCAGGCACCAGCTCGTCGATCCTGGAGCGCGCCAGATTAGAAGCAGAAGCCACGGGACAAAGCCAGAAATCAGGCTCATCTCAAGTAGCGTACCCAACGCGCCGGCGATTCGGCGACCGCGCAAGGCGCAACCAATACCAGAAATCCAACACGTCCCCAACTTCACCACGATCCCAGCGGCCAAAACTCCACCGGGAGACGACATCGGAAATGGAGGAGCTGGCCGAACACCCGATCCCACCCTTGCCGGACTGGGCAACAGGGCCGCACGCGACATATTCGTGCTGCCGGTCGACGCCGATGAACCCGCCGAACGCGGCGTTCATCGCGCAGCTCACGAAGATCAAAGACGCGCGCCTCCTCACGCTCGACGAGATCGGCGTGCGGGCGTACTCGACCTCGATCGCCAGCGTCGCCGCCTACCCACACGTGATCCACCACCACAGCGAACTCACCCGGCTGCCGGGCTGCAACGAGAAGATCGCCATGCTGTGGAGCGAATGGCGATATTCCACGGACAATGACGACGAGGCCGACGAAGACGACCCAAACCCAACACCACGACACATCCAAACGGTCCAGCAACTCGCGGCCGACCCGGACCTCCAGGTCCTCGACCTGTTCTGGAATATCTGGGGCGTGGGGCCGGACACGGCGCGGAAATTCTACTTCGAGCACGGCTGGCGCGATCTGGACGACGTCGTCGAGTTCGGGTGGAACGCACTGTCGCGCGTGCAGCAGATCGGGGTGAAATACTACGACGAATTCCTGGTCAAGATCCCGCGGGACGAGGTGGAGCGGATCCGGGACGTGGTGCTGCGCCACGCGCGGCTGGTACTGGGGATCGCGGAGGCCGACTACGACTCGCCGCGGGACGTCGAGTGCGTGATCGTCGGCGGGTACCGGCGTGGCAAGGCGCTCTGTGGCGACGTGGACGTGATCCTGTCGCACCGCGATGAGGCCAAGACGCTCGACCTCGTCGTCGACGTCGTCCGCTCCCTCGAGGCCGCCGCCTACGTCACCCATACCCTGTCCCTGCACACCACGACCAGTGATCGCGGCCAGGCCACGCTGCCGTTCCGCGCGCAGGGCCACTCCGGCCATGGCTTTGACTCGCTCGACAAGGCCCTCTGTGTCTGGCAGGATCCCGTGTTCGAGTTCGAGGAGGAGGAAGCTGGGAATGGAAGTGAGACCCCAAAGAAGAAAAACCCCAACATCCATCGCCGCGTCGACATCATCGTGTCCACGTGGCGCACAGTCGGCTGTGCGGTGCTCGGCTGGAGTGGCGGCACGACCTTCCAGCGCGACATCCGCCGTTTCGTGAGTAAAGTTCACGGGTGGAAGTTCGACTCGTCGGGCGTGAGGGATCGTAAGTCGGGACGGGTGTTGGATTTGGAGGCGCCCAGGGAGGTGCAGGTGGACGGGGGCAAGACGGTTTGGGATGATGGCGATACTTGGATGGATCGTGAGAGGCGCCTCATGGAGGGTTTGGGGATTGGGTTCCGTCCGGCCAGCGAGAGGTGTACTGGTTGAGCTGGGTTGGGTTGGTCTGGTCTGGAATCGCTTGGGAGGATCTTTATGTGGGGATTTTTTGGGTATAATGCGAACACGACGACGTTTCTATGTTATTGAGCCAGACGCAGAGTCATGACTCGGCTGATGGCTAATGATTGGGAGTATGGGGAATTGGATATTCCTTATCCCTACTCCTCAAGGATGTTGCGCACGATGATCACAGCAGTCCACTTTGTTTGGCTGCTCATGTGTTGATATCATTAGTAATTCTAACCTTTGCGTTTGTCTTTATGTCTGTCTTTGCCCTCGTTTCTAATGTTTATTATCTAGGTTCTTTTCTAATGCATAAAAACCTGAATACCGAGTCTGTTCGCCGACGAACGTCTACTGTAGCTCTAAGAATGCCCTCTCACAGTGCCCGTTTGGACGAATTTGTGCCGTCGAGGCCTCAATACCGGAATTTGCCAGGCGACCAGGTCGATAGATCATGACCCCAATTTGACGTCAAGTCCATACGGCAATCATTCAAGCCATAACCTCAACCTCACTACCCACGCGCTCAAGGCTGAGTCCCTGAGCAGCATGATCCTCACTTTCGGCGTCAAGGCGTTGTTGGTCATGAGCCTTTTGTTGCTCTTTAGCTGCCGCTTCACTAGGAAGAACATTTAATTTCGATGGGTTTTGACATCCGTGATCCTCCCAGGCTTGCATCATCTCCTCGCACAGCGCCACCTGCTTATCATGACCGATCATGGGATGGGTTTTCCCTCTCCGACTCCGTGACTCCATGGTCTCAACAAAGAATGCATCTGCGTCGTCCTCCTGGAAATCAACCTCGAAATTGTACGTGCGGTGTTCACAGTTCTGCCAGCCAGTGGAAGGGTAGATGGCGGCATCTTCCCAGTCGTCGGAGATATAATGCATATAAGCGCCATGAGCAACAAGGACGATCTCGACCGCATCATCACCTGCAGCTTGAAGCTCTCTCGCTTTCTGGCGAAGTAATCTTCGAGCATCTGTGGCACGACGCTTAATCGCGTCCCCAGCTGGAGAATAACGGTTCTGTAGAGTCTTGACGTTCCATCCCTCCTTGACGAGAGACAAATCAGCAGGCCAATTCTGGTCTCTGACAAGACTATGCAACACATCGACATCACTCCCTGTATCACAGGGGAGGTCACTGGTCTCTTGGGCGTCCGGAATGGCGAATATTCTGGGCTGGCATTTTCCGTTCTTGAGAGCGGGAGCGAATGTGAGGTAGGCGGTCTCCAGGGTCCGGGCTAGCGGCGATGCAGTCACAAGGCTGATGGACTTTTGAGCAGATTCGGGGAAGTGGGTTGCTTGTAGAGCAGCACATTGAGATTTTCCCAGATCTGTCAGTCTGGGGTCCTGTAAAGAGTGGAATTCGAAACCGATGTTGTGGAAACCCTGGGCATGGCGCACGAGGTGAATCTTTGGTTGTGGCATATTGATAGAAGAAAAACTTGTATTGTTGGGTAATCCGGTATAAGTGCTTAATGTGAAGCACTTGGTTGAGGCTTTAAAGAGTTGTTGAAGAACTTATATTAAGAAGTCGCGAAGGGTAGAAATAGAAGTGACGACCGGAACTTTTGTATCCGGGGTACAGATGAGACAATCAATTCTAACTTGATAAGTAGAGAATGTAACACAAGGAATTTACCAGGATGTATACCTCGCGATATATCGGTGAAGAGACAGAAATGCTGGCCGTTATGACTCTAGTTGTGCTCGACCAGTTGGGGAAGTTTTCAACGCCACGTTCAGCGCCCAATGATGTACTTTGTAGAAAAAAAATCTGCCCCGTAGAATTTTATGGACCCCTGGACGGGTGCACATGGCCCGGTCGTTGAACTCCGGATCCATTGATGATACCATCGATGCAGGCTGTCGAGGGCCGACGACACTGGTTTGCTGGAGATATATAGTGTGGTCAGGGACGTTAGCTAGTTATCCTCTGGGCATGGTTACCATCAGTGTCACATTCCACCGGATGTCGACGCAGAATTATTGGGAAGTGGAATCAGTATTTGTAGCTCGGGGAGCGCTTAGGTGGATAAGCCACCCAGGTCTTCATATATTCAGATACATCATGGAAATTAGTAGTAGGCAGGGTTGGGGGTGTATATTCAATCAGGTCTATAGAAAGGGGGGCAAAGTCATTCATTATAATCCACTTATCATGTCCTCCTATTCAGGAATGAGTACTAGTCATTCTGAGCCTCGGGGGTATTCCCTCTGAGCCAACCCATCCAACTTCCGCGGTTGGCACGTTTTGCCAACTCTTCTTCAGTCGCTACTTGTTCCTGAACCAATCTCAATGGTCTCAGGTGGTTCTGCTTCATAACAGCGCCGGGGATGTTGGGCTGATTTGGGGCGACGGTGCTTTGAGCGGTTGAACTTCCGTCGGTCGCGGATCGCTGTTCATCACTATGATCGCTTGTTACACTGTTGGCTGAACTGCCATTTTGTTGGCCAGATGCAGAAGCGGTTCGGTTTGTCGAGGGACCGAAGTATGATTGACGATTCTGAGACAATTGCGGACTCAACGGTCGGATTCCTGGGCTCAATGGGCCGCCAGAAGTCGTCCGCATGGTGGAAGATCGGTTCATTTGATGTACAACTGCAGCTGCAGCACCTGCGGCAGCCATATCGACCTGTGCCTGATCAGAACGTGCCCGGCGGTGTCCACGTCCAATCGGAATACTGGGAGCCGTCTCGGGATTTTCGTTTGCAGTAGGCGATGGTGCCGATGGTTGAGCGTACGACATGGGACGTGCCTTGCCGCCTGGTCGTGACACCACCGATCTGGCTCTTTGTAATAGCCCATTTGCAACACCACTAACTGACGCAGCAGCAGGGGCTGGGTGTTGATCAGGTGTGGCTGGAAGGGCTTTTTCGATGGGTGTGGCTTTTGCTGGAGGCTTAGGCGGGTCATCCTTGTCATGAATGATGTGCTCAAAGCCTTCATGTTGTAGCAGACGACCGATTATCTTGTCAACATATAAAGCTAAAGCCTTGTTCTGGTCTCGAAGGCTGCGATTTTCACCCTCGAGTTTCTTATACGCATCGGTCTGACCTTCGGTGTCTTCTCCACTTGACTCGAGTTCCTCTGCCAAGGTGCTCATCCCACTCATATCACCACCACTGTCATGTAGAAAATCGCCTTTGAGTGTCTTCTCGCTGAGAAGCATTGTGAAACTCTCGTTTTCTTCTAGTAGCCGGGCACTATGAACCTTGAGTTCCATGAGTGCCTTTTCGAGAGTCTGAACTCGTCCGTCCCCAACATGTTCCTGCTCAGCGAGTTTGAGTTGTGCTTCGGCAAGATCAAGGCGGAGGGCTTCAATGGCTCCATCTTTCTGGCGGAGAGCCTCGGAATGATCGGGGGTGGAGGCGCCTTGAATAGCACTGTCCACGTCGTTCTTTAGGTCTGTCCCTACACATGATTAGTCCAAGCCTAGCGTATTTGAGTATACATATGCCTACCAGATCGACTTGCAGTGGTCCTGTCAACATCTCTGGCTCTCAGGGTTGCTGTCAGCCGACTGATCTTGGCCTCCAGCTCGACCTCCTTGTCTGCTTGTCTTTCCCTCTCATGGAGAAAAGTGTTTTTGTCGGCATCATAGGCCAATTCGAGTTCGCGATATTGACGGATTGAGTCTTTGTACTCGACCCGCAGGCGATCGATCTCGCTCTGCCGTTGGTAGTCACGCTCTTCGGCAGTGGTCTGCTCCCCAGCGGCATCGTCCAGTCGTTTTTGCATGACCTCGAGTTGTTTTCTGTACTGATCTGAAGCCTGTTCGGCCCGAAGAACTTGCTCTTTGAGATCTGCGATCAACTGAGCATTTGCAGATTTGGTGTCTTCGTCTTCAGGTTCGGCATCAGGGGAAGTAAAGGAATTGCTCATGCGATTGGTAGGTCGTCTTGCAAGTCGGGTCTGTCGGAGGGAAGGAGTGCGCGCAAGACCTTGGGCGGTACTGGATGGGACAGCACTTGCAACAGGAGGACGGTTGGGACTATTCTCGTTGGGAGTCCGGCGCGGAGGAGCGTTGGTGGGATTATTGGCAGGGTTACCAATGGGCTTTCTCGTCGAGGGAGTTGACATGACTGATGATGGGCGTGCCAGTGCAGAGTGTGTGAGATGTAGCACGGATGTGGTAATCGCAAGATGTCAAATTCAGGTGCGGCGATGATATGGGGATTGACAATCGATCAAACAAACAAGCATTGTAACATAAATAGTCGAGGGTTGCATAATTTGGTGTTGGTTATTGGTCAGGTGTTGGTGGGTGACGGGGGATTGGCCTCGAGGACTGGCACCGTGCCTGCGCCTCTGACTACTGACCTAGGGCTGAGGGTTCAAGATCTGCCGGCACGGTGGACCTGAGTATCTTGTATACCAACCAAGGATGGCGAGATGGATACTGGGGCCCGAACGGAGTAAGATTGAAACGGGTTAACTCGTACAGATTAAGAGTGAGACCCGTGCTGTCTCCAATGGCGATACCTTGGTGAACCAAGACCAGGCTGCAGCATAGGACAAACACCAGGACGACCGGACTACGGAATATAATCGATGTTATTGAAATGCCAGAGTTGAAGCCCCATGCACCATGCACATGCCACTGGAAATCTCCGAACGAATCCTACATTGATTTGAGAAGAAAGGGGAGGGTGGAGTGAGCCTGAGCGAGTGACAATGTGGTGCGCCACAGGCACGGCACAGCCCTTCCACTACTGCGCCTCATGAGGTGTCTTTGAAAGCACTGTAGGGCACGGAGTTGAATTCCATATAGTACGAGTAGTGACCGAGGACGAGAAGAGAGTCGATATAAATGGCAGGAGAGCCTGCCTTGGTTGATACGTCATCAGAGAAGGGGATATGTACGTGGGCACCTGCCTCTGTTGCTTAGGTACCTATGAGTAGCTAAGGAGGGACAGAATGCCTGCAATGGAGTCACCAACAGTAGATGCCTTGGGCACCTGAAGTCCCTACCATATCAACCGAGGCCGGGGGTTTAACTGCACACCTATACCGACCTCCCTCAGGTTCGTGCCTAGAGGTAGGTACCTAGGTAGATGTAGATCATAATAATATATGATGGAATCACAGCTGGAGCGAGGGGGCCTTCATCAGAGGCCTTGGTACCTATATACTGCTCAGGTACCAAGTACCCTAGGTGACTACCTACATGCCTAAGTACCTAGGGAGTTGGGTGGCAGGTAGGCCTATAGTAGTTACAATGATACCGACCTAGGTAGAGAGTAGAGATGCATCAAGGTTACCTAGGTACAGGCTAATCCAAATCTTGTACGAGGATTTATGAAGAGAACACTTTGTCGTGATGTCGCCACTCCACATCTGGTCATTATTCATGTTCACTGCGTACAAGTTCGCCGTCGCGTTCGGCACGGGCACGGAACCACTTCTCTCCATCCCTCTCGGAGTCTCTATCAACTTCCAACTTCTAGGTTCCCTAATACCCACCTGTACTTTTATCCCATACCTGTCGTGGAATACCTAAATACCTTGACTTCATCAACTCAACGTAACTCTTCCCTATTCGGATCACGTCACTCATTACCTCCACTCGTCCAGCAGTCTCTCCCTCTCAGTGCCACGCGCAGCTGCCTCCATAACTCTCGTCCACCACTCTGCCAGAAACCGTCTCCCGGTGTTCGACCATGGCCTTTACCATCCTCCAACACCTGTGAATTCGTTCCTTCAATCAAGCAAAATGCCGGTCAGGATGAGGATGAGATGGACCGCTTATGCCGGCGTAAGTCTTTCCCCGACGTTGGCACCATCTAGGTCATGCCACATTACACCTACTAACTATCCCATCTCCCTAATTTCATGCCTTCATGCGCTCACAATCCATTTCTAGGTCTCTTCGGCCCTGGCAGCAGGTGTCATTGTCAAAGCCCTGGCGCAAAGACCCAACTTCTATTCCGCCGCCGTCTACCTCTCTCAATCATCCGCCAACCTCATGATCCTGACCAACCTACTATTTGTCATCGCATGCAGCTTTCTCCTCGGTCTCCAGAAACTCCTTTATGGCAACCTGCGACCCATCGAGGTGGAACAGCTGTATGAGAAGGCTTGGTTTGCCGTCACTGAGACATGTCTGGCTATGACCGTCTTCCGCGGAGAGATTGGCTTGACATTCCTCGCCATGTTCTTTTCCCTGCTTACTGGAAAGGTCTGGGGATGGATAGGAGAAGGTCGTGTCGAAGTCTTGGAACAGCAGCCCCCTCAAAACCCCCGGCTCTTTCATACTCGTTTGGCTCTGAGTCTGGGTCTTGGGGTGGCTTTCGATTTGACCATGCTGGAATACGTCGTGAAACAAGTCTTGCGAATGGCCCGACCTGACATGATGGTCATGTTTGGCTTTGAGTTCGCAGTCTTGTCTATAACAAGCATCAGTACCGCCATGAGATATGCCATCAACTTGGTCGAAATCGGCATTGTTCGAGAACAGAAGAAGCAACGCATTGATGAGATCAAGAAAGAGAGAATGCAAACCGCAGCCACACAGTACCAGGAAGCTCCTGCTCCAGAAACCGCCAACAATGCTTCCTCCGACCCAGACAACCAATCTCCAACCCCCACCCGACTCACCCTAGAGCAGACCATCCAAAATGCATTGAATGAAGCCGTTGATGAGAATGATGTGGAAGTGGAAGGATGGGAGGACAAGGGCCGATACATTTTCTACCTCGACCTTGCGACGGACTTTTTCAAGCTTGTGATTTACCTAGCTTTTTTCTTCATTCTACTTGTTTTCTATGGTCTACCGATCCATATCTTGCGAGATGTCTTCCTGACCATGCGATCTTTCTTGAAACGAATTTCGGATTTTATGAAGTACCGGACGGCGACCCGAGACATGAACGAGAGATATCCCGACGCGACAACGGACGATATTGGTCGAGAGGATGTCTGCATAATATGCCGAGAAGAAATGCGACCATATCAACCACCAGTTGTGGAACAAGGCCAACAGCAACCCCGTCCCAATCCCATGGCAGAGAGAATGCGACCCAAAAAGCTTCCCTGTGGACATGTGTTGCACTTTTCATGCCTGCGAAGTTGGCTTGAAAGACAGCAGATTTGTCCTACTTGCCGGGCCAACGTGGTGCAGACGAATCGCACGACAAACACGCACACGGGAGCCGAACCAGCGGGTGGCCAGGCAGGAGGGCGTCAGGGAGAGGCAGGGCAGCATCAGCAGGGTGCGAGACAAGGACCTCGAGTTTACCAATTTGGTCCCCTGCGGTTTGGTGTGGGCGCGGTCCGAGGTGGAAATATGTTTGAAGAGCTACAACAACAACTGGCAGCTGATGGACGGCCAAACGCTGCCCCTCAGGCTAATGGCGATGCGAATGGTCCCCGTCAATTTGGAATGGGCGTCCGATGGGCTGGGTTGCGAGGACGATCGGCGAGACTTCGATCGCTAAGTACGCGAGAAGGGTTGGATTATGTGGAAGCTCAAATTCGCCGGGAAGTCGACGAGTTACGTCAAGACACCAACGAACTCAGTGTCCTTCGGTCGATGCAAGCTGAGCTACAGAGGATTCGAGCAGCAAGATCTGGCACCACCGCAGAAACGACCGCCAACGCTTCTGGTGCGGCCCAAACGTCATTACCGAGCGTGGTGGCTCCGTCAAGTTCTCAAAGTACGACGGCCACAACCCTCACATCAGACGGCCAACAAAACGTGATTGCAGCAGGAAGTGATAGATTACCTCCAGGACTCACACTTCCAGAGGGGTGGACGATGATGCCGCTACATGCTGTTGGTCAAAATCCACCCTTTCAGACCCCCATGTTCAATGGCCAACAACTACCTACACAGTTGAACTCGACTGGTCCGGTTTTCGGGTACATGCCCTTTAATTTCAATCAGCCTGGATTCAACGGAATGATGCCCATGCCCATGCCCATGCCCATGCCGAATATGCGGCCAGGAGCCACCCCCCAGGCATCAACCACAGGGCGTACTAATGGGGCAACGCCGGCAGCAACGATGGCTACACCCGCGCCCGCCACGGAAAATGGAAGCAATATACATCCCGAATTGGACACTTCTCAGAGATCTGCCAATGCCTTGCAGCAACAGCATGAGCAATGGCTGGCTTCTCTACGAAATGGTGCTGGCAGCAATTCGAATGGTGTTCCCATTCAGCCCACAAGGGAGAATAGTCAAGTTCCAGATGTCGTCAGAAACGGGAACACAGCGGATGATGTGCCATCGAGCAGTCATCCACCGTTACCGGTATGGGGTTCGCCGGTTCCAAGTAATACTGCTGAAGGTAGTAGCAGCAGGACCACTCCATTGACCAATGGAAACCATGGTGAAGACGAAGACCAAGATGAAGGGGAAACATCATCGGATCGCAGGACCAAACATGCTCGTGTGGAAGATTTAGTTGAAGATCCTGATTGATGTGGATGGTTAATATGTATTATTGAATAGCAATCTCCAAGCATAGCGAGGAGCCCGGGCTCGGGACCCAAAAATTCGATTTTGATTTTTTTTTTTGGCCTACTACTATTTCCATGGGTCAAACCTTCTGTTGTAAACACGTAGTACATGGAGAAAGTTGACTATGCGTACCGAGTAGCCTGTAGGTTTGATGATATTCGGAAGACTCGTGGCCATTATTCTCAAAATGTTCCATGCTCTGTGGGTCAAATCTGGAACGGACGCCACTGTTGTATTAGGTAACTTGACACGGGAGAGAGCCCCTGCGTCAACCGTTTGTCGTCACTTGAAACAAAGGCCTTCAAGCATTGGATGGTGGACTAGCTACCTACTCGTAGGTACCTGCCGAGGAGCACTACGTAAGCCTTGGGTCGTTTACCTGCATCAGTAGGTCATTGGCAATTGAACACGGGCACCATGGTGACCACTGCTCCTTCGTTCTCTGTGCTACTGTAGTAGCGACATATTAGGGAGGTAGCCAAGACACAGAGTCAGAAGTCCCTAGGACCTATTGACAGGGCCTCGGGCAACTCATCAGCCTGGAGGCACCATGTGTTTAGGTGTGCTGCGCCACCCAGGGAAGGTTTTCCTGATGAAAAGGTTCCAAGTTCCAGGCTGGAGCTCCCCCCACTTGGGGTCATTCCAAGCGAATCCTTGGGCCAGTCAGTGATAGACGCACCCGCAGATACTCAGACTTGGAGACTCGGTATCCATTATTATTGAGATATGGAGCCCTCCTTCCTCCTTCTCTCCATTGCCTGCCACTGCCACTCACGGCTTGCAAGAACGCGAACTCGTAACCACAACTGAGGCGACAACCTCTGCTAAATAGACTCTGTCTTCTTTCCTGTTCTTTCCTACAGAGTACCATCACTTCAAGTTCTCAACGATTCAGATCCATCCCGTCTGATTCAAGCCATTCCATCCTGCCAACTGTCACGGCACTTCACCTCGAATTGGATCTGCAAGCGAGCCCTGTTTCAATACCAACCACATCCCCTTTGGCCACACCACCACCCTCATCTTCACCAGAACGCCTCTCACTTCCACACTTATTCTTCCACGCCATTGATCCTTCCTGCTCCAGTTATTCATACACTTGATACTTCTCGTCTTCCACCACCAAGTGGCTTTTCGGCGCAGGACGCACGATACCTCATCTCACATTCAATACCATGGACACCACCACTTTGACTCGGAGACAATACTACAGTGATGGCTACTGGTGGTATTCTCCTGTACGTCTCCTCCCACACTCATCCACAAGACCTCTCGACTGACCCAGTGTCCGCACCATTCTAGACTGCATATGCCATAAAATGGGCTGTGATTGCCGCCATTTTTGTTGCCTTCCTAGCATATTTCGTGGGAGGATATCTCCATGCCAGACAGAGGATGAAGAAAGGTCTCCCACCTCTCCGATATCACAAGGTATGGTTCATTCCATCACCCTCGGATTTGAGGAACCAAGGGCATTGTTTCTAACACGAACCGATAAATAGTGGCTAATTCCCCGACGGTCACGCATGGCATTCGCCCAAGCACATCCCGAACACGCCCACCACTTTTCTTTCTACCGTACCCAGCAAGTCCCCTATGGATATGGTCAGAATCAAGGATACCCCATGCCATCCTACGGGCCCCCTCCACCAGGTAAGTCAGCTGCCCACTGATCACGCTCAACAGAGGATTGTGCGAACAAAAGGTCAACATCATCGCTAACACACGTTTTCTTCTCTAGGATATCACGAACCCGAATATGTACCCGCCTACACACCACAAGGCCCGAACAAGACAAACCCAGATCAAAACTACGCCGCTGCACCACCCAGTGGACCACCACCACCACCAAATGCTGCATTCGCACCACCTGCAGGTCCCAGTGTTCCTGAGCGCGCGGCCGGTTCGTGGAGGGCTTGATCGCTTTTTTCTAATGAAGATAAAAATTTGCGGGTTTTACAACTGGTTATTCCACTATTACTATCGAGCATGATGTCTATACCACCGAAGGCGTTTCACTGGTCGGGTTGAAGTTGGTTTGAAATGAGCATGTAGGTTATGGGGGATCGACGATGACGGCCCGGAGTCGAGACTGATTGCTCACAGTCTATGCGCTGCTGTTGACTCTCTGAAGACGGGCGCAGGGTGTTCGAGTGCCAGAGGCCGTGTATACCTGCATAGATCCATACCGAGCGAGGCATGCATGGACCAAGGGGAAGGCTGAATTCCAATTCACAACTTGGCACACTCGACACATCTGTAATTGTGTATTGCATTCCGTCGTGCACCATCCCATATATGACATTCGAACACAAATCATTCACACTCTTACATCCCTCAGGACGTATCTAGCGTGGACGAAATCGAGTAGTCCTAGTACGACAGCCTGGAAACCAAGCAAAGAACTATAGTCTTTTCTTTCACGCTCTTATGTGTTTATTTGTTCTAATTCAGCATTAGTTAACTACTTCCGTAGCAAGGGACCAGCGAATAATCAAACTCCTCGCTCCCGCTTCCATATGAGAGATGAACAAATAGTACAAGTTGGGTTGGGGGACATATCTGTTGAGTTGAGACGTCAAGCCTCGTTTCTTCTCTTCTCTTCTCATCTCATGTCCCAAGCCCCCTAAAACAACTCCAGTGTTTATGCTTCGGGGGCGAATGCTAGTTCCCCTTCTTCTTTTTAAGTTACACGTTCCACATCTTGAGACTTGTTGCTGCATAATAGAATGCGATGCAGTGCCATGCGATCCCCCATGCTTGATTGACTCCTCGTGATTCAGTCCCCAGCCACGAGTCGACCCGATCCAACCAAGGAGAATGGACAGACAGACTATTCGATGTCCATGGCGTCAGGATCAAGGTCGTCGTCGAAATCGCCGGCGACCGATGAATGATCCGTCATGGCGTCGTCGAAGAAGTCGGGGTCGCCGCGATGCTGCTCGAAGAGCGACGACGCCTGGCCTTTCCCCGGAGAGCGGTATTCGCTGAGGAAGACCTGGCGCTCGCGGTCCCGGTCGCGCTGGTCCTCCATGGCCTTTTCGCGCGCCCGTTGCCGTGCCGCGATGATAGTTTTGCGAACCACGTCCTCTGACTCTGGTACGCTGATGCTGGTTGGGTCTTTGTAGAGGACGAGAGCCGTGGCGAGCGGTGGAGTTGTCGATGGGGTTGGGAAGGCGTGTGCTCCTGTGGTGCTTGGGTGGTGGTGGCTGTGTGAGTGCGGGTTTGGAGGGAATGTAAATGCTGAGGAGCCTGGGCCGGCGGAGGGGTCGTTGGAGACTGGTGCATTGGAGGAATTCTGGAGGAGTCGCTGTGGGATGGCCGAGACTTTCTTGTCGATGTCAGGGATGAAGACGGTGTTGCGGCCCTCGGCTTCAGCGGCTTCTATGGCTGCGATCTCGGCCTCGAGGTCGTTGATGATGATTCGGTTGGGGGTCTCGTCAATGGCCATGATTGAGGAGGCAATGGATGAATTGCGGGTGTGGGAGTTCTGTCGGGGTGAGGGCTCTGGTGGAGATAGAGGAAGTTCCCTCGCCGCTGGAGGATCATGGAGGCGGCGGTATGATGAGGCTAATGCGGTTGGCCCTCTCGTTGTGCGTGCTGTCGGAGTTGGTGTTCGTGGTGACGCCAATGTAGGTGATGGTAATAGTGATGGCGATGGTTGTCGGCGTAAGGTTGGATCGGGTGGCAGTGGTGGAAGTGCAGGCCGTACATCGGTGTTTGCTATGTGTGGTCTATATTTTGAAGTCGGACTCGTGGGTGTGAGGATTTGTTGGTAGTGCAGTTGTGATTGCATGTGCAAATCACCATTCTGGTGATGTGCATTAAAATTGCCATTGTTGGCGTTGATATTAAGGTTGGGGTTGAGGATGCCATGTCGTTGCTGATTCAGGCGTAATTTCTTGAATTGAGACGAGATACTACTGTTGGAGACGGAGTCGATGTCATTGGTGTCGACGATGGCATCGACTTTCCTCTTGTTGGTCAAATTGCTTCGGTGTTGATTGACCGTTGAAGGCGAAGGCCATGGTGGAGTTGGTGTGGTTGGAGAATAAGGTGCTGCCATTGAAGGCTTCTATGAGAGTATAATATCTATGTAGAGAACTCGCCAGTAAGAGGAAGGGGACTATACAGAATGGTGAGGAAGATGGTGTGATGCAATGCGGCGCCGACTAAAGATACCTTTGCACGCAAGCAAACCTGAAGATGAGAAGAGAGAAGGGCGAGAAGTGGCATGAGGAGTAACGAGAAAGTTGTATAGAGGCACCAAGGTCAAGCAAGGCAAGGGTACGGTTACCCCGGCGAAGGGTCCAGAAGGTGACAGAGACTCAAGCGAGTTACGAGGACGAGCTGAGAGGACAACTCGGAATTCAAGTTGGAGAAGCATTCAGATGCTAGCAGGAGATGGTACACTTAACGGGTTAGAGCAAGCGCTAGATCGCAGTTGAGCTAATCACTTCCACTCCCGCAACCACACTAGTAATTCTAGTCTACTAGCAGAACCACCACGTCCTTTCCCTCTCGATTTTTGGCAAGAGCGACTGGCTTGACAGCGATTTGAACTGTTATTGAAAGTGCTTGCTCTCAAGGCTCAACCGAAACGACCTTCAAGTTGCAGTCTTTCGGCTGAGTCGCAGACAATATTCAATTGAATGCCAATCGGTGCACGAGTTGCAGCATCAGCAGCGGAAGCTACTCCTGCTAAGATTTGGAGAGGTCCGCCTTCCTACAGCACCACTGGCAGCAGAGTCACCAAAGCCCCTCCTACTATCAGAATTTCGAATTTGAGTCACAGACTGTCCCCCCATCCACTTATTCGACAGCTACAGTGCACCAGACACTCTCCACCACTCTCAACTCTCCTTCGCTCATACTCTCTTCCTTCTGCTGAACATTTATTCCCCTTCCCGTCCACAACTGCACTCACCGTGCGGAGATCGCACACGACCAAATCCACCGCCTCCAATATGGCTCCTACTCGTGAATGGACTGCCCAAGAGGTGCGGGATACCTTTCTCAAGTTCTTTGAGGAAAGAGGACATACTTTTGGTGAGTCCAACAAGTCCACAGTGTTCTTCTCAACAGCCAAATATTTTGGTCACTTACACCAATGTGATTTTAGTCAAATCATCCCCGGTCGTTCCCCTCTCAGATCCTACGCTTCTCTTCACAAATGCTGGTATGAACCAGTTCAAGCCAATCTTCCTCGGAACCGTCGATCCAACCAGCAAAGAAGGCCAGTACAAGCGTGCCGTCAACTCTCAAAAATGTATACGTGCCGGCGGTAAACATAATGATCTCGATGATGTCGGGAAAGACAGTTACCACCATACCTTTTTTGAAATGATGGGCAACTGGTCTTTTGGTGACTACTTCAAGAAAGAGGCCATTTCTTGGTCTTGGGAACTCTTGACAGAAGTCTATGGTCTCGAGCCAGACAGATTGTATGTCACCTACTTCGAAGGCAGTGAAGCGGGTGGCCTAGAGCCTGATCTAGAAGCTAAGGAGCTATGGAAGAGTGTCGGTGTCAAAGAAGATCATATCCTTCCGGGAAACATGAAAGACAATTTCTGGGAGATGGGGGATCAGGGCCCCTGTGGCCCTTGTTCAGAAGTCCACTACGACCGCCTTGGAGGACGAAATGCCGCTCATCTAGTCAATCAGGACGATCCTAACGTACTTGAGATCTGGAACAACGTTTTCATCCAATACAATCGTGAACCAGACAAGAGTCTGCGGCCCCTACCAAACAAGCATGTCGACACCGGTCTGGGTTTTGAACGACTGGTCAGTGTTCTGCAGGACAAGCTCTCCAACTACGATACCGATGTTTTCACTCCTTTGTTCGATCGGATCCAGGAGATAACAGGAGCCAGACCCTATTCAGGGCACTTTGGTGAAGACGATACGGATGGCATCGACACCGCCTACAGAGTCATCGCCGATCACGTCAGAACACTGACCTTCGCCATCAGCGATGGAGGTATCCCAAACAATGAGGGTAGAGGCTATGTTGTCCGAAGAGTTCTGCGGCGCGGTGCTCGGTATGCTAGGAAATACTTTAACGTGGAGATTGGTGACTTCTTCTCCAAGATAGTACCTACCCTGGTCCAGCAAATGGGCGGCATGTTCAAAGAGATTGTTGCTAAAGAGGATGAGGTCAAAGAAATCTTGAATGAGGAAGAATTGTCTTTTGCCAAAACGCTAGATCGTGGTGAGAAACAATTCGAGGTATACGCCCAAAAGAGCCAAGGACAGGGAGCGAAGGGTCTACATGGTGCCGACGTCTGGCGCTTATATGACACCTTTGGCTTTCCAGTTGATCTGACTCGGCTGATGGCTGAGGAGCGGAACCTATCCATCGATGACAATGAGTTCGAGGCTGCAAGATTGCAGGCCAAAGAAGCCAGCAAAGGTGAGAAGAAAGCAGCCAGTGGCCTCCTGAAATTTGATGTTCACGATTTGGGTGAACTCGACATAATGCCAGGCGTCACAAAAACCGATGACTCGTTCAAGTATGGCCGAGAAAACATCACCGCCAAAATCCAAGCTGTCTACCATGCGAAGAAATTTCATTCCTCTACAGAAAACATCCCCGAAGGCGACCAAATTGGTCTCCTTCTGGATCGAACGTGCTTTTATGCAGAACAAGGCGGTCAAGAAAACGATACTGGCCGGATAGTGATCGATGGTCAGGCGGAACTTGATGTTCAGAATGTCCAACTCTATGCTGGATATGTTCTCCACACTGGTTACATGAAGTATGGAGCCTTTTCGGTTGCAGATGAGGTCATTACTGAATATGATGAGCTGAGGAGGTGGCCTATTCGGAACAATCATACCGGAACTCATATCCTCAACTTCGCCTTGAGAGAAGTACTAGGTGATGGTATAGATCAAAGAGGTTCCCTAGTTGCTCAGGAGAAGTTGAGATTCGACTTCAGTCACAAGGCCGGTGTTTCAGGTGCCGATCTGGAAAAGATAGAGCATATTTCAACCGAGTACATCCGTCAAAATTGTGCTGTCTATGCAAAAGACGTGCCTCTCTCAACTGCCCTGGAAATCGCTGGGGTGCGTGCGGTCTTCGGTGAGACATATCCTGACCCAGTCCGAGTGGTTTCGGTGGGTGTGGAAGTTGATGACATTCTGAAAAATGTCAAGGATGGCAGTTGGAACAAAGTCAGTATCGAGTTTTGCGGTGGTACACACGTCAAAAGCACAGGTGACATCAAAGATCTTATCATTATTGAAGAAAGTGGCATTGCCAAAGGCATTCGTCGAATCCTTGCTGTGACTGGTGAGGATGCACATGAAGCCCAGCGTGTCGCTGATGAGTTCGCCGAAAGACTAGACAAATTGGAGAAATTACCTTTTGGTTCAAGCAAGGAACAAGAGGCGAAAACATCCCAAGTCGAGCTCAACGGTCTATCCATATCCGCAGTAAAGAAGAGTCAATTCCGGGATCGTCTCACCAAGATCAATAAAGAACTACTCGATCAACAGAAGAAGGCACAGAAAGAGGAACTCAAAAAGGCTACTGATGCTGTAACTCAATATTTTGAGAAGAACCCGACTGCACAAGCTGCTGTGCTGCGGCTACCAATTGGAGGCAGTGCGAAGATCATACCTGATGTCGTGAAACATGTGCAGACCAAGTTGAAGGACAAGAGTGTCTACGTGCTTGTCGCGGATGAGAAGGACGCTGATGGCAAAGTCTATCACGGTTGCTTCGTGAGTCAGGTAAGACTATTTACATTTGCGACTAAGCTCGATATACTGTTTCGGTTGGTGATTTCATGCTTACTTCTAATAGGATGCTACGAACGCCGGTGTCTCCTCTTCCGATTGGTCTTCTGAAGTCTCCAAACTGGTAGGTGGAAAAGCTGGCGGCAAAGCTCCCGTAGCGGTGGGCACGGGCACGGATGCATCCAAGGTCGACGAGGCACTCAAAGCCGCCACAGATTACTTGGAGAAATTCAAGCTTTGATGAATTTGAAGATGACGAGGAAGAAACTCGAAATCTTGTCTGTTCTTTCCAGCATGAATCTACAAACCACACGAGGGAGGCAAGGTCTATATCATTGTCCTTTGAAGTATGAAGGAACGAAGAGATGAGGACGCTTTCAGACTTATGGTGTTGTGTGTATATTAGAGTTAGATCAGGCTGAGTTCCTGACTGATGAGTCCTGGCTCATTCGAGCGCATTAAATGTTTGGCAGCGGACAGTCGATCTGTCTAAGATGTGGTGGGTGGGTTTTTATAGCGATAGCTGATGCATACCTACCTAAGGTAGTTAGAACCCTCCTCTAGAGACACTGTCTGATGGCCAGACAAAGATCTCCAATCGGAGCTATTATCCGTGAGAACTCCTGTTACCAATCAAAACCTGCGCTGCAACCCAAGTAGAGGAATACATGACGGAATAGTCCTGCAGACTCAACTCGACCGTGAGGAGTGAGCTTCAAGCCAAACAATGACGTTGTGGTGATGAGGCCCTCCAAAGAAGTCATACCAGTCCGATGCCTGACGGCCTATGTCTTTACCATACATACTCTTCTCAGGTGCAGTCCAGATCAAACATCCCATGCCATCTTGCGAGCAAGCCTCACCTAGAGTATTTAGCCCAGACAGCATCTCGACCTTTCCACCATCCAAAAACCATGAAATACCCCGGCGGCTGCTACTGCCGCGCGATCCGATACGAGATCTCGCTCGACGACCCAGACGACGCGCGCACCAGTCTCTGCCACTGTGGGAACTGCAAGGTAAGTTTTCAAGTTCGCTGAAGGGGGCAAGTTGTCGCTTTAATGGCGGGATGGGGGGGGGGAGGCCACCGTAACAATCGACTGGTGGACTGATTGATTGATTTTTATTATACACATCAGAAATTCACAGGCGGACCCTTCGGCATCACGACCAAGATCCCCAAGGCCAGCTACACGGTGACGGAGGGCCAGGACAGCGTCAAGGCGCACGAGGCCGATAACGGGGCCGGAACGCTGCTCCATCGCGAGTTCTGTCGCGAGTGTGGGAGTGGCTTGTTGGAATATGGCGTGAGTTTGAAACAACGATCCATCCTTTCTTTTTTCCCCCCACATGTCTTCGTGGTTTCCTTGGGCGAGAGAGGCTTTTCCTGCCTGTCGAAGAAGGGTCGAGGGCGATTTGAGGTTGGTGGCTGCTGACGACGTTCTAAAGGCCAATGCCGGCGACTTCATCTATATCTTCTACGGTACGTTGGACCGCCCCACGGATTTGCCGCCGAAGGGGGAGTTCTTCTGCAGTAGGCGGGATGATTGGATGCCGGAGGTCCCTGGTGAGTCTCTTTTCCATTTGGACGTTGTGTTGAGTTGGTGGGGGATTGATTGATTGTGCTGATTCTCTGGGTGTTTTTCTTTGTGATTGATAGGGATTTTCCATAAGCAGAAGATCAAGGAGTAAGTAGTTGGTTGGGCAGTTGTTGATTGAGGAATTCGGAGTGGTCGGGAGTGGTTGGGAGTGGTTCTATGTCGTGTTGAAGATGATGGCTGGTGGTGCAGACTGTCAATATGGGCTGTTGCAATTGAGAATTAGCATCATCGAAGGATCTTCTTCGGAATATAGAAGATGAATGATGGATTTCTTTGAATGTGTCGAATTGACGTTGTTCCACCACAGGCCGTTGGTCTAAGACCGCAATGCCTGGAGGTGAAACTGAAAGAATTAATCTTCCCAAAAGTACACATATGAGACCAGAGATACTCTACCACGCCATGCTTTTGTAGTGTCGTCAAAAAATTCATCATATACTTGTGCCTTTTGCTGCAAGGCTCAAGCATGTTTCCACTGTTCTATGCCATAATCCAAAACGCCATGCCAGATCGAAAATCGTGTTGGTATGAACAGCCGGGTGAAATACTCAGTATTTGAGCCCGTGGCGCTCAGGTTGACGACATGCTTGCGGAGCTGATAAGGCCCAAAAAGGCCCTCCAATGATGAGATGTCGCGTGGAAAGGTGATCGTCCTCAAAGACCTTGATTTGAGAACTTCGGAAGAGATGTGGTTGATTCCCACAGTCGATCAATGCTCCTGCATGTCTCCTGGTAAAGGCGGCTTCTGAGCAAACATGACCCATCTAGATTTCGTCAGCAAATGGAAAATGAGCCCGCTGGTTTTCGTTGTTGATCTTACATCGGCCACCATCCGTGGATATCTTTCCTTCTCAACTCCTGCCGGCATTGTGCCAGTAAGACTTCAAGCTCCTCAATCGACCATCCCAACATCTGTGTAAATACCTTGACGCTGAGTCCGTGAAATCCATCCATCAGATTAACGTAGCCAAACATGCCGGCTTCTCGTAGCGTTTTGTCCCTCGCCCACGGACCGATGGGCATTTTGAATGTTCGCCTCGTGACATTGATAAATCCTGCATCGCGCATTTGTTGCATGACAAGGTTTGGGTCACAATGGCCTTTTAGTCCGATCTTGTTAATTCCCTCCGTCCAGAGGTCTTCCCATTCAGTGATGCGGGAGTTTGAGGGGATAGAGTTGTCGTCCGAATAACGCTTGTAGCTGAACTCTTGACATTCAACCCAACCACCTGGTTTCAGAACCCTAGACGAGCACAAAAAACAAATCTTAGCATCTCCTTGAGAAGACCAGGGCTCTCTGAGATCGTAGTTTGTAGGTTGAAACAAGAAAAAACTTACTTGTATGCTTCCTGAAAGAAATGAGGCCCTGCAAATATCAGTAACTGGCAGGAAGCATAGAATTCCTAGACTGTGCTCACAGTCTTTTAATGACGTATCATTCATCACACGACTATGAACCAAATCGAACTGTTGTCGAAAAGTCCATTCTTCATCTGCATCCGCGATCTCAAACTGTGGGATGCCTTAACATCAAGACATGATAGGCCGTGTGCGACAAACCTACCTGTAGATTTGGAGGAACATAAGACGGTTGTATCGGACTCAAATCGGTGCCATGGACTAGATTCTATTAATGTCTCGAGTATTCAGGGTGGTGGTTTCGCAGTGAATGTCCATACCTTCTGTGGCTGGGTAGGTATCGGCTGGAGTTCAGTGTCAGCTTCTGCAATTCGTCCGGAACGGAAGTTGCGCTGACCAAATTCAATAGCCCATATCCCTGGAGTGCATTAGCTGACAGCTAGTATATTCCAGACGCCCAACTCACCAGTCCCGGTGCCAATGTCGAGAACGCATGTCGGATTCCTTACCGGTGCATGGAACAGCGTGTTACCGATGGAAAGCCTTACGGCATGGTACATAATATCACACCTCTCTTGTTCGATCTTAAGCAAGATATGTCAGCAGAAATTGCCCTCGACTTGGAAGTTAGCCACAGACCTCGTCATTTGGTAACAAATATTCTTCACGAATCCATTAGCATCTATGATCAATTAATCATTCGAATTGCAAAGGCGAAACCCACTGCCAGCGTGATACTATCATTCAATCAGATTCAGTGGACATAAGAGATAGCATGGACCACGTACCGCGTGATATGTTCGCCCATGTGATTTTTCATAATCGAAGATACTCGACGTAACGGACCGGGTGGATTCTTCACTATTAATCCATGTCAACTCAACCTCACGAAAAATTGGTAGAGGTGGGTAAGCACGGAGATACCTACACGTCACTATCATAATAGGCCGAGTCGGTATCGTTGAAAGTCCTCTGCGACAAGTGAGTAAGGACCATCGGAGAGAACAAGATTGTTTATCGAAACATACCGATGATGACGAGTCGTCGCGCACCTCGATACCATCTTCGTTCAGTAATTCGGCCATCTTGAGAGTGATGAATCGGGTCTAGGTTGCAGATCTGGTCAACTGTCCTCCATCTTCGAAGAGCCAAATAAGTAGGGATTTAATGATCAAAAGATCTTTAGAAGTGTGACTTCCGATCGGTGAGAAGAAAAGGTAGGGGAGTTCCACGTTGTTGGTCAGGGTCTGTGCAGCACTGCAGATACCCTCGTATGCGAGCTAAACTACTGGTCTGGCCGAGGGGCTCGCTTGGCCACGAGGTGTCATCCACGCTTGGTCCAAGTGGAGGCACATTCACCCAAAGCTGAGGATCACTATCTAAAACGACATAGGTAAGGATTGCTAATGGTATCATTACTGGTTAAGACCTGCGGTTCTTGGGAAGACTAAGTACTCGGTAACAGTCATGTTCTTTGCAAGAGAACTCGCCTGGGTCCCTCCACACACCTATTGCCTTGTTGTTTACTCGTACATGACAGTTGAGACAGAGCAGCATGGGCGACGCTCCAGTGGGGGCTGTGCAGATCCGATGCCGCGAATTAGCTAAAGCAACCGACCCGGAGTTAGTGTCATCGAGCACAGGGAGACTGACATTATCTACCTATAATCACCTAGAGGAACGGCGAGACATCCCTATGATCAATCTCATTCGGCGATCTCTCCACCTCTAAGCTGCCCCAGAAGAAGTGCTAAATTCATGCACCTTACAGGCATGTTCGAAGCCAGTCTTCACTGATAGGACACCCCATTGGCAAAAGCTCCCGCTGCATTGGGTGCCGAAGCTAGGTTTGTTCAGAGGGAACATCCGCTGCAATGTTCCATGCTGGTTTACGTGTCTAGACAGGGTAGGATACAGGCAGTTATGGAGTACAGCATGCACAACTGTTGTTATCACTGAAAGGAGGAATGACCTAACAACAGGCCACTCATGAAAGCTCTTTTCAGACCTTTTGATTCCCTCGTGCTTGGTGCTAACTGTTATATAGCTTCCGTGCCGCTGTTTATCAACTTCAACTTTATCACATCTGATGCTCAGTCTTCAATCTCTATCTTCATTTCCTTACAACAATGGGTCTTGTGGAGACATTTAGGGTTTCAGCGCCCGTGCTCCTCAGCTTTGCGGGTGGAATTTGGTTCATCTACCTCGTGGCAAGCACATATTTGAGTTATCGAAGGTTGCAACATATCAAGGGGCCTTGGCTGGCATCGATTTCTCCGCTATGGATGTTCTACTACACATGCCGAGGAACCCTTTATCTTGCTGTTGAGGATGCATTGAAGAAATATGGTGAGAACCGAAAAAAAGATTTTCAATAGTGTTTCCAGTAATGCTTTCCTAATTCTTCAACTTTAGGATCGCCTGTGCGAATAGGTCCGACGTATATCGCTACCGATGATCCGGCTCTCCAAAGGCTTATGGCCGCTCCAAGGTCACCGTTTGTCAAAGGGCACTGGTTCAAAGGCATGAAATTCGACCCACGTCTAGATAATTTACTATCAATGAGCGATGAGAAGGCCCACACTGAACTCAGAGCAAAGCTGATGCCTGGGGTATGGCAAGCATTACCTGTCGCTCGACTTCATTGCTAACTCTGCAGTAGTACACTGGCAAGGAAGTACCCATGCTTGAAAGTGATGTCGATGCTCGAGTGACGGAGCTTCTCGACCTTATCCATCGGGACTATGTGGAAAAGAACGAGGCAATGGATTTTGCCGTGCTGGCTGGGTATTTTACTCTTGATATTCTGACACAGATCGCTTTTGGACAGGCCTTGGGATTTCTGATCAAGAATGAAGACCTTTACGACTACCACAAATCGTCGGCAGCATTTTATCCCGTCATGGAGTTAGGGTCGAACCATCCGACCATTCTTTCAATTCTGAACAGCAGAGTCATGCAGGGCGCAGCACCCAAGCCGACTGACAAGATCGGATTTGGGGCCATTGTTGGAGTGGCCCATAAAGCAGTGGCCGCGAGATTTGGCTCTGATGCAAAGAAAATCCCAGACATGCTGGGTTCCTTCATCGATCATGGTCTCACCCAGCAGGAATGCGAGGTGGAATCCCTACTGCAGATTCTAGCTGGCGCGGACTCGACTGCCACTGCCCTTCGAACAACCTTCCTCTACATCTTGACCAGTCCACCCGCATATGCCAAACTACGCAGTGAGATAACGGCAGCTATTGAACAAGGCAACATCTCCTTTCCAGTGATCAAGAACACCGAAGCGCAGAACCTTCCCTATCTGCAAGCTTGTATTCAGGAAGGACTGCGCATGTTTATGCCACTACAAGGACTGGCAGGTCGTGTTTCACCGTCTCCTGACGGCGTGACGTTCGACGGCGTTTTCATCCCTCCCGGAACGGAAATCGGAATCTCCACATATGCCATGGGGCACCGCCGTGATATTTATGGGCCAGACGCAGACACTTTCCGACCGGAACGATGGATTGAGAACGATTCGGAAACAGTCAAGAAATTTGAGAGAACAAACGAGTTAGTCTTCGGGTTTGGTAGGTCGAGCTGCTTGGGTAAGGGTATTGCTATGATGGAACTGGGCAAGGCTATTTTTGAAGTGAGTTTACTGCACTCCTATCTTTAATGACTGGTGACTAATTTGACCTTTACGCGAAGCTGTTGCGCCATCACGACTTTACCGTGGTCAACCCATTCAATGCCATGAACGTCCGTTCGAATTCTGTTGTTGTTCAGACAGACTTCCATGTGCGGGCGTGGCCTAGAAAGCAAGACTAGTGGTATGGCACTTTGTGAGCTCCACAAGTATAGTCACGTTCTAGAGCCCGGGGAAAGCTGAATCAAAGTCACCACCTTGTTGAGAACTGGTTCTAAGTAAGATCTATGTGCGAAACACTACTGCAATCCATTGTTGCGTTGCCCACGACGATGGAAATTCATATGCATTATCTTCTCACAGGGGCAATGTGGTTAGCCAAGTCGTAGAGGATATTCTCGGAGAAGTGGTTATTCATGTTTCCTGAACTTGATACTACGAGTAGGCGTCATGCAGTCGTAATTCATCCGAGCCCACTGGCACTAGTAGCATGATTTATAACGTATCTATGTCTCCGTGGTCTCCCCAGTAGTCAGAGCCTGAACCCTCCTGTAAAAGGGTCTGTAAAGTCTTGGCACTCGTCACGGCTTCTCGCCAACTCAAGCGCAGTGATTAGTTCACCTCCCTCATGATGTACTACGTCAACGTCGCCTCCGAGTTTGATATACGATCTCTTGGTGAAATAGCTGATCGAGTATCGGCCGACCATGAATACCGAATTGCGACGCCAGGTCGTGAATGTCTATAAAGGTATGAGGAACCCTCAGCAAAGAGATAGCTTGCTTCCCATAGCACGCTAGGACTAAACTCGTTCTTCCAGAGCTTTTGGAGATGGGAAAACACTACCCATTAGGCTACGATTACTTCCGTACGCGCTTGCACAAAGCCTTCATCTCGCAAGCACATCTCAGGGACGAAGACAAAATCCGTGAAGGTATCAAAAGAGCCGAATTCGTCAAGAAGGAGATTGAAGCTCTCTACTTCCTCAAAAAGTATCGCTCTATGAAGCACCGTTACTCCAGCTGAAAATCTGGAATTCACGGACTCGACACACTGCTTTTACGAAATTGATCCAACATATTCAGGCCGTTACCAGGTACAATATTTGTGGGTCACTACAGCCAGTTCTTGGAATTGAGACATTCCTTGAATACGCCACAAGGCATCGATCGATGCCTTCAAGTGATCCTCACACTCTAGGGACTGGAAATACTTGGCATCTGGGACACTTGGGTTTTATCTCATGATCAGAAGATTTTGCCTCTTCATGGTCAGCATGGCTGCTATGAGGGAGCTGGACCAATCAATGAAAAGCTATCCTCTCCGGAGGATCCTAAGATCCAGCTGACCTTCTCCACCTACTGAGTCGCGCAAGCATGATTCCACGGAGTATGAGGTACTACTATCTCCTGCGGGAAGTAGTATCTGGGAAGTGAAGCACATCACGCGGAGAAATCGAGATTATCTTCGGATGTCGCAGCGACATCAACTTCCTGATCCGCAACTACAATCGTGGCTTCGGATACATCGGAGGGTTTTGTACATGCAATACCAATGTCAAATTGATTTCTTCTTCCCGCGTACCAGACTACCTGTGGCTGGTGGTGTGAATGGGAAATGTAAATCTAAATCCTCCCCACTCGAGACTTTGTGCCGTGTAACCTTTCCCACGAACGGGAAGGTGCTTTTGGCATATCCTTTGGTGTCTGAACTTGACTTATAGTTGTGACTTTGCGAGCACGTAATCACAGAATACGAGATGCCTAGCTTGCTAAGTATCGATTGACTATGGCCAAGAGAACCTTGAAACCAACCTGTGGACTGAACGGCGCCACTAAATACAGTCTCGAGAACTTAACCGCAGGCTAGAGATCTTGGTATATGACTACTTTGTGGATTCTCCTAAGACTTTGGCCGGCCTACCAAGCAGAATCGCTCTGTAGCCGTCGACAGGATTAAGTCTGCGGATCCGGACAGATATAGATATTCTGGGAGAATGGTCAAAGTTAACCTTCCATCATGTTCAAGCATCAACAGGGAGCATGGCGATGAACGAAGAATAAGCTTGAATGATCTTGGAACGGTAGTCGGTAGGAAAGAACACTGACTTTCCAGCAACTTGCCAACAACCTCATCAGACCTACTGGGCAAGAATGTGGTGAGCAGCATAGGGATATTCAGGAGTCCAGGGACCAAGAGTTGGTCAAAGTGAACAAGACTAAGCAAGTCGATCGAACAATCGATAAGGGAGAATCTAGGCTTGGGGGTTAAGCGAGTGCTTGAGGGGCCTAACTCGAACAAGACAATACAAGCCTCATTCAAGACAAGACTGTGGGGATTTGAGCCGTCTGTGGCTGCATTATTGAGGCTCAAGTGAGCCCAGGAGCATTTGGGCGTGTGGACTTACCAGGGAAATTTCCCGGGACCCTCTTCCAATAAGGCTACCTACGAGTAGGTAAAGACGCTTCAAGTTATTCTATCAATGTGAGCCACAATTAGAGGGCCCGCATTTTTTGACGTGAATTGATTTTGTTCGCTTGGCAAGTTTCCCATTTTCAGACCATCGCATTCTCATCACCATTGACAGTCTTGCATCCTTTCTCTTCCATGTTCAGGGGTTCTTTGGCGCCCCAAGATGATTCCCATCGAGGCCTGCCATGAGTTGGGCGGTTCTGTGGATTACCATACTCGATCTGGCCATACCCTCTTCTCGTACCGAGCACCTCGTATCGCTCCATACCCATTCTCGATGCTGCTCATTTCCCTTCAACATCCGTTTGCGCCTCATCTCATGTTCGTGAGCTGAAGCCAAGTCTAGACAGCCCAAAGAGGCAATCTTTAGTCACAATATGCTTTACCATGGAACCGCACGAGACAGACATTTTCGGCGAATGCATAGCACTACCGCATGGTAAGCAGCTGACCACTAGCCAGGGGAATATCACGGCCAAATGATTGCGATATACACACATGTATATGATCGTACATGTACATTGACGATTTCTTGAACCTCCTCTTCGTGCATCTTGCTCAGCATCGTCAATAATTTGGGGACAATTTTGATCCCGTCCATTCTTTTTTGGATGTATTCACTCGTTTACTGACCACTAGTCAATCATTTCATACTCTTTGAGTATTCACTATCTTTAATTCCCCCTCATTTTTCTTATTAATATGGTCAACTTTCCAGCGATCGCCCTCCTTGGGGCAACGCTCGTGCTGGCCGCCCCACGAGGCTGGGAGGACTGGTCAGACAAAGGGCAGACCACATCGACAATCACGTCGGTGACCAAGACCACGATTCGTACCACGAGCACTTCCGCCGTCACAAACTCTGATCCTCTACATTGGGCAGAGTGGATCGAAGATGAGACCGCATCGCTCTCTTCACGATCGAGAACGAAGTTGACCAGCAGCATCAAAACTACCTTCTCGACTAAGAAGCCCATTACCACGAGTGCTATTTCGCAAGGCCATGGCTGGGGTGACTGGAGCGGGAATCGGCCTTATAGACCTGGAACAGGCGGCAACAACAACAACAACAACTGGAACAACGGCAACGGCAACGACAACGGCAACGGCAACACGGAGCCAATTGGGGGGCATCCCACTTATGGGAAGCCTACTTTTGTCCCAGGCAATGGTGCAGATCCAAACTGGGATTTCAGCCGCGCCACGCAGACATTGACGGAGGCATGGGCAACAGAATCGGCAATGTTCGTGAAGGAAGCTCCAACTGCAACCTTGAAACCCACATTGCACTGGAACCATCGACCAAGCAACTTGAATCATCTCGTGCCCGGTGACAATCAGAAGATCTACTTTGCAGGTGCCGGTCAGATCAGTAAGTTCCAAAGAGACTAGCCCGCTAGGTGGTCCATCGAGAGAGGATGGCTAACTTATGATCCACAGATGCCAACAAAGCACATCAAATGGCTTGGGTAGATATCACCTATACAAACACTGCTGTCATCCTTGATCATTCGTCTTTCATCTCATACCGGGCCAGTACTAGTGGTGGACTCATCATTACCTTTTCTAGCGCAGACTCTTATCTCCAAGCCAAATCAGCGTGGCAGAGCACTGCGTCTCTGCTGCTCGTCGCCAACCAGGTTGGCTTCTGTGGCCAGGCTCAAGGTGAAAGTTGCTACTTCAAGGTGGACAAGCTAGACTTCGCCGACTCTCTTCGCAGCTGTAGTGCGTCTGGAAAGTATCAAGGAATTCGCGATGTCTTGGTCTCGGCTGATGTTGAATGGGGTTCCTACATCCCTGGCGCCCGCCCTCCTCGATTTACTCCTGGCTCGGGAGCTTCGCAGACACACGGTGGTGGCTCGCAGTCATCGTCCACAACTTCTTCAAGCTATCCTTATTTCACTAGCTCGTCAAGCAGAGTTGGAGGCTACTCAAGCGTTTCCGGAGGGGGTTCTGGTGGCTATTCTACGACGACTGGTTCAGCAGGGCCATCAGAGTCTTCCACAACCAGTGGTTCCTACAACGGAGGAACCTCCACGACTACCAGTCTCCCGTACGGTGGCAGCTCAACAACCTCGTCAGTTCCGACCAGTGGATCGTTCTCAACCACCAGTACCACTAGTGCACTGTTTCCAGACAATACTACCGTTGTGACTGTAGACACTGAAATTGACAGAGCCAACTGTACTGCGCCAATGGACAGCAAGTATGGCCTGCGGACCGCGTGCTTGGGACCGTATTTCGACCAGGATCTCGACGACACGTACGGTTATGAGGAAATCGAAGATACACCGTATGCAAGCTTCTTGGCCGGCTTCGCGAATCTTGAATATCCAGATGCGACCACCGATCCCAACGATCCGGATTTCGAAGACGATGATGCCATTATCGAGAAACGAGATGTCACCGACTGGCTTGTAGACAATGTTGTTAAACCCTTCGCAGACGCGGTCGGAATACCCACAACGTATGAGAAGACCATTGAGAAGTCATATCCTATCAGCATTCCAGCCGAACGCCAGCTGGTGGACTCACCTTGGGGCCAGCAGGTTCTCATCAAGTCGTTCTCGCAAGGGGGTGATACCGCCAGTGCCAAACTTGACATTTATTGTGTCGATTGCGGTGCCAAGGGTCAAGCCAATATCAATGGTAAAATCAGCGTCAGCCTGGATGGTATCAATGCACTGGAAGCCAACTTCCAAGGCGATTTGACGGTCGCCGTCAAGATCGGAGTCGACGCCAACCTCCAGTATGAGCAGACCTTCGGCAAGCAACTTTTCCAGGTGGGCATTCCAGGAGCTTGTATCGGTGGCATTGTCTGTGTCGGCCCCTCCATCAAGATGGGAGTCGACGTCAAATTCAATGCCAACGCCAATGGTCAGCTTCTTGCCGGTGCGGCCATCACCATCCAAGATGCCCGCGCATCAGTGGACATGCTGGCTACCCAAAAGGGATCTGCATCTGGATGGCAGCCCGAGTTCATCCCCACACTGGAAGCGAAGGGATCGATCGTGCTCAGCGCTGACGTCGGCATTCCCGTCGCTGTCGTTGTGGGTCTGGACATCTTGGAAGGCTTGTTCACGAGAGAAATAGCTTTGGTCGACAGACCTTCCGTCGTCGCTGTGGCCGCTGTCTCTGCATCGTCCAGTGGTGGTGTGGATACCATTGATGGCTGTAAAGGTATTTCTACTAAAGTCAGCTTGAAGAACAAGATGTGGGCTGCAGTGCCAGGCTTCGATCCATGGGTGCTTGCGGACATGGAACCCAAGCAGTTGGCAGAGAAGTGTATACCACTTGGAGACCAGTCTGGTGGTGACGGCGGTGATGGTGACGGCGGTGATGGTGACGGCGGTGATGGTGACGGCGGTGATGGTGACGGAGGTGATGGAGGTGATGGAGGTGATGGCGGCGATGGAGGAGATGGTGACGGAGGTGACGGAGGTGACGGTGATGGAGGAGATGGCGGTGATGGCGGCGATGAGGGTGTGGACGAAACTGGGGATACCTCGACAGATCCTGGAGTTCGCAAGCGTTCCAGCTTCCACCAGCTCAATGCCCGACAAACCAACTCAACCGGCCCAAGTAACTCAACTATTGTGGATACTACCGCCGCTGCCCTGGCAAACTCCACGAACAGCACTGCTGACTACGATCTTCCGGACCTCGACGACACGTATTACAACACAACAGACGGGTACACATACGCATCTCTGATTGACCCAGACGAGAAATATCAGATCCTCCCTTGCAACGACGGAAACATTTATATCTTCAACATCAACGCCACCGTTCCTCAGTTCAGCTGTGCAGACATGTGGACAATGTCGCCCAATCCTGATGCTGCCGACGCAGGCGTAGAGGACGATCGGGTGATAGCTGATGCCATGGGCCGGATTCCTCACTTCTACCCTGAGGAGATGGATAAGACGGGCGTATCACGACTTCGGGTCAGTGATGTTGAGAATATCCCGATTGATGTTACAAACGTCTACTTTGTCAGCCTGGACTCAGATGCTGATCCAAACGCGGACGGCACGGATCTCTACTTCGCGGTGGACATTGACAATTTCGGCTACTATCCCATCATCTGCACATACCAGGAGGCCAATCTCAACGCCCGAGTGTTTTTGGCAGCGGACCCCGATGATGGTGTGGAGATGTTGAAGAGTCCTGATATTAGGTACAGTATCACAGGAGGCACGGTCAAGGATTGTTGGTTCATGCCACTGGTTCTTGGTACGTGAGGAGAGATATGAGGATGGCCATGTGGTAGATTATATGCACTCACAAATTATCCTTATGGTAAAAATTCAAGTGAACTCAACTAGCCCGAGGATTGAGCAAGTACGGAGCAGTTTTCACTTAATGACTACCAGATACACTGCAGTGGAGATTTGAGGCTTCAGAATTTGCTCAGGCTGTCGGCCTCGAATCTACATAGCAGCCTCCGTCGTGTTTGGGTATCTACAGTGAGCCTCAATTGCGACGCGGTCGTAAGGCAGGCGCTTCATCCATTGATCCAATGGATTCTCAATGTACCTAGCAACTGTCTAATCATCGAGTCTGTGTTCCCTTGAGCGTTCACAGTTACCAATCTTCACCAAATTGATGGAACATAGAGGGTTTTCATCCATGAACACTTCAACGGGTTCCCGCTGGATCCCGTCGTATATAATGCGATCTTCCGAGTCTTTCTTCGCTTTCCACTTGCGACAATATTCCTCGCCATAGAACCTATTGTCGCAAAAACCTAGTGCCAAGCGCTCCGCCGCGGCGGCCTGCCCCTGCTCAGGCGTCTGTTCGTTTGGTTCAAAGCTGGTAATACCCAGTCTTCTCCAAATATTTTGCTCCATTTCCGATTGGCACTCTTGCAAAGCAGTCCGTGCAGTGGGATCTTCTATCACCGTTGAAACTTCTGAATAGTGCGGTGTGGCAATATGACACAAGTGCTGCAATTGCTGGATCATGAGACCTAAGCATACCCCAGGTTGCAGGTCGGCTAGTAGGAAGCTCCGCCATGCAGGCAAGCTCTGCAAAAGCAGTCAAAAGGGTAATCATATATCGCAGACGCATTGTACACTGTAATATAAACATTTCCGTCGAGAAAATAGCTAGAACACATTTCAGGTTCATCTAGTTTTCTTGTTGAACTTACATAGTCGACGGGTTTCCAGCTGCCCATGCAAAGCTCTTCTGTGTCAGTGTCTGCTATACGAAGAAATTTCAAGGAGCCAGCTATCGTGCCTTAGTGGCTGCACATTAATTCGGACAAAGCAAAGAGTGTTCAAAGGTTCGGGGGTGGGTCTTGCAATTCACTGTACCAAGAGGATCAATGAGGGAGTTAGACAACCATACCGAGTACCCGGCCGCAATAGGTGTTTTAGTCTGAAGGAATAGCTGGGTATGAACTCTTTATTCGTGATCCAGGAGCACTCAATACGAAACTCCAGGTCTGACAAACTCATGACCTTATGTTGAAGTCACTCGAAGCGAGCAAGCTGTCGATTGCGCTGGGATCCAGATGTGCGATACGCGAAAGGAAGATGGAGAACATCATGTCTAATCACTCTTTCACTCACTGGCAGAAACTACTCGTCAAAATTGCCACTTTAGAAGATAGCATTGAGCTAACCAACGCTAGAGTTTCACTTAGTAATACATGGCACGTGACAGGGCTCTCGTGGATGTGCCTTCCCCGTGACCTCGCTACCCTCCTTGTACCTGGGGCTTGCACCTGCGCCCCAAGGGCTGAAGACTGCAGCACCTACCAACCACCATTGACCAACACCAAACACCTCCACGACAGGTTCTTCTATCACAGGTCCATCAATCTCAGTCTCTCTCTTCACCCTGGCATTGGCCCTAAATCATCTCCATTCATATCTTGTCTCCATATTATTGATTCAACTTGTCGTCAATAACTGTCTAGTAATTCCATTCACGCCTACCCCGTGCTTTGCCAATTCACTGCACTGTCCTACACTACCACTTCTGTCAGTAGTCCTCCGTACCCGGCCACCTTGTCCGATCTTTGAACCTTGTCCAAGCTTCAATCCGCGCAACGCGGCAATACTACCCCAACCAACTTGGGCTCTGCGAGGATTCTCATGTTCAGAAAACGAAGACAAGCCATTCCCTTATCCCCATTGTCATCCGCCCGCAAAATCACCACGACTCCTCCTCTCACCTGTCGCACATCTTCTCGGCGACTCCCCACACATTCTCGACGCCGCGGCCTACATCGTTAGATGGCCGATGGTGCATTCCGCTTCACTCAGCCTGGAGCAGGGCAGTTCTATCCCTCACAACCGCATTCCCACCATCGAAACCAGAACCAGACGCGGCCTACCTCGCTGACAGGTTCTCGAAGACCTTTCCCTACCGACGCTCCTTCTCCGTCCCGATCTCCCGTGAACCAGTCTTTGTCCTCAAATTTCAACATGTACTCCCAGAATGGGTACCAAAATCAGCACAGCCTGATGAGTGGGGCTCAGAATCACCAGCAGCGATATGGCAACATGCATATGTCCAAGTACCAACAGCCTCATCATGGTCATCACAATGTGAATCAACATCATCAACAGCAACATCATCATGGCGGCCAACTAGGTCACCAGCACAATATCTCTTCAGGTGGCTTCCAATCTTCGACTCCGCATCTTCCCAACTATGGCCACGAACATATGCAGAATGGGAATGGGAATGGATTACCTCCTGATGAGCCCGAGGAAGTTGACAACGAACATTGGCGGGAGCAGAAACAGTATTGGGAGGAAAGCAAGGATTTACAAGGCCCGAACCAGCGTGCGCGCACTGTTGCCCACCATTCGAAGGGTGTCAATTATGTTCCACTGGGTCCCGCCGCGGAAGAGATATCGTCCGACAATCGTGGAGTGCAGCCATCAAATGGAACTGTCGTGAGTAAGCAGACATGGGATGAGCTTGATTTGGGTGGTCAAGGACTTTGCGCGCTTTCACCCGTTCTATTCAACCCATCGTACCACTTTTTGAAGCGCCTCGATCTGGTCTACAACCAGCTGGAAACTTTACCTCCCGAGATTGGCCGCTTGAAAAGCCTAGAGCATTTAGATGTATCCTTCAATCAACTCACCGAGCTTCCGGAGGAGATTGGCATGCTGTCAAACCTCAAACAACTCCTCCTTTTCAATAACCACATTCAAAGCCTTTGTTACGAAGTCGGATTTCTCTACAAGTTGGAGGTTCTAGGTATCTATGGCAACCCGTTGGAACAAGGACAACGCGACAAAATCACGGAAGGTGGCACAAGAAAATTGGTTGAGTACCTCCGTGAATCCATGCCTGGTATGTCTTTGACGAAAAGTGAGTTTTGTGGAAGAATGCTAACTATCACATAGAACCTCCTCCTCCGCGTGAGCGTGAATGGCATCAATTGGAAGAGACTGCTGAGGATGATCTCAAACAAGATACCATCAAAGCTCTCACATACAACATTTTGTGCGATCGATACGCTACTCCCACTTACTACGGTTGGGTACCCGAGCGAGTACTGGGTTGGGCATATCGAAAGACATTGTTGATCGACGAGATGAGGGAAATGAGTGCCGACATTATTTGTTTACAAGAGCTTGATCGGACGAGCTACGACGAATTCTTCCGGCCTGAACTGGCTGTCAGTGGATACAAAGGATACTATGGTCAGAAAGGACGTGCCGAAACCCTTGGAGACCACGCCAAATTCGTTGATGGCTGTGGAACATTTTGGTTAGACAAAAAGTATATTCTCTTGGATTCACAGCATATTGTCCTAGGGCGGAAGGCGGTTGAACGTCCTGGCGCAAAAGCTTCAGCTGACATGCTCAATCGAGTTTGGCAGAGAGACGACATTGCCACAGTTGTTCTGTTGGAAAATCGGGTCACAGGTTCACGTCTTATTGTGGCAAACACTCATCTCTACTGGGATCCAGCTTTCAAAGATGTCAAACTTATCCAAGCCGCCGTTTTACTGGAAGAACTGACAAAATTGTCTGACAAATATTCCAAATTCCCCCCAGCAACGAACAAGCAGGTGTTCCGATTCTCCGATTCCAAGGATGAGCCCGCCCCTGAACCAGGCCCATCTCTGACATATTCCCAAGGAAATCAGATACCGCTCATCATTGCTGGTGATTTCAATGCAGCAGCCGGAACAGCTGTGTATGACTTGTTGACGAAGAAAGGAATGAGCGCCGAACATGATGATCTTATAGGTCGGGATTACGGAGCATTCTCCCGGGCAGGTATGCAGCACCAGTTCACCCTAAAGTCATCCTATGCACCTATCGAAGACGAGATGCCATTCACGAACTATGTTCCACATTACGTCGACGTTCTGGATTATATCTGGTTTTCGAGCAATACTCTCCGAGTGGTCGGTCTTCTTGGCCAGATTGACCCAGAGTATCTTAAGCGGGTACCTGGGTTACCGAACTTCCACTTCCCAAGTGACCATATCTCCATTGCTGCCGAATTCAAAGTTGAGAAACAGCGGAATGTACAAAAGGCGGTTGAAGCCGACTTTGGACCGTCAAGCAAGAAGTAGTACTCCTAGCATGACAGGTCTGGGTACGAGACGAATGATGGTCAGCAGCTGGTAATGGAGTCATTGCATGGAGTTTTTAAGGCGAATCAACGATACAAACCTGGAGAAAAAGAAATGACAAGGAGTCTCGGATGGATGGTGAGCACGAGTCGTTAGTCTTGGGAGACCATCAACTTGCTGTCCTGGTTAGGATTCGTGGGGACGAAAAAAGGTTGGCCATCTAATGTTCTACTACGGTTCATAATGGTCTGTTTTTATTCTTTTCCCATTTGTTCTCTCTCAGCCACGTCAAAACATGATCGAAACCATCATCATCATCCTCATCAAACGTCATCGCAAACTGTACGAGCATATTTTTCGGTGGTCGAAATGCAAATTATGGTATGAGAGGAAACTTGGGTGCCGAGTTCCGGCGATCCGGGCAGATCGATGCAATGTGAAAGAAAGGGCGAGTCTTCAGGATCAAATGGGCCGGGGCCAGGTAGGCATATGGTTGGAGGGAAATCTTCTCTCTTTTGCGTGTACTCTTCTGCCCAGCAAAGACCACCAAGTCATTATATTACTCACTCTTACTGGCACACCTACATGGGATGTCTCTCTTGTTCATTTCGTCGTTGGACATGGGACGTTTGTTGAAATCCGTACTTGGGCGTCTGTGATGCTACATGATTTCACGCGTTGACGACGACCACCACCCGTGGCTAGGGAGGGATAAAACATCAGTGGTACAGTGGCCGACAGTGGTTTGGCATGGAAAGCAGTGCGCAGATAGGCAGGCAGGCAGACTCAATGCAATGCAGCGGACACATTTTCTCTCTTCACTTTGCTCTCCTTATATTGCTTGGGCCTCTCCCAGGACTTTTGACTCTCCATTTTTCTGGCCCTATTTCCTCTCACGTAATTTCTTTAATGTGATCCCTATAATATAACACTTGGCTATCGTGGATCTCGAGAGAGCTCGGCCTCCAAGTGAGCTGTTCTGTGGCATGCCTGTGTTTGTTTCTCCCACAATACATCGACTGGCACTGCCTGGTTTGGTGGGGAATGCATACCATTGACCCATCAGTGCTGTAAAACTCAACCGTGCCTCGCAGATATCATATTCTGAGATGGACACCAATGGCTCCAGTGAAAGCACTGCACCTTTTTCTGGCTGTGTTCCACCATAACAGGAAGATGGACGAGACAATTTCATGTTGATATGACCTGATGTTGATATCACTGACCACGGTGGTCTTCTGTTGGTCACTATCCTTCTGTGGACGAGACGGAAATTTGCCTTGACCGTTGTCGCATCAGGCAAGGCATTTCTCTCTTTGCCCATCTCTGTGCTTTCTAAGATTGGCTTGAAGTGGTCGTTGTCAAGGTCTTTCATGGAGGGTTTACATCCAACCCGATGGTTCGGACATGCATCCATGGCGGGCTGACTTCCCCAGCGAGACCCGGAAGCCTATGAAATCAACCTTCGGCTTTGACCCTCGCGCCGACTCCGGCAGTTTTCATCGGACATAGGGATCGTATAGAGGATCTGATGTGTTCCGAAGGGCATCAGTTCAATCATGGCTCCGTTCGTTTTCTTTCTTCTTCAAGAGACTCCCCAATCAGACCTTTACGCCTCTCAGCGCACCTGTTGCTCCCCCGGCGCCGCTGCCGGATTAGCTGCACCCTGCTCTTTACCTAAAGCTTTTAATTTCTCCATCTCCCTCTGCCGTGCCTGACTCTCCTTCAACGCCGCAATTTTGCGCTCAAACTGCATTTTCTGCAACAGGAGCTGGCCGCGCCGACCCTCTAGAGATTCAATAGGCTTGCGGTAATCCATTTCCGTCACGCTCGCGGTTGCCGGTGCTGAATCCTTAACGTCGGACGTCGAGGATGAGGATACTGCTTCTTCTTGCTGCAATAGCTGCTCCCTATATTCCTGCTGCTTGACCTTCGCGGCTGCTTGCTCTCGGTCCATTTTTAACATTGCTCCGGCGACAGCGCCCGCGGCTACTATCGAGGCGATGCATATGGCGTAGATGAGGGGTTTGCTCTTGAGTCCCGGGGTCGGGGCTGTTGTCGTCGTTGATGGAGGGAGAGGTGCCTTGCGGAGAGATGACGGAGGAGGGCGAGAGGCTCGCCTGAAGTTTTGCTCTGGCATTATCTCGGATGGGTGAAGAGATTATGCCATACTTTCGACGGGTACTTTACTGCGTTGTGATGAGCGACTGTGCCTTGTTGACTTGTGAACAATGTACATGGTCGATGACCAAATTGTTTATCCTAAGAGCACAAATAGAAGGTCGTCCAACGTCATCAGGCTGAAGCACAGCCTTTCACGTGACAGATCTTCGGAATAGTTTCCCCTACTGGCCAGGGATCTGTTCTTTCTGTCAGCTGCGGAGATATTGTAGAGAATCGCGTTCCTACCCTTTTTATACAGCCCGAGTGACGCGTGCTAGTGATCACATCCTTCAACTTCCCGACCCAGACAGTACTGTCTCAAAACATTCCAGTCCAAAAGCCGTGGAAATGCAATAGACAGAAAAGGAGCAACAAGCATCGAAAGTTGAGCACAGCATATCATGGCAGACGAACAAGGCTCCCTCAATTGGCGCCTGAGCGCGCACCCCATCACACTCCTCACATATCTCACTTTCCGAATAGGTATGCTATGACACAAATCCCATGCCTCGCTGAATCTCCCTCAATCTCCCCGTATTTGGAAGAATATCGAACGACTAACTCCTTCCCAGGAAGTCTCCTGATGTATCTCTTTGGGGTGCTCTTTATCGGCAATTTCGTGCTGGTCTTCATCCTGACACTTCTCCTATTGTCTGTTGACTTCTACTACCTGAAGAACATCGCGGGTCGTCGCCTCGTCGGCTTGCGCTGGTGGAATGAAGTCAACACCTCCACTGGTGACAGCCACTGGGTGTTTGAGTCTGCGCCGGAAGGGGCACGGTCGGACAATAAGACGGACAAGCGCTTCTTCTGGCTGAGCATGTATGTTGCTCCCGCGTTGTGGATTGCTCTTGCGGTGCTCGCGATTGTCAGGTTGCAGAACCTTATTTGGTTGGTTACGATCGGTGAGTGCAAACCCTTGATTCCCACCCTTCTCCTAGAGATGTCGAGATGGACAAGGAGATCGAGACTTCCTTTGTGTCTGGCGGGTTCTAACTCCTATTTAATAGTCATCGCACTGGTTCTGACTATCACCAACACCGTGGCCTTCTCGCGGTGCGATAAATTCAGCCAAGCTTCGAGTTTTGCTGGCTCGGCCTTCCTCGGCGGTGGTCTTGCAAGTGGTCTTGCAAGCAATATGGTCGGACGATTTTTCAAGTGATTGCGGGGTGGTTATCGTGGACTAAAGGCTCTTCAACTCTTGATGGATTTGGCCGGCACTTAGCAGTCGGCGCCTGGGATCATACTCCGTTGATGTTAGCTATTTGGGCGCGAGAAAGAGAGGCGTCATTGAGGCTCGAGACCGCCATGGTGATGGGCCATGAGCATATTGTAGGTCATCCAAGAGGCGGGTCGGTGGTCGTTATAGGGATTTTCTAGTCCGTTCGCCATGCCAGCGGACAACAACGACAACATCGAGTCAACAGCAGCACGGCAATCTAGCAAGACAAGGTGACGCGCCTCCATACATGAGCCAATGTCTATGTGAAGGTTGTGCTGGAATCGAATCTTCGGCAGAGAAAGTGCATGACGCCAGACCTGAGATCGATGCTGAGATTTTGCCATTGGCATCAAATACCATAACGTCACACATCGACCAAGAGCTTCAGGAATGTCAGCCTTGGAGTCATGGCTATACCCACCTGCCTATGTACCTATATTGACTAGCCATTTATGTACGAGTATGTCAAACCACTTCACGTCCAGCTAGCAATCCCATCGTGCCGCGCAACACCACGTCCACGACGACGATGCGTCGATGCTGAACAAAATAGTCTGTGATATAGGGCTGTGATCAGTAGAGGAGTGCCCAGCGAGGCAGATGAGCATGGATAGATTTCCTGACGGTTATAGATTGACTGAATGATATTTTAATTCTTGTCTTTAATTTGATCTATGTAGCTGAATCAGGGCCACACAGAACGCTACTACACTACTACTGGCACACGTTTCGGTCCTCCTTCAATGCATCACCGTTCAACCAAAGACGCGACGACCCCATAACACAACCTCAGGCCTCACTCACACCTTCTTGCCATCCTTGTCGCGCTCCTCGGCCAACAAAACGGCCTCCATGCGTTCAAACCCCTTCAGGGCAGCACCATACCTGTCGAAAACCTCGGCATCATAGCCGTCGGCGATTCTCTCGACGAACTCGTCCTCACGCCAGCGTTTGCCGATCAACGCCTCGAACGTCTCGCCGCTCGCCTCGTCTCTCTCCACTGCCCACACGGCCTTGTACGCGGCGCCGAGCGCGCAGGCGTTCTCGCCCACGTCGAGTTTGTACACGCCCTCGGACCCGCCGAGGACTTGGCCCGCGACGCGCGCTATGGCGGTATTGCGTGAGCCGCCACCGACGAGGTAGATGCGGCGCGGTTGAGCGGGTAAGCTGGCATTGGGGGCTGTGACCAGGTCACGCGACCGTAGGCGGAGACTGAGGAATTGAGATTCGACGATTATGCGCGCATCCGAGTGCGGCGTGCCCGGGACGGTGGATGTGCGGGTGAGCTTGTCGGATGCGGCGTCGTATGAGAAGTGCCATTCGCCCACAGGGAGGTTGGGGATGATTTCTGGGCGAGGGAAGTACAAGCCTAGATGCATTGGTGCCGAGGAGGATTCTTGAGCGAGTGGTGGGGTGGACAGGAGGTGCTTGTCGAATTCTTCCCAGGCGTTTGGGTCCGACAGAGACGCGCTGGCATTGATGGCGTTGCGGACTTTCTCGCGTGCCAGCCCGCCATTCTTGTAGCACAGCATGAACATGTAGAGGCCGGCGGTGGTTGGGGAGTTGAAGAAGTGGGTAGACGGATCTGGTTTGTACTCTGATGTCGACATGAGGAAGGTTGTAGAGGTGCCTAGAGATACCATGGCGTCGTTGGAGCGAAGTGGTAATGCGAGAATAGTTGCAGGGTTGTCACCTGTCGATGCCACTATCGTACAATCCTGACTGAAACCATGACGATTCACAAAGTAGGAAGACACGGAACCGAGATGACAACCACCATCTTCAGGTACGTCTCCCAATTTCGACCGTAACGACTCAACACCCGCGGGACCAGCTGCTAATTCAAGTAATTTCTCATTCCATTTGCCAGCCTTAATGTCCCAAAGATTCATTCCACAGACATCCGAAATATCAAAAGGGGCGAATTTGCCCAAAAATATCGTCGCGATCCAAGATGACACAAGTGTAATTCTCACGGTCTTGATATATTTGTCAGGATATTTTCGTTGAAATCTAAGAATCTGTGGACCCGTAAATCGATGATGGGCTTTACTTCCAGTGGCAGCGGCTAGCTCAGATTCACTGCCCAAAGCGGCGTCGAATTCGTCGCACTCTTTTTGTGTGCTGGCATCCTGCCAGTTCGGACTGAACGGGTGAGCAAATGCCCCATCGAGTTGCGACTGTAATGATTTATTCGGGTCGAGTTGCGCCAGTATTTGCTCAGCGTCAGCATTCCAGAAAACGCTCCCATGCTGCATGCCTGAACCACTAATACCCTTGATTCGTGAAAAGTCCAGACCATCATCCTTCAGCCTCGTCAAAAGAGTATCAATTGCTTGTAGCCACAGGGCCACGGGGGCAAAGACTTCATGCTCAGCTTCATTGACAAGTACACCTTTGGTGACTTTGAAACCCTTGGAGTCTGCATCAAAGTCAAATTTGGCCTCGTGGATTTTCTTGAGACTGGAATCGACCACCAATCCTTTAAGCTGTTGAGTAGAAAGGTCGAAGCCCAAGTAAAGAGGACTGTTCGACATTATGCTATTAGACCTGTTTTTTTTCCGGAGGTGTATGTGACCTGTGCACCAGACAAGGCTTCTCCGTTGTTTCTCAATAGACGGCACCTAGGTAGTCAAGACTTTGTTGAAGAAATAATTCGGGCGTGATGAAACATGTGGAGAAGAACAACTCCAGACATGAGAGTGGTAGTCAGGAAGTAGAGTCGCATGTCGGGAAAGGATCCGGTGGTCATCTTGGCGGATGATATCAGCCTGAATCGTTTTGGGTAATACCACTTTCGGACTGCTGTACCAAATGTCTTTGGTAAGACTCGTTGTGCGGCGGTGCCACCTCAAAAGATAACGTAATTATTTCAATAGATGAAATACTCATTTCTCCTTCTTGGATTGAGCTGAGCGAGTCGTATTTCCGTTTGCATGATGCGCATGCCCATTGCTGTGAGCGTGGCCATGATCATGATCATGACCATGACTATGTCCGTTTCCGTTTCCGTTCTCATCCTCAACTTCAGGCTCAGGACTGCTTCTGGGACTTACATCCGTGGTGATAAAATCGCTGGCAAGTGTAGATGTTGTATCTTCGATGGGGACAAACTTGACACGAACTCTTCGAACGCCACGAACCTTAGACCCTATTCTCCCACGGACGGCATTCTCAATGATGTCGGTTTGCTCCAGGGTAAAAGTCTTGGGGACGGCCAATTCGATGTCAATCAGATAGTTCTGACCCGATTTGATCCCTTGAACGTCTCTGAGTTCCACTTCATGACCTAGCTGGACCGCTTCAATGCCCTTTTTTATATCTCCATGTAGAGCTTTGGTGGCTGCCTTCTTCACGGAAAGCTTGACTTCGTCATCCACCGTGACATCTGCGAGCTCCAGAAGGGCTGTTTTGGTATTACCCCATCCTGCGCGAATAACCATAGCAGAGATGATCAAACCACCAACAGGGTCGAGCCATGAAGCATCCGAGAAAACGTGTGCACCACCGATCGTCGCGAGTGCGACAATGCTGGTCAGAGAGTCGATTCTGTGGTGTACTGCGTTCGAGGCTAAAACGGATGATTTACGTTCGCGGGCGATCTTCATAGCTGGAGGTTGCCTCGTGTTAGCAGTGGAGTTCAAGCAAGGATCGGAGAGGGTACTCACTAGCCCTGTAGAGCCATTCCTTGACAACAATAGACCCTGCAGCCAGCCAAGCAGCATTGAGATTGGGAATGGTATGGCCCCCATGGCTATGGTTATGTCCAAGGAAGGAGAACAACCCATGTGAATGTTCCGCATGCTCGTGGGCGTGAGCAGCTGTCTCGAGGAAGAATTGAGTGTATAGAGCATCCAAGCCATTAAGACCAATACCGAGACCACCAAATAGAAGTAAACCGCTCACACCAAGGGCACCCAAGCCTTCAATCTTGCCAAAGCCACTGGGAAATCGATCGGTGGCAGGTTTCAGTGACCAGGATATTGTGGCCAAGGTCATGAAGTCGGACACCAGATCGGTCAAGGCGTGGAAGCCGTCGGCAATCAGTGCCTGCGAATGAAAGACATAGCCTCCGACTCCCTTTCCTATTGCCATACCCAAGTTGACAAACAGCCCGATCCTCGTGATCTTGACGCCTGCATCGTTCCTGTTGCTGGATGTGAGATATGTGTTATCATGACTGTGACCATGCCCGTGTCCGTGTCCATGGGAGTGCCCTGCATGGCTTCGTATTTGTGTCTGTGTCGACGACATGATGATCCTAGGGGCTAGGAGATGGGTATTGGTATGGGAGAGGAGGAGAGCTGGAGAAGGTGATCGACGGAGGAATATGGAAAGCGAACAATATGTATGCAGGCAAGTAGCCTGGTGGCGGAGGTTCATATGTAAATATTTAGTAACATGTTTATAATTGTATGATGGTCGAACTTGAACGTGAGAGTGACAGGACAAGTGTCGCGTGGCAGCGCGAATGGAATGCGTCAGCGGCATTTGGAGAGATCTTTTTGGGGGCTTGCGGGCGGCTGACGCGCAGGGAGGCTCAGCGCAGACTGCAGCCTCAGAAACAAGAGCAAAAGAACAGGGCCAGCAAGAGGGCGAAAAAAGATTCGGGTGCTGCAAACAACAATTCTTCCTGCTTCATCCCATGGTTGTGGTTGTGCTGATCCTTGGAACGACAGACGGATGGGAAGATGGCGCTGATACAGAGAACTTGTCAACAATGATTGACACTCGAATCTCTCGTGGATCACATCATCCAACTGAAGAAGAGCAATTAACAATTCTTTTCCGAATTCAACCTCACTAGTATAGAATTGTGGGCAAGGCACCAGGTACCGAGTACTGCCTGCTAGCTTCTTGTTTTAACCAGAAGGATGTCGCTAGGCGAGAGCCTGATGCCGAAGGAGCTTACAAGTATGTCATGCCCGGGACAGTTCGGAGTCGCTGCCGCCGTAGGGGCCTGGCCCTGGGTTCTAATTACCTACCTAGGTAAGTTGGTGTGCAAATGTACGAGCAAGGCACAAGATAATCTTCAGGTACACCTTAGGTAGCAGTCAACAATAGAACAGCTGTATTCGAATCTGTCTATGAATTGTCCGCTTCTTTTAAACTACATAGAATAACAAGAATGGTATAGCAACTCGACACCCTACAAGATTGGTTTCGTCGAATCACTCCGTCATTCCAGCTTCAACCTCTCCAGATCTTTGGCTGCCTCGTCCAATCTCTGTACCTCACTCTCAGCATCAATCAACTTCTCCTGTTCCTTGGCCTGTGTCTCCTTGCTCGCCTTGGCCCATCCAGCGCCGCTCATGATTTTCTTCTGCTTCTCGATCTTGGCCTTCGCATCTTCAATTCCCTTGTGGCGTTTCTTCAACTCGGCATCAATGTCTATCCGTCCCACAATCTTGAGATAAACCGCGGCATCGGCATTGATGCTCTGTAGAGCACAACCTGCTGGTGGGGTCGAGTCCTTACTGGGAGCGAGCACCTCGATTTCTCCTGCGTATTTGCCACCAAGAGATCTGATCGACGTTCGTTCAGTCGAGGCCGTCTTATAAGCCGAATCTGAATAGGTTTGAATGAGAATATCACCAGGCTCTTTGAATCCATACTGAGACAAAAGACTTCGAGCTCCAGCAGCAACGTCCATGATGAATTCATATTCCTGGGCTGCCTTAGGCTGGTCCAGGACTTCGGTGAAGGCTGGATATTTCGCAATCATGATACTCTCGGTAGTGTCACCATTGCGGCGAGGCAGCTTCTGCCACAGATGCTCTGTCAAGAATGGCATGATGGGATGCATTAGCAAGAGACCACCCTCCAGAGCAGTATATAGCGTCTGTTGTGCGGAGTGTCTCTCATCCTCTGCTGCCTCTGGTGTGAGAATATATTTGGAATTCTCAATGAATGTGTCGCAGAGCACATTGAACCAGTACTGATACAGGGTACCGGCGACGATCGAGAATTCTCGCTTCTCCATGGCTTCGTTGATCTCCTTGGTAGCTTGATTGAGTCGATGGAGAATCCACTTCTCTGCCAACGACTTGGGCTTGTTATCCGTGGGTTTGGCATCAGCCACAAATTTGTCCCCCAGTCTTCCTAGTGCGAAGTTGGTTGCTTGGTAGATCTTGTTGCAGAATCTTCTCTTCGCCTCAATCTCTCGGATATCAAAGGCAATATCACCACCTCCTGTGGTGTAGTTCACCAATGTAAACCGAAGTGCATCGGCACCACACTCTTCAATTCCTTTGGGAAACGCAGTTTTCTGGTACGTCTTCGCACGATCAACCTCGGCCTCATCCAAATTGCCTGAGTAGAGTTGCTTGTGAAGGTTTTCAAGTGTGATACCCCGAATAATGTCGAGAGGATCCACAACGTTGCCCAAGGACTTGGACATCTTGCGTCCTTCGGCGTCTCGGATGAGAGAGTGGCAGTAAACCTCGGTGAAAGGCACGTCTCCGGTCAGTTTGAGGCCGAGCATCACCATTCGAGCTACCCAGAAAAACAAGATGTCCCAGCCGGTCTCTAGCACTTCTGTGGGATAGAGTGTGCGCAGATCTGAGGTTTCCTTGGGCCAACCCAGAGTGGAAAAGGGCCACAGTCCACTGGAGAACCATGTGTCTAGTACGTCTTCGTCCCAATGTAGTGAAAACTTCTGGCCAGGAAATTTCTTCTCTGCTTTGAGCCGAGCCTCACTCTCATCATAAGCACACACCCAGTACTTGCCCTCAGCGTTATCGCTGGTTCCGTCTTCAAGCTCAATGAAATAAGCGGGAGCTCGATGACCCCACCAAAGCTGTCGAGAAATACACCAATCTTGAATGTTCTGCATCCAGTAATGGAAACGGCGTGACTCGGATTCAGGTCTGATGAGGATCTTTCCATCGAGAACAGCCTTGTCAGCCTCTTGTGCCATTTGACTCATACTCATCCACCACTGGGGTTTGAGAATTGGCTCAACCACATCTTTACTTCTCTGGCACATTGGAATCGTCATTGGATTGTCCTCCTGCTTGGTATAAAGACCCAGCTCTTTGAGTGCAGTGATGACTTCATACCGCACATCAAATCTCTTGTGACCTTCGTAAGGACCGGCATTAGCGTTCATCAAACCGTCATCAGTGAGAATATTGATGAATTCCAAGTTATGCTTCTTGGCTTTGTTGAAATCATTAGGATCATGGGCGGGTGTGATCTTCACGGCACCGGTACCAAATTCTCGTTCGACTTCTTCATCTGCGAAGATGATGATCTTCCTATCAGGCAGGAATGGATGAATGGCATATTTGCCAACAAGATGCTCATATCGCTTGTCCGCAGGATGCACAGCAATGCCAGTATCACCTAGCATTGTTTCGGGACGAGTAGTAGCAATCTCGATAAACTCATGACTTTTGAATCGGTCTGCTGATGTGGAGGTCTTGTGCGAGTCATCACCATTATCGATGGGATATTTGAAGTACGTAAGCACACCAAATTCGACCATCTTGTCGTACCCAGGCACCTTTAGTTTGGTCCGACCCTTCAATTCTTTATTGTCCACCTCCAGGTTGGATAAGGAGGTACTGAGTGCTGAACACCAGTTGACAAGTCGGTTGGCGCGGTAGATGATACCTTCATCGTAGAGGTCAATGAAAGATTTTCGAACAGCTAGAGAAAGGTTCTCATCCATGGTGAAAGCTTCTCGGCTCCAATCCATGGAACCACCAAGTCGTTTCAGTTGATTGGTGATATTGGCATGATATTTCTCTTTCCATTCCCAGATCTTTTCCAGAAGAGCGGAACGACCGATATCGTGTCGGGTTTTGCCTTCGAGCTTGTAGATCATCTTTTCCACCACAGTTTGGGTTGCAATTCCAGCATGGTCGCAACCAGGAATCCAGGCGGTCGTCTTTCCCTGCATTCTCGCGTGACGAATCATGGTATCTTGAAGGGCATTGGTCAAAGCATGGCCCATATGTAAAGAGCCTGTGACATTTGGGGGAGGAATGGGGATAACGAATTTGCCTTCGGGCTTGATGTTGCCGTCCTCTGTGAACTGAGGCTTGAAGTATCCTCTACTCTCCCACCAATCATACCTATCAGATTCGATCTTTTGGGGTTCATATGCATCGACAGCAGCAGGCTTCTTGATCTTCTTTTCCTTGACCTCTTTGGGGGCTGCAGTGGCGGGTGCCGCCTTCTTGGACAGTTTCTCTTGGAATTTGGCGAGCTTTTCAGCCTTTTTGCGGTCTCTTTCGACTATAGATTCAAAATCGTCAGGCTCATTGCATCACAGCGAACGGTAGCATGATTGGGAAGGTGTGTTAAGCGATTGGACATTGCAGAAGCTACCAGTCAATTTCGGTAGAGTATATAAAGTACTTTCCCAGTCATAACACCATGATAAATTGGCGCTCCGGTACTTGTTCTTCTCTCCGATAACTCTTTCGTTGCAGGGAAAGGCGGTCTCGGAACATGTCCAAAGCAAAGAGGCGAAAGAGCGTTGGGGCATCAATGAGGCGGATCGGTGGTATCTTGCGTACTTTCTTTGGCAGTCTTCTCCTTCCCTGCTTCCCCGATTACAGTCTGGCCTTTCTCGTTACCTTGCTGATCCTTGCCGGGGACATTCTGACCGAGCGAATCCGTCTTTGCGGCTTGTTGAACAGCGGAAGTAGTCTCGGAAGATACAGGTGGTGGGGGGCCAGAAGGAGAACCAGTTGGCTCACCGGCTAAGTGGGAGAGTCAGCCTTGATAGCCTAAGGAAAAGGTAGGGTTTGACCGACTGATATTGTGAGAGGCGGCGTTGAAGGCCATGTTGAAACGAAGTAGCCGTCTCCAAGCAGGAGGGCGCAACAGGAATGACCTGATAAGTATTTTCGCTGGCAAAGCCTTGCGGCGAGGGAGACGACTATTCTTTTATGAGGGGTTTGGGGGGAGGGCGAGCACTAGAGTTACGGGAAATCAAAGATAAATAGAGCAAAGTGACTCATAGGAAGAGAAATGAAGTGGAAGTCTAGTATCTCCTTGGGAGCAGTCATGGATGGCGCTGTGATAGTAAAGTGCATCCGGGGTAACAATTATGAGTCCGACTGAAGCACACTCCCTGCCGTTTTAGGTTCATTTCGCCGCCGCTTTTTTGGATCTTAATCTCAATGCCAAGACCTTGAGGTGAATGTGATGTTGAGCGCCTGAGTGGCATCGTCAGGTTCCTATGTGGACAGGAGGTCGAGGTCGAGGTCTTCTTGCTCAGAACAGTGAAGCTGAATTCAATTAAACTCTGGACATGGGAGTTGAGCGTTCCTCCGGGATACTACCTAGGTCAATGTGAACTTCCCTCTATGCTAGCTGGCCACCACTCCACCTAGACCTGTAGGCTGATGAATTTCAATCTATTGTACTCCGACCACTGCAATGCGCCTGCTACATTGCTCTGTCATGTCATGCCATTCACTTAGGTACTCATGATCACCATCCCGATCATAATCATTACCACCGTCATCAACATTTGTACCCACATCTTACAGGCATTCATGGCTTGCTGATGCCTTTCCACTGTTACCAGGGGTCTCGGGGACTGGCGTCTTGTTCTTGATCGGAAGCTGTATCGGATCTGTCCCTCGCCGTAGCAACAATGTAGTGATTTCTTGGTGCTGTTCTTTTCATAGCTTGATGCCGCTCAGGAATAGTCAAACACATATCTCCTTGACTCAAGAAACATGGTTTGTGTTCGTGGCTTGCTGTTGTGCTGCTGTTCTCACCGGTGCAAAGTACGCGTGTGCCATGGCTTCTTGGGCTGTAAGACGTTCCTAGAGAATTCGATGAGTAAGACATCAAGAATATGAAAAAAAAAGATGGTTACCTGATGGTCATATCGGAGAAGCTTGTCCAGGAAATCAATGGCTTCGGGAGTCACGAAGCGTTGATTGTCAGCATTGACAAAGCTTTGCCAGGGCTTCTTGGGGAATCTGCTCAAAATATCATCATATTGAGCGTCGAGTTCAATGTCATATCGGTCGAGATACTCAAAGAGCTCGTCCGTTCCAAGAACCTTTGCAATCTTGACCAGTTGATCTGAATTGCTGTTTCCATGGAAGAAGGGCTCTTTGCGGAAGATCATGGATGCAAACATGGCACCAAGGGACCACATGTCCAATGAGTAATCATATTCCTGGAAATCCACCAGGAGTTCCGGGCCTTTGAAATACCGTGATGCTACCCGCACATTGTACTCGGTGCCTTGGTGATAGAACTCGGCTAAACCCCAATCGATGAGTCGCAGCTATTGAGATGAATCGTCAGTGGGAACCAAATGTGCAGGACCTGGATAGACCTACCTTTCGTTTGGCATGATCGATCATGACATTGTGTGGCTTGACATCCCGATGCATGATGCCTTTACTGTGACAGAAGTCCAGGGCTTTTAGCAGTTCATTTATGTAAAACCTCACATCATAATCCACAAATCGCGGGTAGAGCGTGCGAAAGTCTGTATTATCGACGTTCTCGAAGATCAAGCTGGGAGTTTTGCTCTGACTGTCGCGCACTACGTCAAGCAATGCGACAATGTTGGGACCACCAGACAGATTCTGTAGGATCTTGATTTCGCGCTTGATCTTCTTCTTCTTGACGGGTTTGAGGACCTTGATGACACATTTCTGATAGTTGGCGACGTTAATGCCCTCAAATACTTCAGAGTATTTGCCTCTTCCTGGGTCATCTCTTTAGATATGTACTCAATACTCCGCCCTCGGCCATACATACCAATCTTCCTCACAATTTCATAGTTTTCCAACACACCCCACGATATGGCAACAGAGTCATAATCCCAGTATGTCCTGGGCATGTTTGCATTGACATCTGCATAAACTCGCGCCATGGTGGCGAGTGACGAGGAGCTGCTCGATTTTGGAAAATATGTAGATCAAGCAATCGAAATGGTCATGTAGTGGATGTTTTGTGCCCGCGACGGAGAAGGCTGGATGCGGATGTGGATGGTGTGCACACTGGATGGAGGGGGTACGATGGCCTCAGGCGCAGTGGTGAGCTTCGGAATGCGCACCAGATGTATGAGACCTGGGAATGTTGAGGAAGGGTGTGGGATGAAGAGATGAGAAAAAAGACGGGTGCTTGCTTGCTAATACTGGAATTGTAGTATAGGGTAAAGGTAGACGTGTACTGCCCGTTGTAGTGGTGCCAGTCCCATGGTGGGTGCGTCTCGATAGAGTTGGAGTTGGAGTTGCAGTTGGTGGGTGATTCACTGCCTGAGTGTGACCTAATAGCAGCAACATTTTGTTCTCCATTTGAGACTTATCATAATTGCCGCTTTAGAACAAAAATAATTCGACTCCCACTGGCAGTCTTCTTCTACAACTCCAGTTCAGACTGCGATGGCATTGATTGTCGCTCACACTTTACAACGATGACTTGAACTAGTAACCGCACAACAGTTATCCCATACAACATGAAATCCCTGCCCCTCTCACCCGTGGCGGCTCTCATCGTCACCCCTCCATTCAATCAATATGCCCTTCCACGACCTTAACGTCCCGTACACCACCAATCACTCCGACCTGTCCAACACACTCGCCTTCCATGCAGAGCTCGGCTACACTGTGGTCGCAGTCTCACTCTCCATAACCGGAAAACTGCCTCCTCAACCGCAATCTATTCCGCTCTCTGAACTCTCCATCCCCAAATCCATCTCAAAGGTCCTCACTCGCATGACCCTTACCATTTCTGATGCAACACAAAACCATCGCTTGGGCTCTTTTCTACCCCACTATGACCTCCTTGCTCTACGGCCTACCAACGAGAAGGCTCTTCAACTATGCTGTAACAGTCTTGACTGCGACATCGTTTCCCTCGATTTTAGCCAACGCCTTCCCTTCATCTTGAAGTTCAAGACCGTCTCCTCGGCATTGCAGCGAGGTATTCGACTCGAGATCTGCTATTCGCCCGGCATTTCACCCTCCCCTGCTTCCGGTGGGCATAGTAGCAACGATGCGCGCAGGAATTTGATCGCAAATGCTGGCTCTCTAATCCGGGCCACCCGCGGGAGGGGCATTATTCTAAGCAGTGAAGCCAGGAACGCTCTGGGCGTGCGTGGACCTTACGATGTCATGAATCTTGCTCAAGTGTGGGGCCTTGGTCAAGAGCGAGGGAAGGAGGCATTGTGTGAGGAAGCTGGCAAAGTGGTGAGACTGGCCGGCTTGAAGCGAACAAGTTTCCGAGGTGTGGTCGATATCATCGATGGGGGCGCGGTTAGTTGTGATAGTTCAGGAGCGACGACGACAGCATCTACCTCTGCTGCAAACAAAACCAAGACTCCCACGGCGAATTTACCTGGAACGGCTCTTGTAGGACCAACTGTCCCGCGATCAAAGAAGGAGGCAACTATTCCCATCTCGATTCCCAATGGTTCAAAACGGAAAGCATCATCAACTTCACTCAATGGCGGGACGATCATGGACCCCACGCAATCAACAAATCCAACCACCCCGAACACCGAGGACGACCAACCACTTTCTAAACGTGAGCAAAAGCGACGTGCAAAGAAAGCGAAATTCGAAGCCCGAGAACAAATCCCCTCCGGGAGTTGAGTAGATTCCCGCAGAGGCTACGACATTAAGATTGTCCCCGACATGAAACGCTGAGGACTAGGCAAAGGAGAGTTAATCTCTCTTACTGTATCTGAGGTCAGGGTCTCACCTAGCAAGAAACACCCAGGCGGTAATGTGGGACCTCGTCCCAACCCGCGGCTATAGTCCATTACAGTGCTATCCACAAGGGATGGACGTATTCTAGACAGGGCCAAATTCTGGTACTTGGATAGCGAGTGGCACTCAGCGGTCCAGATACTCTCGCTCAAACGGCCAGGTCCATGTTCGTTCGTAATTCAGTTTCAGCTCTGAGTCTGAAGTGGATGTGCCAGATCATCATTATTATGGCCAGAATATCGAATTTGAACACGCACAATACAAACGACATGACCTGGAATTGCGCTGTTGCTACTTCGATAGATAGCCAGAATACGGGGTCCTAGATCACGTTACAGACATGAATAGTCCCTCAACACCGGAAGGAAACACTACAAGGCGTGAGACGTGATTCAGTTGATCAGGATTGGAGTTCCGCCCTCGTCCAATATGCCCATCCACCATATGTCAAACCCAGCATCTCTCCTCTGCCAGACATCCTCTAGTAACTTTCGGACACAATGTATTGATGAAAGCCGAGTCTTGTGCGTCGAAATGTTCGTCATCGACCGGAGGAAGTCTCGATCCGAAGACTCTGTGACCCATTGAGCGGCTGAGAGAATTGGGAGCGAACACACACGCCAAAGTCTGCTCTGAGCAGGAATATGCCGCAACAGCGTGGTGGTCGACAGAGCCAGCCGTAGCAAAATCTCAGTTGTAACTTCGCCATCGTTGAGCAAGCTGACACGTTTCCGTAGTAAACGAGGGCAGAAATTGTACAGAGTCAATAGAGAGGACAGCCGATAGGCCTCTGCAATGTTGTCGAAATCTGTAGGACTGTGGTATTCTGAGGTGTTATCATGCGGATTACGCTCCTCGAGGCACGATTGCCCGAGGCGACCCCATTCAAGCAGGCATGTTTCAACATGATCAATTCTTTTCTTGACGTCCCTTTCATTGCTTCCTCTCCTTAATTGCCTCGCGATTGTCCCGACTGTTGCAACAAGAGGCATCAGATTTCCCCAATCGCCGACTAGGGGATCAATTTCGGTACTGGCCCCGTCTTGGGCCGAGTAAGGCACCCCTGCCGTCCACAGCGCGTATGTGGTCGATGATGAGAGAGCGTGGTCTTCGTTGTCAGAAACAAAGCTCATCAGCGTCCCGAACCAGCAGAGGAAGTTGGTCAAGAACAGCGGGACTTTTATTCCACATTTGATGGTGTGAAGCATAAGCCTACTCGCGGCAAGGAGGTGCGGTGAACTCGAATTTGCCGCATCAAACCAGCACTGTAAGCGGAATCGTCAGCAAATGGCCGAGGAATTATAACCAGTACCTAGGCTTTCTCGCTAGACACGACTTGTCTCTGTGGTGCCTAGAAAGAGTATTGCAGCTAGCATCTCCACCGAATAGGCCTGTTGGCGAGCATCCCTCTGCATCACCTTGAGGGCAATGGCGCGGTACTGCCATGCATACGCCATTTTTTCGAGATACGCTGCTGACATCGACATGATGGCGAAAGTGAGGGCATCACTTTGAAAGAGATATTGCTTAAAATTCTCGCCGAAAGGGTTTGTCGGCCCTTCCATGATGGGGAAGCTATTGGCCATTTTGTCAAAGTAGTGGTCAAGAAAGTATTTCCTACGACTCTGTTCGGAATACTCGTTATGGAATCCTGGCCATGGGACCGATGTAGACGCGGTGAGGGTGTACGGCGCATTGAGAGCTTCATTTTGTTCTTCTCTCAGCCTTTTGCCGCCTTCATCGCCGACATCGCTGTTGCAAACATTTACAGCTATAGGGAGAACTGGTAAGTGTCTGCGAGAAGGTGATGGCTCTTTGGTGGGTGAGATATTGCTCCTACCTGTCAGATCATCATCCACCGCGGCCCTGCTGACTGAGGCTTTGAGATTCAGCCTCCTCTTCGCCCTGGCCGAAGGCCCCTCGACGAAGGTGAATTTTCTTGCATAGCCGGGGCATACGACATGTTTGTCTACACATTGCCTACAGCTAGTAACGCCTTTGTCGCATCGGATATGACGCCTCCGACACCCTTCGCAACCTGAAGGCCATTAGCACTGAGACGCTCCATGACAGCATTCCTTCAGTAGGTGAACTACCCTTACCTCCGTAGACGCGACGGAACTTAGGTGGAACTTTCGTGCCAGGAACAACCAGCATCGTGGAAGGTCAGTCAAAAGGGTTAGTAGCAACCGCGTTGTGGGAATGGACTTACGAGCATGGGATTTATTGCAATTGTCCAGCAAGATCCAAAGGCTAACGACTGAGACTGATCAAGCTGCCCACGCAAGCTTATCAAGACGGGGGGTTACAGATTCACAATCACCACCCATCTGCCGTGTGGGCACAAGTACGAGAGGGAAATGGCAATTTGCTGGTTTGGATAAGACGGCCTTATCGGTCCCGCCTCCTTCTTGTGGGGAAGATACAGTACAGGTGGAGCTTCAGCTAGGAGCCACCTATCTTACTTTGGGCATTTTCGAGTCAAGACACTTGCTCATGCTCGGTCTGGCACCGAAGCACAACTCTACGAGTATCGCCCGTGGTACGTCCCATAGTGGAGGCCTTTGTGCTTAACAAGACTTGTCACGGATTCATCTGCCTTCTTCAGCTTAACAAGAATCCGAACCGCCGACTACCTTTCTTAACACCATTCTCGTTCTCACACATTGATATTTATTCACGGATAATGCAGAAGACCCACCACTCCTCAATGGTCAGGATGCAATGTCTGAGTGTGCTTGCTCCGTACAAGATGATTCAACCTACCTCTTCCACTCCCCAGTCACGGTTTATATCTAGGTTAATACTTCGAGAGCTTGAGAGTCAGCCGATTCAAAGAAGACTTCCACAATTGTTATTTTCAAGTGCAAGGTCGAAATAAAAAAAAATCCAGTATATCGAGGCCGGTGTAGTCTCTATTTTCAGCTTTGTCGACTAGATAGAAGGGAGTCTGCTAGCGCGGCCGCTACCCACTTGACCATCCATAAATCCCCGACTTGTTGATAACATTATCTGCCCATCAGCTCGCTACCTTTCAGGATCTCAATTCCTCTAGTACTTCCAATTACTACGCGTGCGATTTCGCTTCCCTTCTCAGATTCCGGTTATTCTATTGCTAAACCGTTTGAAAGTGTGCGCCGATAATCTACTGGTCTTCTCCAAGAATCTCTCCTCGATTGCTTTGGGAATCATGAGTCCCTTATTTCCCCGACTTTTTGCTCCAACCTCGAATTTTATGGCCATAGAAGTAGAAGACAACAGGAATCGGGACCATGACCGTCGCGAGACATCCAAGAAGTGTGCCCGCCCATTGTATTTTAAGGTTGTTGAACATCTGGTCGGCGAACAATGGGAATCCTGCGCCGAAGAGTGATCGAAGGAGACTGTTGGCTGCAATGGCAGATGCCGCGCTGGTCAGATAACCCTGGTTAGTTTGATTGTTGTTATAGCTGTAAGTTTTGAGAGACGACTTACAACATAAGATAAGTGTCAATAATATAGTTGAAGCACTGAAGAAAAATGCATAGGATCCCAAATCCAGTCACTAATCCACTGGCGGCGGGTGCCATCCAGTGGATCTTATTAGTATAGCCTGTCCAACCAAACCAGAAGAGACCGATAGCGAAGGTAATCGCGCCAACAATGACTGGCGGTAATCTCCATTCCGGGATCTGAACTCCGTGGTTCAATGCGAGTTTCTTCTTATATTGAACTTGGTCGATCATGATGTAGATACCCCCGCATAATTGGCCGATAATGAGACTAATAAATGGTAGACCACCGATACCCTCGTCCATCCCATGTACTTGTTGGAAGACGATTGGGTATGCTCCCAGAAAAAGGTAGATTAGTCCGTAAATAAATGACATATATATCGTAATAAGGAAGATAATAGGCTCGGTGAATAGTAATCGAAGCGGGCGAGAGAAATTTTGCCTAACAAGATCGCGAAAGTCAACTTCGATCTCTTCCTGCCGAGCATGAATAGCAAAATTCTTAGTCTCCCGACGAACACGTCCGGCTTTAGCAACAAGGATAATAGGGGCGTAGCTTTCCCTTATAAAGAGGGTTAAGACTGTACTAAGCCAGCCCATGATAGACGCAATATACATTGTCCATCTCCATCGGAGGTGACTATCGGCAATAAAGCCACCGACAAAGGGCGAGGCGAAAGGGCCTATAAATACAGCCATAGCAAAAGCGGTAATGGCGATTCCTCTTTGACTATCGTCGTACATATCGGCGAAGCAGGCTGGGACGATCGCTAAAGGCCCGGCGGCGAAGAAGCCGCTAAAGAACCGGGTCAGCATAAGGGTTTGGTAGTCCTTTGATGTAGCGGCGGCAACAGCAAAGATAGAAAACCCGAACATAGAGATCATTAGCGGTAGTCGGCGCCCCGTAAGCTCAGAGCCAGGGCCCCATAGAATAGGGCCGAATGCGAAGCCTAGAACATATAAGGAAACACCTAAGACTCCGACTTCACGTGAGACATGGAATTCGTGTGATACTTGGCTGACAGCGGAGGAGAATATGGCGCTAGAGAAGGACGCGACGAAGGTTATGAAGGCTAACATCATAGACTGACTGATCCTGATCTAGGTTTAGCCAGAAGTTATGCCCAAATAGGAGGAAACTTACTTGAATCCAAATGGCCAGTTCTGGGGATATTGGGGATCATCGCATCCTTCAAATTCAACAACGTAAGAATCCCTTTCGTCACCCTGGGGAAAGGGTTTCCCGGCTCCCATTGTTGTAACAGTCGTTAAAGTGGTAAATGATCGTTGTCTTCCGCTTGCTGATGATCCTTGACCAACGGTGTACAGGTGCTGAGTCCGTGATCTACTAATTCGCTCCAGCTCCAAAGGGTGGAGCTGGCTCTGTGACTGAGAGGCACTGATTGTATACTAAATCTCACATCAGTAGACCGTAAAATAATCACAGTTTCACGATTGATCGTTTTTCGTAAAATTCTTGAAGAGACACACTGACATGTGAGTTTTGAGGTTCCATTGTGTTCGAACTCGTTGAGCCTCTCTCGAGGTCCACTTCCCTTGGAGTGAAGTAAGTCGTATTCTCATCTCGACTATTGATGGCATCGACTTCGGCAAGGATAAGGTCTTGATCTAGACGATCCATGATTGCTTTCTAGGGTTATTGGTGTTGAAGAAAGCCAACTTATGTCTTCTCGTTCTAGAGTTGTGCTCTAGGGGTGCATCTTTATGGCACTAGGAATTCTACAATTGTGATGAAAAGCACGGCTATATGGCACCTACCAAGCCACGGATATTCGGATCTGACGTTTTTCACCGTCTAGTTCTACATATCGGTATTGATGGAATGATAGCGGAAGCAACCCTGGTAGACATCAAACTTTGTCATACATCGAATCATCGTCGGTTCCGTTGACACTGCAACCTATCCAGACGACTCAGGAGTTAGTCACGCCGCAGCCATTCCGCTCAGTCCGTCGCAGTTGATGATGCTCCGTTGTGTGATTAATTTTCTTCTGCTAGCCGCTTATCTAGCCAAAAGATAGCATTAGGCCCTTCCACAATTGGTAGGGAGTCAAGGGCGAAAGTGAGAGGCACAATAAGTTGAGTTACGCATACATTCTATCACATTACAACCTCTGAGGAAGGATCGGATAGTCTTTATGGAACTTTTCATGTTGCGGATACCAATAGATCTTGAGAGGACGATATCAGAAGAGGGTTTAGCGTGGCTTGAGAGAACTGAATGCAGGCATGACTAACTGGATCGTTAATAGTGGAGCATTGCTGAAGATACTCGACCCACCCTGGCTTCTGATGTATGGCAGAGGAGCATCCTGATGATCCATTCCGAAGACTGTTTCTCTGATTTATTCATCAAGTCGCATACCCACAGTCGTCTTGTCTTGTTTGGGATTCGTAGGTGCTTTTGCCACGCCTGAGAGCAATCTGTGCAAAAGCCAAAAAATCCTCAGATAGGATGACAGTGTTGAATAAGCACCCGTACGAAACTTGGTTCATGGTCTCTAGCGATTGTATGCCGCGAGAATAGGGTGTTACATATATACATCTACAAAACTCTGCAATTTGAAATGTGGAGGTTGAGCTCTCAAATCCTTCATTGCCGTATAGTCAACGATTAACTACTGACCTCGATTGGTTCACACTATACTTTTATGTGTCTATTTGCTGGATGACCGTTTTGAACGAAATTAGTGCTTTTATGGATACTAATACCCTCACACACATCGTCCCTTCATCGGCTTCCAAAAGACAGTTTGTGAAAAGAGTTTTGAAAGCCTGTGATCGGTGCCGCATGAAAAAAGCGAAGGTCAGTAATTTTGAGCTTTTTGGTCTCTCATAGCTTACTCTTACTGTTAAAAGTGCGATGGCGCAGGCCGTTGCGGCCGATGCAAGCTCGATAGCGAAGTATGCGTGTTTGGGCAGCGCACCAAATACAGAGATAAAGCCTATCCTAAAGGGTACGCGATCTTTTACGCTCACTTGATATATATATATATATATAAGTTGTTCTAACCCACTTTAGATATGTAGAAATGCTAGAGAGACAACAAACTCAGCTTATATCAGGTGTACAAACACTGTACAAGAAAACTCAGAGTAGCCAAGGCTGGACTGGAGCTCCTCTCCAGCTGACAAGAAATGGACACCCTTTGACACATGACATTCTGGAGAGACTAGGAGTATTACGACAGGATAGTCCTACGCCAAACATGACGGATGAAGAGGATCTGTATGATTTACAACAAACGCCCCATACTTGTGATGCCGGCTTTCTACAGCGAGCATGCTCACAGTGCGTAGAAAGCTGGGCATGGATGCAAACATTCGACTTTACTGCCCAGCAGAGCCCCTTTGAGGCATCGTCCTCTCTTCACGAAGCTGGCCTTCATCCTCATAATCAAATTTCCTCTGACCCGAATTCAAGGAGCTTCTGCTTATTCGGCTCACAAGCAGATGCTCTGACAATGCATTTCCAGTCAGGTATGGAATGGAAAGACAGCATAAATTCATTTAGCCACAACGACTTCTTTCACGTTGCGGAGAATCATACCCACGATCTTTCAGCTTTATACTTGAATATGACTCAAGATCAACTACTGCACAACTCAATCGGCGTTGGCGCACACCGAACAGCTTGCGCGGTACAAGGCGACATTAGCTTTATCAATTCCTATTAAAATTTTGGTAGATTGTGTGACAATCTTCGTAACTGAATTTGCTGTCACTACAATTTGACTTGAGTGACCTATGATATGGAGGTGTAAATAGAAACCGGATTTAAAGTCGAGCTGATTGTGATACTAGAATGATTGTGACTATCCGATTCACGTCGCGGCAAAGGATTTTTGGCCCTCTATTCTTGTTCTCTCACGACTTGTTTCATTAGGGAAGTTGGAAAAATGATAGTGAAGCAGAAAGGGCTCCCGCTCATCATTGGGGTACAAGTGAACAACCATGTATGCCAGATCAATGCGCTGAATCGATTAGATCGTCCCTGGTATGGCAAACGGTTGATCATGGCAGCGCCTAGAGATCATTGCATTAGAGATTCTGCGGTTGAAGTTTCATTGTTCAAATTCTCTGCCAAATAGACGGACCGTGCACGCCAATTTGCAGCAACTAGCAAGAAACATTGAGGTCGATACCAAACTTCGTGTCGTCCTAACGGGAGCTAGAGGCTTTGTCAGTGCTCATTTACCTCGCACTTGACCGATAAGACCCCAGCGGCCCTGCTTTTGACCTAGAGTTCTTAAAAAAGGAGTCACAATATCCACCTTTACAGTGCTTCTCTTGCATCGACCGAACGAGGACTTTTGGAATCAGTCTAAACCGAATGTTCAGACAAAGAGGCCACCCTCGGAAAACGTATGGTGCATTGAATCGTTTGTCAACACGAATGACGGCAGAAACCAGGTACTTAGCTCTTTAGGTAGTCTTTCCGCGCTGCAACCCACCTGTCGCACACTTTCCGCCCAACTTGCACCGAAAAGACCCGGCATGCTTCAGCCAATAATGTTGACGCCCTTAGCATCCCCAAAGAGTCTAGTGTTTGGTGGTGGAATTGTGGGATTTCACTGCCAGTGACCTTAAGCCTGTAGCCGTCGAGACCTTGACGTCCATAACAGTCATTGCGCACTTCTCTACTCCTACTGCCATGCATCACTTCCCGACTGCGTAATTTCAGTCGTAATGTCGGACTCGCGTCATCGTGGTCGAAAAACAATGGAAGAAGGTTAAACACCGCAGCTTCAAATGTATGGTGTCGATTAATTCCATCGCTTAGTGGTTACGTCGTTTCTTCCCTAATCGACTTCGTAAACTGCAGCCGCACTCTTGCTGCGAAGCCTGTCATCAGTGTTCTTGATTGGTAAATGTAGCCCAAGCGGGTTTGAATTTTGTATAAAGGCATTGCAGCTCTTCCGTCCGAGAGCAGCACAAACTCTTCAGTTGAGCATTGGAAGCAATTCTGGGCAACTTCATTTCCCTCCTCGAGTGAAAATGACCGTGCCGAGAGACATCACTCTCGCGAATATTCGGAGTCATCAGGGTGATCCTTACGTCCCTTGCAGCTGTACTCTACATGACACCTATGGACCACAGGAGGATCATCTAGCCCAAACCCTTTCCGAAGATGACGTTTCGAAGGAGCTGGAACGAGAGAAAACAATTGCTGAACAGCCACCCATTCCGAATGGTGGAATGCTCGCATGGCTCCAAGTCCTTGGCTCGTTTTTCCTATTCTTCAACAGCTGGGGCATTACCAATGCTTTCGGGGCCTTTCAGACATACTACAACTCTCCCGGTGGGCTTTTGCCTACAGTTTCCAACTCGAATCTCAGCTGGATTGGGTCATTGCAAGCATTTTTGATGCTGGTGGTGGGCATTATCACAGGCCCTTTGTACGACGCAGGCTATTTCCGTCACCTCTTATACTTCGGATCTTTCCTCGTTGTTTTTGGCATGATGATGACTTCGCTGGCTGGCAATTATTGGGAAGTGTTACTGGCTCAAGCTGTTACAATTGGTGTTGGGAGCGGCTGTTTGTTCATTCCATCGGTTGCTATCATGCCTCAATACTTCACCACCCGCAAAGTGATTGCAACTGGCATTGCCGCTTCCGGGTCCGCTATTGCTGGGGTGATCTATCCCATTGTCTTCTATCGTCTTCAACCACAGATTGGATTTCCATGGACTACTCGAGTACTTGGTTTCATGATGTTGGCCACATTGAGCATTCCAATTGCAGTTATGCGTGTCCGAGTGAAGGCAATCGGAAAACGTTCCATATTCGACAAGGCTGCCCTCAAAGAGCCGCCATACGTCCTGTTTACAATTTCCACATTCTTTCTTTTCGCTGGTACTTATATCCCATTTTTCTATATGCCGGGTTATGGTTTGAGTATTGGGATGGATCCAGACTTATCTTTCTATACCATCGCCATGCTCAATGCGGCTTCTACGTTTGGCCGACTGCTTCCAAGCTATATCGCGGACAGGGCTGGTCCATTGAACGTGATTACGCCTTTCACAATAATTACGGCGATCATCGCCTTCACCTGGACAGCGGCACACAACTTGGGTGGTGTTATAGCCATATCCCTGTTATACGGTCTATTCAGTGGAGCGTTGGTCTCTCTTCCCCCCAGTACCATCGTACACCTGAGCCCCAAGCTCGGAGCGGTTGGAACGCGAATGGGTATGACCTTTTTCATATCTGGACTTGGTCTGTTAGCTGGGAACCCGATCGCAGGAGCTATCCTTGGGTCCGACAACACTGGGTTTTTGGGAGTTCAATTGCTTTGTGCCTGCTGCGTATTGGCCAGCGGCATCTTGATGGTCGGCAGCAGGGTATTCAAAGCGGGAGTTCATATTGGCGTGAGAGTTTAATATCACATTTGTAGAGTAATCTGGCAGCGTGCCTACGGTATCACCACGTAGAAACAAAGTTTTCGATAAATCAAATGAAAGTTTTTGGATATCCATCCTGTCTGGATTGTTAATTGAGTAAAGATCTACAAATATCATCAATAGAGATCACCGTTGCCAGAACCCGCCAAACTATTCCCTATACCTATGGAGCTTTTTGCTGAGCTTTCTGCGGTTGTTGCTTGGAACAAAGCCGGATTGAATGAGTTGTCGCCCTCTACACGTCCTACACTTCGTCGACTTGACCTAAATGTCAAAATGCCAAATTTCAAGTCGAAGCAGTATTCGGCAGGAGTTCATTCCAAAAGTGACCGAAGTTTACTGCAGCCAGCTGAGATGTCGTCTACTCCCGAACTCTCAATTGAAGACCACAGCAAATGCCAGATAAATCATTGCTGGTTACGACGAGTTATAGTCGCCAGTCTGATGCGGGAGGTTCTCAAGCGTCAACCTTCAATCGAACGCAATATGGAGAGCGCCTTGAAGGAATGTCACGTCCAGACTACATGGGCAGAAAGTCGAAATCTCGTTACCGAGAGTTCAGTCCTGTTCGTGCAGAGACCGAACTCTATGTTTGCCTAGTTAGTAAGCTCAATGACCACTATTTCTCTTGCTCAAACCTTAGGCCATTGTCCTTTTATTCGTAAACTCTACTTAATAACATCCAATCATATGACACTGGAATGTCTTTGCTCACCTCTTCAAGGTGTGGGAATTACTGAGCCTACCATAATTCACTCAAACTCATGTCGACAGTCATGATAGAGGATCAGGCGCTAAGATTTTCGACACACTATCTAGAAGCTCAACTTTCATTTGAATCTAGGCGGTGCTGTTGATCGTGTAGGACTTGTTCCACTGCCTTAATGGTACTTTTGCTTTATACAGCTCGTCTATCTCGACAAGGGAGCGACCCTTAGTTTCGGGAAGACAAAGGTGGGATACCACCAAGACCACGATGTTACAACCGGCGAAGATGAAAGCTGCCCTTGCACCTAAATTGCCCGCGTCGGCTGCGGTGATTTGTGGAACGACAAATGTAACAATTAATGAAGTTAAATTCGACCAGAAAACGCTCCATCCCATAGTGTACTCGCGCAGGTTGGGTACGGCGAGTTCTGCCGGAGCTAAATATGAGCTTCAGGAGGTTAGCAAGTACGATTACAAGCCGAAAAGATGAGAGGCGCCTACATTGACCCGTAAGTCAAGTTTGAGAAAAAAGAAAACGTTATAAATGACCCAGCGAGAGCTGTTCGTCCTGTTTGGAAGTCTAACGATGTAGTTGCCAGTGAGCCAATGATGACGTTGAGTAACAGCAACGTTGAAACGCCACATATCACAACTGGTCGTCTTCCAACTTTATCGATTAGAATTGATCCGCATATCTGCCCGAGCAACGAAAAACATGAGATGAGAATCGTGTCCTCGAAGGGCTTTCCAACTCTGCTTTGGACAAGTATCACCGTTGAGTACAGCTGGACAAGTACATAGCCTGATATGATGGTAAAACTTTGATAAGAACCGGCGATTAGTGTCCGTTTAAGATTATGCCGTCGAAGTATGTCCCAAAATTTGGCTTCGCTGTGACTCGTCTTTTGATTTGTGACTGCTAGCTTGATCGCCGCAATTTCCTGTGTAACAGCCTGTTCGTTTCTGCCTCGCAGGATCATGAGGACCTTGTGCGCTTGGTCATACTCACCACGGGAAAGGTGCCACGCAGGTGAATTGGGGACCAGAAAAGTCAACAAACCAATAACAAGAGGCAAAGCCGCTTGGACCGAGAAAGGAATTTTATACTGCATTTGACTAGGCAGCTTCTCAGTGCTCCACACCAAGGTAGTTGCGAGAATGCTGACAGCAGGCCATGTGGCAACAGCTAACCCAACTGTGCGCCCACGAACGTGACTGGGCACCAGTTCGACCATAAACAAAGGCGCAGCAATCGTTAAGATACCCAACCCCCAATCTAACGACCTTAGCTCAGATTGTCTCATTTTCAACTCCTGGAAACTTACAGTTCAAAGTCCTGCCACTGACAACTGCAGCCATATCTGGCGCAAAGAGTTGGAGGAAAGAGCCTGGCGTGCAAAACATGAAATAAGCAATTAACAAAGTATTCTTGTAGCCACATCTTTTTATACACAATGGTGTACAGAAAACCGCCAAGATAGGACCAACAATTGGTACCGAAACTATCAAGCCTAGGTTTCTTGCCTGCAAGGCATCAAAGTTATGATATCTCCATAGTGATAACTTAGAGAAGATGTTGAATCTTACGCTGAATACTGAAGGTTCGGGCCCTTCTTGATACTTCTTGATGAACATGGGGAGGGAGAGTAGAGGCGCTAGAATCGAGCTATCAAAACCGCAAAGCACCATAGACAGACCAATGATAAAAACTACCAACACCCATAAGTGATTCTTCATTTCTCAACGTCCCATCAGCAGAGTTTTTGTTAGCTTACCATTACAACCGAGGCGTAGGTTCACCCGTTGAAAGACAGGTGAAATGTCTGCGGTTCGAGGAGAAGCTGAGCAACTAGAGGCGGCACCAACGTTAGGCGTGTCGAGCGAGGAGTCTGGACGCAACGCACTCATCCTGGTAACTGGAAGTGGATGAGTTTTCTCTCTCTGTAGTTGGCAGAGGATAGAGGACTCAACTTTATGTTCAGCCAGACGCCTGGACTTGCAGTAAAAGATAGGGACGGCTGTAGTCTGTAGGCTTTCCCAGTGAACCAATAGAATTGAGGAGACTGATATCTGAAAGAGGGCTAGCGGATCTTTGGCGGTCGAATCAGCGTCGTACCTAGCATCGCTTGTAAAATATCCGGTGAGGGCCTCATGTTCGGCAACGTCACTAACCAACCCTCTGCTACAAGGCATTTCTTTCTTGTTCCGACACTTTCGAGAAATTTTGGAAGGTCACTAAACACCCAGCCAGAATCAAGCAATTTTCAAAAAGTTTGAAGGTCTAGCCACGTTGCTTCGACTTTTGTCAGCATTCGTTGTGAACCAACCACATTTGTGCCAATTCATGTTTGCGAAGCCTCTTTCGCCCCGCCAGGAGGCTACCGTGACCCAGCGAACGATTTAGCCGATAGCTACCGTGACTTTTTTCATCCGAAGGCGATACTAGATCCCGGATGTATAATTTCCTTCCAAGGCTCCTCGAGGAAGGACGAACATCCAAGTAAGCATCTCATTCTCGGAGGAACGACATGCGATTTGTATTCATAGATCAAACTATCCCTGCACATTTTTCAGGTCACAGTGCAATCGATCCAGCAGATCGTCGCTGCATTAATCGACATGTCCACAGTCGATCAGCCCTTGCCCGATGCAAATCGCGAATCAAAAGATCGGTCAAAAATCCCATTGGTTGGCGTCGAATACCCATCGAAACGATAGCAACTCCCGATATGGATCTAATGCAGAACCACGCCCAAAACTGTTCCGATACGTCACTTCCCATTTCCAGCCGAGCGTACTGGCCTAGACCTGGTTCCATAAGTCTTGGAGGTCTTCGTAACGACCCATTCGACAGCTTACCCACCAAGTCAAATGTCTATGTTAGCGCAGCGCTGCACTGGTGTAAGTATGAATTTGGAAGTGGCCTACGCTAAATGCTAATTTCACATTAAGTTGCGAATGTTATGGCAGTAGGGTTCGCTTCGAATTCTCCTTTCGGTGTGGACAAGGACGGCCACTATCCTCTTCTCAAAACTTTCCTACCATGGTGTATCCATCATCCAATGCTATTTCAGGCGACAATCGCCTCAGCTCTTGCCATGCGTGGACATGATCTCGAAGGAAGGACAGGAATTGCAATCAGAAAGTATCGAGAACTGAGCTTACAGAAGCGGTTGCCCCGACTTGTAGATCCTGTCCAGGCCAGTGATGATGTGACGCTCGGTACCATAATGGCAATCCTAGAGGTTGATGTATGTTTATCCTACCTCTTCCTTGATACTGTGGGTTAAAGCAAGGCAGACAAAACTAAAAGATCACCAATTCGTCCAACCACATCTCAGAGCCGTACGAGAGATAGTTAAAAAGAGAGGCGGACTAGAAACGCTTGGGGTGGCTGGCGTCCTGGCAAACTCGATAGTGTTGTGAGTATTATTGTCGGAGGATGAGGCAGAAGCTGATGTGCAGACAAAGAACAGATGTCTGGCATGGCAACAGCTATGTGAATTCCCCTCCTGTCAACCCACAAGCCGAGTGTGAGAGCTCTTCATCACAAATTACTGATATCTTGGAGAGTACTTCTGTCGGTAGCCTAATATCGATGTCGCCGACTTTCTCTCAGCTCGCAACTTCAAGAAAGCTTACCAGTCCAACCTTGCGAACGCTTCTTTTCTTTCTCCAAGCAAGCCAGCATCATAGTGAGTTCGGATTCACAAAAGATGACTTGCGATTCTTCAGGCACCGATGGGAGGCGGAGATGACCCAGGGACTCCCAGAATTTGAGGTGTTATTAGTGAATCACCTAGTCCTCTTGAAGTTGTCAGGACTTGGTCTTCCACTTTCAGAATTGATGCTTAAAACATTGAGGGCAACAATACGTTCTCTAATTACGATTGAGCTGGACCGTGACATCAGTGTCACCAATTGTTACATCTGGATAGTTGTTGGTACAGTTGGTAACCATCAGGCGCAGGAGTGCTCTCCAAATTTGTGTAAAAGACTTAGACGGAAGGCTTGGGGAAAGTATCCTATGTCTAGGCAATGGGATACTTTGGAGCCAATTCTTCGACAGACTCACTGGGATGAGAAACTCTATGCCAGCTGGCGGAAATACTGGTTTGACCATTAAGACTCTCGCGAGTCCTAGCTTCCAGCATAAGGGGACTTTCCCTCTTAATGGATGCGAGGGCGGCGCACCTTAGTTTTATCTCATTCTCCAGGGTCGTATGTTTTGACCTTGAACATATACTACCGAACTATACAAGCTATGTGGGTAATCTGTAGGTTCCTCAGTGTGAATTATCTCAGTACAATCTCTGACTGATGTCCACAAGACTGTCCAACTGCTGGGAAAGTTTTGCCAATCAAAGGGTCTGACAAAGTAAGCTCCAAGGTTTTGCCAATCCAAAGAGCCCCATTTGGCTCCACATGATCAGAATAGACGAAATTCTGAAGGACCTGTCTGAGGTCTGGCCAAGCAACGATATTCATAGCGCGTGCGTGTGACCTCAATCTTTCATGAAACCACGATTTCACAGGCCACTGATCTATTTTGTTCTTCTTCTGATAATAGAGCGCTCCAATGAAAAAGATCCATAGATACGCTCTCTCGTATCGCTTAAGCTCTTCTGGGCTGCAGACAGACTGCACTTGTTCCATCCGTTGCTGCAAATGTGAGATGATGGTACCAGATGCATCGCGCAAGTCGACGCCGTTAATAGTTGCCGTATGTGCGATCCAGCGCATCATACACAATGCAGCAAGGCTGATGCTTGCTTGGCTACCAATCTCGCCTAAAGACTCTTCGCCACCAGCTGTCTCTAAAAGTGTGGCAAGATCCATGTAGTGGTTGATGAAATGGCCCAAGTCAACGACGCCACGAGTCCAAGTATACAGGACAAGTGCCTCTGCCGAAGCAGGGTCTTTGACTTTACACTTCGGATGCTCTGCAATTGCTAGTAGTCGACGACTGCGATAAAACAATCCAAGCAGTGGCTCTGTGTTAATGACTGAGTCAACAGCTTCAATGTAGCCGGACGAGACCTCAGGAAGAAGACTCTCCCACAACGGCCAATGAGGAGCGAATAGAGATGGGATCCAGTAATCAATATCCAGAACTGTTCTTTGCATTGTCTTGGCCGCAATTTCAGTATCGCTTCCTATCAGGTATGATATGAAAGTGTGGTCCATGGCCACATTCGTTTCTCGCAAAAAATATTGAAGCATCTTTCCGTGTTTGATTGCGGTAGCGATGTTGCCCAGAACGCAGTCGGCTCGGAATAGCCAGTATAATTGTAGAACGAATTTCATCTTCTCATTTTCGTTTTTAACAATCTCTCCCTTTTCCAGCTTGCTACGTACTAATCTGTAGGCTTCTGTTTGCATTTCCAGTAAACTAACACGGTCCTGTTTTGTTGCACCGGGCATAGTTCGCGTGATGAGGGCGAGGCCTGTAGTTAGACTGGTTGCTGCGGTTACTTCGTCGCATAAGCCTAAGCAAATAGTATCCCAGGTTCTCTTAACAAGTTGGTATGATATGAAGCTTGATCTCTCCAATGATGCCGTCTTTGCAGTGTCTCCCTCGGAGCAGCGGCCGAAAAAAGGTGTCAGGTATAGGCTTGGCACAAAGCTGTCGCGTAAGAAAGAAATGGCTTTGTTGACAGATGGAGTGATTTTCACGGGCAAAACGTTGAAGGGATCGGAATTGCCTTTGTTGACGACCGACATCAATGGTTGAGTCCACCGAAATCGACCAGGGGTGGGGACTTTAATCTTGGATCTTTTCTCTCGCCAGATCTGCCTTCTCACTAGTGAAATGTGTTTCGAATCAAGCTTGTTGCTGTGGTCAAACTCCACGAAGTGGTCATCGGTATATTCAATTGCGATAATAGCCATATCAGAAACACGGATTCAACGCGACTTCTGACGTGGCAATGAGGTTATCATGCAGGTGAAATAACAAGGTCTGAGAGCGATTTCCTCATGTAAATGGTCGATGGAGATACAGGATGCCGTTGAAGATTTCCTGATTTTCTGCGCTATTTGCGATATTCCTTGCTATGCAGCTAATCGATCCGATCAAGACGAGTGCAACATCAATCTTCGTGCATCAATTTTGTAGCTGAGCCGAGCATATGCTGATTGAGCAATGAGAATGAAAGCAAGAAAGCGCCACATCTGTGATCCGGTTTCATCTGCAGAAGAAGCGCCACTGAATCGAACCCAAGGTACCTCTCATCTGCACACTTTGTAAGGTGCGAAAACAGAGTTTGGGTACGGTAACTCCACGAATAGAAAAGCATGATTTGGCGTCCGGTTTTGGCTAGGTAGTAAGTCTGGCTGCCCGCTGAAAGACTCACGCATGTAAGCGATAGCCGAGCATTGGACCCTGCATGGCATTCTTTTGCCCCACGCTGGCAGTGATCATTTCTTAATCACGTTTGTCGTTCATATTAATAGTTTGAGTACCTGCAGCATAGGTATCCACCAGGCCAGTCAGCCTTGTATAGCTGTGTTTTTATCATTTGGCAACCACGAAAGGAGGAATTCAATCACTTTTATCGAGTTCAGGGTCAGGTTTGCTCGCTCATGTCGTACGGCTTATGGATGTTCAGGATGATGAAAAGCTGATATCATCTCCAGATAGTTCAAAATAGCTCCCTTACCCTTTCAGACCGCTGCGTCCTGTGTGAGTCTGGTCAAGTGTGTGAACATAGCATAGCTGTGTTTCTACTTAGGTTGTCTCATTCCAATGCCTGTCCAGACGATGCCGCATGTGCTTGACCATGGTCACGACGGTATAAATCAGACTGGGAATAGAAAGCCACGTCGCAAGATCCCAGGTAGCTCTTCATGGAGGATTGGACCGGCACCAACCAAGTTTTCGCTCAGGCATGCAACTCCCCGAAAGCGGGAAAAGGCTTATCTTTGGGGACAAGCCGACGGATCTGAGGAGTTCGATAATAGTTCAGCTTCGACGATTTCTCCAGATCTTCTGAAGGCGGCCAAGTTCAAATATCAGCTCATCCAAAAAGATGTTAAGGACGATGTTATCGAAACCTTGAATGTCTGTAATGTTGTCTCCGATAGCCCGAAATCCCCAAATCGGCCGCAGTTGCCCATTCGAGACACGATGCTTGACCAACTCGAATCTGGAACCCGTTCTCTGTCCCCAGAAGAGCGGAATATGGTTGTCAGATACCTTCAATTTGCTCCAGATGTCGCGTACGGAACCAATGGAAGTGGTATGTTCTGTCCCAATAGAGACATGAACTGGAAAAGCGTGCAGCATTGTAAACTCGGCCTGCAGCACATCCTCATTGATTGTGAAGCATTACTCTCCATTTCGAAAGGCCATCAGCCTCCGGCGAGTATGCTCTATCGGAAAGCTAAATTCTACAAATCTACTGCGAAACTTCTGGGAGAGCCAGAGACACAGACATCAGATCTTGCTATTGCTTGTGTCTGCTCTGCTATTGCCATCGAGTCTCGCTCACTCAACCTGGAAACAAATAGAATCCATCTAAAAGGACTAGCTCGGATGCTTCAATTGTGCGGTTTCGAGTCTTTATTCTCGAACGCAACATTCATGTTCCACCCACTCAGCTGTCTTGGCTTCTTTGTCCTAGCGGAGCTCGAGACCAGCGATATGGCCGAAGCGCAGGTATGCTCCAGAGGGTTCTTCAGGATTCTCAGCACCATGCAGGGAATTGCTGGGAAGAAGATAACTCTCCACCGCGGTATCGACGGAGTCACAAATAATTCAACAGGACTCAGGGATTCAGTGCCAGAGAGACCATGGTGGAACACAGCGGAAGAATCGCCAATACATCCTCATATCATAGCTTTATTATGCATGTCAGCCCCAGATGACGCTGTATCACAACGAACCAGTCGCTTTCTTAGTCTCTTCCTCCTCAATATCATGTTGTACGACTTTCAAGATGCACCCTCAGAAGGTCGCTATCTGCTGAATCGTGTATCCACTATGGTTGATAGCTCGAGCGCAATTGATCTGCAGACTCAAGTTTACAAGCTCAAAGTCGAGATCATACCATGGATTCTTGCGAAATCGTGGGCCGATGTCGACGCGGTATCTCTTCGCAAAGGTAGCGGATCTGCAAAAGAGATTTTTCTGACCAAAGCAGCCATGGACGCATTAAAAGTCTTTGCCCGACTGCCAGAAGATTCCAAAATCGAGTTGGTCGCGACTCTAACCTCGTGGCTAGGTCTGCCAAACATGATACCGGCGCAAGGTGTAAAGGAAGGCTTTCGGGCCAACAAATCCCAAGGACACGCTATGTTTGAAGGCCGTGCTTATGTTCCTGTACGGAATCTAAGCCAAGAAGCCTTCGAGAAGATGAGAGCCGAAGTTTGCAGCGACTGGTACGAAAACGGCAAAAGAAGAAATTTGAGCAACTATGGATGATGCTCTAGACAAGCACAGCCTCCTTTCGGACTAAGCCAAACGTTGTCTGTATACCCCTTAAAAATTGATACAAAGTAGACCTATGCGGTCGTAGTCTTGAAACAGCCACCTTGCTGTCTGAGTAGCCCTGTGGCATCTTTTCTGACACCGTCATTTAATGAGATACATGGTTGCCGTCCGCCCACAGCGGCACCACCCAAGCTTAGGAGTCTATGAAAGATCGAAAGGACGACTCATTCACCTACGTCACAGCTGCTCGCCCTAACATCGATTACAAGAAGCTAATGAATACATACCGGCAACGAATGCCGCAGCTCACAAGAACGCTCGGCTCGTGGCCAGACATTCTCGCATGGCTGGCCGACAGTTCAATCCACGAGCAACATAGTTAGGGCAAGATCTAAGTGAAGGTGCTGTCCTTGGTTGGCTCTCGCTTGGCAATCTTGGAGAGTCTGCTACTTCTACAGTGAAGAGTCAGACTATGTGCCCGTGACAGCATGGAGACGGATCGACCAGATCACTAAGTTAGAGTCCATGCACACGACGTACGTACAAAATCCAACGACTTGTTTTCAAAGCATCAGTTGTGAAATCGGGCTCACAAGTGTAATAAACAATGGTTCAAAAAAGTTGTTGAAAAATAAGGCAGGCCCCGGGGAGTGCAGCCCAGCCCGACGTCACATTATGAATCCCACGAGGACGGCGTGATCCTCCAATCTATGTAGAAAGAATGGGCTATTACAGAGGAATCCAACCCCCATCCCCGTTGTGTGGGATTCACCAGTCATCAAGAGCTCGCTGTGTGCATTTGCATTTGCTTTTTAATCCCTCCTCTTCTCGTCCGTTGCCTTGCCTGCTTCCTTCCCGCCCTCCCCGAGATTAAGCTGTTAATCTTTTCTTTATTTCACACCTGCGTTGGGAAAATGGGCTTTTCCCATCGGGGAACTGAAGCGGTCGTATATGTCGACGACGATGGGTTTATCGTCGGCGGTGTAATACCGACTGCTGCTTCGTTCCATTCGATTCGCCCGTTTCGTCTCTTCTGTGTTGCTGATGGCCATGGAAGGGGAAAGGACATTCACACCATGTCTTCCCCTCCGCATGTTCGTTCTTTCTCTCTCCTTCTCTCGAAAAAAAATCTCCAAACGCGTTGTTGTTGTCTTGGGTCCAAAAACAATATACAAAAATGGTGACGATCCCTCTATAACATGGGTCGTCATTCATGGTGGCATTCCTATAGCAGGAATACATACACCAGAAAAAAGGTAAGTACAAAAAAAGGTGCTTGGTTTCTTCATACAAATCCTCCGGGCCGCGGAATTACCAGAATTCGGGGCGAGGACAACAGAACAGAACAGATGGATGGATGGACCGTGGAACTGACAACAAGACGCGAGAGTCCGGCTAGGCGCGATGATGGGGTATCAAGAATTGGTTTGTTTGGCTTGGGAGAGACGTCTCAAAACAACATTCGAGGATTTTAAATGACAAAGAATAAAAGAAGACTTTTCTTTTCACATGAGTAATGATGGTTGCGGGTCTCTCCGGCCAATACCTAGGGTGTGCGAGCCCGCGAGAGCAGTGAGAGTCGCGGGGTCCAAGGTCTTGAACGATCCCGCAGGGAATCCGCTTGCCGCGGGCGCGTCTGAGCTGTTGTCAGTTGACTGTACTGGCTTGTCCCCCGAACCGACTGGTCCGACAGGTAGCAGTGCGGCTGCTGAGGTTGACAGGGCGGCGGCCGTGGCTAGAGATGATGAAGAAGCAGAAGAAGTAGAACTGGTGGTAGATGGTGATGTGGTGCTGGCACGAGTAGTTGAAGGTGGAGGTGGTGGACCTCCTGCTGCCGGAGGTGGTGCTGATCCGGCAGGAGGAGGCGAGACAATAGTGGTGCTGGGTTTGTTGGATGTGGTTGATGATGATGATGAGGCCGGGGTGGATGCAGATGACGCCGCAGAGGATGAAGAACTGATGGCGGGTGCTGGCGGCGCCACTGGTCTATTAGGTACTAGACCTCCAGTCTCATTTGGCTGCGCGTTGTTAGAAGAAGGAACGCTGCTAGAACCAGAAGTTATCGTACCAGATGAACCTGTCACGACATGTTAGTCGGATTGCTTCTTCAGCGAGAATATTTCAGGAGCTAGACTTACTTGAGCCGAAGCCAGCCCCAGGGGGACCACCAGCTGGGGGAGGACCAGAAGCACCAGTTGGCGCTGGTGGAGCAGGTCCCGCAACAGTAACACCAGTCTTGAGAGCCTCAGCAGCTGGAATCGAAGACAGGCCAGGTAGAATGTTGCCCACGGCGACGGCGTTGGAAGGAGGCCATTGTCCCTGCCACGCAGGGGGTTGGCCACCGCCGCACCAACATCCAGGAGGAGCATTCTGCCACTGAGTGACGATTGCGGTAGCTACTGATGTGCAAGGAGCAGCAGCAGTGACCGTTATCTAGAGGTAAGAAGTCAGTACGAATTGTGTCTGAAATGGAATAGGATCGTGGGGGATCGCGGCTGCTCACCGTCTTGGCTTCGGTGATCGTGGCTCTGCCTCCATCTTTGATGACGGTGGAGATTTGCTTCTCTCCATCCTTGGTGAAGGTCACAGTTACGGTCACAGGCTTCTCGACGATTTTCGTGACCTCCATGTTCTTGGTGACTTCCACAGGCTTGGTGACTTCAACGACCTTGGTTACTTCGACGTGCTTGGTGACGAAAGTTGGCTCGCAGACAGCCACTGGTGGTGGCTGAACATGAGTTGGCTGCCAGTCTTGCCATTGAGATGTTTGGTGGTCGTTGTCTTTGTAGTCTCCTTGACCACCACCGCCGCCAAATCGAGGAGGGCTGCCACCACCTTGGCCACCTTCTCCTCCCCATCCACCTTGACCACCACCCTCACCGCCAGCCATCACCTATGATGAGTCAATCAGTTTGGTTCCAAGCAAACATTGGCATGCCATGATCATACTTGCGCCAGGCAAGCTGCCATCAAGGTAGCTGAGAAAAAGGAACGAATAGCCGGCATCTTGTAGAAATGAGAGATAAATATAGAATATATCGGGCTTTTCTTGGGATTTTCTTGGAATTGTTTTAGAAAAGGAGCGGAAAGGAAAAATTAGTTGATGACCTGCAACAAGAACGAATGTGGATGTGAGAGAGAGGATGGAGAAGGAAAATGGAACGACATGAGCGAACGGTTGTGTGTTCTAATGTACATTTCCAAAACCCCCAAGACCAGCAAGGGGATGGGAGATGGTGCAAGATTGAAAGGAGGAGGATCCTTTCGGCGCGCTCGACATCCGGACAACGGCTTCAGACAGCGATTGCAGAGGAGCGAACAGGCCGGTAAGCGACAAGATGGAACGAATTCAGCCAGTTCACCGCACATTCGATGGCCATTGGCTCAAAGGGGCATCTCAAACGCGACATGCGACGCAAAAGACTTCATCCGAGTCTCAAGGTCAAATGCTTGGGTGGCTGGGTAGTATCAAAATGAGGCCGACTGTGCCAGAAGTGCCCTGCTGAGACGGGGGGTGTTTCACAGTCAGCAAGACTTGGAGAGGACCAAGTGGGGCGTCAACGGCAAGAGATCTCGATAGATAAACCCTCGCGTTCCTGTTCGCGCCTTGGCTTGACTCATTGATTCGCAGCGGCTGCTTAGCGAAAGAAATCTTGTCCTCGAATGTGACTGATTCGGGCATAATGTTGACATTTCCCTTGTCGAGAGAAAAAAATCATGTATCGCGCCGGTGGGCAGCATCCTAATAGGGGCTGGACAGGCCGCTCTTGGCATTGCGGGCCGTTTGGGAGTCTCGGGTGCCAAGACTGATAAGGCTGCCCCTGGTGTGCACAAGGCTCTCACTTCCGCACGCGGTCGCACCGACGAACAACGCCATCAGGGGAAGCGAGATGCTCTCGACTCAGCTTCAGACCGCCCACCATTGACCACTTTGATATCATTGTTGCTGTCAATTATGGGTCAATATTCAACATTTCGGCTTCTTCCTCCTTGTCCCTCTCGCGGTGAGTTTCAGCTGTCACCATGGACAATGTACATTTGCCCACGTGCCACGCTATTGTTTAATGGAGGATCTCTGCAGCGGAGTTTCACATCGGCCATAATATAACATGAAGCACCGATTTTTCCATTCTTGTAATCGTCTACGAGATCTGCAGGTCTCGATCTTGAAAGACCCAGGGTATGGAGAGTGGAAGGACAGGTCCACGGACGGCCTATTATCACTTGGCATACTCCATACGGAGTACTCGTACTCGGTGCTTGATAACATGTGCCTCCCTGCCGATCAACGGTTGTCGGTGCGTAACAAAGGACGGCAAGGAATCCCCGTCTATGTATTCGTATCTACTCGGTACTTCATGCTCATTGCTCAACGGTCGTAGTAGTAATACATTCCAAGCGAAAATGCCACGTTCAGATCAAACTCGATCGCAAGATCCGAGCAGTCCCGAAGACCGCAGTGACTTTTTGTTCTTCACTTGGCGACTTCCAAGTCTTTGACCTTCTCCGTCACTTCCAAGCCCTTCATCCGTGCTGTCACCTCGGAGACTAGATTTTCCAGTTTGACCAACACGCCTTCCTTCTCCGGATGGCCATCTGGAAGACCTAGTTCCTTGACCCTCACTTCTCCTCGAGCTTGCTCATCCTCACCAAGAATCACAGCATATTTGGCTCCACATTTCTCTGAATTTTTGAATTGTAGCTGTGGCTTAGGCTTGTCCTTCGCAGAGTATTCGACCTTTAGGCCAGCTCGCGCCAGCATCTGTTCAATCAATAATCGTTCGGCACTCAGGCCACTGAATTCTTTCCCTCCAAAGGCCATGATGTACACATCGGTGGCGGTTGATGAGACGTAGCTGAATTTCTTGCCTTGCGCTAATCGAGCTTTGGTGATGCTGAAGATGCGATCTACACCAAAGCTCACACCAACGCATTGCATATCGGAACCAGGTAGAAATCGTTCGACTAGATTGTCGTATCGCCCACCAGCAGCAACCGATCCCACACCGACTGACGGATCATCAGAGCGGTCATCGTCTTCGGTCAGCTCTTTCTTCTTTTTCTTACTTTTGCCTTCTGCTTGTACCTGCTGAGCATCGCCACCGTTGACAGTCGCGGGCGCCGACCCTTCAGTGACTACCTCGTAGATAATTCCAGTGTAGTAATCGAGGCCACGTGCAAGGCAGAGATCGAACGAGATATCGCGATGTGCCCCCAATACTTCAAGGATGCGTAGTATAACTTCCATTTCGTCGATGCCCTGCTTTGCCTTGGCATTAGCCTGCAAGGCTTCGTCCTTCTTTAGCGACTCGAGTAGCTCTTTGCTTCCCTGCCATTTCTCTCCTCTTTGTACGACATATGTTCTTATTTTGTCTGCCACGGCCTCGTCAAGTCCTTTTGTCTCCACCATTTCCGTGCGTACCTTTTCCCACGGCGATTTGTCCAGCTTATCGACTGCGCTCGATATGGCTCGAATCTTGTCCTCAGGAACACCGCAAACCTCAAAGATACCATCCAGGATTTTTCGGTGATTGAGCTTGATAGTATAGTGACCCTGCCACTCCAAAGCCTCGAAGACTTCGACCACGATAGCCACAATCTTCGAGTCCCACATCGTAGACGCCCCCGATCCCGCAAAGTCCACGTCGCACTGGTAGAACTCTCGCATGCGACCCTTGGCGATGGCAGGTTGATCTCTCCGATATACCTTGCCGATCGCGAAGCGCTTGTATTCTCTCACTTCTGGGTGCATGGCCAGCCACCTGGCGAAGGGGACCGTCAAGTCATAGCGCAGGGATAACAGTTCACCGCCTTGGTCTGCAAGGTCGTAGATCAACTTGGAGTCCTCGCCGTATTTTCCTTTTAGCACATCGGCGAGTTCGAAGACGGGGGTATCTAGCTGCGTGCTGTAGCGACTGAGGACGGTTCGTATCTGGTGGAATATATCATTGAGGAGGGTGGAGTCCTGATCGGACCAGTCTCTCGTGCCCTTTGGGTTTTTCAGTGTGTCTTTGCCCCGCTTCTCTTTGTCTTTCGGGGCCATGGCTGCGACAGTGATGAAGGAGCGGGAAGGATTTCTGGTGGACAAGCAGATGTACGGTGACGTTCGGGTAATTTTGGTTGTGATGACGAGAAATCGGGAACGCAGACACATGTAGAGGAAGACAAAGTTCGTGAGAGTGGGTTTCGAGGAAGGATATAGAGACCGATCACCTAATAACGCTGCGCTGCATGTGAGCCCGAAAATAATGGTGCATGCGATGCTATCACTGGTTCAAACGGCAGGAGTCACTCCAACAAAAGCTTGGCACCACCATGACTCAGATATAGAACGAAAACTACATACCTCAGTAAGACTCAGGCTGGCGCAACATAGCCACTTCCCAAGACAATCTCCTGAAGACAGTCAACGTATATCAAAGGATCGGAAAGAAGGATTCTCGTTGTAACACAGCATAGTACACTTTTGGCGGCCATCTGGTGGGTGACCCAACACGGTCAGGCCATCTACATAGCTATTGAAGTAGGACATTGCATCAGAATCTTCTCATCAATCTACCACGTCGCCGAACCCGGAATATGCCCTGGACTATAGTTGCCTCGTTGCGGGCTGAAAGCCCCGACCATTGTACCCGGACTCCCATTGTTCTTGCCCCGACTACTCCCACTTCCCTTACGTCCTGTCATTTCGTAGTCCGTAGTTGTTGGCATAGGAGGAATCGGATCAGCATCTTCAAAATCGGCAGAGAAATTGCTAAGCCCACCTGCAGATCGGTTGGTATCAGATCGCGGTCGGCGCATGTCGTTGGACGGGAGCGTTTTGGCATATGCAAGGAATGGCGAGCTTTGCACTTCTGGAATCACAGGACTGTTGGGGAAAGCCTGAAAGCTGCCGAAGGCATATGGACGTGCATGTTGCGGCTGAGGACGAGTGCCAGGAAGCTCTCCTTCTGGAGTCAACGGCCCACTGTTATTGAGCATCATCTGTCGCTGTTGAAACTCTTGTTTCTCGAGGACATCCAGCTCTCGGAAGTTGGCTTCCCATCGTACTCGAGAGTTACGCAATTGACTTTCGACACCCTGCAGCTGGCTTGTCAGATTGGCCTCTTTGTTTTGCTGCTCGGATGCCTCCTCAAAAGATTCTGCCGCTCTCCGTTCTTTCTCGTTCAGACCTTGCACATTTGCTTGATTGATTCTATCGTGCTGCTCAGTCAGCTTAGTATTGCGAGCTGTGAGACGATCCTTCCTAGTTGTAAGATTGGTGAGCTCATTCGTAACACAAGAGGTTTCGTTGTCGGCATCCGATCGTGCTTTTGTCAACGCAGTGTTGGCTTCGCTAAGAAGTTTAGCTTGCGACTCGTATTCTGTTTTGAGTGTCGTGTGATCTTCATCGGCTTCCTCGCGCGAAGAATCAATCTCGGCACTGGCAGTCGCAGCCTCATCTTCAGCTTGTCGGGTATTGCGCTCCAGTTGCAGCAGTTTTTGCTTGAGCTTCGTGTCGTCAGTCGATGCCTTGAGTCGAGCAGTGGACGCTTCGACGTCCTTTTCAATCTTGGCTAAATTGGTCCGGTGTTGACGACGGGCTTTGGTTTGGCGATTGCGAGCATCGTTTGCTTTAGCTTCCGCGGTGGAAATAGTATTTCTCAACGTAGACTTGGGAGTTGCAGGTCGAGCAGGTTGGCGATGCGGAATCGGAGCCATCGAGGTCGAAACATCTTTGTCTAGGAAGAGTGGGGACTTAACCATCACCGATCCAAACTCTTCGTCCGTGTCAGAGCCTATGAATGTACAGGTATAAGTGCAGTTCGGTGCGAGACCGGATATGATACCCGACCAGTGCGAACTGGGATTTTCCGAGGCTGGGTTGCTCTCCATCAACTCCAGAGACACCATATGCCATCTTGCCCCGTTGATGCGTACGTAAAAGGGTCTGTACTCGGATCCCTGCGAAGAATCGCCATGTTGATCGTCTGGAGAGGGATAAATCGCTTCAAAATATATACTAGATGCATGAACCCCAGTGATCCAGACAACGTCTTGCTGCACCATTTCGAAAGGACTGCCTTGGTTGTTCGCTACAGTCGGTAGACCCTTGTTGTGTTCAACTTCCCGAAGGACATGAACTTTGGTGCTGGCAAGGGCCGCCCAAAATGGTTGCTTGCTCCGGATATGATTTGCATAGCGCCTCCGTTTTTTCGCACTGGTAACCTTTTCTTTCCCATCTTTTGGTCCAGGTGTTGGTGGTTGCTGGTAGTCAATCCCAGACGATATTCCAGCATTGGTCGAACCATCCAGAGCAGAAGCATCAGATAACGATCCAGCTAGGGCCTCCGTGTCCACTCGCTTTGACTTTTGATTGCTAGTCGAAGGGTTACTGCTCGATATTCTGCGACGAACAATGGCCATAACAGCTTGACTGATAATATGAACTGCGAATAGACTGCGAATCTTGGATGGAGCACCAGGGCTTTGGCCGAAATCGGCATCTGATGGTAGGTACTTCAAATAATCGGTCAAACCGAGTTGTGAAAGAAGCTCCGTGGGTACAAGGTTCGTGAAAAGAAAACATCGAACTCCCTTACTCCGGACAGAATGCAGTAAAAGAATGGCCGCAAGACATGAGGTGGTGACGCTCCCATTTTTGCCGGAATTGCCATTGCCGAGAGTAATTGCGATTTGTACCTGGGCGAGGTCCAGTGCAAAATTCTGAGCCCAATTCCATAGACAGATCCAGAGGGCGAACCCAATCACGTCCACCGCCGCTATGGTATGAGCGCTTGGGGCGCCGGCCGAACCTTGGAAAATATCGAGGAGGGAAAATAGAGAAACCGGCGCACCACCTCCTGGCATGAGGGTTAGGGAAGCGAAGAGTGCTTGGACAATGGTTAAAATCATGGAAGGAAGAGCCAAAAGTACGATGAGGAGGGACACCGTGTCACATGCTGGTCGAGATCGTAGGATGGTGCTAGCAAGCTGAAGAGCATTGACATCGAGAATAGACTTGGACCTGGCGGAGGCCGCATCGTTTCGTCGAGTCTGAACCATTGTCGACGCATGTGAGTCCAACTTGATGGCCTTTTCCTTGTCCTGACCCTTTTGCTCACTTGCTTCCACCGTTCCGACTTTCTGGGATGACTGGCTGGGAGACTGCGCGGCGTCTTGTGATGAGTTGGTGGTGGAGATGGAGTTTTGATCAGCGGTCGAAGTGTTTACACCAAGGTCGGTTTTGGGTTGGTTGGGAACAGGCTCGGTTGGGACAGGGCCCTTTGCAGTGCCATTGAGATGACCATTCGACTTTTGCTTCGTCACACGTTTACCCGGGCCTACAAGGCCGTTCTCATGGCGGTTGTTGTGCTGGTGCTTTTTCCCCGCGAAGTTCCGCGGCATCTATGTCGCGGATGGCAATATGAGCTCGAACCCAGTCAGCTTGGTGACTCTTTTCAGGTCAGCAAGCCAACTGGACGAGTATGAAGTCGAACGAGACAGGGTGGAAGGAGAAAATTAGGTGTGGGGATGCCGGGGGCCGAGAAGATTCCCAGGGAAGATAAATGGTGGCCTAAATCACAGTGGTGGAATATAAAGGAGATGAGGAATGAGGCACAGAAGGGCCAGAAGAATGGCGCAAAGGAAAGATGCCAAAGTGGAGGGTTAAGATGCGAATATGCGAGATGTGAATGATGTGCAGGTTAGTGTGAGGATGAAAGATGCGAAAGACAAGATGCGATATTCGTTGTTCACAAAGTCACGACTCACACACTGCAGGCAGTAACAAGGTCCTAACTAGTTTGGTAGCTAATTAACAGGATCTGGGTTTGGTTTAGTGTGGGCAAGAATTATCAGAACTTGAAGCTGAGGGTGGTGCCCAGGTGCTGCCCAGTGCGAGCCCTGAGGGAGCCAGGGCCTTCCTAATACCAAGCCTTAAGGCCTGGAAAGCGCACTGGCAATTGGCACAAATTTGAACATTGCAGGGCTCAGGCAATACCGGAGTGGGTAGGGCTCACGGGCATGGATACCGAGGACGAGTGCGGGTATTCACATGAATACCCATTGGTGGTACTCCTAGGTGGCGGCTCGGGGGCTAGAAGGCTCTTTCAATCCCCCCCCTGCTCAGTAAACTGGTTTGCACGGCGGTCATTTTCAGCCCGCAAGTCATGCCTCGTTCGTCATCCCTAAGCAGCTAATTAATTAGGGTTCACATATCTCGTACTCTGAGGAAGCAGCGTCATCATCGGAGCCTTTGGGGTTGGACGGTATGCAGCTGAAGTCTTACAAGTCATGCTCCAGCGATTACCGGCCATCATTGTAATGGACATTCCGAGATTTGTGCTACACCCAACCAAAGGAAGAAGTTCTTCCTTCATCCACGAAGCCGGAGAAAGAAGGCAAGTACTTCGTGGCACCAAGGACTCCATTTCTCTTCCGGCGGACCATTGAAGAAAGGCCTGTTCAGCCCACATGAGTTTTTTTCACCGTCAGAGTTTTTGGTGCAACCAATACCATGTCGGTCTGAAGTCAATTCTTGGAACAGGGAATCACAACAGAACCTTGCTGGTCTTCCCAGTCTGCCAGTGATATCAGATCCATGCTCCTCTGTGACCACTGACCACTGACCACTGCTGCTTACACAATACGGAGTACAACCTAAGCCGGTTGTTCTATGCCTATTCCATCGCTGGCGCAAGAATGATCTGCTTCCCATCTTTCAAGTACCTCTGAGACTAGAGGTTGCAGAGAATATCTAACTTTATGGTTTGATTGCTTCTGCCATCAATACGAGAACGAGAAAGTACCTACGTAGGTACCTCGGTACTCAATTTCTAGCGAGATGACTGTTTATGATTGAACATTTGTGTCTTTTGTCCACGGCAGTATGCAAAGGAAAGACTACAGGATGCAGAACATTGCATGTCGCCAATCGTGAAAAGTTCGCTGGCAAAGCGCTACTACTGTTAGCACCAACAGCCTTGACGTGGAACACTGAGAGATGGACAACCAAGCAGCTAACTACAGGCTATAAAACACAAGTCTGTAGCACAATTAAGGGATAACCACAGGGCGTTCTCAAGCATTCCTTAGCTTCAAAGTAGTGCCTTGCCGGACACCTCCTGCTCAACCCCAGCCCTCGCAGTCCAACCGACGGAGCCTTAGGCGTCGACGGAGTGCTTAACCGCGCCTAAAGCTGCCCGATGATGTCTTTTCCCTGGATGTTTCCATCATTTTCGCCGTCACGGTTGCACAACTCCTCGTTCCTCGTTTCATTCCGCGCTACATGTCGATCACTTGCTCCGGTCCAGTTTCCGTTGCTCTTCAGAGGGTTCTTGTCACTATTCACCAACTCGCATGCATGCTGGCTCTGAGGGTTTCCATCGGCTACGAATATTTACGTGAATGCTTGGGTGGCGATGGTTGAAACATGCAATCGACTAACCAGTTACTAACTTCTGCACATCATTCCCAAGCTTACACATGCAAGTGCATCTTTGCCACATCGCCTGATCAAGCAAATACCCTCTTCTATCAAGCAGGAGATTGTGGAGAAGTAGCCATTTCATGCAGGCACTCTGAGTAACTTGATGCAATAACATACCTCATTCAAGATTAACTGGAGTATCTTCAACACAATGACGGAAAGCAAGACTTCCACTGTGCATCACACCGAGCTAGTGATAACCCATTTAAATTCCTTGAAGGGGCTGTACCCGGAGCCCATGTCTTATGGCTCGTCGGGCTTGTAATACACAAAACTACCCAACCATTCCAAAAACTAAGGGTCCACCACTCCTACTCGTCTGCTTGCAAAAGGACTACACCGCAATTTGAAGTGAGAGAGAAATCAAAAGAAAGCAAAGGTCAGGAGCAGCCGGTGTGTTCCGCTCCATGTCCTCGAGCCAGGGTTGGTCGAAACGAGGTCTTCATCTGCTTCATGCCTTGGCATATCTGGTCGAGAATCCACATGAGTTCGTTCAAGGGCTCAACTTGGTAGAGACTTACGAGGAGTGCCCCGGCCCAACGGGTAATTAGTAAACGGCTACCAATCAATTGCCACTTGCTGTTTTGGTGCTTCTCTTGAGGAGTAAGAGTCGCGTTAACCAACAGCATCCCTGATCCTTGCCATCTTCTATTCAACATGTGCAGTAGATAGCCACGGCGGTCCCTCGGTGAGACACGATGACTGCCATGAGAAAAGGCTTATTCTCCCTCATCATGAGAGAGAGCCGCCATCCACCATTCACGTAAGGTGGATCGACAAAGATCTACGAGACAAGCACCAAAAAGTAAAATCAAGTCATGCCTCTGATCAGAAAGTCCTCCGAAAGAGGAAATCCCGGAGGAGCAACCTTTCGGCCAGAATGTCGAACTCTTATGTAAGTCATGATAGTATCCCGGGAGGACTGGGCCTTGAATACAAAACGCGGTCAACTGTTATTCAAGAAGCCCACATTTGCCACTGATATCCGCAGGGAGGATCTGCTATTAAAGAGCCGGCTGCTGCTGCCGGCTTTTCTATATTGGAGCTGGAGGTGGTGTACACAGCGTCAAATACGTCTAAACCTCTCACTACGGGCAATGGGATAGACGTTTAGTCAAGCTCTTCAACATATACCACCACAGTCCGCTATTAACTGACATGTCACCCTCCGAAGCATGTTACCCAAAGTGCCATACTCCGTACGATGGGTAGTAGTATTACTACTACCGAGCTATAAAGAAATGCGGGGTGGCCGCCAGGTACTGCGGGGAACTGCTCCAGCCACAGAGTGCCACAGGGTACCACACCACATTGCCAGTGATCTGAGGCTTTTCACAGAAGCAATTGCTTTCCTAAGCCTTCCACATACGAGCATGGAGAGGGGCAAGCAATTCCCTGCTTTAATCGTACCTCTGAACGCCACGCTTTACTAAAGCTGATTCTAGAGCTGTGACGCCAGTCATAAGACCTCCTCTCACTCAGTAGTACAATGGTTTTATTCAGACACGATTGATCAGACAACATATCTCGTAAGTCTTGTTGAAGCGTGTTTGACCTACACACAACTTCCGCTAGCATTCGCACTTATATTTTCTCATCATGATGAAACCCACAATACTTATAGTTGGTACGACCGACACCAAACTCGCAGAAATCGCTTACTTGAGGCTAAAGATCTTGGAGGAAGGTGCTTGTCAGACCAAAGTCCTTGATGTGAGCCATACTGCCTCCAAAGATCCTGCACTTGCTCAGCTCTCTGCCGATGAGCTTTTATCTCCTCTCCAAGAACGGGCTTCCGAGCTCAAAGGTCTATCTCGAGGAGACTATATCGATCAAGCCATCGAGCTATGCCTCCCGGTGGTGAAAGACCTCGTTTCCAAATCACAGATTCAAGGCATTGTATCTGCAGGTGGTAGCAGTGGCTCATCACTAGCTACTGCTCTGATGAGGAAGTCATGTCCTATTGGTTTTCCCAAGCTCATGGTCTCGACGATGGCCAGCGGAGACATCAAGCACTACATCGAAGAGACCGACATCACCATGATGTACAGCGTAGTTGACATAGCAGGTGTAAACTCGGTCCTCAGACGCATTCTGGCCAATGCAGCGGCAGCCATTTCCGCCATGACGCTCTCCTATGCGAAAGCCCTGGTGGACCCATCTGTTCAGGGCACCAAAGGGAAACGTATTGCTGTCACCATGTTTGGCAACACGACTCCGTGTGTTGATCAGATCCGCCAAATCCTGTCTTCGACGCCCCACGATGTTTCCGACTATGAAATATACGTTTTCCACGCCACGGGAGCTGGAGGGCGAGCCATGGAGAGACTCATCGCCGAAGGCCAGATCGATGCTGTGATAGACCTGACCACCACCGAAATTGCCGATGAACTATTCGGGGGAGTCCTGACAGCAGGACCTGATCGACTCGAGGTCGCTGCCAAGAAAGGAATACCCATGATCGTCTCAGTGGGTGCCTGCGACATGGTCAACTTTGGACCCAGAGACACCGTGCCGGAGAAGTACACTGACCGACAACTTCTCGTCCACAACCCAGCAGTCACACTCATGCGCACGACGCCTGAGGAAAACACCAAGATTGGAGAATTCATTGCCTCCAAACTATCCCAGCACGCCACGGATCCGCGCTCCATTCGTATCTTACTCCCCCAGGGAGGGATCAGTGCCGCCGACGCGCCACAGCAGCCATTCCACAATCCCGAAGCAGATGTCGCGCTCTTCGAAGCCATCGAAGAAGGCCTCCAAGGCTCAGGCATCGAAATTGAGAAACATCCACTTCACATCAACGACGAGAAATTCGCAGGCCATGTTGCGAGCGCGATATTAGAGGTCATGGGTGTCACACCGCGTAACTACAGACTCGCCAATGCAAGAAGGCGGAAGTGGAGTTTCGACCATGGTGCCAGCATCATGCTTGCCAGGCGTGCTAGTCAGTTGCATGAGCCACCCCACACGAATTTCAGTGTCGCTTAAGGCCATAAGTCGGGCCAGTGTCGTGGACTGTCGCACATTTGAATTGAGATATCGATAGGATTGGAAGAATGGGCAGACCAAAGTCGGGGAGTCTGTTGTATATTGCTTGTATGCGCATAATGATGGTTTCTTTCTAGTTGTACGAGAATGAATATCTTGAAATGTTTAGTGATCACAAGGTGATCAACAGATGCGCAGCAGATACCCTCACAAAATTGTTATACCTTTCCCTAGTTAGTCTATGAAATGATATATACCCTACCTTCCCAAGCCCTTAACGTCTGCAGATCGCCCACGGGCGCATCCTCATAATTCGACACCAAGACCTCGGACGCGCTCAGATCGAGCCCATCCGGCACGAAAACCCGCTGCACATCGCCCGAGAAATTCAGAGCAACGAGGACACTGCGCTTCTCGAAACTTTTCACGAAAGTGAACGTCTCCTCACTGGCGGGATCCAGCAATTGGAAATGGCCGAAGATCAATAGATCCTTCCAGTCGACATGCTTGCGCAGCTGGATCATCCGCTTCCAGAACTCAAGCACGCTGCCGGACACGCCGAGCTGGCTTTGGACATTGATAGACCTGTAGCTCTCGTTGACCTTCATCCACGGCTCGGCGGCCGAGGTGAAGCCCGCGCCGGGGCTCGTGGCGTCCCACTGGACGGGTGTGCGGTTGTGGTCACGGCCGACGTACGAGAAGCCGCGCATGAGGCAGGACCGGTATTCGGGGTCGTTGGGCCGTTTGGCGAGATCGGCTCGCAGGCGTGTGATGATGGGTTTGTCGCGCATGTCTTCGACAGCGAAGTCGGCGGGTAGGCTCGTCATGCCGATCTCCTGTCCTTGGTATACGAACAGCGTGCCGCTAAGCGTGCACAGGAGCATGGAGAGCATCTTGGCGCTGGCGGCCCACGATTTCGGGGTCGTGTCGTCGCCGTATTTGGACACCGTGCGCGGGCAGTCGTGGTTCTCCATGAAGGACGTGGTCCACGCGTCGAGGGCCTTGTCGTTCAGGAAGCCCTGGGCTTTGGCGAACCCGGCTTTCACTTCGGAGAGTTTCGGGGCGCTCCATTCGTCCATTCCTTTGCTGTGGTCGATGCCGGACTGCATCCATTCAAAGTCGAAGACCATGTCTAGTTCTCGGTTGTGTGACGAGGTGTAGCGCAGGACTTCATCTGTTGGGGTCAAGGGCAGTTCGCCAATGACGACAATGTCGTCGCCAAACGGCGCGAGTGCTTTGCGTCGTTGCTCTTGCAGCCATTCATGCATGTGCGGGCCGTTGAGAAAGGACTCTGGTAGCATGAGCTGGAATTCGTCGTTGGGAGCTGTGACTGGTGCGTCTGGAAAGGATTGATCCTTCGAATAGTGGTTCACAACATCGTCCCGAAACCCATCGATGCCCCTGCGTAGCCAGAAACGTATAGCAGACTCATAGATGGCTTCTCGCGTAGCTGGGTTTTCCCAATTAAGATCTGGTTGTTCGGAAAGACAGAGGTGGAAGTAGTATTGATCCCGTTCCGGCACGTATGTCCAAGCAGAGCCACCAAAGTTGGACTTCCAATTGTTGGGAGCACGGCGAACACCACCGACGAATTTGGGATCTCTCCAAATATACCAATCTGCTTTCTCATTGTCACGAGATTGCTTGCTCTCCTCAAACCAGGCGTGTTCGTCACTCGTGTGGTTCAGCACCAGGTCGAGGAGCAGTTTCATGCCGCGAGAATGGCACCCTCCGATCAAGGCATCCATGTCCTTCAGCGTGCCATACTTCGGCCAGATGTCTTCATAGTTGCTGATGTCATAGCCCCAGTCATGCTGGGGAGAGTCATAAGTGGGAGACAACCAGATGAAATCAACGCCCAGCGACTTGACATAGTCAAGTTTACTGATGATACCGGGAATGTCCCCGAATCCATCACCGTTGGAGTCCTTGAATGAAGCAGGCCAAATTTGATACCCGACCGCTGATTTCCACCATTTTGTTGTAGACATCACGATTCAAGAAAGCCACGACACTGGCAATGGAGCTTGACAGTGCCTTAATACGGCGAGCGAGCGATCTTGTAGCAATAAGTAGGACACACGACTAGTCTGAGGGCTACATTGAGGGTGGTATTCGAGAGGTCCACTGTAGCATATGCTACTTTGAGTACCTAGGTAAGCAATGGCTATGGATCAACGATCTGCAGTCAACACATTAAAGTCGGGCCGATTTGAGTTGATACTCCAATCCATGGAGCAGCGTGCATGATCAAAGAGGAGTCGTGGGGCAATAGCTCGCCCTATGGATCTCCTACACTTCTCCTTCGACATATCTGAGTACTTACCTAGAGTGTCAGGCGAATTCATCCGTGAGGAGCGATTGAGACCGCGCTTCACATACAATCACTCAGGAGGTTGGGACCTCCTTGAAGCCAACAAGCAGGCGCAAAGGCGCTAAGCTAAAGTTGGCGACCGGATTATAGTTCCGCCGGATGATTAGCGTATTTGTTGCGGACTTCATCCTTGAATTCATCAATAAACTTTTGTACTTTTGACCACTTATCAGCAACCTGACAATTGCTTGTCTTTAGTCGCCGTCTTTTTCAGAACATCAAAGCGATTGGTGGCTCTTTGTGAAGATGCCTCACGCCGCTCCTTCGCGCGAGGTGCCGACAGCGAACTCAGACCTTTCCGCAGGCGCCGATCTTCGATTGGGTGAATACGCAGACGAAGTCACACTGAATTTGTCCGAAGCACGCATCATTCTCCTCAAGACCTTGTCCACACGTGCTTCGCGAGGGGGCGCAATCGAAGAGACCGAAAACACAGCAAAGACGCGTGACTACCTCGAGATCTTTGCTGTCTTCAAGGATCTGGCAGAAGCGCAGCAAGTGGAAGGAATCATCGATTCGTACGGCAAGAGGTTGGAACGCTTCGAGAAGAGCCAACTGGGAAGTCTTGTACCTACAAGCGCTGAAGAGGCCAAGGCATTGATTCCGAGTCTGGAGAAGAAAGTCGAGAATGGTACCCTGTCTGATGATGAGTTGGATGGCATCTGCAGAGAATTGCAAAGACTCAAGCGCCAGGCACAACTGTGAGCGGCTATTGTCTAAGTGGGAAAAGTGATAGAGGCATTGTATACCACCACAACAACCATCATACTTCTCGTCTCATGCAACAGACTTCTGGACCACATTAGTTCTCAAATTGAACAACCAAGTCTTGCGCATTATTGTCCCGTGGACAGGCAAAGCTGGAGGTCTAAGGGCTCAAAATCTGCACAGCAAAACTCTTAGCTGATCATCAAAGGACTTTCAGACCTGCTTTCCAAGCTGTTCAACATTGAACATCTTGTTGGCTACCAATCAGGGCGCTAAAGTCCCCCGAGTGGTGCTGAGCCGGAAGATCCTTTGATAAATGGCCGTATCCATTGAATCGTTACAGACTTTGAAATGAAAGACAAAAGCAAGATGCCACGAAAGCAATTGGGTGACTGAGTTAAAAGAATGCGTTCTGTTCTTGGGTGGAGCGCACACACTCGCACTCCCCCTGATTTCTGTCCACACAGAACACAAGATACAGATACTCATTTTCCAGCGTGAGATTGACAAATGAATGAATGACAACCTCAGACTCTCTCTTTTGTACCTGAATCTCGATACTACCCTGCATATGGATTAGCCCTCCATCCTTTTCCATCCTATAGCGTACTACTGACAGGCCCCAAGATCTCTTTATCAAGCGACTCTGGCTTGTCAAGACCTACGCCAGGCTGTCACCCCTCGTTTCCATTGTCCTCACGACAAATCCGTCCCCGTTTCTAAGCCCGTGGTCGAAGAGACTCCCTCACTTCGAGACTGGGATTGCCATTACTGTTGCAGATCATGTCGGCGAAACAAGAGCAAGGAACCATATTTGACAGCATCTCTCCTGACCCTCCTGCTTCTTTGATGATCAGTCCTCAATCGGCAGATCTCGGACCTACCCAAGGCGAACCATCGTTCAGGCACAACACCTACCTAACTAGTCGAAAACATGTTCTCAATCCTGCGAAAGATGTGTTCATGGGAGGCGAGCCTAACAGTGGAAGCGAGCCTGACAGCCCTCAATCTCCCTTGCTAAGTCTTCCAGAGGACGGATTTACTCTGCCGGAGCGTCTCACAGAGCCACAGTTTGCCAGGAACATCGGAAGGGCATCTCAACAATCGGAGACACCCTATCAGCTTCTTCACCAGGATGAAGATACAATGCACTGGCCATTGGTGCCACCAACACCCTTGACAGAACTCGCAATCGTCACTTCATCCGAGCGCGATTCCGTCTGCTGTATCTCGGCACCTGAGCGTTTGCGAGGCACTGCTCTCTGGGGCGGCGTTACAGCATGCTTACACCTTCTCCATGATCTGATGGTCGGCCGCCCAATATCAGATGCCGTCTTTGAGTCGTACTACATACGTGGTTCTCAGGGACAAGAAGACCACAATTAAGTGGCAACAAGAGAAAGAATATTCATGTCAGAGTTCCCTCAAGACCATATGGTCATGCATTTTACATGTCCTTGTACATTGTCTCTTTACCGAATTTGAGGATGACTGCTCACGAAGCGGTGTGAATTCTTGAGGAGTGAAGTTCTCTGCTGAATAACTCTGGCGAAGAAAGTTCCTTGAACAAGTTTTCGATTATTTCACTCCTGTCCGTCACGAACCTCCACATTACGAGACACTGCCACTCAAAATGGGTATTATTGCGTTTTCTCAGAGCCTCAACTTTCGTCTCAAACCAACACAAACTCTCTACCATGCCTCCCGACGGCTACGAAACGTGGAAGTCAACCAAAACCACCAAGACATGGTATTATCCTCTGCCTCGCAAGGCTAATCCACCACCGCCGCCGCCGCCGCCGCCATCACCACCGAACCCACCTTCACGAACGAGGAGCCCGCCATTTCGTGACTATGCCGATTCACCCCGATCGCGCTCCTTACTAAACCTCGACAACAGCCAACCGGTATCTCGAGTCAGCGTAGAATACGGGCGTGCCCCTGAACGAAGACCGCGAGACGATGATCACCAAGAGCGCTCTTATGACAAGGGTGTTGAAGAACGAGATAGACCCTCTCGAAGCCCACGCAGACCTGAACGACGACCACGGACTCCCTCACCCGCAAGCAGTTCTGATCGCTATAGCAGTCATCACAGTTACCACAGCGAAGAGTGGGGACTTTCGCCCAAAGCATTTACATTTGGAGCTCTTGCCTCTACGCTAACACTACGACGTTCGCGGGATCGAGTTCGCTCGAAGACTTCTGGACGGGAGGAACGCAGATCGCGATCCAAAACCTCTCGAAACAAGTCCAACGCTGTCTATATCGGCAATGACGGCCATCGCTATGTCAGGACTGATTGATTAGTGACCGTTTGGAGTGCTGAGCTTCACTAGGGTTGGGGTTACTTGGAGCTTTTCAACGAAATGTCAGCAAACGAATTATTGAGGAACAGCAGATTAATTAGCCTCAACTGATAACTAAGTAGCTATCTGGGCTCCTTGGTGGTCTAGGACAGTTCTTGCTGATGAGATAGCCATGAAAACAGACTCACTCGTTGAACATCGTTTGTACGCCATCTCCAGCTGAGCGTCTTCCCTTCCATTCACGTTCTCATCGGGCCATGATACGTAGCATCAAGACAACATTCGTGATACTGAGTCCGTCACTGGCATCAGCTTACACGATAGCAATCTAGGCTTCAAAGACAAATAGTCCTGTAGAGCGTTTGTGCCGTAGCACTAGCTTTGTCACTTTCCAAAACTATGGACATGCTTTGGTGCATAGTAATGTCTTCTCACAGGCTCTTGTCATGCGACACGTTCACCAGGCTTCACAGGATAATGTAAACGCCGATAGACCAGGGCCGGATATTTTGCTGGCACCTTTCGAGGCTTGAAAGTCTCAAGCCACGTAGTTGCGCAGCTTGAGTACCATCAATTCTTATTCAACAACGCCATAGCGGGTAGAGCTTTATCTTGCCATGGATAAACCTAGAAATTTAAGTTCTTCTCATTGATAAATACGATCTCGAATCTAGGAGGTCCCCTCTATCATCTGATTAATACCTAGAGATTTGGAAAATCGCAGGGCGATATCTTGACATTATCCTAACTCTAAGAACACCAAAGCAGTATCTCCACTACCACCACAGGTCGATCATGCCATTCGAGGAGACACCGCCCACTCAACCACCGTTAGCACCTGGAGAACCTCCAGTCAATCGTCTAGCGATTACAACCCTGCTATCATCTGAAGTGGAAGCAGAAATCTTGACTAAACCCCATGATTCTGTTCTTCGGAAGGAACAACAGGTCATGGGAATGTTGAGTGCTGATGGTTCCACCCGACAGACAAGTACAGTGATACCGCACAGTTATGTCAGTGATGATGACGACGATGACGAGGAAGAGCGCAGCTATCGCGATGCGAAGGGTGAGCAGAGTTGTCTGAAGTGCGCTGTTATGTGAAGTCCGGAGATGGTTTACTTTTCGAAAGGGGGTTCGTGACTCGAGTGGGAGACGATTCGAGGCGTTGCGGAGTGGTGGTTCAATCTTGGTCATGGAGCTGAATTGAATATTGTGACATTGAGGAGGTTGGAGATGGCAGAGGTTACCCTTGAGGTCGTGCAGGTGAAGGACATCGATCGGAGCACATTGGAGCCCTGAACATTTGCCTTGAGTTTTCACTATCCCAGAATGGCTCATGGAGAAAGGACTGAGCGTAATGATGGCGGGTCATCTTCGCATTCGGTTGAACATGATGCTTGCGGAAGAGCAGCATGAGCGAACTTGGCCAAACGAACGCGTGCGCTCAATCTCGGATATTCTCAAAGATGCCGTATGGTAAGCAGTCAATCGCTTTGAGGTAGAGCTCTACAGGACATCACACAACAGGCTGCTGAGCAAATGCCACACTTGCCGGAATTCGAAAGCTGGCACAGTACATCTTCTTGTTGGGCGCGACTAGACGAACATATCGAATGTTCACATCAAGTTCAGGATCGTCACGTCTGACCTGACCACCTAGATGCTGCGATATCCTCTGGCAGATCTCTTCGAGTTCCTCTCTGTCGTCCTCATACTTGGCTTGGAACAGATACAGGTGTATGAACGGCAGCTTGGTATTGGTCTGTGGGCTGAACTCGGCTTCTCTTCCCTGATAGACACCAGTGAAGGCATCGAGAAACTCAATCGCGGTGGCTGGTAGGTTCATGACATAATGTGAGAATGCGCGGGGTTCGCTGAGTGTTTTCCTACTTTTTTCTGCAGCCCTCTCCAACGATCGCCTTCTGGCATTGGAGCCAGCATAACGCGGGACCTTAATCTTGGAGGGTAGAAGGACCGATCTAGGATGCATCGCAAGTCTATTTGTCGCGTTCCGGATAAAGAGTCTTCCGTCCTCGCAGGAAGCGTTGACAAAGGCATCGACTTTATTTCGCGTAATTGCGTCCTGAAGAGCGGTGTACGAATCCGGATTAAGATCATTGGCATGTACGAACACCTTACGCTTTCCCGCAGGTACAGCAAAAGGTCCAACACCTGCCATGACATCGCATACCGCTTCACCTTCTTGGAAGCTTTCGAAAAGGCGAGCATGTTCGGTACCGAGCCTAGGGTTCCAGTATACCTTGCCAAAGTTGAATTTGAACTCACAAGACGACTCGTGAACCGTCACGTCGAGATCGTCAGGCCCGGCAAGGACTTCGTAAGGGAACGTACGGAATACTGACTCGGTCCCAACGTCGAAAGTTTTATTGATTACAGTCTTTACTGTAGGATTCTTGTCGAGCAGGACCTGTCCTATTAATTCCTTGTATGGCAGGTACTGCGTTCGAAGATTGATGTGGGCTTTGTACTTAGTGTGATGACCTCAATGAAATCAGAACTGGACTCACCAACGTGGCCAACATGAGCAAATCCTGTTGGAGTTTCTTTGTCGTCATCCAGCATATCTGGGAGGATGGCCTCAAGGATGTTATCTGGTGTTCAAAATTTAGTACCACAGCATCAAGATGTCCATCAGGATAGAAGCACTCACGCATAGTCCAGTCGTCGTACGTGAGTTTTAGGTCGAAAGGTCGAATTTTCGTTGTTCCGGACTCGACCAAATCGGAAACAGCCTGCGGCCATGTAGATGGTTCTGATGATATGAGTGTACTATACTTCTAAGACATGCCTTCCATTGACTTACGATCTGCATCAATACCGGGCCGAAGCAGTAGACATTTGGCGCCAGGAGTCAAGTCATCTTCCCGAAGAATCTTAATCATCGGAATGGCGATGGTAGCTTGGGACTTGGTCAATTGTGATCGGACATTGGATATCTGCTTAAAATCCGTGATGGAGAGTGCCGATAGGCGAACCACTTTTTGAAAGAATGATCTATCAAGTACTTGCATGGATCGGTTGATGGGAGGTTTGAAAATCTCTGGCACGTCGGCGGGGTTCATCTTTGGTTTCCTGAAGAGGCAAACTCTGCCTGTGGAAAAAAGGCGACGGAAGTGACTTGCCATTCAGCTATACAGCTGCTGGTCTAGTACAAAATACATAATCGTGGTTGTTATTACCGTGAGTCATGTACTGAAGGCACCCTCAACTTTTCTCCAAGGTTGAACCTCGCTCACGTGATCTAGCGTTTTAGCCCGAGGCGCGCGAAGCGCGTGGTGGAAAAGACGCGCCGCGCCGTTGATGACGTTTACAAGAATACTTGGGTCAGAATCGAAGTCGGGCACAATCAGATCAATCCAGAATAGTCGAGGTCATTTACTCTCTTTAAGAATCTGAATTATTATGGCCAAACGAACACTTGATGGCTTCTTCTCGGCTACGTCCAAGAAACCAAAAGTTGCCACCCCCGACGCCGCCTGTACCAGTACCTCTGCAAACACCGCCAATTTGGCCACCACGAGCCATTCAACATACCCCTGGCCAATTCTTCAACTACCCCCAAATATCCAGGTCGAGTTAGAAGGACAGGTCACGGCACAAGGCAGACAAATCAACGATCAACCACACCTGGATCTACTTTATTTCCAACCATTCATCCCCAAGTCGATTGAGCGGGAGCTTTTCGAATTCCTTCGCTCGGAACTTTTCTTCTACCGGGTCAAGTATACGATAAAGCGGTTTGGAAAAGAGACTCTGATCAACACTCCTCGCTTCACGACTGTCTTCGGTCTTGATGAAACCAGCCAATTTGACGATGCTGGGACACGTATTGTTGAAGCTTCGAACTCATCCAAGAATGTCCATCCGAACAAGTACAAGTGCAAGCCTCGTCCAATACCAGAATGCCTGGATTTTCTCCGTCGTGTCACTGAAGCCAACACGAACACGAAGTATAACTTCTGCTTGGTGAACTACTATGCCACTGGTAGTGATAGTATTTCGTATCATAGCGACGATGAGCACTTCCTCGGACAGGACCCGGCCATTGCATCATTCACTCTGGGTGCAAAGCGAGATTTTCTCATGCGTCACAAGCCTCCCAAGAGCGGCGAGCCTCCTCTGGATACCAAGGATCTCAAGTTGCCTTTGGCAAGTGGTGACATGGTCCTTATGCGGGGCAAAACTCAGTCGAATTGGCTGCATAGCATTCCGAAGCGGAAAGGTGTTGAAGCTGACAGAGGTCGTATCAACATCACTCTGAGGCGAGCGATGATTCCCGCTGGTACCGAGAACTACTACCGATATAATGTTGGTGAGGGTGAAGTGTATCGGTGGGACAGGTCCAAGAAGGAGATGATGCCTTGGACCGGAGCAGAGAGTGTCAAATGACTCTTTTGGCTGTCTTCCGATTAGTGCTTCTTTTTCTTGCTACTCTTGCCTTTGTCTAGGATCATCCTGGTCAACGATTTGTAAATGGTCTTCCCCTCGACCGTGTGAGTAGTGACACCGAATACCAGTAGGAAGGCGACAGATAGGACTGCGACAACCAGGAAACTGAGCCAGTACGTTTTGAGCGAGTACATCTCTGCGATCTCGGGGAGCTGAATGGAGAAATATGCAGTCATCAAGCTAACCGGGAGGAACAGGATGGTGGCTTTGGCGAGAAGAATGGTTGTTCTCGTCAACCTCTCGACTGCTTGGGACTCTTTGAGGGCTACCAAGTTGAAATTCTGGAAATTGGTCAGCATATCTAAAGACCTGAAGAGGGGGAGAATGTAACAACTGACCATCAATACCAGCGATTCCTTTTCGTTCAAACATTCGTCAATCTCGGTCAGGGCATACAACCTAATGCGGCCCAACAATCGCTCAAAACGGGCAATGGACGATGAGTACAGTTTGACCCTACAATCAGATTCATCCTCGAGGAAAATTCGCTCATCTCGGACGAGCTGCGAAGAAGTCATATCCTGATATTCGCCAGCGTCAAGGGAAGGCAATGTCGGTCTGGAGGACAGCATCGCGAGATTGGTGTCCTTTTTGGCTCGTGACCAATAGAGAAGACGCGAGACAATATGCTCATAACTCTGATACATCAACTTTAACACGGTCAACTGCCGTCCCAAATTATGAATCTGAGAAATCAGATTGACCTCGGCTGATTCGAGCATGCCTTTTCGCAAGTTTTCCAGCTTGGTCCGGTATGGATGTGCACGTCGCGCGATTAGAGAATAGGTCGTGCGCCAGTCGTCGAAGAGGTAGTAGAAGAGCAGGCTCGCAGCCTCGGTGGCATAGCTGGCATCGTCGGACTTTTTGGAATGTTCATACCACCTGACTCCGACTTTCATCAAAGCATCAAGAGCGGGATCGTGGATGTGCTGTTTTGACAAGTGCTTAAAGACATTCAAAGCATTTTGTCTTGCGGCCGCGTGAGCCTCCGGTCGGTTAATGTCGGGACGTTGGAAGACTGAGACTATTGTGCCATCGTCACAAATCAAGAGTGATGACCAGATTCGAATACCAGATGGCTTGTCGTCCTGGCTGCGCTCCAGACCCGGGACGGTGAACAAGGCGTTGAAGCCCACATAAATGTAATGGCTGCCAAAGTCCACTGAATTGAAATGCCATAGGTCGTTGACGACATCACCAAATGATATCGGCTTCTCGAATCCAGCAGCACCTCCGGCCGGCTGCTGGAGTGTTTGAGATCCTGGAGTCATGCCTTTCTCCTCATCCACCTGAGTAGTATGCGAGCCTTTGCCAGGTTTCGCGGTCGATCCCGCTGAGGAATCATCGGAGCTGTCCGTCGCCGTCGTAGTTGAACCGGCGGTCCCAGATTTCGGGGCGGGAGATTCGGGCGGGCATAGCAGTCCCGTCAACCTAGGTGAAAGCTCATATTTGGCCGCAATGGCTTTGATAGTCGCTCGTTGCGCGCCCGAAAGCCAAAAGTTCAACCATAATGTTTTGTTCGCCGGACGAGAATCGTTTTCCAGCCACGACAGGACTGTCGCTTCATCGAGGTCAACTGCACATTTCGCCTCATTCTTGTCAAAGCTGACGGCGAAGTTTCCGGTTGTTGGGTCTTTCAATTTGTTGTAGCATTCATCGTATTCGCCTTTCTGATCAAGGTCGTAGATGGTTTTCGCATTAGGGGGGGCTGGGGCTTGCGCCATCACTACGAGGTGTTGATCTTCTGAAAGACGGAGCTAATGTCCATAAAGAAGAGTGATGAAGTTCATGTTGATCAGGCTGGAGTTCGGAAAATGACAAACAACAGGTCACGCGGGTTTTGGCATGCGACGTATCCATGTCGCACTCAGCCTCCCCTGAATCCCTAAAGAGGTTAAGTAAGAAAGACTAAAGGGTCAGTGGCGCGTGGAGGTCTAGAGAAGTTCAACTGCCCGCAGGCGGCTGGCCCCTAAATTTATGCTTGTCTCAGCTCTTGACCCGGGGGTTGCTCGGGTAAATCACAATACTTTTGGCCCCTATCGCTCCCGCATATCCGTAGGCCGGTTTGTCAATTCACCTGTTGACACAGCTTGAACACAACTTGCCGAAGCAATACTCCCTTTCAGGCGCTCATTCATTCATTATTATTGGCACTAAATTGCATGTCGCAAACACTGCTTTGCAAGGACGAAGCACATATCTAGAAAAGCATATGTCACATCGACATCAAGGCTGCAATGACTATACCACGACCTACAATTTTGTCGCACCCTTCTGACTCGGCGACGGTCGAATTCGGTTGATGTATTTCTCTTCAATGGCGTCCGCAACTGGGTCAGGCTCGGCCTCTTGCAAGGCTTTACCACCTTTGCCAGGCATCTTCAGCCCCCAAGCACCTTTCTGTTGTGTGCCATCGAGAAGAGGGCACGGCCAGGCCTTCAAATCTCGATCGCGAATTGAGCGATGGATCTTCTCCTGAGTGTTGTCCAATATTAGTGCTTTGCGATCTTGACTGCTCCAGGACTGGATTTTGCCCCATGCGGAGTCCCAGAACGTGTCCAATGGGTCTGGTTCAGATGCTTTTGCCAATCTCGTCCATTTCGTGTTGGTGTTCTTCTTCAACCGGTCCGGCAGGAGATAGTACTCATTTGCATCGTCTGGGTTCACCGGATCTTCATCTGTGAACGATAGTTTCCCGTCTTTGTGACACTGTGCGATCATCCAGGCGAGTGTCACATCTGAGCAATTCGGATCGTACTTGCCTCCACCTACGTCGGAATGTACGCCGCTGAACCATACCTGCTTCATGACCTGAAGTCCTGTCCCATCCGAGGCTGGCACATATCCTGATGGCCACTGCCAGAGCGTTGGGACATATGGCGTGCGACGTTCATCCAGAGCCAGGGCATGGTACGCATACTGGATTTTGGGCGAGAGTTCGGCGTTGTGGAACTCGATCTTCTCGCCACTCATGCCCTCGCCGTGAAACTCAACTGTGTCCCATACTCCCACGAGCTTTACAGCATATTTGGCCTTGGCGATTCGATCCGTTCCGATTTTCTTGAGTAACCCTTCGGAGAAATTGAAATCTGGAGTGCTTCCCGGGTCCTTGTAGAATTCGTCGTACACTTCGGGAAAGTAATCCATTCCTCGCTTGGTGAGAAGCCCGAGTTTCGTCACTAGACCTGCAATTGATCTTGCAGTAAATGCACCTCGCGAGAATCCGAAGAAGAAAATCTCGTCACCTGGGTTTGGATCGTAGTTATGCGCGAGGAAGCCGTACGATGACCGAATATTGGATGAGATTCCCATCCCATATGCACCTGTAGAGTCGTGAGTCAGTCGTGACAGACAAGTCACCTTTCGCCCAACTGCAACGACGATTGACGCGAAGGTAGAATGTGAATCTTACCTCCACGGAGACGATCACCTGCTCCAGTACCGACCTGTCGGCCACGCTTAGCACCATTACTCAGATATGGGGACGAGAAACACTTACCCCAGCCTGATAGTAAACGATCTGCTCAATTTCCCGAATCGTCCCATCCTTCTCCTTCACCCTCGCAACAGGACTGATACACCTCGCCAACCGTGCGACATTGGTCGGGTGTGATTTTTTATCACCCGAGAGAACGTTCTGCCACGTTCCTAGTTGATAGCAGTATCAGCTCTGCTTAGAAACAATCGCGGCACCGCGAATTGGCAGTGCATATATACCATCACAAAGCACAATGAGGCGCTTGTAGGCGCCAGGCTTAGTAGCCATATTGGCTATCTCGAACAGCTGTTGTCGCCCTCAGGAAAACACTGTACCCAGGAGAGGCTATCAGGTGGAAAAGGCGAATCTCTTGAAACAAAAATCTCTCTATTGTTCTCCAGCGAGAGCGGGACTGAAGATCCAAGTTTGGAGCACAAGATATATCAAACAAATATAAATGTGGAACGTGAACCAAACATATATTTTTTTTTTCAGCTGGACGTCAACAACGCCCACTCTGAGAGAAGGCTGGCTGATGGCCGCACTAGCTCGATGTCTTCGCCGCATGCCGAGTGGTCAGAAGGGGGAGGGGTCGATCTTCAGCCGCTTGGGTGCAAAGTCAACGCCCGGTCCAGGCCAATGGATTTACGAGCCGTCGGGAACAAACATTGGTGATGGCATCCCTGCCACACCGTATAGACTTCAGGACTCAGGAGTAGAGAGGAGGTGTGTGTCACTCTTGTAGCGCACGAGGTATTTGGAAGGTTGAGAAGAGGATAATGGAGCTGCGGGATCACATCAAGCTTCGCCTGGTTGTCGATCGGTGAGATGGGACTGGGGGGGGTATCCGTTGATTATTTCGGTATCTATCTATCTGCCTAGTCAATGCGAATCAGGATACACGCCTATCTAACGAGAGGTACCTACTTAACAGCTAGTTAAGGGTGCTCTCTGGTAGCTTTCAACTGCCCCGGATTGGGTTGGTCCCAGTTAGACAAACCCTGATGGTGCTAGTCACCCAATCGAACACCCCTTCAACCCCTCATTGCTCCGCACGAGTCTTTCGGTTCCACTCTGCTTCACGGTAAAAGACATAATCACCCAGTGATATATCTCTTGATACAGCAGACCATAAAATGGCCAGATATATCGTAATGCTATCATATATTAATACCGTTTGACTACGATACCATGGGACAACACAAATCCCAGCGATAGTGCTCGCACTAGCTAAGCCAGCGCAATATCAGTCCACAACTCTGCCCCATTAAATCCTCTTAGGAAACGTGGCCTTCGCCCGGTGGAAACAAAAGCAGCAAACAAGCCTCTCCGAGATCTCAAGAACTTCCCAAAAAGTCCTTGCCACAAACAAACACCGCCTTCAAAAAGATCCACCACCTGGTCCGGCAGCGCCAACACCGACCCAGGCAGGTCGACAGCCAATGCACCCGAGATCGCCCACGCCGCCTCTGACCCACAGATCGTAGACTCACTCTGCGTGACGTCGATCAACCAGTCGACCAAGTCTTCGGCCTTGAAGAGGAAGACGGGCGTGAGCAGCAGAATCGTCTCGGGCTCGTGCCGGATGATCCAGCGGAACAGGAATGGTGAATTGGTGCCAGTTGAGTTTCTGGCGCGTGGCCGGCACGGCGGCCAGCACGTCGGCTTTGCTCGACTTGGCCCATTCCGTCGCCGTCGCTTCCGCGAGGCCCCGTGCGTAGTCGTGGTCCTAGAAGGATGGGGTTTTAGTATTAAGTTAGGTTTAGGGGATGCGTGAAATATGGGAATATATATAGCCAAGTATCACTCACGTGTCTGTTCGCAAAGGTCCCATCGCGCTGGGCGACGAAGACATCCCTCCAGAGCACACTCCCAGGGTTTCCGCCCGTTTCGGTGCTCAAACCCAGCGCGAGCGCACCACTGCGCTGGATGACCTCGACAATACCCGTATCGACATAGCTGACCCAGCTATTGGGGGCACCAAAGTTCTTGCTCGGCAAGAACTGAATGACGCTTTCGATGGGGCGTAGTTGGTTGGATGCTTTCAATGGGCCGAAGAAATGGCTCTGCATGTACCGGACGTAGGTGAGACGGTCGGTTATAGTGGAGGACTGGATTTGGTTGAAGTTGCAGCTCAGCGTCTGCTGGCATGCTGGCTATCCTGCTGCTTGGCGGGGCTCGAGAGCCGCTGTAGTGACGAGGAGGAGGGTTGTGGGCACGATGAAGAAGTTGGAGAAGTGCATGTTTGCTGGATGTCTGTTGCGAATGTAGAGAGGAAGGGAGACTAATAAACACGATGGCACACTGAGAGACAGAAAGAGAGATGCAATCCTCACCATACAGTTGTCCAATGACTTGAGTACTTACCAAGTAGTCCAGAGAAAAGATGACTTATCCCACAGTTCCATTTTAACGCGTTGACTAGCAGACATAGAGTCCAAGATGAAGAAACTTAATCAAGTCACAGAGTGCTAAAAGACTTCATGAAGCTTAAAAGTTGACCATAATCCAAGGTATGTTTTCGGTCTGCACCACAAGCGAGAAGATTCCGAGACCTTTCGGATCACGACCACCAGGGCTAAGCGAAGATGGCGGCGCAGTTATGCGGGATTGGGATCATTCTCCCTGGGAGGGATTCAGATCTCACTTGGAGTACTAGTGCCAGACTTCCACATTTGGCATGGTGATCTCGCGACGTTAAGTCGTGTATAGTAAGCTTGAATGAGCGATTACCTCTACTAGTCAAGTTTTGATCGAAAAGAGGTAGATTTGACGTGAGTTGTGGAGGGAAAATGGAAGGCGTGACAGTCCCGAGTAGCGCAGAATTTGAACTCGGTTCGGCCCATCGGCACGAAGCGGGGCACTTTGCTGATTTTGCGTCATCACATTGTGGAGATGAGGATTTTATACAGTTTGTGTTTGAATTCACACAGTAGATTGTTCTAGTTTGAGAACAACAGGCACCTGTAGGTGGGCGAGCGCCATTCACATTTGAAACCTTGGAGAGGAGCACAGCGAGAGTACAGGAGTACGTTGATCGTAGAAGAAGGCTCTATGATTTGTATAGGTTGCCGACTGGTGCTGATAATGCCCCGAAGCAATGGTAGAGTTTGAATAGTGCTGGCATCCTGAGCTAGATTTGGAGGAGCAGTCGGGAAGTACTGCTCATATATGAGGGCAGCTTGTTGAGCAGGAAGTTGTCGGACCGAACGTCGAATCATACGACCAGGACGCAAAGTCAGGCAAGGGAGCCAAGAGCCTTCAATATTGGTGCAGAATGGCCATTAGACTGTAAGAACATGCAACCGTTGTGGTCGCTTTGGCCGCAAAATCACATGCGTCTCTCTCGACCAAGTCAACATGTCAATGGTGAGAGTGTTGGTGGTTGCTCGGGCATAAATACTGGCCCACTGTTGTGCAGCGAAAATGGTCACCGTAAGACTTCAAATGTTGGAAGGTGCATATGTAAGAATGTTCGAGACGTGCAAGTAATCCATAAAGACGCCATTTGACTCCTCTGATGGAGCGGCCCAACCGACAATAACGCATATATCTCATCAATTCCGCTGGTAAATCAAACCGCATCGATTCATCCGCTGTCATGCTCTGCCTAGGACTGACCCATAACCTCAATTGCATTTCCAACTTTGACCAGAGGCCTCGACGGTAGAGTGCTACTGGCCTTGCGCTTTTCAGCTGACCTGGACTTTCTCTCGCCCTCCTCGGGTATACGTAGCTCTAGAGGGCTGAGCGGGCTGTCCAAGACAATATTGTCATATCGGTCTTTGCGGCAGAGACTTTCTGCTTCGCGCTGAAGCATGGCAGCATCGACCTTCAAAGCAAAGTCCATAAGATAGCAAAAAGTGATCTCAAGGCGCCCAAGCTCACTTTCCGACACCCCACCTACCTTACTGAATCGCGCATGCGGCCACGACAGGTCTTCAAGTGCCTTCATTGCGACCCGGAGACACGCCAGAAGCAATCGATGGACGTTTCGTGGTGTCACAGGTAGGATCCTGTCCTGTATCGCTAGACGAGTGATATACAGTGACGAGGCCAAGTAGACAGCAGTTGACATTGGGCAGTACTTATGCATGCGCATTAGGTAGTCCTCGGTGGAGATGGGAGGAGGGCGTTTCGAATAGAATTTTCGAGCAAGAGCCCCATGCTGGATGTAAATCGGCTGCGCATGGGCCCCAATGATTTGCGCCGCAGAGATAGGCTCGTGGGCTTGTGCTTCCGGCGAACCGATGGGTGTCTTTGCGAATTGCACACCATCGATAATGTCGTGTGCTTGTGAACCAGGCGGTCGTAGTCCGAAAGTCTTCTTCTCGGGGGTCGTGATCTCACCCGGTGTAACTTCACGCAGCTTGGAGAAACCTTTTGCTGGAGAAGTACCTCTACTCCGTGCAGGAGGGGTAGGAGGGATATCTCCCGTGATCTGAACTAGATCGTCGACGCTACGACACAAGAGCTTAAGAGCTGCCACTGCATCGAGTTTGAAGACGTCCACGTTCTCAGCTGTTATACCTTCCAAGCCTTCCAGCTCCGGGCTCTTGATTGAGGGGAAGATGCCTTTGTCATTCTCAGGCTCCGGTGGTGCGGGCAGCTTGGGTGGTGTTTTTGTGACAGTCGCATCCTCTTGCCGGCAGGTCTGTCCATCATTTTCTCCCATGATGTGGTAGCTTCGGTCTGGGAATTCTTTTTCGTAGATGAGCCTACTTGATCATGGGGGCAGGACTCGAGGCGAATATAACTCGGCTGGGTGGCTGTCGGGTAGACTGCCACATGGTCAGGCTGGTCTTGAGTCGAGGACTGTGCTGATGGAAAAGCCGTTGACACGGTCGGTTCCACTCTGGAAAAGATGCTCTTCTATTCAAGTCTTGGTCGACGTCTCTCCGGGAAGGCAATGGGGTCAAAGATGGCCTTCGGAAAGAAAAAGGCGCAGCTTGTCTCAAGAACCTGAGATAAGGTGACGTAGGGCGGGAAGTGATGGAGGGATGGCGGGAAGAAGGCAGCTTGGACTTTGGATTGGACAGGGATGACAGAGGGACGGCAAGATGGAAGAAGACGCCATTCAAGTCTTGATCGAGTCCTTTATGACGGCCGTGCACAATCAGGAAGGAGATGTCAAGACCTTTTATTGAAGCCCAAGTGGTCAAGGCGGTTCGGTTCGGTCTGGTGGAGGGGAAAAGGTGACTCGCAGTAAGGCGTAAGTAAGTCTAGAGCACGAGCCTTGGGGGGCTTTGCTCCGAAGGACACCTTAAGTACGAGGTACTGGGTATCCCCAGGCTATGAAGAACTTACGGTCACACCACAAATGGTCAAGAATGCCCGAGAGTATAATGATTGAACTGTAGGTAGCATTTACGATTGACTTTTGATCCCTAACCACTAGAAGCAATAACTTACTCATCTCTAAACAATAATTCTGTTGCTTTGGATTTCCCGCCCTCCCTCAGGAAAGGATCAGCACGTCACGCGCCCTGCATCTGCTAACAGACTCAATCATCTTTGGCATTGGGTAGCACCAAGTTTGGGCGTCTCCATCAAGAAAATTGGGGTCGACTAGGGGCTTGAGAAGCCTAGACCTGGCATGGCAATCGCCCGTTGATTCGCCGTTGTGGGGAGTATTTGTGGGTGCCGTGGTTGAGGCTACGAGTACGAACACTGGGCCACTGCACCTAATCCAAAGTCATACCCGCGAAACACCGCTACCGAGTGGTTCCTGCACAGGCTCCAGAGTCCGCCGCTCCTGGCAGTTCATCAGATTGATTCATCCACACAAAGCCAAGAAGATAAACCAACATACAAAGAACCTCCGTCTTCTGAAAAATCAACACTACGCCGTGCTTGAAGCAAGTTACCTGCCAGGCAGTAACCACACTGCAGGCTGTGCATCCTGACTCAGTCATCAATGATCCATCATCGCCCTGATTAGAGAATCATCGCTGCATGGCGATGCCCAGCCCCATTGGGGTTGTCGAACAACTTCCCAATTGGAATTGTGCTGGTAAGAAATTGATTCTGTATCTTCGAAGTATCTGCCTATGTACCTATATACTGTGTTGTTGTTGTTGTTTTTTGGTTCACTGGTCATGATGTCCCTGTGGTGCCGTGCCGCATCTCGATCCGAATGTCCTAATCCTCCATAGTGCCCGTATCTGTACCTGTTTGTGCCTGAGTGCCCAATCTCCACCTTAAAACGCCAGCAGATCGAAGCCGATGACTAGGCTTCGTCTGCCTAAGTCTAAGTGTACCAACAAACAGAAATGATTTGAGATTCGGTGCAAAAACGACTGGAAAGTCCAAAACCATATAATTAACGCCATCCTTCCGCCCTGTTGTTTTTTCTTGCTTCGCAGCAGTATTGTTCTGTTCCGTCTATAATGCCATGATGCTAACACCCCGACCTTCCTCTTTCTACTTTTCCACTCTCCAACCCTAACACCAAACGTATGTTATGTGGAGATCTACCGATGTCCATGGCGAGTGTTCCTTGGTTCGCGTGGAGGCTCCACGATGACGATGCTCTGGCGGCGAGGACGTCTCTCTGCAGTTGATGGTCGCGCCTCTTCACGAAAGCCGCGATTCTCCCGAACCTCGAGCTGTTGATAATCAGCTTGAGCGCGATCCAACGCTGAGCGGTGATTATTTTCATGCAGTGGCGCCACAGCAACGATTGGATTATGAACAACGACGGGTCGCCTGACCTCGACTATCCGGTCGCGTTCACGTTCACGTTCACGTTCGTTGCTGTGGCGCTCATCGGTGAGGCGCCTTTCACGATCTGCTGCGGCGCGCTCTCTCTTTTCGAGAGATCTCTGGCGCTGTTCGTGCGCCAGGTCGGCTTCAAGGCGGTTGGCCTTTGCTTCGGCGATGGCAGTAGCTCTCTCTGCCTCGATCCGATCTTTTCTCTCCTTCGCAAGCAAATTGCTGAGGTCGTTCGTCAATTGACGGAGCTCTCCGTCGTCTTCTCGACGATGGTCGAAGTCAGACCGTACAGAGCTCGGACGATCGTGGACGCGGGTCTCCACGTAGTACTTGCCGCTGTCATGTCGCTTGTGCGAGGATGATGGGATTTCTACCCGCGGGTGGGCATCTTCATCCCTTCGATTGGTATGGACAACCTTGACCTTGCGATACAATTGAGGTTCTCTTTCCTCATAAATGGCGTCGTAGTCATCGCTCTTGCTCTTGCGATGCTTTGTATTGGATTTGGGAGACATCTTGGGAGGTAATGGAGCGTAGATGTCGTCTTCGTTCAACCGAGTGGTCATTCTGCGATATGGTCCTCTTGGGGGAGATGGTGGTGGCGGTGGTGAGGGTGAGGGTGATGGCGATGGGGTGCGAATCCGCCGCTGCTGGCGTCGACTTCTGATGGGCGATTCCTCCACTATTTGAACCTTTCTTCTGCGAGTTCGAAAGAGGTTGTATATCTTGGAACCAATCGTCAGTCGACTCTTTTTGACTTTGGTTGGTCGAATGATGCGATAGGAGTTACGCACCTGGGGGTCTCTTTCGAGGACTATGGGATCCGAACTGTGGCTGTTGTAACTGTCACTGTGTCGTCGACCCGACATTCAATGGAAGAGGTTGAACTCTATCGATGAGGGTGTTGCTGATATGGAATGGGTTTGTGCTTCCGACGTGCGTTGGGTTTCACAAGGTAAACCTCTGGATCCAGAATGGCGATGGGTTATCTGGTGAAGGGTCTTTGGCGACGGGCAGACTGAAGTCTTTGTATGCTGCTGATGTCTTAACTGAATGCTATGCGATATGCCGAATGATGTTCGATCTTGACATGATGCGAATGGTCGAGACGATGCTGACCTTGATGGGACGAAGGATCTTTAGTAAAGCATCAATCACGGCAACATTGTAATTGATCTATGCGAGCGAGAGACGCTTGCAAAAAGCGAAAAAGAATTGTGCTCGTGCTGGTTCCCAAGGCTGTGGACTCGGTCTGCTGATTTGATAAAGTTAGTCTTTCCGCGTCGAGTGTCCACTGTGCATATATCCCCGACAGTTGAACGAAGGAAGCGGGTCGTCTATCAAGGGAATTGAGAACAGGTGATTGGGGATTTTGGATCGAAGCAAGGGATGAGTTGCATTTCGACCCAATGCACGGCTGTGAGGAAACAATTGAAGCCTAATGGCCACTCAGCGTGACCGCACTTTGGGCGACCATTTATGGTGGTTCGCAGGGTTCGTTCCCGTTAGGCAACGCAGTGATTTTGGCATCTTTGGGATTTGGCCAAATCAGGTCATGGGCGGTGGATTTGGCGGTTGCATGGTCATGACACACTCAAGCTCGCAAAAGCTTGGTGGTCAATTCTCTCTTGATCATACAACTAAGTACATTCCGCTTGAGGTGTAGTTGCTACTGTGATGAACTCCCGTTTCCATCAATTCGGCCCCCTTGGGGTATTGTTTCGTCTCTTCGAGCATTGGGTCGAGTGGCGGTCAACTCTCCAAGTGTGGCGTCAAATTATGTCAGCGGGCTCACATCTGCTCACCGGCCACTTTTCTGGCCACCTCTACTCGCTCCAACCATGTCGCTTTGTCTGGACAAGATGATGGGGCCATATAGAAGCGTCAAGATTAGGGAAGAAGTCGGAAAACAAGCTGGATATGTGACCTCTACCGAGAACTAACGTGCCACAATACCGGAGGGCCAGTAACCATACCGAAACCCCTCTCGTGCATCAGCCTCAAATAGTGGCTGAACTCGGACCCCAATGACCTCATTGCCAATGTCAAACAACAAGGAGGGTGGTGACCTCCATTCAGCCTGGGCTACAACAGAAACAATTGCTGCCTGTTTTTTAATCACAGCGGGTGCCTGAAGCGTACATGGATTTTTCCAAGGGGGATATCGTCTCTCGGGTCTATGTGAGTGCTTTCACTCCGAGGTTGTTGTACAGCAAGTGCACCTATGTGAAATGGAAGGTGTCCTCAAGGACGAAAATAAGATTGGTGATTCAGCAAAAGGGCATTCGGCCCCTCGAGATCCCTGATCGATCTTGTCGCGGCTCAGGCCGAGGTGAAGTTAGGTGAATTTGCATCCATTCTGAATCAGCACGGCGAGTTACCAAAGTGGTAGGAGCCAGGTGAATTGGAAACAGCAGGAGGCCTTGATATCAATCAAGGGTGATGGCAAGCAGAAGACGGTGGAATTCAACCTCGCTCCTTCGGAAGGTTGCTCAGCTGGCACCAGAACACGTTGTGCTTGATGTCTCATTGTCGCAGCTGACACTGAACCAAAGTTGAGAAATCGGGAGGTCAAGTGAAGTGGAACTAGTTAGTCGCTCAAACCCCGTGCAAATTACTCATTATCAAACTCGCAAATGTGGAGAGTCATGGTGCTGTGGGTCAAAACTTGTGTCCCTGCTCTGCTGAAAGGCAAGGCTGTGTGAAGCCTGGAGACTGATGAGATGGAGGGGGGTGCACAGAAAGGCCAGCATCATCATGGGGGCTCAGCCTCAGGTAAACGGCACTAAGGCTCTTAGGCTATCGATAAGGCTCGCTATTGCTTGGCAAGGCGCATTCCGCAGAGCCCCTCGTGCCCCCCTCAATCACCTCTTCTCCCAATGTCCACAGGCAATTCGGGGATCAGACTTCTTCTTTCAGAATATCTGCATGCAGGATGCCCATCATCCGCGATTCGCGAGGCTGCGAATTCCCAATCGTGCAATTCTTGTTCGCAATCCATGCCTGCAAGATGATAACGTGTTCCTGCAAGATCGATGATCCATGATCCATGATCAACTAGGAATTGGTGTCAACATAAGTTTATACGTCGCCTAACGACCGTGGTGAAATCAATTGATCAAGACTTTCAGTTTAACGTAGGCCACAAAAGGGCCGCACATGTCAATATTACATCTATGTGCTTTGGTATCATCGCTATCTTATCAAGTACTAGTTGCCTCTTGATGCTCCTCAAGTAGTAATAATTCATACCGCGCCTGGAGATTCGCTCCCATTAATTCGTAAATTCGTGACCATTCCAGAATGAGAAATACTAGTAAACCCATATCTCCAAAAGTCATGTCATCTTAAATATTAGCTTTTTTGAGCGGGTCAGATATAGATTAGAGCCATGATTGACATGAATATCGTGAATGAAAGTGAATGCGAGCTTGGCCGTTGGGTTTCCGCCCCGTTGGGGACACTCGATGTCGGTGTCGGGCTAGTAGACAGAGCTGCAACTACCACCGTAGAGCTCGCAACTGTTGATAAGGACGATGATCCACCTGTCGACACTGTTGTCGAGCTGCTGGCCTGGGTCGCAGCTGCAGCTTCGGCGGTGTAATCACTGCAATAGTCCAGGAATTTCACCAGAGATGATATCAATCTCGGAGGCTCGGTGTACGCCTTGTCCTTGTTCACATCGATGCAATTCCCACAATTGGTGTATTGCTGTGAAAATACCCCAGAGACCGGACACAAAACAGCCCCTTTGAGACCACAACTCTGGGCATTGAGGACAGCAGCGTTGCAAGGATTGTAACATGCGGCAGGGACTGAATAGTCAGGAGCATCATCCTGGCGTTCCGCAAGATTCGCTCTCGGAGTAATGCCAGGTGGCGATGGTCTCCAGCTCTGACCGTGCGGACGATCTCCATGTCCAGTCCAATCGCTCCAGCCCGATGGTGCTGGCCCTGCCGGACTTGATACCGACCAGTCTGCCCAACTCGAAATAGAGGACGCGGAGACAGGCGGTGTCCAGTCTTGCCATGTTGTAGATGGTGGTGGAGGAGGGGGTGGAGGACAATAAGGGCCTGGTTGTCCATTGAACTGGAAGATGTCGTACCCAAGGTCAAAGATGGGTGGCGCCAAGTTGGCGTACCCTGGAGGTGGAATGTAAGGGGTGCAATTGTGCGAGTCCCAGCTAGTGTCAAGCGGAGGCAACGGTGTTACAGGTTTGCAGTCTTCTGGGCTACAAACATACGTGTCCGCCGGTAAGTTGGGTTCAAAGTTGCAATCGATTTGCTTGGGTGTACACAAAGTATCCGGAGGGCAGCCCCATAGCCAATCAGTTGGCAAAGCTGTAGGTGGGGTGTATGTGGGATTGAGTGTTCTTGTAGGACAAGTCACGAGTCCCACAAGTGGTGCCGTCGTGCACACCGGAAATTCGGTCACAGTATCGGTGATCGTTGAAAATTCCGTGATCACTGAGATACTTGCGCTAACCACGGTGGCCGTGGCAGTAGCAGTGGCAGTCTCACGGGAGACCTGGGTCTGTGTCTGCGTTTGAGTCTGGGTCGCAGTATCCGTAAAATAGTTGTTGACTGTGCTATAGATGGTCGCCGTCGCGGTTTGATATGACACCTGTACCTGGGTCTGCGTTGCCGTGCTTGTGAAATAGCTGTTGACGGTGGAATATATCGTCGCAGTAGTGGTAATGATGTCAGTCTCCTTGGAAACGACTATCGATGTCTTCGTTTCCAACTGAGTCTGTGTGTTGTACACGGTGACAGATCCGGGTGTCTCCCATTTTGTTTGCCAAACTGTGACAGACTCAGGTTTCGCCCATTCCGTTTGTGTTTGGGTTTGCCAGATCGTGATGTATTCCTTCTCGGCAGATTTCGTTTCCCAGCATGTGGTTGTTAGCCAACGAGTGTGTTCGCCGCCGCCGCCGCCACCGCCACCATCCCCTGCATGGACGATTGCAGCCAGGAGTAAAGATACAGCGAGGGACTTGACCGAGAGCATCTTCAGACGCAATGTAAGCCGGTGAGAGCAAGCTTGCTGTTTGAATCGATTTGACTGTTGACCAATAGTCAAGTGCTTGTAGCGATTGATTGACGATAATCAGTAAAGCTGAAAGCGAGCGTATGGCATCACCAAGTTGTGACCACCTTTGGAGCAATGAGTTGTACTATGACACAACGTCTTAAGTATCTACTTAATGGAGAGGAAGAGAGTAAGAGGGGGAATGAGCTCTCTTTGAAGAACAACCCAATGTAAGTATAAATCTTGCGACGGTGGAGTTGGTCAGACCTTTTCCGAACCAATTGAATGGCTTCTGGGCTGCATGTTGCATCCGATTTCATGCCTGAACCGGAGAGCTCGTGGCTATGCCATTATTTCCTGGTCAACCAGCCGTCACTTACCTGTGGATCATTGATGATTGGAATTGCAAGGATTGTAGCTGGGTGATAAAGTCTTGACTCTTCTTCGTGGACTGGTCCGGACTATGAGGTCGCACACCAAACCCGGACGTTCGATGCAAGAGAGATGGCTGGGTAAGCGATCGATAGGGCAACAGAAGCGAAACGGAGCTGGGCAACGACTAACCCCTACCTTGGAGAGGATAAGTAACAAGAGACATGAGCCCAGTATAGCAACGGCCACGGGGTCGGGCCAAAAGGACGCGAGCGGCGAGGTTGGGAGCCATTGAAGGTGAGGCTCAACCATCCCTGGTTCGTCAGTCCGTGGGGGACAGCTTTAACACAGCGGTGTCGAATGAGACAGGCACACCATAGTACATGTTGTATTTCGTACGAATAGCTCCGTAAGACCGTTTGGGGGCTGATGGAAAACTCCAGACCGTAACATGCGAAAGAGGTAAGTAATAGTGGATAGACTTTTTATTTTTTCTGCGCGTCCAAACTTTGCCGTTTCCAGTAAGTTTAGACTAGGTGTTAAATCCCGTCAGTCTAGCCAAGAACGACATAGAAAGTCAGCAATAACGGCCAGGGGCCGAAGCTATTATCTTCTAGTACCTCGGTACTTGGCAGCTTCTCGCATTTTCCCAACGACTCGCAGTATGGAACGAGTGGGCAGGTGTTTCTTCTTTTCCTATCTAGTCCGAGGCCAGCTGCCACTACCAAATTCCTTGTACGGACTACCGCGTCCCGAGCATGCTATTCCCACAGGAATCATGTTGAAGTGTTGCCGCACGAACAAGCCGGATTTTGTGGATCCTGGTGATCCCACGTACAGTATCACTACTCCGGACGTTGTGGACATCGCTATCGAGCCCTCAACCAGCATCTCAGGCCCGACAGACTTGTGGCAATGATATTGTTTCTATTTTGCGCCCTCGCCTGGAGGCTGTTCATCCTACACAGTACAACGTAGTACAGCGCCAAGGGTCTAGTGTCGTATCAATGGCCAGGTCACTCCTACGAAGGTAAAAAGGATATTCTCAATCTGATTGCGGGGTCCTCAGACCTATCCGTCGCTCCAGAGGAGGCCTTGGAATCTTATCCAGGATGGATTGGTTATCGTCTGTCTGTCCATCCGAACGTTGTTCTTAGGGGTGGAATATGGTGTCGATCAGATTCAAGAAGCCACACCCAAGTCAAAGGACGTGCCATCTACCAACAAAGCCTGCCGGCGTGAACCTTCTCTCAGTGCTGTCAATGGGTTTCAAGAACCCGAAATCGAATTGGCATGTTCCGCAAAGATACCAACGATCGACAGGGATTCCGAAAACCAACGACAGGTCAGCACACTAGTGAACCGGTTAGATTTTGCGCTAGGGTGCCTTGGAGTTAGAACTCGAATGGGTCCGACTTCACAGCCTACACCTATAGTCTCCATGCTCTCACTCCATGGTCGTACTTGAGCTACCCAACGACAAGCTCCGCAAGAGTAACATGATTCCTGTTACTACGGACGGTGATTGATGGAAAAGCCACTAGTCTAATCAATCGTGAAAATGCTCAGGTCTGGGAGCACAAGTGAAGACACTGGTAGAGAGAGGTCAGGAATCCTATGCATCCATGACCTGACCATACCGCTAAGGATCAAAGACTTCGGCGTACAGAACTCCAATGCATTGCTTCCATAACCCATGTCCATTCCAAGAATATCACTCCAACCGAATGATGAAATATGCATGCGCTGGGGCTGAAAGTGGTCTTTTTGGTGTTGCACGGCCGCCCCAATCGCGGCCCTTTGCGTTCGGCTTCAGATGGAAGGGTTGTGGTAGCTTATCACCTTCATATTCGGACAAGTCATACTAGTCCTATGTCTCGATTCGTCAGTGCCACACGAGACAATGCCACCACTCCCTGAGACTCATCCCGCCTGACTCAATAGGTATTGAATCTGCAAACCTGCAGATCCCGTGGTAAGGCGGGTCGAAGATTCTCTCGAAGTCTTCTGGAATTCCAGAGCTCCATCTCTACCTATCTTCTTTGGCTTACTTCCGCGAAGCAGCTTACACTCTTCTCTGCCTCACCGGCTTTTCTACGACAGAATTTTCCTTTGCGCTGCATTCTACGATGGGTACGAACTCGAAACCGTGGTGGGTGATGCTATGTCTATGGACTGTCGCTTGTATTGCAGCTGATGCAAATCCGCGACTATGTGTTTGGACACAGCCCCGAGGTGCTGTGGTTCGCGACACCCTTTACATGGATGGAGGTCAAAGACAATATTGCCAATGGGATGCGACAGCAAGTGCCTGGCTAGACATGACTGCGGTTTCGGGTCCAGAGGAGGAACGTGGATATTTGTACACGCTGAATTTCTCCAAAAGCTTCGACGTCTCGACCAATTTCTCAGACATATTCACGATCCTGCCCACTGCAGGAGGGTTTAGCAATAATCCGCCATTCATCGACGGCTACATGTTTGCAGACGATTATGAATTTTACACATATGGGTATGTTTGAATTTCCAACCTTGGACCAAGATGGTGACTGAATAAAGTCTCTAGTGGATTATCCCTCACGGAAGCGGGTGAGAAAGCAGATTTGATCAATAATCGACTTTATCAACCCGAAGCTGGTTCCACAAAACAAAACCCTTACGAGAACTGGACTCCTGATTTTGATACTCACTATACCCCAACTCCCCCAATAAGCAAGAATGTGACGCATGGTGCTGGGGTGAGTATTCCAAGTGAACATCTAGGGTTTTATTTCTCGGGGATGCAAACTGAGTCTGGAGGCTTCTTGATAGCCTATACTGGTCTAGACCCAGTCTCTCACACGCTCGACAATATGTTGAAGATTGACATGAAAACAATTTCAGATGCAACTTGGACGAACACATCTCTTCCCGATCATGTCAGGGGCCGCGGCAGTGCTAGTCTCGTTTGGCTACCAGTTTCTGACCAAGGCCTCTTACTTGCCATTGGAGGCGTGAAAAACCCGGTGGATGTTTTCGTTGACTACTCCTCGAATGCTTCTTCACAGACCAACGCCAATAACGGGGGTCCTGGCTTCATGCAGAATATTTCAATGTACGATATCAAAGATGATGTCTGGTATAACCAAGAGACTTCCGGAGACGTACCACCACAGCTTGCAGATTTCTGCGCAGTGATGGCGCACCAGGACGATCCAACTTCTTATCAGATTTTCATCCAAGGAGGGTACAATGGTGTTGATCTGAACAAAGACCTGAATACAGATGTCTACATTCTATCAGTTCCCTCGTTTCACTGGACCAAGGTCACACCACTAAACCAGGATGGTGCGCGATGGGGACACGTCTGTGTAACTCCTTATCCTGATCAAATGTTCGCTGTTGGAGGTCAGGGTAGCTATCAAGACATAATGTTCTCTGGGGGAAAGTCTGTGGAGATCTTGAATCTGAATACGCTCATCTGGCAGGACAGTTATAATCCGGAAAAATGGTCAAAATACAAAATACCGGCTCAAGTCACACTTGCGGGAGATCCCAGTGTCGCTGCCGCAGGCATGGACGCCTCTCTAGCCTCACTCTTCACAAAGAAATACCAACAAGAAATTGTCACATGGTACCCTTATGTGCCAACATCCAAGGCCAGAAAGAGTATATTGGGGCCAGTTCTGGGAGGTGTTTTAGGCGGTGCTGCTCTCGTATTAGCTGCATTCTCTTTCTGGTTGTGGCGACGTCGGGAGATAAAGAAAAAGAATCGAGAGTCCAAAATGTCTACCGCAACATCAGAGACACTTCAAGGCTCCGGCGATCACCTCCATGGATGGTTTCGAGACCAGGCCAAGCAATCCGTGTCCGCAACTGCTATGGAGATGGACACTAGTGATCAGGCTACTGTGCTTAGCAATCGTCATCAAAGTCAAGGTGAGATCGCAGAGTTGGGAGGGCGCAGCATCTTCATGCCCAGAAGTTCAATGCAAACGAACACATCACTGCCACCAGAGTCCCTACCCGAAGTGAGTGGTGAGTCTCGAAAGATTGGAGAATTACCCGACTCTTCCACAGATTCTGGGGAGCAAGATTCGACAATACGTTACAACGAGCCCAACTATGGGCCACGAGGCTACGCCAATTATCCTCGAGTCAACAAAGGCGGCCTGAGCGCTGCAGGTTCCACTACCGGACAATCGACTTCGGAGAAGATGTCCTCGCTGGGTGCTGGCGAGAGCTCACTGCCAGAGAGGCACTCATTCCAGGGGTTTCCATTCAGTGAAAGTCGAAAGGATAATTACGAGCATGTCTACCTTGGCGGAGCCGCTCTGCCTACCAGCGAGCCCATCACAACACCCAAACAACGACGTATCGATGCCTATTTTGCAGCATCGGATCGCACAAACTTCGATCCGCTGCCGTCACCCAACAAGGCCAAAACTGATGAAGGCAGTTTCTTCGGACAGCCTCGCCCACCGAACGCGCCACGCCAGGAATCAAACGCTAGCAGTGACTTCGTCATCACGCCTCTAGCCATGCCTGATGATGCTCAACAAGCCGCGAACGAAATGGGGATGACGAGCGCCGCCCTGGCCACCTCGCCATTATCACCCATTCGACCCCGACACCGGCGTAACGGAAGCAGCATGAGCAGTGGTGGCCAGATCATAGCGGGTAACAGTGCATCATTGCCGTACCAAGCTCCCGAGGAGGACCACCGCCAGTCCGCCTTCATCGAGAACTTGCCTGAGAATCCGTCTAGGGCCCCGAGCATGAAGCGAAAGAATACAACATCCCGGACGCCACCACCACCCGTGGAAGAGGAAGATGCCAACAAGCAGGCAGAGCCCTAGATCCTTGAGAATCGTTGATACGATGATGACACGCTATGGACGAGAACGATCTCGTGAATGAATTTATCGATGAGCAAAGCCAATACCTGCGCCTTCTTCGTGGGTTTTACAGGTTTTTACGAGTATCATACTAGTACTTTGTGTGCAGCTTTCTGCAGTGTTCAAGTGAAGGGAGGCTTACTAACATACATGACATGATCCTTAATCGAGATCCAAAGAGATACGGAGTTTGCTGGGTAATGTACACGAGCTATCTAAGGTGAACAGACTTTGCTGGGTATCTTTGAATGATAATTTGGGAATGGATATTATTGTTGGTGCCTGCATCTCATCCTTTGATCGACAATGCCAATGACATGTGCCTTGGCCTATCGTGAAAGACCTTCTCGAGCAGTCCATTCTCGTGGTTGAACTTGTACAGCCAACCTTGGCGTCCAACGACGTAATAAGGCCCAAGTTAATTTGAAGCGAGTTGTCTTCGGTACTCCGTGCTGGCGTAATGCCATCCATTAAGGCAGCACTGACTAGCTACTTATGTACCTAGGATGTACCTTAGTACCTGTGCGCCTGTGCTTCGCCTTACCGCAACTTTTACCAGGATTGGATCTGGTCTAGACCTTAGACTCCAGGCCCTTGCTTTAGCTGCAGGAAAGGGCCGAGGGGCTGGAAAATCGTCCGCGATTGTCTTGGACTTCCGGAGAGATAGGTACCAAAAGTCCCGACATATTCGTGCAGATCCATATGGAGTCCCTGTTTCTGGACGACGTGCCCTGGTTAGACACACATAGATTTCTCTGCCACTCCCAAATACCCCAAGTGCGTTTATAATTGCCATTTAGTAATGCTATTCGAGGGGTGGTAGTTCTCCGACACATAATGGAATGAAACTACTGCTGGTCGTCCGGACAGGAACTCCTAGAAAGGTATTTACTTCGTTGTGCACTTTAGTAGAATGACCCACATAGTCGTCCACGGATGCCCGGACCAGCACACTATCCGCAGGACAATTAAGTGGTAAGCACCTCTGACCGAATCCCAACGGAGTTCCTCCCCCTTCGCCATCTTCGCCTTTGGCCATTACCACCGCGGTCAATAGTCAGCGGCCTCCCAACCTCCCATTGTCGAATGGAGATTGATGGTTGCTATTTGGATGGTAGTAACTATCTCAAGGGCATAGACGAGATTCTCGTACTCAGCTACTGTGATACCATTCCTTACCTGGTGGCAAGGCCAGTGCAGATACCTAATGGGCATAGGAAGTCCAAATGCCTGATTAGGACTCCTATTAGCGTCCATGCCTTGTGCAATGTTCGGTACTGTACCGCATAGGGCGAGTGTTCTCAGAGCCTGGGTGACCATGCCAATTCAGCAGCTGAGAGCTGCCGTGTGCGCCCTGGGCCACCTCAACGGCAGATCTATTTCTGTATTATATCTCCACACAGAATCGCTGGGCCTTGCAGCTGCCCTAAAATCTGAGGCTGCACGTGCTTGGAATGCGAGGTCAGGTAAAGCGCCTGCTTGGGTAGCAAAGCAAAGCTGGCTATGCTGCGCTGCGGAACCTTGGAAGCCACCAGTGGGTAAAGTGCATCCCAATGTGCCAAGAAGCCCTACGGCGTGACCTGCCCATGGTCGACTCACTCGAGCCGTTTGACCTGCAAAACGAATAGCGGTGGTGTTCAGGCACACCTCTCCAGAGCTTACACACTGTACCTCGTACCAGGTCCTGTTGATTGCTGCAATAACGTCATCTCTCGAAGCCAACAAGCGGATCTCAAGTGGAGGACATGATGAGTGACCCATTATCCGTTGCCGCTAGTGTGGCCGGCTTGCTATCTCTCGGTCTGCAGAGTACGGAGTACCTTTACAAATACTATACCGCGTGGCGAGATCAGCATCGAGACCTCGCCAAGGTCTCAGATCAACTTGGTGGCCTCCTCGAATCCCTCCAGTTTATCGACGAGATTGTGCGTACGCGCACATGGCGGCCTTCCGAGCAGTTGATCATACAGGATATTGAAAAGTCAATCATTCGCAGCAAGGACACTATAAATGTCCTACAAACTGAGGTTGAAAAATTTAAACATGAGCCCGCTGGCAACTGGAAAAAGACGGCGGTGGTGGTAGGGCGACGGGCGGCATACCCATTCAAAAGAAGCACCTTAGAAGATCTAGGCGACGATGTGAGCGATTTTCGCGACAACTTGTCGGTCGCGCTCCAGGCACTTCAGCTGAAAGAGCATCACAATACACAGGGCGATATTGAGGAGGTAAATGCTGTTGCCAGGGACATACAGGCACGGAGTGTCAGTGTCGATCTGCGGCTGTGGCTCAGGGCCCCCGATGCAACCATCAACTTCAATATCGCAGCGGCCAAACGACACGCAAGCACTGGGCAGTGGTTGGTCCAAGGTCCAGCTTATACTACATGGCTGCAGCAGGACAACTCATTCATCTGGCTATATGGCTTCGCTGGCTGTGGAAAGTCTGTACTGTGCTCTACAGCGATCCAGCATGCCTTTCGCCGGCGACAAGCATCCGCCACCAGTGCGGTCGTCTTCTTTTTCTTCGACTTTAGGGATGAGTCGAAACAAGATGCTTCGGCAGCGTTGCGAGCGTTGCTACTCCAGCTTTGTGGACAAGTTCCTCGTCTGGAAGCAGAGATGACCCGCCTGAAAGATTCCAATAATCACGGCACTCCACCAGTTCATGTCTTACTTGAGTATCTGCGACAAGCTATTGTCCGGCAGCACCACACCTACATTTTGCTCGATGCCTTAGACGAGAGCCCCTTAGATACCTCCCGAGCCGAAGTGCTATCAGTAATCGACACCATGCGACAATGGCAGCTGCCGGGCTTACATTTATTGGTTACTAGTCGGGATGTTCCCGACATTCGAACCCACCTACAAATCCCAGCACTCCAGCAGGCTATCGGACATATCTCGTTCAAGAACGACTTCGTTCAGCAAGATATCTCACGGTTTGTAGCTTTTCAAGTCGACAACGATCCTCTGCTCCGACGTTGGGGTGATCATCGAGAGAAGATCAAGAATCATCTGATCCAACACTCGGGTGGAATGTCAGTCATTTCGTGACTTACCGTTTGATACCTCTGACAGCTAATCAATGTCTAGATTTCGTTGGGTCGAATGCCAGCTTCGGCCGCTTCAACAGTGTCCCCAGAGCGAAAAACACCTGGAGAAATGTCTTCGCACCCTGCCACAGTCTCTTGATGAGACATACGAACGGTTGCTCTGTAGCATCGAGCTCAGAGAAGAGGCGCAAAGGATCCTTTCGCTTCTTTGTTATGCAATACGGCCGTTGTCCATCGAGGAGATCCTCGAAGCTCTTGCCGTTGATATTGACGACCTCGAATGTTATGATCCCCGCAGTAAATTCTCTGGCGGCGCAGAAGACGTCTTTCGGACCTGCCCCGGCCTTGTTGACATCCATCTCCGGACTGATGGTGTTCAGGAACTCCGGATTGAACATTTCTCGGTACAGGAGTACTTACAATCTGATCGCATTCGAAGTGGCCGTGCGGCCGACTTTGCTTTATCAGGCCCATTACAGCATGGGCGGATCAGTAAGACTTGCTTGCTGTATCTGCAGCACGATAGATTCCTCCGACAGAGTTTCACTCCAGATCTGGTGGGACAGTATGCCTTTGCGAAATATGCTGCGGGGTATTGGTTCCAGCACTATGACCAAGCGGATGCCCAATTTGCCGGAGAGCTGTCGGAGGTGGTTATAACTTTGTTGACAATTCGCTCCACCAAAGAGCGTTGGCTCCGGCTATACAATCCAGATGTACTTACCGGACATACCGTAGTATACGACATGTTCGCCAAAATTCCTCCTTCGGCAACGTACTATGCTTCCTCTCTTGGCCTGGATAGAGTATTAGGCTCTATTCTAGCTTTGTCACCAGCAGATGTCAACGCACAAGGGGGCGAGTATGGCAACGCACTGGTGGCGGCATCGAGCCGTGGTTACGAGAAGGTGGTGCAGATGCTGCTGGACCACGGTGCCGATGTCGATGCACAGAAAGGTACATATGCCACTGCACTCCAAGTGGCCTCATTCCAGGATCATGAGAAGGTGGTGCGGATGCTGTTGGACCACGGGGCCGATGTCGACGCACGAGGAAATAATTCCTATAATGCTCTGCAGGCGGCATCATGCAATGGGTTTGAGAAATCGGTACAGGCACTGTTAGGCCACGGTGCCGATGTCAACGCACCAGGAGGCCGCTATGGTTGCGCACTACAGGTGGCATCGTTTCAAGGGCATGAGAAATTGGTACAGATACTGCTCGACAATGGTGCCGATGTCAACGCACAAGGAAGTTTTTACGATAACGCTCTACAGGCGGCATCGTATGGTGGGCACGAGAAAGTAGTACAGACACTACTAGATCACGGTGCTGATGTTAACGTACAAGGGGGCTTGTATGGAAATGCACTACAGGCGGCATCGTATGGTGGGTACGACAAGCTCGTGCAGATGCTATTGCTTCACGGTGCTAATGCCAATGCACGAGGAGGCCGCTACGAGAACGCACTGGATGCGGCGTCAGTTCAAGGGCATGAGAAGGTAGTACAGATACTGCTCGACAATGGTGCCGATGTCAACTCACACGGCGCGCTCAACGTGGCGTTAACATATGGCCACAAGAAAGTGGCTGACATCCTTACGAGAGCGAGCCGTGACTGGCTGCAGACCACTTGATCTCGGCCTAATATCTGCCCAGGTGCTCTTATCAGCCAGGAAAGGGATGAGGTTATTACAGTAGGCAGGGACTGGGCTACCTATCCCACCTGATCCGGCGCAGTTGATACAGGATACCTCCTCAGACAGCTTTATAATTGGATCCTCTATGTGGAACTCGCGCCTACATTTGGGCGTCTATGCATATCCTAGCATCGAGAAGCTTCCATCGGATTTTTTCCATTCAGCTCAAATTGAGTACAAAGTCCTCTCCTGCCAAAGGGATACACGTCAATTGTTTCATTAATTGTAGCGAACTATTACCTAGATAGGTTACGACGGCTCAATGGAGTATCGTACCTATGCAACGAGAAGTCAAGAACTGAGAGAACTTGTGCCAACAACCCTAGATCACACGAGACAGTGGGGCTGTCCGCGATTGTGCAGTCACGACCAGGCTTCGTGCTCACCATTTCCTTTTGTCGTTTACGCATCGATGTGCGGTCTCTTCCAAAGCCGGAGGCACCTCTCTCGGCAGCCAGTGAGTCCTCCGTGCCTCAGTTGAAAACTGCCAATCCCTTCCATTCCCATCTGAGTGCCTCATGAACACCACGGGTTGAAATCTTTAAACTACTCTCACACTCGTCGATCCATGTGGCCCATCTGAGAAGTGTGGCGAGTGGTCTGCCATATGCCCATCTCAGATGGCATGTTTCCCGTTAACCAGGGCTCTCATCGCGTCTCGCATCGTGTTCTCCACATGGAATAGTCGTGGTTGATCAACGCTCAACAACAGCCAGAAACGCCTGTTGAGCAACGAACTGCCCCACGACAGCCTGGGTAGCTTGAGCAGCAGCTGAAGCGAGTGTTCCAACGGGGCCAACAATTGGGATGAGACCACCATCAAAGTCATTCGAGGTGGCCACATCGGGATCTGGATAGAACCAAGCAGCAATGGCAATGATGATGTAAACAACCTATATGATGGGTGAAAAAGCTGTCAGTGCCATACAACAACGATGATCCTTGATATAATGCAACAGTGTAAAGAATATTTTTAACTTACCACCAACAAGGCGCCCTCGAGATAATTACTCTCTTTGTCTCTCAAGAAATTTCCCACGACAAGGATACTCAGGACGAGAAGGGCGATCATGAAAATCTCAAAATTCAAATCCATCTTTTTGCCTAGAGCCCAACCGACAAGCACGACTAGCGGCCCATTGAAAAGGGCGGTCTGAATGGACGGTCCCAGACAATGATATAATGCAAAGTTCATCTGACCATCCCAAGCCTCATCGATCGCAGTGAGATGCTCAGCTGCCTTCTCAACAAGTGGCAACAAGATCAAACCCAAAAACTGATCGGGCACACCAGAGTGGACGACTAGTTCAATTTGCTCCACGAGGAAGAAGGCGAGAAGTGTGACAAAGAATAAGCTCGTGACGATGGCAAGTACACATTCACTGAATGTGAGTTTCTCCTTTTCAAGGTCATAGGCGTGGTCGGCATCACGAAGCTCATCAGCCTCGAGAATCTCGTCGAAGATGCTGTGCTGCGAGCGTGCATTGAACACAATGTAAATACCAAAAGCGATGATCAGAATCACACTTGTCGCTTGGCTCATCTTCAGCACATCATCTTGCAGTTTCTGGCTGGTTAATTTACCCAGTGCTCGGGTCTCTCCTTTCAAGGCAGAATAGAAGGCGCTAGGGATCAGCAGACCAAAGCCTGCAACAAGCAACAGACCGGATCCAACTTCACTGACTGCAGCGTGGAAAGTCTGAGTCTTTTGTCGAATGCCCCCGAAGAAGAAGCACAGACCGAGACACAACAAGAGGTTCGTGAGAATAGAACCCAATATCGCGGCTTGAATGACAGGGATGAGATTCGACTCTTCTGCCGAGTTGTCATCATCTCCTGGTTCGGGATCCTGGTGCTTGACGATCAAGATGACAAAAAGCACGATCTCCACAATGCTGCCCAGGGCAGTTTCGATCAGAATGCCCGCAACCTTTGGCATCTTCCTGGCGAGCTCCTGGCCCGCGAAGCCGAGGAGGTTCGCAGCTGGGATCATGCCCACGTAAGCGGTCGCAAAGACCCATTTCTGCAATGTTTCACTGTGCTCGCCAGGCAGGAAGTGCAGGATGATAGCAACCAGCACGAATGGCCAGAAGACATTGACGATCATGGAGACTCGGGACGAGCTTCGAAAAAGGATCTTGAGGAAGGAGACTGGATGGATTCCTGAGCGGCCAGACTCGCCTTCGTGGTGGATTGAGAGAAGACCTCCGCCGCCGCCACCGTGGTTGCCATGGTGCGGCTTTGGAGTGGTGCCGTCGTTATGCTCGGAGCCCGTAGGTAAGATGTGATGGATCGGGTTCGAGGGCCCCGAGTTCTCGTGAGAGCTCATGCTGAGTCGAGTAGATGGGTGGGTACCTCGTCTTTTACAGCTTCAAGATGGGGGAGTCTGTCCAAGACCCGCTGTGAAGTCCCTTGCTATTTAGAGAGACACGACACGTCTGGTGTAAGATCAGACAGCTAGATCTTTGCTGTCTCAAGAAGAAGATTCGAAGTGCAAAGCTCAATGTTCAAGTCTTCCCAACGGTCCGCAGCTCAGATTTCTCTCTTTTCTTTTCAGACTTGGTCGTAGATTTCAAGCCGTCCCTGAAGGTAGGATGAGGTAGAAACGGAGTTCAGGTCATGTATGGAGCACATACATTCAACTCGTGCTCCAGAATCGACTAATCGCCCAAGCTTTCCTCTTTTCTTTCCTTGCTTCAGAATTCTGATTTCTTTTTCTTCCTTTTCTTCTACCACCACTTACGTAGAATGAAGCAGAAGTTCGGGTTCAGAAACACGGCGGTGAGAAGCTCGTTCGCAAGAAGTTGCTCGAGTGACAGATTTGGGGGTGGTTGGTGGTGGCGGAGCAGTGCCTGTGAGGACAAGACAAGCCGAGGCCAAGACGCCTAACTCCCTAGTAGAGCTGCAAAACCATGTTATTGCAGCTTCTTGACAGCTGAACAAACAGCTTGATCAGGATCTGATTGATTGACTTGCTGCAAAGGAGGAGAAGGAGCTTGAAAGGAGCTTTTAAGGTGGAGTAACTAGTTGGCTGCAAATAGCTCAATTGAGGTATCCAGCCAGTTTTCCAGATACAACTTGTGAGGCAATACTTGCGATTCAGTGACCTCATTAATAAAAGGATATATGTAGGCTATAGAAATTTCATCGCTCATCTCATTCTTCTTGTGCTTGCTCAACGTGGCTAATCCATCAATAAAAGTAGCTTGTACAAGATAAAATGATCAATCCATACATCCTGGGGAGTGTATCCACTCCGATAGCGCACCCAGAAGGTCTCAGAGTATAATACTCTGGATAGGTGCCACCAAGGCATATGAATAGCAGATAGACTAACATATCATCTCACCTCTTGGTCTTGCACATAAAATGACGAGGCACAGCTCAGAGAAAGTCGTCATTGCAACTAATGTCCCCAGCTGCCTTTTCTGGCTCTTGCACCCCAGTCCTCCTTTGCACCAACAGGACCAGCCCGCGCATCAGCAAAGTTGGGACTTTGACGAGCCCATTCTCGGACATAGAGTCTCAAGGCTTCCCATCTTTTACACTTGCCGACAACTTCACTTTCGTCTGCTCCGTCGCCTTCAGGCGCACCAACATAACCTTTGGCGTCAACATTGTAATCGTCCCGCCGGAGCTCGTCGATTGGTATCCGACTGATCTTGCTTAATTCCTCGTCAAACATATGCGCAAGACTAGGATATCCAAGGCTCAAATAGTTGTAGATCTGGGTAATGACTCGAGCGGGGAATTCATCTTCGATTTGCTTCTCCAGGTGCAATTTTCGGTCGATGGTGCTAGTAAACACATCATCTCCATCCTGGCTGCGAGGAGGAGTCAATGGTAGGAATGCTAATTGCTTCCTCCGACCAGGAGTCTGGTTCCCTCGGCCGGGTGTCTGACTTCCTCTTATGGCAAGAGACACCTCGAACGGATTATTTCTCTCCACTGCTGGCGTTTGTGGAGCAGGAGTCTGGAGACCACTTAACAATCCAGTTTGAGGTTGTGCAGGTCGACTTTGCGACGCCTGACATAAACCCATCCACAGACCTACGCCCGCATTGTTTTCAGGTCGAGAATCCGTTTTCCACAGATGAGGAGACTGCGGGCTTGAAACTTCATCGTCGCTATCTGCATTTCGCGGTCTCGGGATCTGATCAGGATCACAACGAGTCATTTTGGGTGATATTGTGTAAGGGAAGACAAGATCTGATCCCAGCATTGGAGGTGAGGCAGCTGCTCGCATTTTTGCGAGTTCGGAATCTTCCTCTGGTCGTGGCTTTTTGGCCTTTTTGACGCCCTTTGCTTCCATGGCATGTCGGGTGGCCAAAGCTGCTGCACTGAACCGACTTTGGCCAGCAGTGTCTGCTTTCAGGTCGCGTTTCGCTTGTTCAAGCTGTTCATGATGCTTACGCATGTTGGCCATTTCGAGGTCAAGTTCCGCTGCGGAAGAGCGGCGGAAAGTTCTGACATCGACACCCTTCTCACCGTGAAACATAGGCACAGGTAAGGGTCCATCTTCATCATCGTCGTGGGATATTGCGAAATGATCAACCGGTTCATGTGGCCTTTCATTGATGTAGGCGGCCATGGCCTGTTCTTGCAATTCTTTCTCCGTCACCGTATCTGCAGCCAGGCGAAGGACATAGTCGGCGTAACTCTCCGTAGGGTCAGGGTGATTTGTATTCTTTCTATTGTCGACGTCTAGTGATGATGGTGAATCGCTCAGAGATGGAGTATCAGAGCTTTCATCTTCAGTCGTGGACTCTATCATGGGCAAATCAGGGACAACGAATGAATGTTGACGAGTGATCTCGGGGTGTTTCCGAGCCAAGGCAGCTGCTGAGAATTTAGATTGCTCCAAGTCAGCCACTTCATCTACCTCTTCCTCTCCAGAGGAGGAATCGTCCTGAGGAGATGGGGGGCTCTGTGAAGTCGGGGACGGATTGTGGACACGCCGATAAGAACCCTTGGCTGTCTCTAGCAACTCTGGAGAGAACTTGCGGGGTCCCGAAGATGCTCTACTAGAAGTTGTCGAGAGTTCCGAAGCTGGACCGCCGACTTCTTCATCCGAGTCTTGGGTGTCAGTCTTCCGTCGACGCCGCCGTGATGTAGAGGTGGTTTCTATCGGCTCGGGAGCAAATCTCCGTCTGGGACGAGGAGTTGTCTCAGGATCGTCTTCAGGTGCGGAAGACTTCTTCTCCTTACTGCTCCTTGTGGTGGTCTCAATCGGTTCAGGTGTGAATCTAGGACGGGGTTTGGCTGAGCTGCCTTCCACCTGTGGCTTGGGTTTATCTTTACTCTTCCTTGTGCTTGTCTCGATGGGCTCAGGGGCAAATTTCCTCCGTGAGGTGCGAGTAGATGTCTCAACAGGTTCAGGCTTGAAGCGTCTTGGTTTAGTCGAGTCTTGATTTTGGGAAGATTCCGACGCTGGCGTGGTTGATAAAGGCGACGTACGCTGTCGGTCTTGATTGGAAGATTCTGAAACCGAGATCAGTTCTTGGGGCTCCACCTTCTTTTTGTGAGAGGAGCGAGTGGTCTCCTCAATAGGCTGGGGAAGGAATCTGCGAGGCTTGGTTTGGGAAGGCATGGCCTGGTTATCTGCCTTCTTGTCTGGGGTTTCGGAAGGGGCGCTCGACGAAAGAAGATCTGAGGGGTCGTTGGCTGAGCCTGAGATCGGAAGAGTAGTCTGGATAGCGTCGGGAGACATATTCAGATTCCTGGGAGATGGCGGGGAAATTGACATGGCGTGCGTTGGTAGGTGAACGGATAAGCATGTTCCCCTTGTCTAGAAGCACACGAGCATGAAGCCCAGAGTCATGCCGAAGGTATAAAAATGCGGGGAAAGATGTTTGACGAGTGAGTGTATCGGGCGTATACGGAGGTGATATGTATACGTGAAGTAGGAGGACAGGAGGAGGATGATAGAGAGGAGAGTGGATCCTTGTGTGCTTGTCGGTGGAGGAGGGCGAGAGCAAAAGTCCCGAGGGCTGGGCTGAGCCGGACGTATGCAGCTTCGAGGAAGGCAATCTATCAGGATGAGACTGGCGGACGCACGGGTGCTGGTGGTGGTGGATTTGTTTTTTTGGAGGCCGTCTGTTGTAGAGCAGGGAAATGAGGGCTACTGCCGGGAGTCTTCGTATCTCTTTCTGAGCAAATTAAACAAGACAAGATTGTCAGCGGCAGCTTGATTGCTTGGTCTGAAAACCCGAGACGAGAATGAATGGTGAGTCAGGTTAGAGGGTAGGGACGACCAAAGGAGGTATCTGGCAAAAGGAAAAGTCAAGACGAAGTGCTCGCACAAGCAGGCAAGTGGTATGAGATGCGTAGGTAGGGATGGAGCAGTGATGACATAGTTGGGGATGTCGGAAGCCTGAGGTAGGCTACAAACTAATGCTAGGCATGCCCTTAACTAATCAGGCCTTTCCCTTATAGGGAGTAGCGGGCCGTCAGAGCCCCAATTAACGGTACCCGGCTCGTCGGCCATCGTTGAGCCATTGTGAACATGCTAATTGACCCGACCACTGCCTGGACGCTCTCGGCGGACATGTGGATAGAGGCACCCAAGGGGATACCCTCCAATGGAGGAGTGTCTGGAGTTTTGCTGGGGACTTGAACCATTGCCCACCTCCATTGCTCCACGGCATAGCCAATACCTCGGACTCAATATCACCAACATGTGAACTCGATGCTTCTAGCATCCTACCTATCTCAACACCACTTCAGCTGAGGCGGTGAGACAGCCATATTAACAACATCCAACCATCACCTAGATAGGATATCCGATGATTCATGATTGGCCGTGGCTTCAGTTGAGTAGCAGGCCGTGCATGTTCAACGCGCTTGAGAAATCCAACAATATCCTGCCCTTATTTTTTTTGTTTACATCCCACACCATCCCATCCCATCCCGCATCTCGCCAAATCGATAATCCCCCTTCCCCTCATCTCATCACTTTTATTCCGTATTCCGTACACTTTACGCGTTACGGAGGATTGACTCATTATTTGGGCAGCCTTTTTTGCTCGGAATGAATAGCCCGACTTACTCTGGTGGCTTGAGAATCACTCGTGAATACCTTCCGTAGACCATCATAGGGCGTAAACCCCCGTACCGTAGGCTTGCTCAACTTGGTCACTTACCGAATATTCCACCCTAGTCCGGGACGATTTCGATAAACCACATTTCCCCGGATTTTTAGGGAATTGATATTTCGTGAATGGCGTCCTAGCCCAGACCGAAGTCAGGGCGGTGAGTTTTCGCACGCACGGGTACCTACCTTAGAAGATTTATGACCTGGAGGCTCTATCATTGGTGTCTCTCTGCTGTAGGTACTTTTACCAGGTCCGTTCGTGCGTGAGACATCTGGATCGCCGACCCACGAGTCTTCCACGGGTCATTTGATGCGTGCAATGTCTTTAGATCGCCGAGCATATATCATATTACTGTTTCTGATCCTTCATGGAAAAAGGTAGTGATTGTCTGCTCCTACTATGAAGAAGAAAAGATCTAGGCTGGTGTAGCATGTGATTCTTCACCGGGCGCGTGCATGATACTATGCATGATCTGTCGACTGGAGCCACCCAGTCTCCAAACAGTGCTCGTACTTTGATAACCGCATTTAGGGAACGACTGAGGCAAGATCTACTCAAACTAACATTGACGCCCTTCCACCTTCCACCCGAACATGCATGCACATGGACCATGATTTTTGCGGTCTGCCCTTTTGGCTGCAAAGTACTCGCCATGATCCAATCACGACACACCCGAATTTCCCCGACATCAAGGTTTCTCATGCCAGTCTGCTGCATCTGTCCGTGCTCCCCATGTATCCTCGCACGCGGTCACCTTCCTGTCACTCATCCCTGTAGTCATCATAGATTACCCCATACCGTACCCGTGTCCCGTATCCCGTATCTTGTGCTCATCCCTCAAAATGTCAGATCATACTTCGTAGAAGTGTGGTCAAGCTCAGGGACCAAACATCACAGCCCTTGAAGTTGAATCAATCCGAGTCCTCCACCTGCGCCAGCTGAGAATCCTGCCTGACCATGATCTTGGCCAACCCTGGTTCCATGTGCAAGCTATTGCTCATGCCATCCGATGCTGTCATGTCCGAATGGCTTGAGCTGACTCGAAGGCTGCGTCTCCTCTCCCGTTGCTGATGCAGCCCGGGGAACACACGAGGCTCTTGCCCAGAGATGTGTGCGTCCGAAGGATGAGACGCAGGAGGAAAGAACGCGTTCGAGGTCGTCCGAGATCTCGTGGGTGATAGATTTACCGGGGCACGATCTGATGATGGCCCTGCCTTGGCATGTGGGTACCGCGCTGTTTGAGCTGGTGGGATCGAATCGGCTACCGTCGCATAGTATTGGCGAGGTGACTCAAGTCCTTTATACACTTCATCGATTGGTGTAAGCGCGTCGTTTGGATCTGGCAGGTTCGGGGTACATCGGTCGAAATGACTGTAGTCATTGGTATATCGTGCAATGAACGAGTGCTCGGCTTTCAGAGTCTCGTGTCGAAAAGCTTCTCGCACGTCTGGCACGTTACATTTGGATACGTCGTTGCCCAGCACCCCAGGAAGATAGCAGAATCTCCCCAGCCACCGCTGTTTCAAAGATAGTTCAAAACCACACTGATCTACCGAGTGTTTGGCCAACTCACACATGTCAACCGCACTGAGCTTGTAGATCTGTGCTGCAACCGAGTATTCTTCAATCAGTGGTTCCTTGGTGAAGGCAAATTGAAGTGGATCGTCGGTCGAGAGCGAGACATTCAAGCCCTTCTTGAAATAACTGATGAACGGATTCCGATCGTACGTCAAGAACAGAGCGTTGTTGCTCAGTGGAGACATGGCGACGCCAATCTGTTCCAGATAAAATATATACTGGAGTAGCGGCACTTTTCGAAGCATGATACCATGACTAATGCTATGACAACAAAGAAGTGCTGCTGCCAGATGATCCGTGTCCCCTGCCTCGCCACAGTGAGGTCGCAACAGAAACGTGTTAAATCCTCTTTGTTTGCGCCATGTGTTCAACGACGTCATGTTCGCGAAGAGGTAATAAATCCAGTAACCATATGGTGGATTTTGCTTCGTATTCCACTCTTTGGGTACGGGGAACTTGCGATACAGTCGTCGCTCAACCTTACTCTCATCATCCACACTGTCGAAGCCAATCACTCTTTGAAGGAAGATATGAAGCTTGGGATGAGTCGAAGGGTCTTGCGTGACCTCGAATAACGGCTGGAAAATGTTGTACAAGCACTGTTCGAAGTTTTCCATCGTCTTCATCGACTTGTACAGGACGTACAGCCGGGGAATCTGAATGAGCCATCTCACATTGTGTGAGAAAAGTCGGTTGTCCACCACCCATGCTGCAAGTTTGTCCCACTCCTCAATATTGCGACCGTATATACTGATACGCCATTCGACCTAACGCACTATTAGCCACTTATCGTCAAGAAACAAGAAGAAATCTCACCATTTGATACTTGCTCGACTCGAGATCAGAGATGACCTCACGAGTAATGTCTGCCAAATATCGACCTTTGATGTAGTTGTCCGTCTTCAGAAAGATATCTCTCAATCTGGACTGGCCAACTGGGTTATACTTCAGGTTAAATTTGTCAAACCGATGGAATGAATCAGTATGAGCGTGCATATCCAAAGTGTCGATGCTGAGGTCATAAGCAGTAAGGTTGATGCTTTCGAAGACCTCTTTCAGAGTCAATTTCTTGCCATCTCGGTCAAGTACGACTTCGTCAGGGCATTTCTTCATCTTGCTCTTGATGAAGCGTAGAAGATGCTTCTGATTCATGCAGGCAGAATGGTGCACGTGAGTATCGACTTTTCTCACGTTGTAAAAGTCACGATGCGGGACTTTCTTCGTGTCTGCCACTTCTTCGTATTCGTTCAGCAAGGAATAAAGGTTATACCGTCCTTCCAAATATTGAAGACGTCGATATGCAAAGCTCTTGGCCGGTCCGTCAGACGCAACTTCCAGGATGGTGTCGAGAGCCATGTAGTAGTCTCTCAGTGAGGGAATCTGGACGATGGGTTTATCATTTTCATCATAAACTTGATACACACTTCCTTCGTCCATGGCAAATTTGAGATTGGCACGACCTTCCCCAGGAATGAAACATTCACTAATATCGAAATCTTCACCAATCGAGTGTCCCGCTTTTCGAGCCTTTTTGAAAGTAGGAGATGATGGGGTGTCCTTTTCGGATCCGCCTTGACTGGCTTCTGTTGCAAATCTGCTCATTTCGTTGGTATTGAGGGCTGCGTTGGCCTTGGCATCGGCCATGTAGAGACTGCTTGAGGTACTGTTAGGTGGGATGATGTCGGCTGTGGGCTCCCGGGCCTTGTGCTCGTTCCAAACAGGATTTGGAGGAGGTGGATAGATCTCCCAGTCTTCGTCGTCCTTGGGGTTATCTCCTCTGCATTGAAGTGAGATCTTGAGATACTTCTGCCTCAAGTCAAGTAGTGTCTTGATCTTGTCACAAATGGCCTGGACTTCACTGACAATGCTCTCCTCGTTTGCTGCAAGTCCACCGGGGCCATTCCCCAGACCCATCCCTGCACCCGCTCCATGCACGCCTTCGTGAGCCATCAATGGGTCCTTGAACTCATGAGGAAGACCAGGATGATGCTTGTGACTACGAGCTGCGGCGTCAGCCAGCAATGCAACATCAGATCCATGCTGATGTCCTGTTTTGGTCTGTAGAGTAGGGAACTGCTCTCTCGAATGACTGAGGTTCAGCCCACCTGGACCGCCACCTCTCTGACTGTGTCGGGATTGTCGGGATGCAATGCTGGAGACACGGTTCAGCGCAAAGTCCCCATCCAACGCTGCAGGCATGGTAAACGACTTGCTCAGTGACGAGGGGCCATCAAAGTCCTTCTCGGATTTGGTATCCATTCGATGACGCTGGTAGATCAATTTCGCATCGGCATAAGAATCTCTTTTCTCAGCAGCATAATGATAGAAAGGATGAGGGACTTGATCATCGCCTTCGAGTTCCTCAGACGAGTTGGTGTCAGCGGTGCCTGGCGTGTTTGTTTGCTCATCATCGTCCTCCTCCAAGAGGTCTTTGACGGAAGCCTTACGGAGAGCACTTTGTTGCTGTCGTGGCTCATCCTGCAAGCCCGACATGCGTGATTTGTACACATAAACATCTGCCTCTTCGTCGGAGTCCCCCGTGCTGTGTTGTGGATGGGGTAGTACAGAGCTGTGGTTGTCCATAGTTGATTGTGCTCAACAGTTTGGATTAAATATTTGGTTATTGCAAGCTCAAGCAAGACCCAAGCACCTGTCGTTATTGAGTAGCACAAGTATTGTGACGATCGAATAGATACGTAGCAGTGATAAGCAGCCAGTTGGTCGATAGGATAGGAAACAGTCACTGCGTCACGCCTGATTCTCTAGGAATATCTACAGGATGATTCTGAAAAAGCCTGGAATTGTAACGATAGGCGTATCAATAGCAATTGTCGGTCAGTCACATTGAAGGGGCAATTGATGGACTCGGGGGGAAGTGGTCGTTGTATGTGTCATGAATTCTTGGCAGACTAGAACACGCGCTCACGTGCAGCTGCTACTCGCCGCTAACCCCTTAATGGGTCTATCTCAGTTATCAGTTTCAGATTACCAACAACCTCCGAGTCCACCGAAGACACTGGCGCCAACAATTATTGCTCTTGGGGCTAACCAATCACCCTCGGTTCACGCAGCTATGATGACTCACAAAGCCGCGGCCGCTCGCGGTGGAAGTGAGTTCAACAACTTCTCTTTGTGTCTCTGCATGTAATCCTCGAGACTAGCCACCTTGATGCCATACTTCTCTTCCAATGCCTTGACATCCACCTCGTGTGGACGAAGGTTCGTCAGCTTTTCAAAGACCTGGAAGAACTCCGTGTTCTGTGCAGCCTCGACTTCCTTAGGCGTGCGTCTGTGAAATTTAATATCGATACCACTCACACGAGCCAAAACGTCGCGCACTTCCTGAGCTGAGAGATTGTCACCTGCAATCTCGAATTCGTGGCCGCTGAATTTCTCTGGTTCCAGCAGTGCGGCCGCAGCATATTTGCCAACATCAACCTCGTCGAGGTAAGGCATAGTTAAACCTTCATCCAAAGAGGTTACCAGGACCCCTTCTGTCGGAAGCCGGGGGTATCCATGTGCTTGAGCCGAATGTGGCAGCAATAAATCATAGTTCAAGACTGGTGGACGAAGGATCGTGTAATGGCGAATTTGACTTTCTCGAACGGCAGCTTCAACTTCGGCTTTTGCTGTATAGTAACCGCCCAACCAAGGATGAATCGATGATGGCGTTGCAAGATCCTTAGAGAGGTCGGCCGTACGAGAAGTGGATGATAGGACAATGCTCTTCAGAGTCTCTCCAGCCCCAGCCTTGACTGCAGCGATGACACCTTCAGCTTGTTTCTTGGCCACACCAGGTTCAAAGGCGGACAGGTTAAGGAAGAAACCACTGACGCCAGTGGCCGCGGCCCGGAAGGCGTCAGGTTCTTCGTGGGTGCCTTCCCAGATGAGCACGCCTTTGTCTTTAAGTGTTTTTGCTTTTGGTGATGAGAGGTCCCTCACGACTGCGTGAACCTTCACCCCAGCGGCTAAGAGGCTGTCCACCAAGGGGCCGCCCTGTTGGCCCGTTGCTGCTGAGATCAGGTAGGTTGACATTTTGGAAGTCAATGATCGAGGGATTGCAATGATGACTGGAGAACCATTCGAAATCTCCAAGGTCATCCATCAACCTTATATACCACTCCATGCCGGCAAATACCGGCGATGGAGGACATCTCATTCATCGGTAATTACTAATAAGACAATTAGCAATGGCATTGATATCGTTAAGTCCGCGTTTCAGGCTTATATCAAAGGAGCAGTTCGACAGCAAGGTTGAGCGGAGCAGATTTCAAATCACGTCACAGAGCACACCTCTCCAAGTCTTCCTCGTTTACCACTTTGGGAACGTCTGGAGCAAGGCACTTGCAAGGGCCGTCCTTACGATTGTGGGTATAGGTAGTCGCGCTCGACATATTCTGTTAACTTTGTGTTGTTCTGACAGAAGCAAATCACGGGTTTGACAAGAGCACTACCATTGCCAACTGGCAACCATATCTCTGTCTCGGTTTACAACATTTTTCAGGATATTGGACTATTTAATCCTCGCGGATTGGATCATAATGATCCATATATTGAGATCTCTCTTGTCTAAGCCGGTCCACCAGATGTCTCCCAGCTGAACTGGAACTAGTGTATGGATAATCACAGGCAACTGCCGGAAAGTCCATATACCTCCACAATGATTCGTCTCCATTCTTCTCGAGGTACTTGCAAATCTCCCAGCAGTCGATCCTAGAACGCACGCGTGACCACCAACAGTCCTTGGCGCAGAGCAAGGCCAGCCAGTAGGACAGAAGCATGAGTGCTCTTATGTCTAAAGTATTCAGGAGGAGGACAAATGGTGAAGACAAACCCTCCAAGAATTGCATGTACTGAAGAAGAGCGAGGCCATTGTCCGGATTCAGAGATAAAAGGTGACACAACCTACAAAGCACACTCGAATAACGATCTTGTTTGGACATGGATGTTTCCTCCACGTCGAAAAGTATCACCCACTCTCGCGGAACTCCATCCGTTCCGGGGCTGTTGCCGTTCAATTGCAGAGTTTCCTGCGTTATCTCGCCAAATATACCCAGGCAAATGCTCTCCATTTTCGCGGTCGATTGGAAGTAACCAAGAAGAGATCCAAAATTGAGCTGGTTGCGAAGCCAGTGAAATGGGACAGGCCGGTTTTCGAGAGGCACCTCTGAATCTTCTGTTGCGTCTGCAAATGCGAGAGAACCTAAAAACATCGACGTCGTCATCGCGGTGTCGACATCAATCTTTGCACGCTGGGGAGTTTCCAGATAGTGCCTTAGACCAGCACAGGCCTTCATGGAATGAAACATCTGACTCGGACACCTGCGGCGGTACGACTTTAGGTGATATCGCCAGTGACATGCCGCAACTGCGAGCATGGAGTGCATGGCATGTGGCTCCTACGACACGATTAGCATGAAATTACCTATCGAGTATACCTCCTAATCGGTCGCTCTCATGGGGTTTGTGGCGTCGCCCTTACCGCGATGGCAATGCTAATGAACTTCTGCGACGCATCGGTCACCCTGCTCGGTATTGGCATCGTGGATCCCACGACAACAGTTAGGAAGTACTCGAACAGTTTCGAGTCCACATTAGGGAACCAATCCGTCGATACCGTGATGCGGACATTCTTATTAATTTGAGGCACGGGTACCAGCTTGCTACCATCATTGTTGCCGTTTTCATAAGCGCATTGTTCACCAATACCATATTTGACACAATTCTGGCATGTCGGTACCTGTTCATCACACTTTCCCTCACTGTAACTTTAGCGAACGAGCATAAATCATCATTTGGAGTCCTGGTCTCATGGATAAAGAACCCTATGTAGACAGACTGACCTTGACCCGCCGCCGTTTACATATCACGCAACCCTTATGTGACTTCCGATGCGCCTTTCGAAGCTTGTAGCTCTGAAGCCGTCCACCCGCGGCTTGACCTTTGGCAAAGGACAGTACCTGAAGCGTTCCTTCTCCCGCGTTGGGCATGGTTCAGGTACGGACGTAACGTACGACTCAGACTCTTCAAAGCACCCTGCTGAAGAGCGCAGGCTGTACTGTCCGTCTCTCGTTCTCAAAATGGGAAACGAGAGAGAGAAATAAAAGTTTGATTAAACCACGAACGAGTTTCAAGTGATGTCAAGTGATGTCAACAGAAGCACGAGTAGTCCGACGAAAGTCTGGATCGATCCAGCTACCAAGACGACGAGCCCGAAGTCGAAGTGGGCCCCCTTTCTCGTTTTCCTTTCTGGGACGAACTAATAAGTTTGGGCCATCTCTGCGTACTCGGAGATAGCTTCGTCCGATGTCCTGAATTCCCGGGACAAAGAGCAAGGCACTCATGGGTGGGTATGTATAGCCATGGGGAGAGCTTATTAGTGAGCAAGGAACTGCGGATTTCGAATAGGCTGAGAGAGTCGTCTGATTACGATGGATGCTGGAGGCTGTGCGTTTGGCGTTCCGTGCGGTGCGGTGCGTCGGTTCGTTTGAATGCGAGTTTGTATTTCGCGATACCTCGGTCGAGATTCACCACTCAGTGGGGGGTCTTTGATAGAGATATACAATCAAAAAGTAAGGTATTTAGAATCGAGTCAAAAGTGTACATTATTCATCACACTGTTGTATGTAGCCCAATGAACATTTTACGTTATTTTTCGAAGCCTTGTCCTTTCAAAGTTTGATCCCTATGCCTCAGCCCTTCCCAGCCGGAATATATCCAAACACCGTGCCCAAGAGAAAAAGAGATATGCTCGCTGGCTAAGATGGTAATACAAACCCAAAAAGAAAAAATCCCCGCCTTGAAAGAGATTGAGATACTCCAACCGACTCAGATCAGATCAGAGATCATCTCTTCCGCTGCTTGCTCCCAGGAAGATGGTCCAACGCGCCACAGATGAGCTCCACGAACCACGCGTCGCCCTTGTAGCCGTGGCACGCGTCCATCAGGGAGTTGAGTTCCTGCTCTTCGGTGGGCGTTGAGGTGTCAGCAACCGCGTTTCCTTCAATGTCTGTGCCATCGGTGGGGACGGTTCCGTTGAGTGCTGGGGTCGCGGAGGAGTCGTCGTCGTCGCCTAGATCGACGGCTCTATCGTCACCACCCTCTTCGCCGGTTGTAAGGGTGGTGTTCAATGTTCCGGTCCCGGTGGTTGTGGTTGTGGTGGTTCCGTTCAAGGTTCCGCTACCGGTTGAGGCAGTCACGCCTGTGCCTGTCCCCAGTTTCCAACCTTGAGCTGACGCAAATGAGTTCTTGGGCGGATCTTGGGGCCCCAATGTGCCTTTCTTCCAGCCGCCGGAGATACTGGTCGCATGGCCGGTACTGTCCTTGACGCAGTATTTGGAGTTGAACTGCGTGCCTTTGCGTTCTTTGAATGCGATGTTTGCCACGCGAGACCATAGGAATGTGGGGTCGCTGAGCATTTCCTCGGTCCACCAGAGCCGGCAGTCGGAGGCCTCGTACACGAAATGTAGAGGAGTCTCCGTCTCGTCGCCAATGCGGTAGTTATTGCGGCCGTTGACGGCGCCGGCGGAAGAGCGCAGGACTGGCTCGCCGTTGAAATATTCCCAGACGGTGCCGTTGACGGAGTTGCGGAACGGGTTTTGGGGGGTGTTCCAAAGTAGCTCGTACCATATCTCATCGATGAACGTATCGAAAGGGAAAACCTGAGATCCTTTTACGCCGCCGATCGCCTGCATTGGTCCAGTCTGTGGTCTACCACCGACGGAGACGAATTGAACACCAGCGTAGCTCTTAAGGTATTCGGAAAACACCGTGCAGGTGCTTCCGCAGTTGCCATCGTATAACGCAATTACATCCTGAGCTGCGAAGGGCTGTCTGAAGCCAGTTCTGTTGTTGGTTCCGGTGATGATGATACCTTCACCTGCGAAATCGGATGATAAGGGGTCAGTGTAGTTGTTCTGGAAGTATGCAGTGTAGTTGGCACCATTCTTCGGAAAGGGTCCATAAACTGCTTCAAAATTGGGGAAACTTCGTATTTCGGGGTCCACAATGCTTTGGAAAGCAAGGGGAGTGAAATAGTTCTCAGAGAGTTGTTCGTCGCTTACACCAGGGGTCTTCTCGGCTGCCGTAACACTATAAATCAAGTATGGTTAGAAAACTATCATCAAGAAGTCGAATTTCTGGACCTGAGTCAACAAAAACTTCAAAATTGGCACTTACTTATCACTGGCAATGTTGCCCAAGATCTCCAGCCCAAGGTGAGCACGCATATTTGATTTTGAATTCGGAGGCATGGACGGGAACAATTGGGCAAATGTATCGGTTCCAAGATCAACAAAACCACCTGAGCAATTGAATTAGTGCCGATCCAGAATTCTCCTGGCATTCGACGTGGGAACTTACCGCCATTGTTACGAAGATCGATGATCAACTTCTTCTTCTTGCTTTTGACAGCAGCGTCAAGAAACTTTTGCACCACAGTCTGAAATTCTTCCTCATAGCCCACAGCGGGGACTCCAGGAGCCATGAATGCGGTGATTTGGAGTACTGCGACGTCTGTATTACCAGTGTCGTTCAGATAGTACCCTGCTACAGAGTTTCCACTGTGCTTGATCACCGGGTAGGGGAAACCTGGGACTGTTGGTGACTTTGGTGAGCTTGGTGCTGTGGGTTCGGCAGTCTCTGTTTGAATCATACTCGCGGTGCTGGAAGGTAGGCTGCTTTGCGTGGTGGTGGCAGCGGTTTCGATGGCGCCACGACAAAGAACCTGATAGGCATCTTCACCATCTTCAACCCCTTCCAGGTCAACATTGATCAAGGCGATGTTGTTGAATGATCTTGTCGTTCCGTTTGCGAAGGTCAGGTTTGTGTGGGGTCCAGGGTAGTAGACTGGGACTTGGAAAGAGGTATCGGTCTGTTTGCCTAACTGGTAGAATACCTGGTTCCATAACGTATCGGGATCTTGTTGCTGGTACACGAAAGATTGTTCGACTAGAAAATCCACCACATCTGTACCGTCGATTTTGACGACCTCGGAGATCTTGGACCCGGTCAAGGGACTATTGATGCCGGTTTCGAGGTGCTGGACGATAAGGTCGTCTGGCACATGTTAGTACCATGGTGTTTGATCAAACTATGTTCCCAACTTACTGGTGTGGTAGACCTTGGGCGTTTCGACGCCATCCGCAGATATAGCAACCAAAGTGAAAGGCCGCACGAATGTAAAGCCGCCTATTAGATCAAGACTGAAGTAAAAGTGCCCGTCCTTGGATGCTCTGATGAAGGAGTCTATATCAAGCTGGAATTCATATTCGCTCTCGTATTCCCCCGCTTCGACCTTCTCTTGTATCGAGTCAAGAGCATAGTCAATATCTATTGCAGGGAAAAGATAGCCAGTGGGGGGCTTCTTGAGTATATCTTTTGTGCTCTGGAACTCGAGATATGCTCGTAGTGAATTGAGGAGGCGAATGGCAGGTTCTTGGTAGTTTGGCACGCTGTTCAAACATGCATAGGCAATATCGGCGGGAATTGTAACTGAGGTCACTACGGAGCAATTAGCAAAGTGAGGGAACAAGCCTGGACGGGGTGTTGCGTACATGTAGGCCTCGCAGCGAGCACTGAGCTGGAAGCACTTGCGGCGAGTGCACAGGCATTCAAGGATGCTGCAGTGGCAGTTGCAGTCTCTCGCCGGACTAGAGTGGGATCGGTAGGAGGAAGGGCGATGGCCAGGCCATTGACAGCTTCATAGAAAGCAAGGCCCGCAGCCAGGCAGGTTCGGAGCCACCCGCTTACCATTGTCGAAGAAGCGTGGGCAGGTGAACGATGGCTTGTTGACTACCAGCGCCTATTACAACGACGGTGACGATAGAAGGAGGGACAACAGTAAGGACTGAATTAGATGGAGCGGATATGATCTTGAGATGTATTTCAAACGAGAGTGTGTGGTGGTGAGACGGTGAATTAAGAAATGGCCCCAGGTGAATGAAATGGTAGATTTGAGCGGAGTGTCGAAGGATTGCGGCAAGGCTCCAGATGTTAAGTCATCATTTTAATTTTAATGATTCGCTACTTTCTGGAATTGGAATAGATGAATCTGGTGTTCGACAAGGCTGGGGTCGTTCTTTGACTCGGTCTGAATAGAGGAAAGCGGTAGCGAGTAGCCATTAAATTACGGAGACATGATCGTGTTGTCCAGGCTTTCCGGTCAGTGGTGTCAGCATTCACCTTTCGTGATCAAGCTTGGAAGAGTACAGAGTACGCATGGGTTTCCGTAATCAAAGTTGGAACAGCATGTTTCCGTACTCGTAAGAGTATAATGTGCACCCTCCGTACCAAAGAGGATCAATCGGCGAGTGGCCGTGTTGGTCGAGATGTTCATCCTTGAAGCTGCGGCTGAGGCTTAGAGCACCAAATTTGGACCCCGAAATCTGGAGGGAGTCGCTTGGGTTCTTGGCCAGGCTGCGGCGGACGAATTGTAACGTCTTGATCATGTGTGGCACTGAGTCTGATCGAATCAGCCCGGATTGCCGATGATCTCCTGTTTCTCTCTGCCTCATTGGGATCCAGACGCGAGTTTCGGCTCCCGGATTTCTCAAGTGTCATCCTTCTTGAACTTACCATGGTTCATGTGTGGCGTTTCACAATCTTGATGCCTTGCAAGAGGCTGAGTAGGTCCTGTACGAGGCACGTACCCTAGCCTTGCAGATGGCACGTGAATTGGGGACTCTGATTCCTCTGCATCAGGTACCAGGATGACAGTTGCATTTGTTTGTTCAATGACGCTGTCCTCTTCCATTTGATGTTGGTGGTGTTATTCAGTAGACTTGTCAATGTTATGGTCGCCCGACAAGGGGGATTAGTATTTCGCAATTTCAAGGTCATCCTTTGGTATCCGCGGGAGGCCTAACGACATGCTCAGACACAAATGGTGATGTTGGACATCCACAGAAGTAAATGCCCGAAAAGGAGACAGGTCGAGGTATTCCGTCTCTGTCTAGAGTCTAGCACAGAACGGAAGCCTGGGGCCATCACTCAATCCACTCTACTTGTAGGTAGGCAAGAGAATGGAGTAGGTGAAACGATAGTATAGTAATTGGTGCCATGCAAAGTTACAGTTACAAGAGCCTTTAATCTCCTCATGCATTCCTTCGGACAAGTCACGTTTTCAAACACTACCACCATCAGCCGAAGCAAGATACTGATTCTCTCACCCGGACTCCGTGCCTCGTACACTTGGGAAGTCTGTTTATAGTACTCGTACTCCACCTCACCTCCTCGATTGTCCACCTCCTCAGACGAACTCATGGTCTGCCAAAACAGTTCGAATGCCATTAATATCAATTGTAAAGGGTGCTTGGATGAAGTGACATACACCCCAGGATGTGACTCCCAAAACACATATCCGCCGAATTGGGCTGTATTCCTAACTGCATTTGTGCTCGTACATTTTTAATAATGACAACAAAAGCACATATTCCACTTGGACTATGTTCAGCTGCCTCAAGGATCCACCGCTCTCCTGATCCGCCTTCGAGAACGTTGACTTTGTTTGATAGCCTCGTCTGTGAGCACGTCGTGTGGCAATTCAAAGTCTTGCTCGAAGAATTCCGGAACAGGGTGTCCAAATGCGAGGACAATCCTTCCACGTTGACGACCGGCCACGGCTGCATCTCTTAGATGTCGTTTTTCGAAAAACGAAACAAATGGTTTGGGTGGTGGTGGTGGAGGTGGTGGTAGAGATTCGACGAGTCGTGAAGCTGCTGGTCGTTTCCTCTTAATGGCTATGTTTGCTTCCTCGATGAGTTGCTGTGAAGCAAGAGCCTCCAACTCACTAGAATTAGGTGCATGCGAAGACATGGTCTGCACGCTTTCCTCGTCGTCACTCGATCCTATACTCTCACTGTCGCTTTCGTCACTCATATTCTCCAGTTCTTCTTCCAACAGGGCTTGCTCCTTTTCCAATTTCCTGCGCTTTTCTTCTTCCTTCCATCGTTTGAATTTGTCTATCAACGCTTGCGTCTCACGGATGAAGAGTACTCGTTTGGGCTCGTATCGCTTCTTTTCCGTGTCGGTGATACCCGTAATTCCCAAGGTTTTTAGCCAATCTGGGCCACGAAGATCATCTAGAAGCTTTTCCAATTGGTATTTCTCATGTTGTGCCCGTTCTCGATCACCATTCTTCATCTGCTTCTCATGTCGCTCTGCTTTGGAGTGGGTCTTGAGGTAGAAGTCTTCATTAAGAGGATCACTGCCGGAAATCTCGGTGGAGGGTCCATGTCGGGGTAATTGAATGACTTCAGTCAAATGTAATGGCTTATGAGCCCCAAAAGGATCTGGTCTGGAAGGCTTCGGCTCGAAATCCGGAGTGTCGTCAACGAGAATGACCTTCGTCTTGACAGTCAATGCTTCTTCAAGGCGTTAGTGGTGAATATCCATCTACAAGAGTCGTTGTGAATTACCTGGATCTACAGGCCGCAGACTAAGCATCTCTTCAAAGTCTGGGAAATATTGAGCAAGCTCTGTTTTGGCCCTGGAACCACCATCTTCAGACCGTAATTTCCGTCGTTCATCGTGAGAAGATGCGAGTGACCCGGCACGGATTGATGCCTTGGCCTTGGCTTCAATGATCTTGATCTGTTCATATTGAGGTTTCCCACTGGGGGATTGGAGTGGTGTGGCTAGGGAAGGAGTTGTAGACACATCATCTGTTGTTGAAATGTCTGCTGTGGGAGGGGCCGTAGGTAGGAGGAGTTTGGGAGCACCTCGAGATCTCAACGGGATCCTCAAATGGGGGATCTCATTCTTGTTGTCTGAGAGGCGACGTCTCTTGAGACTTTGTTCCTGGCCTATAACGGTTGATGCTCGAACGCGTTTTGAGCGTATGGCATTGCCTGCGTCACGAGACTGTGAGAGTAGCAGTGGCGTATCCTCGTTGGATCGTAAGGTCGGACGCCTCAATGACGACCTGGAGCCGGCCACCATGATATGTGATGTGCTCTATTGCTCATGATGCTGCAATTGCGGTCATTGGCAATTGTCTGGCCCGTGGCTGTCGATGATGGAAAGTGCCTCGATTTAGGCTGCTGGGTGGTGGTGTCTCTGCTCAGGCGCGGGTGCAGTCTGTGGGTGTGGCCTCTAAGGCTAAAAATTGTTTGTTCCTGGGGGGCTCTCGTGGGCCTCTTAGGCGACTTTAGGCTCTCCGGCTCTATGGGGGAACTTGGACCACATTATTACGAGGGACATATGAACTCCCCTTTAACTTGACGTACAAACAGGAGTGACGTCTACAACTGAAAATTGTCCAGGTGGCTCTTTCCGGTACTGAAGGCTGGTACCCTGGTGGTAATCGTTGCATTGGGTGGGCAGTAGGTAGCAAGTAGTCAGTGGTAAGGAAATAAGTCACAATGCAGAGCTTGTATCTTCGTTCTACATGATGTCCAAAAACATCTGCTGTACAGAATATGGACACTATGTCCTAGTTCTAAAACTTCGTAAAGATAATCCCAAACACCCCTTATGCTGATGTCTTTTCTCGCCCTTCTGACCCCGACCCGGACCCTGTGTCTTCAGTAGGGGTATCCTGATATGCTTCATCATCACTGTAAAGGTCATCGTCACTCTCCCCTGCAAAAGCATCGTACAGTTCACCTCCACGTCGAGCTCGCCCGCCACGGCCACTTCGTCCATTCAGGCGTTGCTGTTCATCTTCGTCGGCATCTCCCACCATCTCAAATTCATAGGCATCCCGAGGGTTGTTCCGAAGTCTTTTTCTACGTTGAACGAAGAAATATGCCCCCAGTCCAGCGCAAAACACAATAATGAGCCCCAAGGAACCGTATATCCATATCTGTGTCCGCTTAGAAACGCCAAAAGTTGGGAAGAATCCTGGAAGGAAGCTATCAGAGTAGGTATGAGTGGCTTCCGCAGCCGAGTCTGTCGTGCTACTTGAGGTCACCACAGTCTCTGTGGCCACTGGAACGGGAACGGTGCTGGTAGTCGTCACTGTCTCCGTAGTGTCTGCCCCTGGCTTGGGCTTCGTAGGTCGGTCAATGTGATCCGTAGGAGTGGCAGGAAGAGTGGTCGGATGGCTCCCAGCGTCGACGCTGGTAGTGCTCACTACTGCTGTTACCGTCTCATGATCATCGTCATGTTCATCAGGAAGGGGGTGCAATTCTTGGATCTGTGCGTCGATTGCTTCGCCCCATAGATTTAATCGCCAATCAATAAATGTCCCATTAAACTCATTTTCTTTTTGGTCTTTGACGATCACAGTCCAATTGCCAACCCCATTTTCGCCCCTATCAATCTGTGAGTCATTCATAGCGAGAAAGGAGATTCTCAAGATCCATAACTTACCAATGCGCTACAGACATGAAAGTCCAATCATCATATCCATCTTTGGACGAGTCGGGGCGTCTGGAAGTTGCAATATGGCTAATCACTCCGCTGGGACTGACAAGATCAGCACTCAGATCTCCTCTTCTACCGTGCTGAACATTCATAGTGATGGTGACGTGTTCGAGTCGTCCTAAATTTGCCTGCTGCAGCATGTCTGGTGTGATTTCGAAGCTCGCTGCAAGACCTTGATCGCCTTCGGGAATCGCATGTTGGACGGAAAGCCATGGTGAGTGGAACCATGCTTGCGGCTTGACCGACTCGAAAGTCTTTGCAGCTTCCACGAAGGTATAGGCATCGATTTTACCATATCCAAAGGTATGACTGAATTTCTTACCAATGGTCGTATTCTGCCAATCACCATCGTCAAGATGGATTGGAACTGCGGTGTCGACACAAAGGTACTGTAAATCCCGCCAAGTAAGGTCTGGTCGCACACTCAAGGCGAGGGCAACTGTCCCAACCACCAGGGGCCCTGCGGCAGAGGTCCCGCCATGACCATTGTAACATTTTTCTGTGCCAACATCGGTGGTATGGATGGCATCATTGGCGCCAGAGCTGTAAGTCACCACCAACTGAGCAGAGCAAGCCTCTGAATAGTATGGGTGATCACCCATCCTGTCTATACCACCCACCGTAATGCTGTAAATGCTATTGGTATAACCATCAAAGTTACAGTTGTCTTCAGCCGGAGCGCCGTTGCCAGCCGCAAATACAAAGACCGAACCAAGGCCACCTCGACCATTCTGCACACCATTGACCATGGCTCGCTGGATGAGGATTCCAGGAGCCTCCATAGTTGCACCGTCGTCAGGAGGGCCCCATGAGCAGGAGTAAATTTGATTCTGTTGAAAGTGGTAGTTGATAGCAGAAGCTTCGTCTTCATCACTGATAGGTTTGGACAAGATACGAATGCCAGCAATCTTGCTGTCATAAGCCATGCCAACGCCGCACACATTGTTCTTCACAGCGGCGATTTCACCAGCGCAGCGAGTGCCGTGTTTGTCATCGAAGAGTAAGGGCTTGGGCTCAGGTGAGTTCTCGTTGAAGTCGTATGAACCTTCGGCATAATAATTGTCCTTGATGTCATTGCTGTACATGTCAAGGCCATCATCAATGATCGCCGAGATAGTCCCATTGCCTGTAATACCCTGCAGCCAAAGCCCTGTGACGTTCATATCTTGTCCCAGTTGAGTGGGGTTGAACAGATGCCATTGCTCTTTGAAGATGGGATCTTGTATATCGAGAGTCTTAGCAATATCATCGAGTCGCTCTGCTGCCTCCTTGTGGGCTGCATCGAGCTCCACGTCGCCTGCTCTTTGGAGAACTGGAGTACGTGGTGTTGAGCGAAGCATTGGGGGTGTACGTTTCACATGCCGAAACTTCTTTTCTTGCTTGTCTGACCATAAAATATCGTCCAGATCGGGCGATAATTGTCTCTTGTAGACAAGCGAGTCTTCCCCTAAAGACCACCTCCTACGGGCTTTCCGCCTCTTGAGTTCTTGCAAGGAATCTTCAAAGTCAGAGCACGAGTTTTTTGGACAAGAAAAGGTGTGATGATGGAGAAGTTCTCCAATTTGTCCTTCATAGACTATTCCTAACCGGCGGGCCACATCCCAGGGGTCGGCCGTCGACCTGAGGTGGACAGCAAAATAGTCGTTGTCTTCATAGCGGCGTTGGCCGTGGCCCGCGTGAACGCTCGCGGCGAGTAGTAATACAGATGTCCATGACGGTGCGCGCATGGTTATGAATATGGAGGTAAGGAAGGGGAAGTGTAGCTGTCACTCCATGTGATGCTTCAGCACAAAAAGAAACAAAATGAAAGCAAGTCCTTTGGTGTTCAAGATATGCTCAGGTCGAAATAAGGCCGTAATTGCTCAGTTAATATGAGAGGCGGCGATCAGTGAATGAAAATGGAGATTGTTCTAGATCGGAGCAAATGACTCGGTGGGTAAGAATTAGTGGTACAGATGTAGTTGAATGATTAAGGATAAGGATGAGGAGGTGGCCGTGAAGGGTCGATACTTGAGCCGCAGGCGGAGTGAGATTCTTAAATCAGTTGACGAAAGGACAGACAAAGAAGACGTTTTGGACTGAGAATACCCCAATGTTCGTACTGTACTCAGAGAAAAGATGTAAGAAAGTGGAATGCAAGAATGTGAAGCGGACGTGGTAAGAGACAGTGTAGTAACTGTTTGAGTTGAGATAGATCTGTCGAGTCCAGGCGCAGATCAAACTCGACCTGAAATCTGGAGAATTGTCCTTAAAGTTAGTGGCGGCTAGAAGGTCTATTGTTCTTAGTATTTCACTATAGTCTTAAAGCAGCGGCCATAGAGAAGCTACGCGATGAATGAGGATCACGTGCATTGTTGTCAGGAGCGGCTCAGGCGGCGGGAGAATGTTCTGAAGGTTGGAAAGCACAAAATCTCCGCCTTCGTAGTTAAAGAGTACTACCTATCGAGCCCGCCTAGAGAGTACCCGTCCACGCCTACGCCATCAAACATGAAGCTGGAACTTCAGGCAAGCGCCCTGTTAGTCTTCGTCGTTGGCCATTACGACCCAACACCCTCCGGGCCGTAGGTTCAGTCCGCCCGCCTAGGCTAGTTAGGGATGGCGGCAGTGATAGGCACCAATTAGGGCCTGGATATCCCGCCCCAGCAGGTTTCCGTTGGCGATGGCGTTGCTCCAGGTTCAGGTTCCGTCCATGGATCCAGACAGAACGTGGTTCGCCGTCATCGAACAAACTTGAACCACACCTCGCAGTTAGTCTCTAGCATTTGTCTTTACCAGCCACCTTCGTCGGCCACCTTCAGGTTTCCACCTTGCTTTTGCTCTGCCTTGTCCCTGGTGTCTTGCTCTTGTTCTGGTTCTTGCGCTTCTCTTCACTTCACTTTTACCGATCATGAACTGATTGCTTTCTTCCTGTACATACATAATAATGTCCTTTTCAGATAGCCGCTCATTCATCTCAATTGCTATTCCAACCTGACTGTGTTACATTCCACCTCTTCCTCATTTGTACCATCCTCCGACCACTCATCTACCCATCTTGACACTGATGATAGCCTGGATTGTGGTGTCTAACACGCCAACCTTGGCGACTTCAACTTGGAAGTCTACCTAGGTATTGAGTACCGACTACCAACACCGGACTCGACCTTTCGACCATGGCTACCTCAATGAACCCCGTCGACCTCTACCACGACCCCGCTCTTGACGACCTGCTCACACAGCCCAAGGCTCCGTCAAAAAGTAACGGTTCGACTCGTCGCACAAATAGTGGCGCCCATCGCCGCTCAGCCTCTGAAAATGTCGACTTCTCTGCCCTCCCTCCGACTGCGCCTGAGGTTCCGCGAGGCCCTCCCATTTCCTATCGAGGATTAGGTCCAGCTGAGCCTGATGTTCATAGATCATTCTCCCAAAGAGCTAGAGGCCGACCATTCGCAAAGGAAGCATTTGCTGATCAGGAACTGGTCCAAAGTCAAGAGAAGGATGTCAAGCCCCGTGTCTCGTCCACGGGCCACCAAAGAGATGCTTTGACCAGTACCACAAGAAAGCCTGTTCCAAGCGAAGGCCTCCGCCTCAATACATCCAACCTTAATGGCACCGCATCCGTCCCTGCACCTCGAAGAGAGATTCAAACCGCACGAGAACCTCCTGTCGATCATGTCAAACCAATTGAAAAGATCCGGCGCACTTCCGACACCCCCCGCAAAACAGAGGACCCCTTTTCAGCTATTAGTCGATCAAGTGCTTTCCGCGACGATGCTCAAAGACGGGACTGGGCGCCGGATCGTTCCCCACTTCAGAAATTGGAGGTGACTTTGAACGATATCAGTAAAGAAGAAAAGAGAGCCAGAGTTCAGGAAGCAGAAATGATGTTGCGAGACCGGGACGCCAAACTGGGGCGCACTCATATCGAGTCCCCTCGTGACAAGGCTTCTCCGGCAGCACAGACTTCCAAAGTCGCTCCCACGGCACGACGCTCCAGCGCCAAGCGTGAGCGCGTCGCTGAATCTGATGCACAACCGGTTGAAGACGCGGTCCTGGTCCGAAATTTGAGTATGACGCAACGACAACGTCTGCAGCATAGTACCACCGTTGACAATCATCGTCCTGATGTTCGAAGTCTTTCTGGCGAAAAGCATCCAGGGTTTGAATATACCATCTCTGCACCACTGTATGACCAGCAGCCCGGTCCCCGACGAACGAGTCACAAATATCGACGCGAAGACTCCCCGGAAGACCCACCAGCCAAAACTTCCAAAGAGATCTTTGATGAAGCTGCCGCAAAATTAGAGCAGTCAAGCAGTTCCAAGCAGAAAGACGTACCCAGATCAAAACCAGATACTTCAACGGCAGACGACGTGCCTCCTCAGCGGACCCTTTCTAAGCGGAGGGTTGAGCCCGCGACTGCACGCCGTGCTCCAAGTGATGGCCTTGCATCTCGCGAGAGGAACGCATCTCACAAAGCCGCATTGGAGAAATTGACTGGAGTTTCACCACCTGTCGCGAGGAACGGTTCACACAAACTTCAGAAAACTCCACCAGCACCGGATGGAACAACGAAGACGCAAGGGAGCAGGATACCTAGTAGAATACCTGTCCCAATTGCACCCTCAATTGTCCCAAGTGCCGGGATCGAGAACTCGAACCGCGCACTAGATTATTCTGACATAGAATCTACAGCTACGCACAATCGCCCCTTTACTCCGATCGGTCACGGATTGCACCCATCTCCACATCCGAGCAGCCCACAATCACCGCCACAGAGGGTGGCTGATGTCACTCGACAAAGACAACGCAAATCGAGCGTTTCTTTCAAGGAACCAATGAGCCGTCGCCCAGTCGATGAATGGAAAGAGGCGGGAGTAGCAAGACTGACTTCCAACGACTTCTTGAGTGAAACTATCCCCTTGGCGGACAAGTCTAAACCATGGTGGGAACAGGGACCAGCACCAGCAAATCGTAGGAGCAGCAGGTCCAACAGACCTCTCGAGACTGGCCATCTAGAAGGACCTATCGACGACAAAACTGCAGAATTTAAGCCCAAGCTTTTCCTTCGGTGCGGACCATTATTGCGCTATACAGGTATGAAGAGCTCCAAAACAGATAACGGTGGATCGAAGCGAGAGATATGGCGAGGAAGTGTCATGATCGTAACTCAAGACTCCCATTCTTCTTACGATACCCCTCCCACTCTACGGCTCTTTGCACGACCCCAAAGGTTACTCCCGCCTCCGCCGGATAAAGTCGCTGAAGATGACCTTAATCCTGGATATGTTGATCCGGTAGCTGGACTAATGAAACTTTCCAGGACTGGCCGTGCATTGTATGTCAGACCAGTCGACCACCTGGAGGAAGGGAAAGACTTGTCACAAGTTGAGGACGATGATGGTCTTTTTGAGAGCTCTCCAAGCCCTCTGGATCTTGATGGATCCCACGATGCAACGTCAATGCCCAGCAACAAGCGAAACCTTGATCAAGATGGTGAGCGACTCGGCCGATATCAAGAAGTCAAGGGCGCCAGATTGTTTGGAGATCCGGATCGAGATGTGACGTTCTGGCGGTTCAATATTGAGGTGGAGCTTCAAGACGAGCAGCAGCATATTGCATATCGCATCAATCGCGGCCCCGCGCTGGGTTTCTGGGTTCCAGCTCAAGGCGAGACCATGAATATCATGTTTCACAGCTGTAATGGCTTCAGTCTATCGGTCAATCCGGACAACTTCAGTGGACCTGATCCACTATGGAGAGACGTTTTGAATACGCATCAAACTCGTCCTTTTCATGTTATGATCGGCGGTGGTGATCAGATTTACAACGACCGGGTCATCCTTGAAACTCAACATTTCGGAGAATGGACCAGAATGCGAAATCCAACTCACAAGCATCACGCTCTGTTTACTCATGAAATGAAGGAGGAACTAGAGACCTTCTATCTGAATCGATATGCTATGTGGTTCTCGCAAGGCATGTTCGGTATGGCCGCCAGCCAAATTCCAATGGTAAACATCTGGGATGATCATGATATCATTGATGGTTTCGGTTCCTATCCCAATCATTTTATGGAGACTCCTGTCTTCTCAGGACTCGGAAATGTTGCCTTCAAGTATTATATGCTTTTCCAGCATCAGAGCGTTCCCGAAGAAACCCCCGCACATGAACCTAGCTGGCTGTTAGGGCGGGAACCTGGTCCTTATATCAAGCAGCTCAGCAGAAGCGTTTTCATGCAGATGGGCAAACATGTTGCGTTCTTGGGGCTCGATTGTCGGACCGAGAGAATGCGCAATGAGGTATTGAGCGTCGACACAATCGAAATGATCCTCGAGAGATGTCGCAAAGAGTTAGTCGAGGGTGAGACGAAACACCTGATTGTACTGCTGGGTGTGCCGATCGCGTATCCTCGTCTGGTATGGTTAGAAAATATGCTCACCAGTCGCTTTATGGATCCAGTGAAAGCTTTGGGCAGGGTGGGAATTCTCAAAGGAGGATTTTTGAACAAGTTTGACGGTGGTGTTGAAATCTTGGATGATCTTGATGACCATTGGACAGCCACCAACCATAAGCATGAGCGAAATGATTTGGTAAAAGATCTACAGGATCTTGCTGCCGAGAAATCCTGCCGAATCACCATTTTGAGTGGCGATGTTCATCTTGGTGCAATAGGGCAATTCCACTCGAACCCGAAGCTCAAAATTCCCAAGGATCGAGACCACAGGTACATGCCCAATATCATCTCTTCGGCAATTGTGAATACTCCACCATCGGATATGGTGGCAGATATTCTCAATAAGCGGAACAAAACTCATCACTTGGACAAATACACTGATGAGAACATGATTCCTATGTTCACGCACGATGTTGACAGCAAGAAGCGGAACAACAAACATATGCTCCCTAGAAGGAATTGGTGCTCGATCCGGGAGTATGTGCCAGGCTCAACTCCTCCTCCATCACCACCGGAAAGTCCAGAGATTTCAGAAGATGAAGAAGAACCCGAGGGGTCTCCAGATATCGAGTCTCAACCTCGGCGGTTTTCTTTCACCAAGGAAGATGTCAACCCTAGAGCATTGTTTCGAAGATTAAGTTCTCGCAAAGCTCCTCCCACTTCTTATCGCGATGCAATGTATGAACAGGATCGAGCGGCGTCGTATGATGGTAGTTCACGACCTCAGGGCCATTCAGGCCCTCTAGTGAGCAATGCTTCTGGATCACGACAGTCTTCCGCCGATTTTCAACCAGTTCCTGGTAAACGCGCCTCATCATTTGATCACAATTCTTCAGGAACTCCCGTCCGCCCTGGTATGTTTCAGCGTCGCCCGACAAACTTCTCGGAAAAGGCAGCGAGAAAAGGCAATATCCCAGCCATTGATGCTGAAGGCAATGAGATCGACGTAAACGACAGTGTGAACCTCGAAGGTGGTCTTGATATTGTACTCAATATGGAGATCAACCAAAAAGATCCATCGGGTATCACAATGCCCTACCGACTTCTGATTCCCGCGCTTTGGTATGACGGTAGTTCAGATCGTGAGAAGCTAGACGAGGTTGAAGGTGTCCAGAGAAGACCGACGTTCCTCAATCGCATCGGCTTGGGTGGCGGTAGAAGTCATAAAGCAGCGCGTGGACAGGGGGAAGGTAATTGGGGTCAGACAGACACTGAGGATGAGAGCTACGACGAAGAGGATGTCGTGCAAAAGAAAGCCCAGACACGTCGGAGGTTTAGCCTGTTTGGTAGCAGGCGACGAAACCAAACAGACTACGCCAGTGAGACAGAGTCGGATCAAGAGGATGGAATACTGGCAAACCAACCTGACCAATTTGCTCCCAAACCTGTTACCAGCAATACTGCAAGTCAGCCAGATTACAACGTGTCGCATAACATGACAGGTCCTCCAAGTCACGACTTTCTATATGATACATCCACGCGTCCACCACCTACGCATAGTCTTGCACCAGCAACACATCCTAGTACCCATCGATCACTTACGATCACCTCGAGTTCCCGCCAACCTTCGCACCATAATCAGCAAGGCTCGCATTTCAAGAACAACAGAGAGAGCCGACCAACACAGCCATCATCATCTGCAATCGCAGACTTTGGATCTGGCCACGGTTCAACTTCGGGAAGGCAAGGAGCAAATGAATGGGACACTCTTGGTTCTAACAGTGGACATTATCCAGGTACCCGTTCATCCCATGGGAAGCCTAGCGGGAGTCCGAATGAGGCATTTGTTGATGCTCCTCCGGTGGGCACGAGTGGCAACTTTCCTCAGCGACGCCTGAGCAAGCAAGAAAGAATTTTGGGGATTTCATCTTCGGATCCTCAACCACAGGTTCCTCCTCAGGCGTTGAGAGGGAATGGTATTATTGGCAAAGAATACGGGTTGAGCAGTCCTGTGAGTCCTCCCCTTGGCCGCCAGCCTGCTTCCGGCTATACTGGCATCGAAGCGTATAAAGAGCCCAAGCCTCGGAGAGGATTTAGCCTCAGGAAGGCAAGAGATTGGCTGGACGGTAGAGGTCGAAGTGGTCAGGACGACTTTGATTAGGAGACATGAATGTTTGGATAGGCACGTGGTTGAATATCGGGAAAAGACGGGCGATCAAATTCCATAATTGAGGCAATGGTAAAGGAAGTGGGAACAAGAACGAGATTGGAAAATTCTCCATACGCGGGAATTTTTGTGTTTTTGACCCACGAGATAGTGTTAGATGTGAAACACATCGAGATGCATGACGAGTGTACATTCGATAATGATGGACGCTCCCGCAAGGCTTCAGCCTCGAGGGAGCGATTTCTCTGCCACCGTCCGATATATTCCGAGACATCGTGATATCGCTCAAGGCTCTCTCGTCCAGAATTACCCAAGCAGGAACTCCCTCGTGACCTTGCGTATTGGCCACAGCCACTTGGTGGAACTCCGAGACCCTTTGCTAGTTGTCCACGGCACCTAACTCAACTAAATTTAGGTGTGGTGCCCGAATTTACAGGACCACGATTAGCTGGGACACGCTGGACTTTTGAATCACTCGGATACTGCACGCCGAAGGGTGGTCCTTGGATCTTTTCTGGTCGCCGATGATGCATGGTTCGCCGTATCTACCTACCCCACGGTCTTTCCTAACTCTTTTCGACAGGTCACAAACCCCCCTGGTGGAATTTAGACGTTCCCGAAATTTGATTTTTTGTTTCCCTGGAGAGGCTCGTCGTTACTCAGCTTTACTATCAGTGACTGCGGATGTCTAAGAGCCTGGCTATCACCATTACAACCACAGCAAGAATGATACACAAACTGTAATGTGGCCTGACCATGCAACTTCTAAGCTTCCAGTTCAGCGTTGACTAGGCGTGTTAGTCATCAGGAGTTGGCAACGTTTTTATGCCTATTGCATACTAGACAGAGACGCCAGAGCAGTGGTGGTCTTGCATTTCGCTAGTGACTCAGCAACTGCTCCATTTACGACGACCAATACGGAGAATGGAGCAGGTGTCCCTGGGCACGTACTTGATTCAAGCCTATGGATGTTTTTGCTCGTGCGACAAGCGAGATGCTAGCGAGTATTCTCCCCTCGTAATCTTTCAGCTAAGATGTCGGGGTTGGGATGGCGTTGGGCCGCTGATGAGAAATCTAATAGGTAGTCCGTTACAGGTTCCAACTGACGAAGTACATCGATTTGCTCGGATGGCGGATGTAGTAGGAGTAACCCAAAAAGTGAAGGCTCGCAAGGGACAGGCCGAGCCACACGGTAGCAACAAAGGTTGAACCTGTGACGGTCAGGACTTGAATACGAGGCGAGCGGCACGTCGGGAACTTGGCAAGTTACGACTTCGTCCGTAATAATGAACGATACCTTCAAGGTCCCTTCCCCGTCAGGCTCGCACGTTTCAATCCATTATTGCCATTATTGCCCGTTGGCTCTTGCCTCAAGCGTGGCTTTGCAAGCGACCGCGAGGGCGACCTCCACCGATCATCCCTGGTTCTGCATGGTACCCGTAATCTGTATCCCATGCCCGGTGGACAGTGAGCACTGGCCATGGTCTATGAACCCGAGCTCCACGGAGACCTCTGTTATGCATTGATGACTGTAATTGTCGCAAAGCGGATTGGGTGTTTTGGCCCTTCCTATATTATGCGCCCTGACCCCTCGTTCGTATTCTGGATCGGTCCATCTCACAAGGAGCAATTACTCTACCTACTGTCTGACTTGTCTGAACTTGACCAGACTTGCTTCACTTCTCAACCTGACTACAGCATCGCTGACATAACTAATCATGAACTCATCAAGGGCTCTTTTCAGTCCAGCCCTGACGGCAAACATATCGAGAGCGGCGTGTAAAGGCATCTACAGTTCAACCGCCACAGCAGCAGGCCTTCGTGCCTCGTGTGCTGCCATCAGACCTTTCAACATTCCATCACAACGAAACTTCTCCGTTTCGCATAGAGCCCAGCTCGAATTCTTTCCGCCACCAAAGAACCTTCCCAATATCAAAATCACGTACGACTATTTCACTTGACACCTCAGTCATATACGATTGTACTAATGCTATCTCACAGTCCACCATCATGGCCTCATCCTGATTTCACCGAGAAACAACTCAAAGATATCGAAGTCGCCCACCGAGACGTGCGGACGGCTTCAGACTGGGTTGCATACAACTCTGTCCGCTTTCTACGATGGTGTACAGATGTTGTCACTGGCTACCGCCACGATCCAAACAAGCCGTATAAGATGAGTGAGCGAAAGTGGCTGGTTCGCTTCATTTTCCTGGAGACCGTGGCTGGCGTCCCAGGAATGGTGGGCGGTATGCTTCGTCACTATCATAGTCTCCGAAGAATGAAGCGTGACAATGGATGGTGAGTTTCTACGGGTGATTGTGGCTCTCACCATGGTGATTGATTATTCTAGGATCGAAACATTGCTCGAAGATGCCTACAACGAAAGGATGCATCTATTGACCTTCTTGAAGATGGCCCAGCCCGGCTGGTTCATGAAATTCATGATCCTTGGCGCTCAAGGTGTTTTCTCCAACGCTTTCTTTTTGGCATATCTCGTCTCTCCCAAAACATGCCATCGATTCGTCGGCTACCTGGAGGAGGAAGCGACAAAGACTTACAGCTATGCGATTGAAGATTTGGAATCCGGCAAACTCCCAGCTTGGGAAAATCTCGAAGCTCCCGATATCGCCATCAAATATTGGAATATGCCTGAAGGACACCAGTCCATGAAAGATCTCCTGTATTACATTCGAGCCGACGAAGCCAAACACCGAGAAATCCATCACACCTTGGGCAATCTGAACCAGAAGGAAGATCCAAATCCATTTGTGTCAGAATACAAAGACCCTTCCCAACCACATCCGGGCAAGGGAATCGAACATATCAAGTCGACTGGGTGGGAACGAAAGGACGTTATTTAAACCGATTGCGACACGCGTGCGAACCCGGCAAAAGCGAGCGCTTCTACACCTACTCCGTGAATGACCGAGCTACAGAGTATAAAGCAGTGGGTGTGGGAGGATGTATGATACTTGATAGAGTTTTGATATTGAACTTTCAAGAACCGAGGATGTGAGAACCACCAAAGTGTCGATCATGGATTTTGGGCACCTGGTGGTGGAGCCTGGTTTTGCGGCGTTGAAGGTTGAGATCCAGCTTGGTATTATTGAGAGCAGGAATTGATAGCTGAGCCTAACTGATTACGGTCCGAAATGGACTGGGTGGAATGCAGGTCCGTCTGCAATCTGGCTAGATGCAGATCCACTGCGACGGACTGATGACTACTGAACTACCCAAGTACTTCGTACGAGTCCTTCATTGCCACAGCAGCTATGTTTGCGTGGCACAGCATATTGCAATGTTGACAATAGAAGAGATCAAACAACATACTTTCGATCCAGCAGATACGGTTCACGCTAATGATGCCAATTCGAGAAGTAATCCATCAGTGTGATGAACTTGGAGGGAACTGTTAGGAAATGATTGAACGACATAAGTGAGATGATTTGTTTATTTTTGTGGATGAGAATTATGTCAGGCTGCATAAGAGGTCACCTCGGGCGTCTCTCAGTGGCTGGACACGTACCAGTTTTGACTTCTCAGAGCGCGTTTGGGGGGGCATCACGGCTTCGAGGTGGACTTGGGTGGGCCTGCCGCGTCTCTGTTCGTCCAGCCACAGGTGTGCCCGGCGTGCTAGTTGGGCCTAAAAGCGACGCCGTTGGGGGGATCCCCTGCTCTTCGTTAATCGACCATTGTTGGGCTGGAGACCGCCTAAAATGCCACCGCCACGACCTGAAACTGATGTGCCAGCTGGTGCCAACTGGGAACTGCCTGCACCCGAAGCCGTGCCCTGCTTGTGCCTCTCACTGGGTGCACTGCACCTAACTGCAAAGGCTAAGGCACCCTAATGCCTGTCCACGTAGTGTCAACTTCAACCTCACCTTACAATTCCCCGACCCCAATCTTCAAAGTCACAGTTGTATCTGCGACGCCTAATCAATCCACATCTCTTGTGGTTTTTCTAACCTCATGCTACAATCCAATTCACACATGTTGCACCCCGATCTCATCAAACAACCCAGTTTCCCATCAATCTCATTGAGTATCGCTCGAATCTCACTGCCAGCCCTCCCTCGCGGTTCCTCAAAACCCTCGATTTGTTGTTGAGTCGGCCTGCAACTCAATCATATGACCAACCTGACACCAAAAGCAGCCCCAGCCTGCGCTGGTCCAACTGCCTCTCATCCGTGTCCCACCTCCAACAGCAGCAGGTCGCCCTGCGCATGCTGTCTGGCATGACCTCTGCTCTACGTCGTCCCTCGATGGTGGAGACGCAGAGTGAATTTGATCTCCATCAACTTCTCGTTCCTACTCCCACCAACGATGTCCCTCCGCAAAACCACTCTTCCTCCGCCTCCTCCGGCCCCAACAGCGATGCTGGGTCTTTTGTCATCCCGGACAGCTTGTCGAGAAGCAATTCCGTCTACTCCTTTTCCAGAGCCTCGTTCAGCAGTCAACTGGCCAGTCTGACTTCGATGAGCCTGCCCCAGGCCGAATCCTTGGCTGTTACTGTCACGAACCTCCCCACCGCCCGAAAGGCCGTCAAAGCTTTGACCAGTGCCGCCGAACAGATTCAATCGTGGAACAAGAAGGCGCTGAAGGTTTTGGAAAATCTTGACGCTGACGAAGATGTCGAATGGGCAGCCGCCGCCGGAAGGCTGGGTCTGGACGATACCGAGAAGACCATCAAGAAGTTTGAGAATCTGATCAATGTATATGTCATTTCTATCGAGGAACTGCAATCGCGGCCCGATATTGGGGACGCCAGGACCGAGGATCTCCAGGCCGTCGTCGAACAGATGGAGGTCACACTGGAAGGTTGGGAAAACGTACGACGTGACTTGAAGAAGGTCCATGAACAGGTCGAATTGGCTATGGAATGGGAAGAGCTTTGGGCAAAAGTCCTCGGTGACGTTGGGGCGGAAATGGATAGCTTGAGCCAGCTAGTCTTCGAGATGGAAGAAAAGAGACACGCAGCGTACCAAACCCAAACACAAGCCGGCCCGAGTCAAGTTTTCGATCTGAACGAGTTGGAAAGTTACATCGACGAGCCATCACAGAAAAAGACCACGCAGAATTCCCGTTTCAGTCTCCCACCCTTCGAATCTTCACCTTTGGGTTCACCGATTATCGAGAACCCCGCGGACGATTCGAATTTACTTGCCCTATTCGCCCGCATGCAGCCTCTCAGAGCGTCGCTAGATTTCCTGCCTATGCGGCTATCCATGTTTCAGTCTCGGGCCGAGAATGTATTTCCCGTTGCCTGCAGAGAGCTCGATGATAAATGTGCACGATTGGAACGAAATTGGACCGACCTATCGAAAGAAGCAGACAGTTTGCGACGAGAATTGAGTGAAGACCGCTGGGTAATAGTGTTCCGGAATGCTGGTCGACAAGCTCAGAAGATGTGCGAATCTGTGGAAAGGAGTATCGTCAAGGTTCAAGAAGCCATTGGTGAGGAGTACCAATCAACCAATCCTGCGGCACTCGCCAAAAGGATTGAGAGCTTCGAAGCCAAAAAGATGCACTACGCTCCCGCCATAACCAGAGTGCTCGCGATTATCCAAAAGGGTCTTAAAGACCGACTCACCGTGAATGGTGAAATACTACGCCTACACAAGGACCTCTCCTCTAGGATGAGAGATCTGACAGACACTATTGAGGACATGGACTCGTTGTTGGAACCATTCAATGCTCGACATAATTCCAAGTTAAGAGAATCGATATCAAGCATCGTCTCAGCCGATCGCTCTTTCACCAGTACCACATTTCCTGGGACGCCTGGAAGTTCTCCACCATCTTCGATCGATCTTCCTCCTCAAAGGAGCGAACAAATCACCTCCAAATATGGACTCAACGGCTACAGTAAACCAAGGGCTGTATCTTCCAGCCGACCACCACCTACATCGTCAAATCGACGATCTTCCATGCTTCCACACACCAGACGACCGACGACTCCCATGTCTCAAGGTAGTAGCTCGATGATACGGCGCACAGCCTCGCCTTTACCCGGCCCTCCATCGGTCTATCGTCAAGGCTCGTACACCCCACCAGTGGCCCCTGTCCCTCGCCCTGGGCCCACACCACTATCAAGCAAACCACGATGGTCGGCTGTAGTCAAGCGTGACTCTACGCTAGCACCAACTTATCGGTCATCAACATCAACCACACCCTCAAGCACGTCGACGATGCGCAGGTATGCGCCACGCTCCATATCGTCAAACACGGCGTTACCCTTGAGAAGTCCTCTCAGTAGGGAGGCTTCAGCTTCACCAGACAGCTTGTCACCCCAATTTGCCACACGAGAACGTCAGCAGTTCAAGTCATTTGCCGAGAGAGTGGCAGATCCATCGCCGGTGAGAACTAGCAGTTTGATGGACCCAGTCCCATATCATCGAGGGCGCAATTCAAGTGCCCCTACTGGTACCATTCGATCTCCATCCTCCCTTGCTGTCCATAGCCAGCAAAAACCCACCATGAGTGGGATGACTAGACCACCATCATCCCTCAGTCGGAGTTACCACTCCACGCAAACCCTACCATTGAGAAACATCGCTCCCAACCAGCGAGCAGATAACAGAAAAGAAACACGAAGACGAGAGGATTCGATCGGTTCGAATGATCTAGATCAAGCAAGTGAAAACGAAGACGACCAGGTCACCGAGCCGAATTCAAGTCCTCTCTCAAAAAGAACAATCACCAGACCTGCCAGTGTTCTGGCAATGAACAACAAAGGGAAAAGAATGTCATTACTACCCGTTCCCAAAGGAAGTGGCAGACAGAGTTCACTAGGACATAGAATTTCATGAAAGAAAGGGGAGAGAGCTTTGTCAGCTGGCCTGAATATAGTCCCCTCGCTCACAGTCAGTTGCGTTTTTTGGATATCGATGAGGGAGAGGGAAATCCCCTCCAGCGCCGTATCACGTGGAGGGGAGTTTCGACAGCGAAAGTTTCAGTGTCCAGCGTACAAGCGTGTTTTTTTTTTTGGATCGAAAATGGGTTACCCTTTTCGACCTGCCTTGCATTGAGGTGCCAAGGCTTACCTTTTTTTCCTTTAACGTCCACCATTCACATCAAACTCTCACTGCCATAGTCGATGAGACAGGCAGGCAGAGGCAGCGTCAGAGTCAGTCGGGCAGGGAGGCAGGCAGTCAGTCGTCACTCATTGTGAAGTCCGCAAGATAGCCATAGCATAATTGAGAATGAATGCAACTCCACAAGATTGGCTTGGATTTGATGTCACTCAACCGACTACCTGCAGGTGCATAGTCAGATCACGTAGCTGCAGTGTGCCGCCATGTCATTGCTGTCATTGTCGTTCAAACCGATCTAATCTAGTCTTCCCGGGGCGCTGAGATTTCCAATCGGCCACTCCGCCCTTTGGTTACCATGTTACCAGCGCTCAAGGAGTCTTCTGGTTTCTAAGCAACACAAGCAAAAACAAGCCATAAGACACGGAACACCAGGACTAGTGAATATCAGCCATGGTATAGTGCCTACCTAGATAGTAGTTCTATGGTAGCACTCCTACACAAGGGATACATCGTCCATCCGCTCGAGAAGAAATGGGACTTTGGTACTTACCTAAGGTAGAGTTCAAGCCACCTGTAACCCCATGAGCACCGCCAGCGACGTTCGTTTCTCTGGGCACTGGCGTAGAACTGCCGGGTTGGGAAAAGCCGACCTTGGCATTCTCGTATTCACGCGAAGTACATCGCGTGGTTCAGCTGCGATTTTGTGATTGAACATCATTACGACGCCCTTTTGGACTTCTCGCCTGGGTGTTTGTTTGTCAGGTATCCAATATGGCCTTTGCAGTGCTGTGCAGGTACCGATACAAGGTATTCGAGCCAGGAGTGACGTGCTTTTCGCGTGTCCCTGGCGTACGTTCGTTCCCACCTTGGTGCCTGCAGCAGCCTTCTTCTTTTCTTTACATCTTTTCTTTCTAGCTTCCATCAGGGGATGATTCTATTTCGAGATGTCGGGGCTTGCCCTTGGCGCGTTGGCTCTGGCGACTCTCGACGCTTCGAGTTCTCCTTTCCTTGATATCAAGCTCTCTCCTCCAGACTGACATTATGGGCCTTGGCACGGCTTGATCCAGCCCTTTGCAAGGCCACATGGTCACCCGGGATTCAAACGTGGCTTGGTTTGGAGTATCGTTCGGACCAAGATTCATGCAAGTTGCGATTGGCCAGGCTGCCAACATAGCACTTTGTTTGCAAGATGCCTTTTTTTTTTTGAATGCTATTCTACTATTTGGTAAGTGCGGTGATGCTCGGGTCCTCGTATTCAGCCTTGATCGAGGTGGGTTGGGTGCTCTTTTTTGGTTTTGTGGCTGGATTGCATCTCTTGTCATGTCTCTCAATCTCGGCGGTGCCTTTTGGATGACTGGTGAACTTGAAGGGCCACTCTCTGTTCCCTCCACTAACTGGGGTCGTATAAAATGGCTGTGACTCCCTCGTGTTGTGGGCTGGTGTGTTGATCGTGCATCAACGGCGATCTCGTGGGACATTCCTTTATATCATATTTGTGGCGTTTTCGTTGTGAAATTCCAGTCCTCAACCATTCATTTTTCATTCCACCATGTCTGCCCTGGCTGGAGCCGACATCTATCATGGAGTTTGGGTTGATTGGTCTAGAGGAGCTGTTCTCGGTAGCACCGTTACACTCTCATCGCGCTATGCATCGGTACTCACTGCGTTCCTCGCTCTTTTCGTCACCATAATCGGATCTTGCTTGTGGAGGATATGTAGTTTCACGATTCACCAGCTCTCCTCAAGTCCCGATGCCAAAGATGGTCTCCATCATCAACATCAGCTTGTCTTCCGGAATACGAGCTCACCTTTCGAAGCCGCTAAGACCTTCACCGAGACCGCCTGGCACTGGCGGAGAAGTCATCTGCGAGCGTGGGCGCGATCTTTGCCCCTTGCGCTCTTCGCGCTTCTCTTCCTTCTCGCCTTTACCGCTGCGTCCATTCTGACTGGTCTCGTCACTCGGGCTGCAGGCTCCCAGAGACTGATCGTCAGTGGGGACTGTGGGTATTGGGCCATCGATGAATTGGCTAGTGCGGCTGATCGTCAGCTCGCCATGCAGAGTAAGGATCTGAACGATACAATCCTGGCAGCCACCTATGCCAGACAATGCTATGGGCAAACGGCGGGTTTGAACAAGCTGCGTTGCAGTATGTATACCAAACGAGCTCTCGATTGGACTACATCGGAAGTCGACTGTCCATTCAAGGACTCTATCTGCTCTTCTTCACGTGCTTTCAGATTGGACTCGGGTATCATCGACTCGCACATGGATCTGGGCATGAACGCTCCCGATTCTGGACGTGTCGGTTTCCGAAAGGTCACCACCTGCGCTCCCTTGAAAGTCACTCCTGAATACGTTTCTGTCGTCACTTCCACTGGAGACGATGGATTGGGTATTGAGGGTGATAGGATACGAGAGTATCAATATGGGACATACTCCGTGGCCGGCCTGGGCAACAATGTCACGTATATGTACAATCAGCACGCGTACATTGATGGTTTTGGTTATGAGTTGACGTAAGTTACTCTTAACCCATGATCTGCGTGCTAGAACTAACAATCCTACTATAGTGCAACAGCAGCTGATCTTGATTCGACTTTATGGCAGTCTATCCCTGAACTCGCCCAAACCGAAGCAGACCTAACCCTGATCTTCCTCGCTCCCAATTCGATCAAATACACATATCCGAACAACGATCCTTTCTTCAGCGCAAATTACTATGTTGACGTTGGATCATATGCTGGCGTAAACCTCTCTTACTTTTCTGCGGACGAATATGTCAATGTCATGGCATGTCAAGATCAGTATCAATACTGCAACGGTGATGACAAGGACAAATGCACACCTTTGACAGGATACCAACAAGCGTATGCGGCGATCAATTCCACAAAAGTCGGCTTGAACATGATACAGGAGAGCATTGCCACCCGTATCATCCTCAACTCTCGCACACTAAGCACTTACCATAGCATTGGTGGGCGTGGCGCTCAAGCTCTCCGTGTCTCTGAAACAATCCAGGAGCGTAACCAGATGGCTCAAATCCCCAATAACCAATGGCAAGTGGAGGTTGCAAGCTGGTTTGCAGTCAGCATGTCCCGACTACAACGTTCTGCCGTTGAGTTCGCCGCGCCCAGTCTCAGCAAGTCCGAATATCCAGCTGGAAGCTACCTACAAGAGCCCGAGGGCATCGCGGCTGCGATGTGCTACAGCCAGAAAGTCGGCCTGGTCAGCGACACCATCTCGTTCTCCGTTTTAGGCCTCATCATCATCTTCGCGGTGGGCATTGCGATCATCCTGCTCTACCTCATCCTCGAGCCCCTCGTCGCTTGGTTCCAGCGAAAAACCAACGCCGGCGGCTACCGCCGTGTCCGATGGGTCATGGACGACAAGATGCAGGTCCAGCGCATGATGTTCGAAGAAGCTGGAATGGGCGGTGTCTGGACTAACCTCGACGGCGCCATCCCGGTCACCGAGGACAGAGCCGTCTTTGCTGACTTGCACCATGTAGACCCGCGAAACCCGCGTCTCGGTCGGCAGTGGACCGGTAAGGCAAACGGCGCGGCCGGACAGCACAGCATCCCTGGTATTTCTACCACCGCTGCTGCTCACCCTTATGACGACCACTATGTCTCGCCCATCGGCGAATACAATCCAGTCCTGGGCACGGCCACCGCCGTGCCCATGCCAGTTCCGTATCCCAGTGAGAAACCAAGTGGCCAACATACACAACAGTATCAGGTCTATCAACAGCAGGTCTACCATGCTCTGACCCCTCAGGGCGGTCACTCACCTGCCGGAAGTCTCGATAATAGGAGATTGCCAAATACTTATTAGACTTGTGAGGTTGCGCGTCACGAAAATTTGGAAGAAGAAAAGTTCTGTTTTGACATGTATCGAATATAAAGTGTAGCGTGGTGTTGTTGGGGTTTGTATTGCATGGTTCGAAGGTCATTGATACCAGGGTGCATAGGCAGGTGTTTGTGAGAGTATATATTGCTGAACAGCGTGGTCATCTGATACATAGCACAGGGCGAGCCTATGTAATTCATCGAGAGTCATTTCTTCTTCTTGACAATGAGCAAACCAACACTGGTCCCACAATCAACCCAAGTTCGACCCTTACCCTCTTCAACCTCGTCGAAAAGCTCCTTCACCTGCCTCACAAGCTTATCCACCAGATCCTCCACCTCCCCGCTCTTCACCTGCTCCGCATACGCCTCGCGCCACCTCTGGACAGGACTAGCAGTCCCCATGCTCATGCGGATGGCATCGAAATCCGCCTTCCAGCCCTTGACAAACGCCTCCCCGGGCGCGACCTTTCCATCCTTGTTGAACTCGCGTCTCTCAAACTTCTCCTTGTCAAACATGCCCAACAACTCCTTCAACTTCGGATCCGCATCTCCCTCTCCACCCCCTACACAATCCCACGGCAACGGCAACCCGGCATAAATCTCTCTCACCAGGATATTGCCCTCGGTCGCAAACGGCGCCAAAACGATGTTTTCGAAATCGTCCAGAACCCGCTGCACCTTGGCGTAGTTGGGGGTCGTGGCGGGATCGACGTAGAATCCGCCGCCACCCCAAAGCACCAGGCTGCCGCCAGGTTTCAGGATCTGCGCCGCCGAGGCCCAGAAGGGCGCCATGTCGAACCAGTGCGCAGCGGTCGCGGCTGTGATGACGTCGACGCACTCCTTGCCGTGCTTGTCGGCCCACAGTTCCACCAGCGCAGGCAGAGCATGCAACTCCTCGGCCCGCCCGACTTCGTATCTGATCGGCTCGCCGCTTGCGGTGGTGCTAGCGGCGACGGCAGCTGGGATTGCACGCGCCGCTTCGACCATCGCGGGTGATGGATCGACGCCCAGCACGGCCTGGAAGTGCGGTGCCAGGCAGCGTGTCGAGTTCCCTGGGCCGCAGCCGATATCGACCAAGACGTTCAACTCGCCGCCGGCAGATATGTGGGGTTTGATGACATTGTCTTGGATGAATGCCTCGCTCCAGCCGAAGCGGTATTGGGCGTATTTGACCGCTGCCGAGGAGTCGTAGTTGCGGAATGTGGCTTCCTCTTGGTGTTGAGTGCCTGTTCGCGTAGGAGGATTGGTTGATGTCGCCATTTTGGGAAGGGGGTTTGTGGTGGTACTTTTGATATGCCTTTGTCGATTACAGTCGATTGTCTGAGTTGCCGATATCCATGGAAGATGGATTCAATGCCATTGAAGCATCCTTAAATAGTGGTTTCTATACCAACAGCGGCTATGACTCATGAAATGACTCATGGTACCCCTGCTGTAATCGCTTCTCCCATCAATTTGCATGAGATTGTAGCGATGCGAAGGATGGTATGGTTGCTCTTTGCTTTGACTCATTCCTAGAGAGGTATCAAACCTCCGGGCGGTCAGGCCTCCCAGATAAGCATTCAGCGGGCCGAGGGGGCCATCCACTAACTGGACGCTTAAACGGTTAGCGCGCGTCTGGGGCGTTGTTGGGCCGTTGCACTTTGAGCTTTCTTATTAACCTCCATCCTCGCAGCTATCGTATATAATGCTTTCTTCCGCGCACTGAGAAAATTTCCCCGGCCCTTCTTCGCGCGAACTACGCATATCTGATTTCTTAGAGTCCTCCAAATTGGGACCATTTCATTTGATACACAGTTACTTCACGAGAAATACGGTTAGAATATCTCCATGTGGGCTGTCCTATCGGAATAGCGAGGAATGGAAAGCTAGAAATCTATGGACACCGAAGCGGCAAGCCGGAAATGGCCAAAGACCCTCATTCCTATTCAGATACGTTGTCAGCGAAGTGCTCCCTTCTTGGAGCAGAAAAGAAAAAACATGAGGAGATCCACAGTTTGCTTTCACATTCATTTTCTGCTTCAGTACTCAGGGCGCAAGAATCTATCATTCATGGATACGCAAGAAACTGATATCTGGTATACAGGCTTCGTGCTCTGCTACTCTCCATTTTCTTCTGTTATCATCATCCTCTGCCGACTTGCCATTGCATTCAAGCTGTATACTTATCATGACTTTAGCTGTTGTGCATGGTGGTTTTCCTTTTGCATGTTCGTCTCACTGCACCGTGGATACTGTTCTGCCCGCTTCGAAGGCTCAAACCTCAAAATTTCTTTCGTTAGTGCACAAATTCTGTCTTTTCCGCCAATTGTACTTACAAGAATTGTGCCTGGTGGTTGAAGTGCTGGGTATGCCAGTACACTGATTATTTTCGGATTTCCATCAGCCATGTTCAGTTGGTACGACCCTGGTGCTGAAACTCTTGCGGATCTTTTTTCCTTCTTGCTCACCTGCTCAGAATTCCTTACCTTGAGTAAACACAGGTTGAAGGCCAATAAATGCATGTCAGGCAAGTCGATTCTCTCGGCTACAAGCGACCTAAACTTAAACCAGTCAGCTTGAGGCACTGCGATCGTGGGGCGACCTACCTTACGGAGACGACATGCATCGCAACGTGTGCACAATTTAGCATTCTGCTTCGAAAGTCATTAGATAAGTTCATACTGCAGACGGTGCAATCCCAATCCTCAACATCTATACGAGAAGAAGCCAACAAAGCAATCAAAGAGTTCTTTAACTCAAGCACTGTGTGTTTTACGTCCTCTTCGAGTGTTGGACATGACTGATTTAATGGTGTTAGAATGGTATGATAGTAGGAATAAATGGCTGTAGCCTTGCTGACAGGAAGGATATATCCGTCAAAATAATGCTAAACCTAGGAGCAAACCCATGATGTAGCTCTTTGGATCTCAATACACTGCCAGTGACGGTTAAGGACCAGTTATAACGTTTAATTGAGCGTCCATATAGATCTACTTGGTACTACATCAGACTTTGCTCCACCGATCGCTATCAGTTCCCCTCCGAATAATAAGGCGTATGGGTGAACCCGCAAACCTGCGTCGACCCACCTCGACTTCTCGATGGAATTGTGACTATGAGGTACCAGACTGCGAGAACCAGTAGTACCGCCGAAAACCTCGGCATGACTGCATAGTACCTACTCGTAGGTAGTTAGTATAATTATCCGTCACAGTCGCTGACACCGTTGTATTGTTGGCACGTGCTAGCCTCCCCTTAATAATCACAGAATCAGCCGTGAATGAGCCAAGGTGAACAATATCCGTTAGTGCCCTAGTCCTGGTCAGGGGTGTTGACGGATAGTACTTCTCTATGCTAGTATGTAAGCCTGACTTCGATTTGCTATCAACTCTAGCGCCCAGCTGTGGTATGTATAGTTTTCTTACCTGTGAATTATTATAGTGGCCTTTCGCTGACTACTTAGTAGTAACATTCAGTCTTAGTGTGTGCTAAGAATAAATTATGTCAAGTAATACAATTAGTACACGCCCTCAATCTGAGTACTATAAACGAGCGGTTCCCAAAGTCCCATTCAAATCCTGAGCGGAAGTGATGAAACATGGCCCAAGATCAACTTTACGATTTCATTATTGTTGGCGGCGGTGTCGCGGGCCTGGCGTTTGCGTCCCGCCTCTCGCAGCTCAACAACTGCCGTATTCTCGTTATAGAGGCTGGTGTTGACCCATCTGACACCGAATGCATCAAAACCGTAGCCGGCTATCCCCTCGCCGCTGAATCGGAGCATGCCTGCACCATTGCTGTGGAACCGAATAAGAATCTCAATGGACGTGGTAGAACTCCGTATGTGGGTAAGGCGCTGGGTGGCAGTGGCGCCGTGAACGGAGGCGCCTGGACAAGGGGTCCGAAGGTGGATTATGACACTTGGGCAGAGATGGTCGGCGACCATAGCTGGAGTTATGAGCAACTACTGCCATATTTTCGAAAAGTGGAGAAAGTCAACCCTGGGGTTGATGGAATGCGCGATGAGCTCCAGCATGGGTATGATGGTTTTCTAACCGCTACCCCTGTCAAATCACTGCACCCAGCGAGACAGTATCCCCTGAGGGACAAGGTGAAGCAAGCGTGGGACGAGGCTGGCATCCCCTATGTGGCAGACGGTAATAACGGGGAGCAAAATGGGTTGACGGAGCTGGTCGAGGTTTGGGTCAAAGGAAGGAGACAATTACCCTCTAAAATTCTGGATCTCGCGAAGGTCAAGGTCCGTACTATGACCAGCATCGCGCGTGTGCTGATTGAGGAGGGACAAGCTATAGGCGTCGAGACCGTCAAAGGCGAAAGACTGCTTGCAGCCAGGGAGGTCATTGTATCGGCAGGCGTCTACCACACCCCAAAGCTGTTAATGTTGAGCGGCATTGGAGAACCGCAAGAGCTAACAAAACTCGGAATCGAGGTAGTTTCCGCGAGCCCGGAAGTCGGACGCAACCTCAAGGATCATCTTGCTGTAGGTCTGACATGGAAGCTGAAACATCCGGAGACGGGACTTGCTGCTGGATCCCCACACTTTACTGACCCATCGTTCTTCTGGGGGTGGCCACTGGACTTCATTCAATTCGGCAATCTCAATCAAGACGGGCCACTGAAAGTGCTGGCTAGTAACGACAAAGATACGGAATTTCTTCTCCGCCGAAATGCTACACATTTTGAGACAGTTTTTCTCTATGCGCCTATGGGCAAGCGTTTCACCGGCGTAACTGCAGAAGTCGATGGAAGTTACGCCACATCGATATCTGTATGTCTGGCGACAACATCCCGCGGATCCATTACGCTCAGGTCAGCTGATCCAACAGAGCCTCCTGTTGTCGACGTAAACTTCAATGCTACTGAGTCAGACAAATTCATTCTTCGTGAAGCGCTTCGGAAAAACGCCTCAGTTTGGCTGAACACAGAAAGCGGAAAGTCATTTGTCAGCCATGAAATGGTTCCGGAAGGATATACTCCGATCACTGCTGAAACCAGCGATGCAGAAATCGACAAGCGTATTGAGGACCTGGGCTATAGTTTGGATCATCCTATGGGAAGTTGCTCGATGGGCAAAGTTGTTGACAGCCACTGCCGGGTGAAGGGCGTGGATAGACTGCGAGTTGTCGATGCAAGTGTGTTTCCGCTTCCTTTGGCTTGCCATATCCAGAACGCCGTATATGTACTTGCCGAGAAAATCGCAGACTGGATTGCACAAGGGGAGTGATTGTCACTGCTTACTTGGCCGGTTTGACATGAGCTATAGATGCTTCAAATTCGAAGTTCAGAAACCCTGGCTCAATAACTACCAAGACCTGTCGCTTTGCTTGCACTAAGTGTTACTAAGTCTATACCTCATCACTGCCCTGGTGGCAGATTGCTGTAATAGTACCGAGAATGTAGCAAAACGCAGTGCTCCAGAACACAGGGGAACTTGTGTGGGGAAAGTAGCTACATAAAGTGCTTAGCCTCTCTTCCTAAATATACATAGTAATGTAGACCTTTCTATATGCTGCACTAGAGTGACAGAGTTAACTAGCAGGGGTGCTGCTAATAGTACGAAAGGATTGAGTATACTTAAGGTAGAGTACTAGCGATGAATACAGTTGAATGTCCATTGAACATCGAGCGATTCGGAGACCGTTAGACTATCCAATTAGTCTAAACTCGAGATACTTCTTTATAAGTAAAAGGTAGAAGATAGAAAAATACAAAAACCATTCCCCATGCGCCGTCCTAGCCCCACTAGGATAAGGGACATTGGATGGAGAAAATCCACGACGGTCAAGCCCCTAGGGAGACCTCGAGGGTTTCTTTTCGTAAACGATCAATTATTGGTCAAGCACGATTTGCTCTTTCCACAACATGCGCAGGGAATTCTTAACCGCGTGTGTGGGAGCGAGGTACTGATCCACCAAAAGCCTACGGGTGCCGCAACTTAATCGGACTTACCCTATTATTCATCAGCTCAAGGCTGACATAGGTTGGTTTGCCGACTAGAACTACAAACGATATGTCTGGTTTGATTGTTGAGTGAAAGTGGGGACATGGAAGTCGTGAATGAGTGAAGTGTTTTTTGACGAGGCTGTGCGAGTCTGAGGGTTTAAAGTCCGTCAACGGGCATTTTTGATGAGGCTAGGTTACATCATCGTGCTTTGAACCTCACGGAAGGGCTTGTCTTGGGCGTTTAGATTGTTTATGAACTCTCAGCATGATGCACAGTTCAGGTCCACAGAGAATAAAGGTATTCAAAAGGGTGCATGGATATTCGTTGTTGGTAATGTCAAAGAATGCGTTTCCCAACTAGGACATGCGGCCCCTGGTTTTGTGAGGCATTGTACCTGAGGTCGTGAATAGCCCTACATGCAGCAACCAACTGCAAGGACCATAGTTGCAGCTCAACCACTTTTCACCTAGACATTCACCACACCGATCGCACCACGATACCAACTATTGTCCTCACCCCGACGAACGAGCTGGAGGGCAATTCAGTTCCATTATGCTCACCTATGAAAATGATAGTCAAAGCTGTCAACCACTTTCACCACTAGAATCGAGAGCGAGAAGAGAAAGATGATGGGTTACTCAGTGGCAATGGATGTATGGTCTATCATCAATCTTGTACATCTCTACTGCCATAGCATTCTCTCGCTGGTGGTACCGCGCTTCCCAAGCACATTCCCAGCTGCCTATGTCTCCACAACATTCCACTTGAAGTGCCCTCACAAGAGCAGATCGTCCCAATATACAGAGTGTTCTTACTCCAAACCAGCAAGGAAACCAGCCAGCGCTGTAACCCAACGCCAATGGCCCGTGAGATTCCACATTCGACCCAGGACGAGTCAGGTCTAGATTGTGATCTTGCAGTAATGCAGAGACTCGGACCACCCTATGACTTCGCATGGCCTTGCTTCCACTCACCGAGTAAACCCTTAAAATCTCTGGGAGAATATGGCGTCGTGATCTCCGCCAACCACGAATCCTTTCTATGATTCTTCAGCTTCATATCCCCCAGCAGTAGGTCCATGTAAGGCAGCGCTTCAAACACGAAATCAGGTAGCGTGGCTCCATATCCGCAAGGATATCGCCATTTACCCCACTGCGTATGCAACATGACTTCCTCTGTGACCTCTTGATCAGACTGTGCTAACCGGTCGATTTTGCCATGCAAGAACAGTGAGATCCACAACCCTTGAACACTTGCGCAGATGGATGTGCTCACAGTCGAGACCATACCAGCGAATGCAATATTCTTTGCACCCATCATTGTCGGTGGAACCATGAACCGGTATAGTCTCAAAGGGTCGCCCTTCTTCGGCTCGCAGTTAAGTTGCGGTTGGTTTCGGAGGCGAGGGAACATCTTGAGCACCTTCTCGTCTGCTTCTTTGTTGAGCATCTCCTTCTCAGATTTGCTGTACTTCAAACCAAGTGCGTATTCGTCCAATCCATCGAACCTGAGGCCTGATTCTTTTTTCCAGCCGGTTGAGCACACGATCACATCGGTTTCAAGCTTCTTGCCAGAGGTCAGGACGACTGTCTTGGGTTCTAGATGATCAATGTTCTCGACGTGCACTCGTATCTTGCCTTGTCGCACCATGTCGAAGAGGGACGTGTCATAGTTTTGAATGCTCAACCCCGAACCGATCCAGAAAGCCGAGTGCCAGGGTTTGAGTTTCTTGAGTTCCGGGTGATTGTCATAACCGTTGAGTGTGAGTACGTCGTTGCTAAGGACTTTCCAGAATGTGTTGACCAGCCATCGTCCAATGAATGTTCCGTGTAAGAAGTTCCGGATGTTTGGATAGCCATCTTCTCCTCCCCAAGGACAGGGACTGAACCACGTCATCCATCGAAGGTGCAATAATTGATCGAGTCGCTTTTTGAATGGTGTAACAAACATGGGAGCAATCCACACTGGACCATGACCATCTGGTCGGACCACCAGATCGACAGTTGCGCCGTCCTCAACCATGGCATATGCGACGTCAAAAGCCGATTTAGCACCGCCCACGACCACTGCATTATTTACCTTACCGAGGTGAGGTGCTTGTTTGCAAAAGTCTTTGGCGTGGAATAACGGTGCTCCGAATGATTCGGCGCCAGTATATTGAGGCATATTGGGAGATGAAGTCAGTCCCGTCGCTAAGATCAATTTCGCAGTCTCCAGAGTTCGCGGCCCTTTGGGTCCGCGAAGGGAAAGTGTCCAGCCATCTGTCGCACTTGGTTTGATATTCTCGACCACGGTGTTGAATTGGACTCTGTCGAATACACCAAAATGTTTGGCGTAGTCGGTGAGATATCGGTGCAAGACCGTCCCAGGAATGTGTTGGAAGGGCTTTACGCCGTAGACATCCTCAGACATGGGGAAGTCAGGATACTCGTATGTACCAATCATGTTGTTGGACTTCAATCCAGGATACAGTCGAGCCTTTCCCCAGGTGCCGCCACACGTGTCCGCGCTCTCGAAAACGGCCATCTTCTCGCCAGGGTACATCTCCAGATATGCTTTGGCAGCGGCGAGCCCGAACCAGCCTACAAGGAACACATCAGACAAGAAAGAGACATGTTCGAGGTGGATATTTTTCTTACCGGCGCCGACAACAACAATGTCATATTTTTCAGCCATGTTAGCGACTGTGCGTGACTTTGCTCTGAGGTAGACGTAAATCGTATGGTGCTTAGAAACTGAGATGCTCAGACCAGCTTCAAGTACTGAGATAGTGGAGAAACGTCGAGAAGCGGATCACTAGATAGATATATCCAGACGTTGAGCTATCTTCAGACTCCCCATACTTGAGCTAGCTACTTCGTAGACAATGAGCTGGCTGAGGACCCGACCCGCTCCCCCTTCTCATTGCCCCTCCGCGACGAAACCAGAGTTTCGAGCCCAAGCTCCCAGGCGATGCGGGAGGTGGCATGACGCCTGGCCAGTGTGGAGCAGGAATGCTGCTTCGTGGCTTCTGTCGATAAGCTAAAAATCGGAACTTGGAATTAGACTCGTGGGCATTGACCTCGGGAAGGGAAAGGGCTCTCAGAGTCTAGAGATCAGTAGCTGACTGGTCTACGACGAGACAGGAGGATTTTGAAGTCTAATTTCATCCTTTACGTTAGATAGCTCGCTACTGGTATGTCACTCCAATTCCGCTGCTGCTCCCCTCGTCCTTGTGGGCGGGCGGGGGTGCTTTAGCCGACGCCGAGTGTGCATGTGAATTCTGATATCCCACTGCCGACTTATGATTCTAGGGATTTATCCAATTAAAGCTCATCACATTGATCAACTTGAAGCATTATCCGTACCTTAGTCAACAGCACACACCTTTTACTTAGTTATCATAGCTTATCAACCCATCTATCGTCCCCGCATGCAAGCCACCGGTGATCTGAATATCCGCCGCTGTCGTATGTCTCGACGCATCACTCAGGAGGTAAATAACCGCCGCGGTCAAATCATTCTGGGTACTCAACCGCTGAAGAGGCGGAGACATCCACATCTGCTCACCCTCGCGCTTGCTCTTCATCTCGCGGACTCGACGCGTCATGTCTGAATCGACAAAGCCTGGCGAAATCGTGTTGACGCGAATATTGTGCGGCGCCAGCTCAACGGCTAGTGCTTTGGCTAGCATTAAGACTCCGCCTTTTGATGCATTGTAGGCCGCCATCCGGTAGCCTGGCAGTGCGATATGTGAGGACTGTGAGGCAATTAGGACCATGCTGCCACCACCGCCTTGTTTGAGGATCTGCTTGGTCACTAGCTGGGCGACGAAGAATGTTCCTCGGACCTTTTGTCACCGACAAGGTCAGTATTTGTCCACCGTGAAGGGAAGGATCAAATCAAAATCGTAACAAAGGTAGACTCACATTGATGTTCTGGATATTCGTGAACTCGTCCCACGTTTGTTCAACGAAAGGCTTGTCGATCGCAATACCAGCTGCAGGGACACATCCGTGTACGGTACCGCCCAGCAACTGCAGTGCCTGCTCAAAGCCCGAGTTCAAGCTTTCATTGTCCGTGACATCGACACGAATGTAGCCAACCTTGACGTCGAATTTCTTGCTCAGTTCGTGAAATTCCTTCTCGGCGGGTTCTTCTTGTCTATCCAGGACCGCCACGTTACCACCCATCTCGCAGATCGCTCTCGTGACGGCATAGCCAATGCCTTGGGCACCGCCAGTGACGATGTAGTTTCGTCCTCGGAGCTCAAACATAGGTCTGACATTTTCTAGTGCGGATGCCATAATTGAGCTTGCTTGCGTGTAGAAAGCTTTCTCCTAGCAGCGAATGTATTGTTGGATTCTCGACTTCAATGAACTGTCGATAAAATATCGCTTGCGACCTCGGTCAGCTGCTTGGCGGTTTCTTGCTTTCTTCAGTACATAATAGCCGTATATCAAGTGATGCTGGCATCTGGTTAATGGTGGGAAAGCGACCCCCGCACCCAGTCTTCGCAAGGCTGTGGAGTCTGGCACCAAAACAGTGAAAGCTTCTCTGACTCGTTCGTGTCGATGACCAGATAGGAAGGTTGCGGATGCCCGACAAATTTTGGGTTTCATTTTGCGTTGTCGGGTAGTGCACTTCAGGGCTGGCTGTCAACCATATCGAAGCTATCACTCCTCCGGACCCACCTAACTTTTGGGCGCTTTGTTCGTCAAACAACCCTGGTCAGGGAAGCCATGTGCGGGGCCTGCTCTCTAGGCTTTAGAAGTTCACCATGTCTAGACGTCAGTCTTCGGGCATGCTGCCTCACGTGAGTTTTGAAAAAGGAAGATAGAAGTCGACAGATCGTTATCGATGACAAGTTTTCAGTCTTTCAATTAGTCTCGATATCTCACTGTGATCCCGTCAAGTCTCAACAGAATAATATTTGTTAATTCCAAGTCACCAAAGCAAATAGGGCTGCATCAATTTTAACCATCATTCCTCAAACCTTGTCATGTATGAAGACATCACCAAGCCACCAAAGGCTCTACCTAAGCCGGATCCCCAAGAGATCAAGCCAGGTCTGACTATTCAGGCTCCGCTGACTCGGTGTGGAAAGAATGGTCCTGGCATCATTACCGTCGTTGCAGACATCGAAGACAAGACCAGAACACACCTTGATGGCGCCCCCTCATTAATTCTCAAATGGGCGGAAGAAGGATACACCGTGGCTGAGATCCAAACTTCTGCTCTGCGTTCAGATGAGGGACTCCTGCAGCAGGCTGTGACCGCTCTTCGCCAGTGCGAGAAATGCGATGGAACAGAGAGAATCGGACTTGTTGGTACGTTCCAGCCCTGCTTGCCTTTGCTAGACGATGGGGATGAAGTCGCTTCTAACAAAATGCCTAGTGTATGACCATACTTTGCTGTCACAGATCGCTGGAGTGATATCCAACGTACCCGAGATCGCGGGGATCATCATCTACACAGACTCAACGACTGAGCAGCAACAACTTCCCGTCCCAACATTACTGCATATTGCCGGAGCACAGCCGCAAAATTCGCCTACGCAACAGCCAGGCAGTAAAGATCGCAAATACTACTATGCAACTCTTAAATCTGCAAGCTTTGCCACACCTTTCACTCCAGAATTCCACTACAACTCTGAAGCCGTCTCGCACACTCGCAATCTGACGTTCCTCAAGCCTCAAGTCGGTGGTCCGTATTTTGACCTCGAGACGATATGGGACGAACACACTTACTATGAGTTTGCCGATCGATCTGTGCAGCACACCATGAGTACCATGGTGCAAGAGCCATATGTCAACCACGTCCCAACAGTAAATATCATCGTCCTCTAACAAGAAAACCGTACTGATTTTTCCCAGCTCACTGGTGGCGTAGGTCGCGACAGATTGTCGACTTTTTATCGCGATAGCTTCATCTTCAGTAACTCCGCAGATACCGAACTGGAACTGATCAGTAGAACCATTGGTATTGATCGCATTGTTGATGAATTTATCTTCAAGTTCACCCACACACAGGAGGTCCCATGGTTGTAAGTTCAAGAATCTTCCTCCATGAAATGCTTTGTCGCCCGTCTAATCTCTTACCAATATCTTCAGGGTCCCTGGTATCCCAGCAACAAATCTTCCACTTGAAATTCCCTTCACCGCAGTAGTGAATATACGAGGCGATCGACTTTATCATGAACACATTTCCTGGGATCAAGGCACAGTATTGCTTCAATTAGGCTTGCTGCCGGAATACTTGCCCTTCCCACATCCTCTGCCTGGTGTTGCTGCTGGGACCAAGGTCGAGTATAAATTGCCCGTCGCTGGCTTGGATGCCGCACGGAAGATCCGAGATCGGAACTCGGTTCTCTCTAATCAGTTGATGGAGTACAAGGTCCGGACCGAAGGGGTGGGCAGTTGAGACAACGTGAGTCGTATCGAGGTCAGGATTGTGGAAGTGATGTTGAATTTGAGCTGAGACTGCATGTAAAGATCTTCATAAGTCGACAGGGGCGCTTAAGAAGGACTCGGACATTACACGTCCCCAGCAAAGTATGAAAAGTCAGCAAAATGCCCCTGGTCAGATGTTGAGAGACATGGCAGAGTGTAAGTCAGTAGGTTGGGCAGGCGTTTACCGTTACCGTACAACAATAACACGGCTGAAGAGATAGATCAAAATGTCATGACATACCTGCGCCTTCAGACAGCCCCACTGGTGTAAAGTCGCACTCTTGGAGAGACTGGTCGAAATTGCTAGTATCTTGTGGGTGTCTGATCGTGGGCTTGAACGGGACTTCCACTCTCTTATGGTATACATCGTCCCAGATAATATCCTTGAAAAATCGATGCGACATAATCTCTTGTGCATCCATGGGTCCACTCCCAAGTCTACGCTCAGGTTTCTTTTGCAGTAAATTTTGCAGAATAGACTTACCTTCCGGGGACAGATTGCTCGTCATTGTCGGCTGATCATCCAGAATAGCATCATAGATCTCGTCCTCATCATCTCCTGGGAATGGAGTAGAATAGCAGAGCATCTGGTAAAGCATTATACCAAAACCCCACCAATCCACAGCACGACCATAGGGCTCATCCAAAAGGACTTCAGGCGGCAATCGCTCATTAGTGCCACAGAAAGTATGGGTTCTGGAATTGTGCCACATATCCTCTTTGCAATACCTGTAGTCGCTGATCATAATGTGGCCTTCGAGATCCAAGAGAATGTCGCTGAGCTTCAAGTTGCGGTGAATGATGCCATGCTCATGTAGATATTTGAGTGCCAGACAGATCTCGGCGGCATAAAACTGAGCCTGTTCAAGACGAAAGCGTACTCCGCGCTGAATATGTAGCAAGAGATTGCCACCAGCTACGTAGTTCACAAGGAAGAAGAGCTGATTTTCGGTCTGGAAACAGACATGCATGTTGAGAAGGAACGGGTGACGATCCTTGTTGGCAAGAAGCAGCACGCGCTTCTCAATTTGAACATGGTTCGTCTCGTTGTAGGAGATGATAGACTTCTTCTGCAAGGATTTTACTGCATACAACTTCTTCGAGGTCTTGCTCTCTGCTAACAGGACTTCATTAAAAACACCAACACCAAGCAAGGCTAAGAAGTTCAAGTCATCGACGCCGATATGCTCGTCCTCCAGTCCAGTGGTTAGCATAGCCATCTTGTGATCTGATATGGGTGGAAGGAAATGACTGAAGACCGAGTTGTTACCAAAGACAGAGCCTCGCTTGCTTGAATGGAAGTGAGGAAGCAGAACACAACAAAGCCCCTGCATTTCGGCCCCCTTAGCCGCCTCTAGCAATCTCACGTGACTGCAGCCTCGAGATGCCAAGACATCTCCAACTCTTGTAGGCCCATCCGCCAGGTCATGGCGCAAACGCAGGCCAAATATTCGACGACAGCATCAAAATTGAGGACGAGGACATTCGACAACACCAGGACAGTCCCTCAAATAGCAACACCGGTTCTGCGACCAAGATCTATTCCTCATCCCCGACCAAGCCCCGGGAACCACAGTGACCCGAAATTTTTACGCCGGCTAACGGCCCTGTGAAGCAAGATGAAGCTCGTTAGGTACGTCTCTGTTTGAAACTGGTATTGCGTTGGGTTGCAAAGACCAGTCGTTCCGCTGGAATACCGCCGACATCGATACAATCTCCATAGAAAACGAGAGCTAATCCTACTTTGCATGTCCAGATTTCTCATGAAATGCGCCAATGAGTCGGTGACGATCGAGTTGAAAAATGGCACCATTGTTTCCGGCACAATCACCTCGGTCTCACCTCAGATGAACACGGCACTACGCGCGGTGAAGATGACCATCAAAAACCGACTCAACCCATTAACACCGGGCGAGACGATTCAATTGGACACAATCAACATTCGAGGAAGCACAATCCGATATTTCATCCTACCAGACTCGTTACCGTTGGACACGCTCTTGATTGATGATCAACCCAAGCCCAAGAACAAAGCGAGGAAAGAGCAAGAAGGTGGTGGTACTGGTGGTAGAGGAGGACGAGGAGGACGGGGTGGTGGCAGAGGCCGTGGTGGCCCTGGTGGTAGAGGCCGAGGCCGAGGACGCGGAAGAGGTTTCTAGGCTATGCTGGACACATACAAAAGGGCACAAATCGGGAGTCACGATGGGAGGTTTTGCAGTTCAGAAAAGTTCCAATCCACATGGACGGCGTCACGGTGCTACACGCAAATTTTCCTGGGAGGAGAAAGTCAGGCGGGATTGGTCTTGACCAAGGACTCAGAACCAACCTGCTTTTGCAACGATCTGCATTCTAGATGCCTTGCTCAAGCACCTTCCTATCCGAGCTCCGCCCGTCTACCAGCAGCGCACTATCTGGAAATGATTATGAGTGCAATGCCATGGACGTCAATCTAAAACAAGCACGACTTGATGAGTAAAGACAACCCGAAGAATATTGGGTAGTGGCGACACGATACTAGGTCGCGAAAGCACAGCCATATAATATGTATGGATCGAGCTGGGTTTTCTATTCCTGCTGAAGCTGCCGATTAAACAGCTGTTTAGCACACAAACAAAAGATTCCAAAAACGACACGGTTGAGTCACTATCTTATCTTGATTCCATCTGCCATTACTCGTCTCGATCATAAATACGTCACGATGCGTTTACACAGATTACTTGTACAGGTAGTTAAGTAGTCGTGCAATTCACATTACACAGCACGACCGATCTTGGGCGACGACACCAGAGCAGTAGTGTCCCCCATATCATGCAAAGAGACAACCTCGCCGGCCTTACTTCTCGGCTCGACGAACCTCGGGTCGTGGTCGTTACTCTGTAGTTGCGATGATTTGCCGTATTGGCGACGAGAATTCTCGTTTCTCGTCCTCCGACCAGACGCGGCTTCGCTCGCAATGTGCCGGCCTGTCTTGTAGAGGGCTCTGATGGCAGGGAGACACGAGCAGATGATCGCCGTGTTAGTTTCGGCCGATGTCCAGATCACGACGTCCGAGTTCTCATCTGTGGGTTCAACAGCGTTAGGCATGGATGGATCAAGCAAGGGCGAGCGTGACCTACATAAGGGATCGATCGAGTTTACGCCAAACTGTGCGAGAAACCGTAGCCTGACGATAGATGTTATGCATGCACTGTGTCGTGGTTTAGTAATGATGAATGATAAGTCCGGCATTTCGGATCTCGACTTACAATATTCCCACTTGGAACATCACAATCAATCCTATCTTCTGCTGCAAGTCGAGCTTTAAATGAAGAAGCTCCGGGATTGGCAACGCCAAAATGACAAAATCTTGCGCTATGTTGATACCTGCATGTGCGTAGGTCAAAGCGTTGACGTTGATGCACTTCGGATTGTGAATTGTCTTGTCCCAATTGTACTGAACCGGAAGGCATTGTAACAATTGTAAGAGCATGATGATGGTCGCTGGAAGGATGACGAATCCAAGTCCCAACTTGCCCCAGATTTGAAATCGACGAGATGGGAAGATTCGAAGGTAGAACAAAAGGAGGGAGACTTTCGTGAGTAGAAGGGTGAGCACATAGAACGTCTCGCCAACCCAGACTACAGAATTAGTAGTGAGGAGGATGTAGGGGGAATATCACATACATAATTGCATGATTTTAGTGACATTGGACGCTGATACGTTCCAAGTATTCTTTCCAAGACCATGAGTACTCACTGTTTGCTTGTTAGTGGCCGTAACAGCTAAACGCAAAGAGAGCAGACTTACTCCAGCCGACGAATATGATGTTTGGAACGAGAAAGACCTAGTCACCTCAGCTTTTGCTTCTCGCGGTATCAGTATCTGGAACCAACTCACCACGGCCGCCAACATGGCAATATCATCGTTGTATATCGTTTTGCTGATGAGATATCTGGAGAGAAGACGTAGCACGACTGCTATAAAGGCTAATGTGGCGAGGACGAGATGGATCGTCACAATCTCAGATGCCCTCGATTGTGGCTTCACATCACAGACCTGCTGCTGGAGTGTTCCCAATGCTATTTTGATCAATAGGTGTTCTTATCTTGATGTCGAGATCTCACATACCTAGTGAATCGGCCAAAGTGCAATTGCTCAACATACATGCTGACGTTTCAGCTGTAAGTTGTTCGTTTTTACATTGGCAGTTGATATCCGTCAGTGAACAGTTCTCTGCAGCAAAAGTATTGAGAAGGCATGTCAACTAAGTTTGTAAGTTAGCACGCTGTCTGAGGTGATGAAGCGAATACTCATACAGTGCATTGCGACAGAGCACTGAAATCGACTTGTGCTGCATGGCTCGCTGAGATCCAGCTCAACAGCGCAAAAGGAACCAGCAAGACACTCAAGAGCTTCATCTGAGATACTTTGAGGTAGCCGAAAGCACCCGTTTCTAGAAGACTTCTAGAGCAACGGCCAGGTTCGAGCCGTGGATGCTGCGCGGTAGCAACAACGGTGGCATGGCGGTTGTACTTAAGATTTTCACTTGCCGTAAGAGAACCAGCGGTGCTCACATGTCCAGGGTCGCCTCACAACTGCAAGGCCTCGTCTCGGGAGGATTGCGCATCTCCCGGGACCACTTTGGAAGAACGATAGCTCATAGTAGTTACTGTGGAAGGCCTTGCGGATGGCTTACCGCAACGATGGGCCACTTGATCGGCAGGTGAATGTCCACAATATCTCCGTCTTCTCCTTGATCTCTCATCTGCACTGGGTCTTTTGGAGCGTTCCTGCGAGTGAGCTTTAGGCCCTGTACGAAAAGAGTATGCTCTGGACCTGGCGGTCAGGCATGCTGGCTAAGAAAGGTATGAAGTGGTTCTCTAGAGCGCACTCAAAGCATTGGCAAACGCCCAAAAAGCACTTGTGATGCCCAATGGTTTATCCACTTCGGGGGCTTTTGCACATCAGCCAGGGGAGCGATCAAGAAGATTGGCTCAAGCCGCAGGGCTCCACGTGGTGCAGCCTTGGAATCCTCGCTTCGGGGTGAATTCGGGGTGCCAAGCGAGTCAAATGGTTCGTGTGACAGCCCAGGGTGACAGGCGCATCCCGGCTATAAGGTTCGCCTATCTGGCTGATCTTCAAGGAGTGGCTTGCGCAGTGAACGTACGAAGTACCTCGTACGAAGTAGTGGGCGTGGTTAAGTTAGTGGGTAAGTTCCTGGAGAGGGCTTGGGTGTGTTTCGAAGAAAAACTCGACTTTCTTCATCCCCGTCGATGCTGACGTTCTTACTTCTTGATGAAACATTTGGCCCCTATGATCCCCCTGCTGTTACCAGGTTGTCTTCTTACATCGAGAGGAGGCCTGCAGAGTGAATGAAAGGCGCCAAAAATTTAACACTGACAGAACTACGCCTTACCCTTCATCCATTAATTATTTTTCTGCTATCGAGGTTCAACCATACGGATGTGATGATCGAAAAGAATTGACTCTATATCTATAGATTCGCTCGACGTCACGGACCAGTATCATGGAGTCTTCCTTATTCTCAACGCTGGGCTTTGCAGAGATGGAGATGATCAGACCACCTCTGACTAGTCATGAAAGGTAAGGATAATGGGGTAGAGACCAAACGCAAAAGGCTCTAGGACGCCTGTGATCCCCTCCAAGTAATCAATCCTACAGGACCCACGCTCCTCAATACCCGTAAGCAATGCTTACTGCTTGACACATGTGTCTCATATACGGCACTGAGGATGCAAAGTCGATCTACCTACAACAGACTTTAGCCTATGTTGGAGAGGGATGGCGCAACAGCGCCTCTTCACAGACACAGCAGTGTCACTAAACAATCTTAACTTTTGGTTTCTATTCTCACAAGATATGTGCTGGAGTATCATGATGTTCACCAGCAATATTCAACCTAATATTCGCATCTGATACGCCCTCTCTCCCACAAGGTCGACCTCTCACCAGCTCTTGTGGACATCCCCAATTGACTTTTTTGTCAATGTTGGAAACAGTTACTGAAGCACCCGTTGTACCACCTCCCATTTCCGAGTGGAATCTCCGAAACTGTTTGAGACTGGGAAGCACCACGCACTGATAAGGTTGACACTCCATCTTGTGCTGATATCTTCAAGAGTTGTCAAGATTCTGCATGTATGGACTGCTTTCCAAGGCTACCAGCAGGAGAAAATAGGCCTTTGCTAGCTACTGGCTCAGCGCTGAGCTAGAGGGCTACCACCATGCATACGACATTCCTCAACCACTACTATCTAATCAGTTTTAGACATTACGTCATTCACAATCATCTGCTGCAAGGCTCTTATCTCAGGAGTAGTGAAAAATCATGGCATCGAACGAGGAAACTGATGGTTTTTCGCATTCCAACAGGCTTTGATCAATTCCCAAACTAGACGACGACATGAGTTACTTATAGAACATCACTACAATCTTCGTCTACGATGAATGCCCCTGGAGGAGTATCGTCACAGGAACTTTGACACAGCGAATCGCAGATTTTGACGTGTGTGTTAGGGCCTCTCAGGAAGCCTCGCTACCTACAAGTTGATCTTGCTTCATTCATCACAAATCACAGCAGCTATCATCTCTGGCTGGAACCAATCCTGCACAGGTTTCTGTTTGCTGATTTAGCACTAATGTCAGTGAGAGTAGCTTTGACTTTTCTTGTTGTTCCAAAGACTAGGCAATCTCCCAGTAAGAACTTAAATGGCTGCAACATCTCATTACTGATCGGGTAAGTTGCAAGCTCTTCGCTGGAACATATCCGCATCCACAGCAAGAACCACCACCTTCTTTATCCTAGACATCTATTTACTTGCCTTATTCCCAAAGAAGTCATCTTTTACTCTCACGCTATTGATGGCAGCTACCTCGGTAAACAGAGTCGTATCATGATGCAGGGGGCCGTAAGACGCAAGTCTTTTTGGTGGCAATTATTATCCGAGGCTGCACTAGCTATTGGTCGCCATCCCACCAGGGGATCTCTGTGACCTGGTTTAATACCAGATAACACTTTCTCAATCTATCATTCACAACCTGAATACAAGGACACACAGATCTAGACCTAGTATCCACCGGGAATGAAGTGCTGCATCTCATTCTGACCAGCATCTGTTAGCTGCTATTGCTTCGTCAGAGCTGACAACCCCGCCGCCTACACCGACCCCGTGTTCTGAACTTTAAGTGCTCGTGATTGGTCACACCAGACTTTCTTTACAATTCAAACACGAACCTGATAGCTTTTGGAAAGTCGCCGGACAAGTATAAAGTATCCGCTCTCCCCGGGTACGACTCAGCTGACACGATGCATCAACTCGACAAAATTCTTCACGCCAGGATTGTGTCTTTTTACTCAATATAACTAGCGAGGTAAATAACGAAGACTATTCGGAACAGTTCTTTCTATTTCTCATCTTCCAACATTCTCTTGCTCGCGACAGATCACCGACCATGTCAATAGAAATCCAGACTGCTTTTGGCCATGCATTGCCACCAGCGCCTCGACATGCTATCACCACACATGTCCCGACCTGGAGATCACTCGAGCGGTTTCGAGACCATGACCCAGAGCTCATGGGCTCCTTCAAGAGCATGTATCCTCGCTTCTGGATACATCCTGATATTTTGCAAGTGAGTAGCGAACCCCAGGCAATAAGAGCCAGCAGAAAGCTTCGCGTCCAACGCAAATATTCATTGACGTTGTCATCCCTAGTTGTCCGCGAAGATTATCGAATTCTCGGGAGAGAAAGAGAAAGCGTGCTTCATCTTCCCTTCACTGCAAACTGCTCAAGACGCCATTGGATACTCTACTTCCCAGAGGAGAGGTAAAGATGCAGTCTTGCGTGATCACATCACGATACGTATTTTCATAGCACAACTTCCAATGTTCGTGGTCTTCTTTCCCCCACCTTCAACGGGCGTTGTGCACGGCTTCTGGGTCCATGCAGGATCTGGGATCTCCTCGCGATTTGCGGAAGAAACTTTGAAGCACCTGGACACTCTCAAGGAAGTGCAGGCTGGCGATCCAAGTCTCAGCAAAAGAGCTGATAGTCCAGCTCATGTCACTTTGCGGCAGAGAATTGCAGGACTTCTCGAACGTGCTCCTGCTGATCCACCACGGGACAACAAAGTCGGCGAGAATGATGTTTATCTCTTTCAGACAGGCATGTCTTCGATTTATTGGGTTCACCAATACCTACTCAGCAAGTTCAATGCCTCCAGTGTCTTGTTCGGATTTGCGTTTCACTCAACCATTCATATCCTCGAGGACTATGGCCCAGGTTATGAGTTCCTAGGTCTAGGCACAGACGATGAGATTGATAAACTTGAGCAACATCTCTCATCACTTTCGGAACAAGGCAAGACTCTCCAAGCCATTTGGGCGGAATTTCCATCGAATCCATTGCTTGTGACGCCGAACCTTTTTCGACTGCGAAATCTTGCAGACACGTACCAGACCCTCCTTATTATCGACGACACAATTGGTAGCTTCTGCAGTGTGGATGTCCTTGGAGTCGCGGATATTGTGGTCTCCTCATTGACAAAAACATTCAGTGGGTACGCCGACGTGATGTCAGCTTCTGCCGTTCTGAACCCGTCCTCGAAAAGATATGCGGAACTGAAAGAGCTTTTTGACGACAAGTACACCAACAATTTCTTTGCGGGTGACGCAGAGACTCTCGAGCAGAACAGCCGCACTTACCTGGAGCGTTCTGCGGTTGCTAACAACAATGCTGAAGCCGTGGTGAACTATCTGCAGAGTAAAGCCGCAGATACAAACAGCCGAGTGAAGCAGGTATTCTACCCTACTGTCTCATCCTCACTGAATAATTACACGCCATTCATGCGAAAGCCCACCGCGGAATTCAAACCAGGCTACGGAACACTCCTGAGTGTGGAGTTCGACACGTTGGAGGCGACACGGACTTTCTATGACAACTTTCACGTGCATCAAGGGCCACACTTTGGAGCACATCTGACCTTGACGATGGGCTACACCATAGGGATCTATGGCACCACGCTAGACTGGGCAGCCAAGTATGGTCTCAGAATCGAGCAAGTTCGTATAGGAGTAGGCTTGGAGGAGACGCAGGAACTATTGAACGTGGTCAAAACGGCTGTGGACGCTGCAGATGCTTTGGTCAAGAGCTAATTCAGACGAGAGTGAATGTGATAGACTCGCATCCCAATCAATGGCGATATCCTATCGACAGCTTCAATTTTTATTCGAAATATACTTACCACCAGCCACACGAGCCTGCAATTTTGTGACCTGATCATCCTGGACCCTCAAATATTCCTCAAAGCTCGCACGATAAGTATCAAACATCTCCGAGAACAGGGGCTTCCGATCCGTCCAGCCGGTCAGTCTCCGTATCTTCTCACTGCCCACCCACTGAGAGAAGCCAAACAACCAATCCACAAAATCCACGCCGGGAGCATCCAACGACGGAAACCCAGCCCATTTGACCTTCAAGCCATACGACTTCTCGATCTCCCGCCCTACCTCCGCCGCGGTCTCGTACCTGTGGCTCGAAATATTGAAGACCTGGCCCGTGACCACGGCCCTCTCGCTCGTCGCGATCGCCACGTACGCGGCCGCGACGTCGTCGCCGTGCGTGCCGTGCATGACACTGCGTGGATCCGACGGCAGCGTGAGCTCCGCGAGCCCCGCGTCGACGGCCTGCTGCGCCAGCGTGAAGATCGGCGCGTAGTAGGTGCCGGTGCGGCCGTAGAAGGTGGTCGGGCGCGTCAGCACGGCGTCGAAGTCGGCGCTGTGGTCGAAGATCCTCTGCGAGTGTTTCGTGCGCAGTGCCAGCTGCGGCGGCCCGTTGAGCGGCGACTCCTCCGTGTGCGGCTGCAGGTCTGCGTGGCCGTCGTACGCCGTCGTACCGTAGTCCTTGCAGCCGCTGGTGAAGATGACGAGGGGCCGGGCGCGCGCGCTGCTCTCGTTCTTTTCCTTGACGGTGCGGTAACGTGCCGCGATGGCTTTGAACAGCTTGATCGAGTCCTCGAAGTGGCCGACGTAGTTGCTGATGTCTTCAGTCGTGGATGCCACGACGTCGATGGCTGGGAGAGTCGCAACGAACGATGTGTCCGCTGCGGATCCGATCACCGGGATGATTTCATCTCGCAGCAGCCCTGGCGCGTGTCTGGCGTCGCGGATCAGGCCGTAGGTCTGCCAGCCTGATATTGCGAAGATTCGCGCGGCCGCGCTTCCCAGGAAGCCGTTGGCTCCGGTCACGAGTACTGTTCGTGGTGCCATGTTTGGTTCACCTTATGACAGATTTGAATCCATAGCGCTGATACTCGCCCTGGAGGTACCCTAGTCTTAAATACTACTTACATTGAATCCCATGACTGATCCCCGGATGAATTAATAATATGATTGAACTGGAACTTGGTCTGCAGTGGTGAGGCTTTCGGCTCCTAACCGTTTGCAGCCAAAACCCGAGGTATATACGACAATATGAATTCACAGCCATCTGAATTTACCCTGCAGTGACGACTTAGCGTGGATTGTTAAGAGCTCTCATTCTTACACGTATAGTGGGCTGATGCTTGACGTATTTAGATCTATGAGCTCTTGCGGCGATACCAAGCACTCGTCTCCCCGAAGGCGAGTACGCACATGCGTATGCCCACTCGTTTTCTTTTTCAGCACGTCGGCGGCTAGTAAGAGGTTATACCGATTGTGCAGTTCTCCCCAGTCCCTAAACTGGAATCTGACAACAACCATACTTAAAACATAGAACAAGCGTTACGTGATTGGGTACCTCGTGGACAGCCTATTCAATAGTCCTCCACCTCAGCATACTCTCCCGGAAAATCACTGAGGTCGAAGAACACGCGTATCGTTGATATTGGGAGGATGGTTTGAGACGGCCCTGGTGTCCGCTCGTAATCAAGAGGTGGTGCCCCAATAACCCATCCGCAAATGATTCGACTGTCTTTCATGCGCATTTCATATGTGAGTGTGATATTACTATTTGGCTCTGGTGAGGCATGCGTCTTGTAGGACAGTACGAAGCTTGTAAAATCCAATATATAACTCCTGAACTCTGTGGTAATGTTTGTGAATTTTGATTTACCATGACTTGGCATCATGCATGGGCCATCGGGCTCACCCCAGCAATCATGTCCCAGTCTAAGTGACTGCCATCGTGAAATTCGTGTTTGCCCTGCAGAGTAGGAATAGATGGGTACCACTCGGTAATCCCCAAGGGGTAATATCATGTAGTGGTAGGTCTGAACGGGCTCATAGTACAGTCGTACATTCAATTGGGCCAGCAGGTCGAGAAAAATAGTTGCAGGAAGACCGTAGTAAAGGATTACAGTCTCGGCGAGATGGATAGATAGCTGCCATTCGGAGCCGTGCGGATGCATACAGACAATTTGAAGAAATTCACTCACCTTTATTATAGCATTCGTCAGTCGAAGTGTTCTCAGACGTTTGACTCTCAGCAATCGTAGGTCTATCTCGAGGTCCAAAACAAGGCTATCGAAGTCTATGGGTTGAGTGTGGTCTAGGGTGCTACCACTGCCAGGCGCTGGAGTTGTATGCGCTACATCGAGAGGATCATCTGAATCGTCTGGCATATCCGAAGTGGCCATCCGGTCCGAGTTTTGCCGAATGAGGTCCGCCAGATCAGGCCAGGGGTCTTCAAGCTTGACTTGGATATCAAGGTCGTAGATGCTCGGGAATGACCGAATCCATGATATACTATCTGTAAGAGCTACCCAGAGAGGATAACCGAGTCTCGTGTCATTGCAGGTCACACTATACCGCAGTTTCAGCATCAAAGTCTCAATATGGTGGCAAGAGGGCCACATATCCCTGTAAATCTGATTAAATTTCCTAGCCTCTAAATCAATTGTCAAATCTGTGACCGTGGGACAACAAGCGGCAGCTTCGAGCAAGCTATGGAGAGTGCCGAGAGTGCGAACGTGTTTGTCTTTGGGAGCCCGCCAGTGGGGACGACATGCCCATATGCTTGCGCGCTGCGAAATACGGTCGTCATTCTGGAACCGAATCCTGAAGCAAGGCTCTGACCTACGCGATTCCAATCCATAATCCTCAGGAATTATAATCTTGTGACAGTTAACAAGGTTGTTCAGTGCATCTGCGATGATGGCAACAGAGAATGAGTCCAAGGGTCGCTCGCGTGGGGTCTCAGTTCACAGTAGCGTCGAAAAAGTCGCAAAATATTGGGATGGGTCACACCTTTCAACAAGGATTGATATCGATCATACCATGTCGCAGAATCCAAGGCTCCGAGTAGCAGCACCATTGGGTTCCATACCACCCTTTCCACTAGTGTTGCATATGAGCTCTGAGAGATCGCGATCAAGCCTGCCCAACATTTCTCGAATTCATTGAGGTACAAGATAGAGAATAGTGGTTTAGCTCCAAGGATTGACCACTCTCGGCAGACCAGCCGAAAGGCCTTCAGGTGTAAAGGTCCAACTGATTCGAGGATACGCTCCATTATTTCCCACGGTAACAGCGGGAGAGGCTTTGGTGGGGCACTATCGATCTGTTGCGATGACAGTGGTGGGCTCTTTCTTTTAACCGGCTGAAGAGACAGCAGTGTTTGTCGAAAGGGCTGGGAAGACACATCGCTACAAGCGAAGAGGAATGTGATGTAACTTACGTGGTTGTGGCCTGAACATAGATGACACAGCGCCCAAGGACATAGGACCATGGTGCCTTATCACACACAGGTGGCACTAACTTGCTTCACCGCATTGGTAGCCTGAGGAAGATTGATTGCTCACTTACTCGTAGTATTCAATTTGCTTCAATGTGCTAAATTTAGGCTGGATTAGTGACAAGTGGTAGAGTGCATGTACACTCCACCGTATTGGTGCATCTGTGGAGCTATGCTCCGATCTAAACTTTTTGCCTGGACTTGAAGCTGGGTGCGCAGGCAGAGCGAAGGCCTCTACGAGGACTGCTCCAACCATTTTCAAATCCACAGATGCTGTATACATGTCGGGTGATACAGCAGCGCATCACACTATGGCGTCGACCGATACCCTTGTCGCAGCTGCGGCGCAGTATCTTGACACTTGCAATCGAATCGTCCTGTGATGATACCTGCGTGGCCATCCTATCGAAACAGAAGGGACGGGCAACCATACATTTCAATGAGAAAATCACCAGCAAAAACACGGGCAAGGGTGGAATCGTTCCCCTAGAGGCTTTACTCAGCCATCAAGAGCACATGTCCCAACTCGTGGACACATCTTTGGCATGGCTTCCACCGGTCGAATTGGAGACATGCAGTTCAAAGATAATGCACCTTCAAAATGGGGAGCGCAAGCGGAAACCCGACTTTGTTTCGGTCACGCGAGGGCCTGGAATGCTGAGTAACTTGAGCGTCGGTGTCAACACAGCCAAAGGACTTGCTACGGCATGGCAGGTACCTCTGGTAGGAGTTCATCACATGCAGGCACATATGCTTACTTCACGATTGGTGGATGCGATGAGAACCGATCAGAACGAGTCAACCTCGACCATGCCGGAATTCCCATTCCTTACATTGCTGGTTAGTGGAGGACATACGATGCTCGTCTACTCCAAGGGCTTGGTTGAGCACGAAATCATTGCCACAACTGGGGACATTGCGGTCGGCGATGAATTGGACAAGTGCGGACGACTCATCTTACCCAAGCATGTACAAGACTCCTTGCCAGACACCGGATATGCCAAATACCTATCAAAGTATGCGTTTGAAGGTTACAACTTCGAGGAATGGCTCATACCGAAATCAAGATCTGATGAGCTTGACATGTCATTGAACCAATTCGGGTGGAAAATACCCATTCCATTGGTTCGCACTAGAGATCTGGCATTCAGCTTCGCTGGCATATCGAGTTCGGTGAAACGAATTCTGGACAGTCGAAGCGTGAGCGAGGAAGAGCGACTGGCGCTGGCAAGATCGACGATTGGCGCAACATTCGATAGTATGGGTTCTCGCATCATTATGGCGTTGGAGATGCTGCGTGACCGTCAAGTCGAAATATCTACGCTCGTGGTTAGTGGAGGCGTGGCAGCCAACGACTTCCTGCGGTTTCATCTACGGCGGACACTTGATGTGAGAAAGATGGGACACGTTGGCCTCAGTTTCCCACCGGTGGAATTGTGCACGGATAACGCGGCCATGATTGGATGGGCAGGGATTGAAATGTTGGAGGCAGGGTATACATCCGATTTGGCATTCCATCCCCGACGCGCCTGGAGCATGGATAGCGAATCTGAGGAAGGAGGCATTTTGGGCGGGGGAGGATGGAATAGGGCTGGGATGGAGTAAATAAAAATCCATATCAGGAAATCAGAAAAGCAGAAAACCCTTGGAAAAGGACACGATCCCACCCCAACTGGAGGTATGATACGAGTCCGTCTTGACTCTGGAGTAGCATTCTCGTGTGCACGTGGTTGAGATTTCCATCAATTTCAAGCACGCGCCGTCGCCGTCCGTATCCGAAGAGGTGTTGATTGGGTGATAGACTTCACCAAGGCTTTCAAAATACGACGCGTGTTGATTGGACGAGAATACGAAGCAAGAAGCAATGCGGGAAGTTGAGAAAGCACAGCCATGAGTCACCTGTCAAAAACTAATCCGTGCTCCGTCCGCCGTGACAGAAGGATAAGGTAGGTGGATCCGGAGCCGTCACAGAACTTCCGGAGTGGAATGGAATGATAGGTGAAGAGTGACTGGCTTTGTGAGAAAGGAATCCATCTCCAGGGCTGTGAACCTTTGGCGAAAATGCACCATCATTGATTGATTGCGGCAGTGCAAAGATAGAACCAAGCTTTCGCGGATCCTTGCGGGTAGAATGGAGAATGGTTACAAGGAGTGTTGGAGGTGTTTCCCACCAAGCACCTGATTATTATTGTTTTGGTTTTGATCAAACTGTTCATACCTGCATGAAAGTTTCGAGCGACATGCTGTTAATAGTTCGGTATTGATACCTCGACCGGTGAGCATCCAAGGTACCGCTAAAGCCGATGTGTGACTGGATGAAAAGCGATACCGAGGGACTGTAAGGCCACCCGTAGCTCCTGAGTAATGACGTTTGACTTGTGCTTGTAAAACAACTACTGCTGGACGGTTTTAGCTTTCATTCGCAAAAAAGTGGCACGATGGGGAGTCGGGTTGTGGCCCTCAGGCACCAAAATATTTTTATCACGGACCACAGAGTGTTGCATTTCCTAGAAGGGCTTCGATAACTCCCGTCATTTTGACTTTCGAAGCGGTACGTCTTTCCCCCGGTCCGACCACGTGATACCATCCACCAAACTTAGCGGGGCTGTGAGTGGTGCAAAGGCATTGCGCAAGGCTGACTGGCACTGAGATCACCAAAGGCCAGTGGAGCCCAAGCTTCGTACACCCTGCAACTTCAAAAGGTGCGGACTTGGTATCTGTACTCGTATCATTTGGTAAGCAGTAGTGGCAGGCCCCAGGACTTGCAACTTGATATGTCATCGGCCAGTCTGTTCGTAGGTATCTACCTAGGCATTACAACTTCAGTCTGCAAGGAGAAGTTGAATACTCATCTTATCTGGGTGCCTGTGTATGGCGACGACAAAACGACTGTTGATGACCAGTGAGATATCAGACAAATCTTGTAGTCCATGCTGTGCGTACATGAGTGCTTTACAAAAGATGGCAATGTCAGATCAATTTAACTGCCAGTGAGGCAGAGTCGCCAATGGACTCGGAGGTCAAAGCATCGCTACGGCCGACATCACTCAAGTTGTGGCCGAGCAGAAAGAACGAATACTAGGAGAAACAGTCTTTTGAAATTAGTATTGTCACTGGGGGGGGATTCACACCCCGAACCCAGCATGGAGACAAGAAAGACTGTGTACCACCCGTATGCATATTACATGCCGCGCCACTTTGACACCAGAAGTAAAGAGAAACATTTGGGCAAGCACGACACAGGAAACCCCCCCCCCCTGCACCTGCCAAGAAATTGAACAGGCAGCAGTCGCAACTTCAACTTCCTCACATCATGCCTGCTAACCCGCCCATGACTCTCCATCTCTCTCTCTCTTTTCATTTCCTGATCCTTCAACTCTCCCTCTTTGCCTTGTGCTTGCTCAATCCGGACATAAGGCCACAATTCCAGAGACATTCGTCCTGAGTTGTTGCCACTTGGCCTGAGGTTGTGACCAATTCACCATCTCCCCCCAACTTCAACTTCACCTCATCATCGTATCTGGGTATCTCTTGCTCATCAAAGGACAGTGTGTATTCAATACATCACTCTACCAATAAACGAACACTTGTGCACACCTCAACCCCTCGACCTTACCTATCGCGGCCTTTCAAGCGTCTGCTGTGACCCACTGGCACTGCCCGAGAAGCCTCACTCCTCCAACAACGAACCGATATCACTCTTGAACAACCACCTCTCCTTTGCGCCCGGTTTTTATCACCAATCGATATCCACTCCTACCAACAGACTCTGCCGCACTAGCAAAGAGTAGTCTCGAATCCCACATCAAAAGAACAAGGAATACCTTCACCTGTGAGTTAAATCAACACTTGGTCTCGTACTGTCCAACCGTTTTGGTCGATATTCATTGGAACGGGTGAGTCATAAGCCACGGAGAACTCTTCAAAGTCATCCAATAGACCGGATGCTAAACCTTGGATTAGCACCTTGCGTGTCATCTGCAACTCGTCTCGGCTGTCTCCTCTCCTCAAATACCAACCATGTCTTCCTCAACCATGCCACCTCCTCCCACTCCCTTCTCTCATCGTCGGTCACATCGAGTCATCACCACAAATCTTCCTCAGTCTCCACCCGCTTCTCCAGAGTCATCAGCATGCATACTGCGTAAGATGTCCTTGTCCAAAGGTGCCACATTCCACTATTCTTCATCTCGACCAACCAAGGACGACCCAGTTCTGAGCATCCCTCATCTGGCGCATCGTTCACCAACATGCTCTTCATCCACCCTCACTAGCTGGCTGTCTGAGAAAACAGACATTCCTCAAAGCATCGCAGACTTCGAGCATACCTTTTCTGGCGCTCGTGGAAAGAAAACCTCAACTCGCCGTCGATCTGCACAACACTTTGAACAACTCCCCGTTCGCCGCGTTACACTGCCGTCTGACGAGGGCTTGGGATCTTCTATCAGCCCTGCAAGTGATAAAGGACTTTCCAAGTCTTTTGAAAGAGCTTTGGATTTGTTGTCGAATAAGGATAGTGCCTTGGGCACCTCGATTAGTGACTCAGTGGAGCAAGTGGGACACCACTCTGAAGAAGACGGTCTTGTTCAAGACTTGATTCAAGGTTGGATTGCCCGCTGTATGATGATGTGTGATGATATTAACCCTACCCCTACAGAAGCTGACTCGCCAGACCCAACACTCCGACCCTCGCGGCAACGAGTCTCTAGAAATTCAAACGGCATCGTCCGATCTGCTGTCACTCAAAGCATCGCTCCCCCCCTTTCTCGACCCGTTGCTCGCCATCCTGTTTTGAGCACTGTCGCCAGAAAAAAGATTGACGAATATATAATCACTCCCATCCTAGAGGAAACTCGCTTTGAAACTCTTCATCCTCTTGTCACTGCTCTTGGATCTAAGGCGAACAAATCCATTAGATGCTTGCGTGATTTGGAACAAAGTCTCATTTCACAACCCCTGGTAAGCACGTTGACCTCACAACGATCCCTCTGGTCTGACAAAGCCATCAAGACACTTGCCATCTCAACTCAACTCTATCGATCATTTGGAGAGTTTACTATCCAACTTGTTGTCGATACCTATCAACAGCTCTCTGAATCAGACCAACGACGAGCTGCTGATCGTCCCTACGATAACGGTTACTTTCTTGACTTGGTTCAACAAGTCAACAGATTAGCCAGCCACATCGGGTCGTCTAGCTCAGCCCAGCAGACTGATTCTGCTGAAGAGTCCGACCCAATGGCTTACTCTCCCGATGACGAGGTCACCTTGGAAGGTGGCCTCGATCAGACTGGCCACCTCGCCGAACTTGTCCGCTGGAAGAACGGCAAAGGCATTTCTCTCAGAACTGGTCAGGTCTACGAGCCCACTCCGGGACTCAAACGACAGAGCAGTACCGCCTTGGATGAAGATGTTGAGCGATCAATGGCTCGCAGAAAAAAAGGATATATTCCCGAAATCATCGAGATGAAGTGCTCTGACAAAACTTGTGGAAAGATCTTCACTCGGAAGTGTGATCTGGCCAAACATGAGAAGACTCATTCTCGCCCATTCAAGTGCCCAGATGCAAACTGCAAGTATCATGAGCTTGGTCTCCCAACAGAAAAGGAAAGAGAGCGTCACTTCAACGACAAACACAGTGATAGCCCTCTCTTCTTCAAGTGCGACTATTGTGAGTTCCGCACCAAGCGCGAGTCGAATTGCAAGCAGCACATGGAGAAGAAACATGGTTGGCATTACGAACGCGCCAAGGGTAAAGACAAGGCCACTCCAGGCATGACCAGATTGACACCTGCTCAAACCCCTCGCACCCCAAGCATTGACTTTTCTCCAAGCCCAGCAGTCTCTATCAGAACTTGGGACGACACCAGCTCCATCGCGGGAAGCATCTCAGGAAGCATCGCCGGAAGCACTGCTATGACTCCCTTTGATCAACCACTCAATCACTTTGACACTGCCTTTGCACAGGCACCTGTCACCTATTCCAACCCAATCTTCCCACGAGCCAGCCGACCCACCCAGTATGGCCATGGTGCAGATGACTTTGATTTCAACAATTTCCCTCACAACTATCACAACTCTGCTCAAGCCTATATTTCACCTACCAACACAACTCCCATCACTCCTCACATGATGGGCACACCAATCACTCCGGCTTATAGCAACATCACAGAGCCATCTCCATACAGTACTCATATGGATATTTCCATGGACTGCAACAATGGTACTGTGTGGAACACCGGTCTTCCAACACCCGGTTCTTTCCTCCAGGCACACTCACGCAATCCATCCATCTCCGACTATTCTCCCATGATTGCTGGTCCTTCGGGTCAGTCATTTGGTGATGAGCCAATGATGGGCAATGACTTTGACTTCCCACAGGGAGACTTTTCATTGTTTGCTGGTGAGAGTTCCAGTGCATTCTCAAACCCAGCTGCTGCAAATGCTACACTCTTCCCAAGTGAGCCTGAAGCATTTGCCACTTTGGACAACGATCCAATGTTCAACGAACAATGGGAGAACGACATGTTTGACTTCAACATGGATACCAAGCCTCTTGGTAACTAGAAGAACGATGATGTCAATGGCGCGCAGCCCATCTACAAAGTTCACGGACTTGTCAGCTCTCCTGCTCAAGTCTGTCGAGAAATGTAAATTTTACTAGGGGCTGAAAATCTCCAAATTGTTTCCTTTCACTCCTCCACCCATCTTTGGAAAATCTTCAAAAAAAAAAGATGCTCGGTGTTGAAACGGGTGTGCTGAGTTTCTATGATGGCCTATGTGGCCTGGTTTCTTTATGATGTTATGAATACTATTATTACTACGGGGTCGGAGAATGGAACGGGCCCCGAGTTTGGGGACGGAGCTAGGATGAAAGAAATGCCACAGAAGGGAGACTGTTTCAATCACACAGAATATTAAGAAGGCAGGCGGAGCCTCATACGTTTGCTCATCGACCGAACATGGTTTGGGTCGTCATTATGCAAGACAGGTGGGAATGGATTGGCTTTTACATGCTCTATTTCAGGTCTCAATACAAACATAAGAACAATATCTTCTCAATTATGATCCTCCATCATTTGTCTTAACGTTCTCCTTTCACTTGTGAACACGAAGCTCTCATCCGTGCCCAGTCATGTTTGTAATTGAATGACCAAGACCAAGAGAACGCCACCACAAGTAGTTAGATCCCCATGTCCTTGGTCGTGACACCCAAGGAGCACCTCGGGACTAGTTAGTTCCTAACTACAAACCATCACTCGCCGTGATCCTCGAACGCCTATCATCTCAGTGGAGGCAGATACGGGGAAGGAAAAAGGAACGTTTCGTGCGTCTTATTTTTAGCCATCAACGACATTTAATGGGCCTTCGTGATAAAAAGTGTTTTAATCTTTTTTTTTCCGTCACCGGGCTCTCAGGGCGGATGCCACATGCCGTGCGACGAGCGTAGGTACAGGACTTCATACACATACATACATACAAGCACAGTCAACAGAGAGTGTGGTAGTCTGGCGGATTCGATGTTGACGACGACGACGACGACGACGACGACAACAACAACAACAACAACAACAACAACAA